AGCCCCAGCTTCGTTGGTGTCCACATTTTGTGCATTTTGTTTTCTGCCTAAATGCCCGTTAATTCGCGGCGTTAATGAGGCTGACCGTCGCCAACGAGGCTGCGTGTCCGTTTCCCGTGTCCTGTGTCCTGGGTCTTGGGTGGCCTGCAGATGGCCCAGGGTTAGCAGCTCCGATCTCTGATCTGCCATCTCCTCAGCCATTTCAATTTTCGGCTGCTCATTATCGTTATTACCGGGCCTTATTTATTTTATAAACGATAATAACCAGGTTAATAACAACCAGTCCCTGGGCCCCTGCAATCAGTCGATGACACCTCCCTCCCTCCTTCCCTTCCACCTTGGCATAAGCCATAGGATCCATAACCGTCGGAGATATCTCTTGGAGATATCTTTTTACGAAGCCAAGGATAAGATCGCCGGATATTAATTTCCATCGAGCCAGCGGATTCTGTGACGGATAAGAAAAGTCGTTGACTAAAATGTAAAGGTTGTAATGAGAGCTAAGGCACTTAATATTCTGTGAGATGGGAAAGATAGCCCCCTGCCCTAATATTATGTCGTATTTAATCAACATCGGGGGGAGAGGTAACAATAAATATATAATTAAACTATATACAGAAGAATTACACTAAACTTAATGTAAGTTAAGAAGGATTATACAGTCATACAAAATATTTTTCTATATATATTTTTTAAAGATAACGAAAATATCGTAAATTTAGATATTATCGATTATTATTATTAAATAAATGATATATTTATTGCAACGTTAAAATATCGAAAAATATCGATACAGTATCTAAAAACAGATCAGTATTTTTGGTCATCCCTAAATCAAATATTCGTTTGAAAATAATTAAAATGAAAGAAAAGTAAAGAAATAAAAATTTATAATAAAAATAAATATTAATAAATTGATAATTTAATTTAAATTGTATTTTATCAATATCCTAGTGCAACAAGGGCGGCTTTATATACTTCACAATAAAAAGTTTAAGTAAATAATAACCCCCTTAAAACCATTAAAAAGAACTACAAACTGCGAGTAAAAAAAGTGGAAGGGAAGCAGCAACGCCTTATCAGGCGCTTTAGGATGATTAAGGGGTACTCCCCTTACAAAAAATAAGAAATAATGTTGCATAAATAATTAACGCATTCGCTCTTAATTCGGCAGTTGCAGTTGCAGAGCTGTGTTTCCGTTTATATCCACATTAATTGGGACATTATCAGGCGTGGCTCAGTTCCAGCTTGCGCCTCGAGTCGGTTTCGGTTTCGGTTTCAGTTTTAGTTTCAAGTTTGGGTTTGAGTTCGAGTTGTCCAGGTATTATTGCCCAACGGTATGCCCTGGGCATCGCCTCCTGGCCCGGTCTCCAATGCTGTCTTATGGCGTTCTTCCCCGGGGTCCACTTTTTTCGGGCGTCCTCTATTTATCCTTTGAAATTTTATGTTTCAATTTTGAGACGCTGTTTTTTGCTTTTATAGTCGGTTTTTTTTTTTGGGCATCGATATCTTGTAATTGAGAGCTGACAACATTATCGAGCCACGCCCCAGAGCCAGGAACAGTGGCAAGACCAGTGCCAGGACTAGTGTCAGGACCAGTGTTAGTTCTCCTTTTCAAGTCCCCAATTTCAGCATTACACACAGAAAAAAATTATGTAATATTAATATTAAAGCATATAAATATTAATATTAATATTTTTACAATTTATTATACAGGATATTATAATTTTAAAAATTGTTTAAATTATTCTTTTCAAGAGTAAGCTCTTAAATTTCTTAAGCTTATGGCAGCTGGACATTTGACCGTTAGAACTAGGAACTTGGCGGACAAGTTTGACCAATTTTGGGCGCCATTTGAGCTCCGCCAGCCCACAGATCCTCGCCAGATGCAGGCATCCTCCTGGTTCTGGTCCTGGTCCAGCTCATTTTGAATAACAAAGCGGCCGGATTCCGTGTCCCATTGTCTGGGACCACAAAAGTACTCTGGACCAGCTGGCCAGCTTGGGATGCTGGGCGCCCGCCGCTTCTCACGCTGACCAGTTGCTGACCAATTGTTGAATGCCGGACAGCTGTGGCCCAAGCCAGAAAACTCCAACCCAAACCCTAGCCGAAATCCCGAAAATCCCGAATCCGGAAAGCTGGGCGACGCTAGAAAAAAGCTTTTTGTTATTTGACACCATTGTTGTCCTCGCCCAGTCACACGCTTCGAAAGGGCCACGCACAATGGGCCTAGAACAGGACCTACCTACCAGGACCTAGGTCCCAGACCCACACACTCCTCTTCACGTCATTTGGGCGCTGTCTCGTCTCAGCGGGGACAATAGAAAAGCGATTTGGGAAGTTGTTGCTCCAAGGCGTTCTGGCGAACTGGTTCTGTCCGGCACAAAGGAATCGCTCCTTTGGGTCATCTTGCAGGGTAAATTCAATTTTTAAACTAGATTTTGATAGTTTAACAATCATTTTTCATAGAAAATCCAGTTCCTTTTTCATTGTCCATATGAAAATATAATATGCGATGAATTTGAAATTATTTCAGGGGCCCAAAAGTATGCCATAGAAAGTACACTTTTTAAAATATACTTTTAAGTTTTCAAATTTATTTTAAATTTTTGAAACTTATAATTTTGTTGTGTTCGTTTACTTACTTAAATTAGATGTATTTGGTAGCCACTTCCAGTCGTTAACTAAAACATTTAACATTAAGCTCATTTTAGTAGAAATATCAGCAACCTACTTAATTTAAGTTTATTATACCCTTGCAGGGTATTATAATTTCAGTCAGAAGTTTGCAACGCAGTGAAGGAGACGTTTCCGACCCTATATATTCTTGATCAGCATCAACAGCCGAGTCGATCTAGCCATGTCCGTCTGTCCGTCTGTCCGTTTCTACGCAAACTAGTCCCTCAGTTTTAAAGCTATCTGAATGAAACTTTGCATATAGTCTTCTATATACTCTCACTGATATATATGTCGGAACGGGCCGGATCAGACGACTATATCATATAGCTGGCATACAAATGTTCGATAAATTTTTAGAAAAAAAATTATAACTTCTCTGTTTTTCAATATTATTGCATCATTTTTAAGATATAGCCATTTTATATTATTCCAGAATTTTGGTAAAAATTTTATAAAAATCGGACCACTATATCTTATAGCTCCCATTGGAACGATCGGAAAATTAATCGAAAAAAATTATAACTTCGTTGTTTTTTAACATAATTTAATCTACTTTGACACATGAGCTGCTGGTATTATTTTAGAATTTTGGTATAAATTTTATGAAAATCGGACGACTATATCTTATAGCTGCCATAAGAACGATAGGGAAAGTAAAAGAAACAAGAAAGGAAGCTAACTTCGGCACGCCGAAGTTTGTATACCCTTGCAGATTGGTTTCGATGTTTATATTATAGATTTAAATGCTGAAAACACTCACAAAACAGAGTTTCCTTACATTTTACCTATACTTATTATGTTTACAGTTTGACAGTTACAGTTTTGCATTCCCAGCTTTACATTTTCTATACAACTATATCATATAGCTGCCATAGAAGCGATCCGTAGAGAAAATGTAAAGCTGTGAATGTATAACTATAACTGTCAAACTGTAAACATATGGTAATAAGTATAGGTAAAATGTTATGTTATCTGTTTAGTGTCTGTTTTCGGCATTATAATTTATAATATAAATATGAAAACCAATCTGCAAGGGTATAAAAACTTCGGCGTGCCGAAGTTAGCTTCCTTTCTTGTTTTTCTATTAAAATTAAACATTTTTTAGAGACTGAAAGTGATTACCAAATATACCTAATTAATATATTTATTTTTTATTTAATTTTTTTTTTTTAATTATATTATAGATTATTATATCTTCAAGTTGTAATATTTAAATTAAAAATAAAAAAAAAAAAAAAATTAAAAACCACTTGCTTGACACTATAATTCCCAACTAGTTCTAGCATCTTCTTAGTGGTAACCCAGCTGAATGTTGAGGTCGAGTGGAAGAGGTAGTGTGGTGTGTGGGTGTGTGTTAGTGGTTACTCTCTTCTAAAAGAGCTGCTACTTGTGTTTTTGTGTTTCAGTGTACCCTCTCTATTCTGTAGTTTCGTGCTACGAGTTTTTTTTTCTGCTATTTGTTTTTTCTGGCAGGGAGGGAGTGTGTTTGGCTCTTTGCGCATGGGAGAGTGTAAGCTAATGCTTTATTGCTGTCGCAAAGAGAGAATGACCTAGAAAACGTGCAGATATCACCGGAGAGAAGTTGAGATCAGATAGAAATCAAGGATATGGATCAATCAGAGAAGAGACCTAGACAACTGTGAGTACTCAAAATATTTAAATCAAATCTTCGCTTTGCTTTAATTTGTTTTACATTTTTATTTATTTAAATTTAATAACATGAAAGCCATATTCCTTTCTTAAAATCAAAATTATGATAACTATTGATGCGCCACCTGTCGGTATTTTTCAACACCTAAAGCGCACGGCTTCCAACCAACAGGGGGTGTGTCTTTTTATGCATTCTATTTCCGACCCCATAAACCACATATATTCTTGATCAGCTTTTAAGGGCGATTCTTACTAGCCTTGTTAGCAAGAAGCAAAAATTTTGCCAATTTTTTCAAAATTTCGTTAAAATGTATACAAAATTGGCGAAAATTGTAATTTTTTAAAATATTTAATTTAATATGCAGATTGGTCAACCAAGTTAAAACTAACATAAAACTGTTTTCCGATTTGAAATTAATAATTTTTTTGCCAAGTTATGATATTTTTAAGCTTTAAATTTCCAAACAAAAAATGTATCAATTTGTTCAAAATGTTATTATATCCTTAAAATTATTTAAAATTGGGAATTTTTTTTTTAATAATAATAAAATAGATCATAAAACTGCCTGCAGTTTTAATTTAATGAATTTTTGGTTTAGCTATAATATTTTTAATCTTAAATTTGTCTTAAAAATGTAAATTTGACCCATTCCACATAAAAACAGCTTCCGTTTACATTTGCTTCCGATATATTTATTTTTCGTGAGCCTTACAGGTAATAAGTATGTTAAGTATATATCTCCTATATACCGCAACTCTTAATCAATTGGAACTTAATTTTTAATTTATTCACCAAACTTTAGCCGTTTTGCTATAAATTTTTGAAAAATGGCCCGTATTGCACCGAATTAACCTTACCATCCTTAATAGCCTTAAGGGGGGCTATTAAGGATGGAGGAAAGGTTTAGGTACCGGGTGGGGGACTGACAAACTCTCGGGTTGAGGCCTTCGTTTTACAGTTTCGTGTTAAATATATATATATTTTTTTTTCTAGCTGTTTGCTTTTTGATACAACATTTACATTTCAGCATTGGCTGGGGGTGTTGGGGGGTGCTTAGGGCGCTAGAACAATTCCTAAACGAAAACTAAAGGGAATTGACAGAACTTAAGGCGGGTGAAATAAACCTATCCAAAACCGGTTGGGTTCGCGATTGGCCATTACACAGGAGTGGCCCAGCTTATGATCACACGCATGCTCTTATTTATTACAATATGAAGAAGTGTAAACAAAAATAAACAAACAAAAAGAGTGTGTGTACATATACAGGATCATTAACATTATATTAACGTATTTCTGGCTTGCTGTGCTGCTTTACGATTAAGATACTTGGCTTGTATCCTGTGACCTGGCCTTTCTGTTCTCTATTCCCCCCATTCTGTGCTCCCTATTCTCTATTCTCTCTGCTTCCGTTACTCTAGATGCATTCATTTGATGCATTTACTTAACAAAGGCCTCGGGCGGTATCTGGTTGTCCTTGAAGAGCTTCTCGAACACATAGGCGGCATGGTTGTAGTCCCAATTGGTTTCCTCCAGGCATCTGTTTTTCGAGAAAAAAAAGTTAATTAATATAAATTAATTATAATAAATTCTCATCTGGTTACTTACTTGCGACTCCAGGCCAGATTCATCTGACTCTGGGCACACATGGCCTGTATCATTTGCATTTTCGTATTCTCATCGTGCGCAACTGGGCCAGCGGCTACTGCCGGTGCTGCTGGTGCTCCTCCACCAGTGGCCAACGGACTGGTGGTGCCCAATTGAGCTCCTGGCAATATAGCCACGTTTGCCACATTGCCCACACCAACGGGATTCAGGCGACCCTGCAGGCCTCCCGTAGGGGAGCTAGCTGCAGCGGCAGCGGCAGCCGCGGCACTTGTTGAGGCAATGGCTCCGGGAGCCGGTTGATGCTGCGAGCGCTTAAACTCGCGTGACTGCTCATTGGTGGCACTGGTCACAAAGATGGTCTCGTTGCGAATGCAATACCCCGTGTTCTGTGGCACCACCACAAATGTGCGGGCAAAGTGGCGCAGATCGTAGTTGGTATTGTTGGTTTCACGGCTAAGCTCCTTGAATAAACCGGTTACGGTGAAGACCATCATTGAGGCCTGGAGACCAAAAATATAACAATTAACTGGTAAAACATAAGAAGAAAGAATTTTGTGGCTTACATTGTAAATGGTCAGATCAACGGTGAAGGTGCGACGCTCGTGCTGGGTACGCGGCCACTCGTCCAAGGTGGACACGCAGGCCAGGCGGCCGTACTTCAGCTGGCGGGTGCGGTGGTCATCCCTATCATTGTTGACCACACGGCGCAGATTGCGATTGAATTTCCAAAAGTTGTTTAGTCTGCAAAATAGAGAGGGTAACTCGAGAATTAGGACACTGTGAAAAAGGACTTCAATGGTAGGCACTCACCTGCCCGCCTGACTGGCCGAGGGCATGGTTATGGATAGCATGGAGTTCTCGTGGTAGGCATCCAACAAAGCCTGACGGTTGTCCGAGTCAAAGATGAGAAAGTACTGGTCGAGAAACTGGCGCACCACCTCAGCACCGGCATTGTCGCACAGGAAGGAGGCCTTGGGCTCGGGCATGCGTCCCGAATCGACCAGATCGAAGTCGACCTGCGGGCCCAGGGTCTCGCCATCCTATATTTATTATTATTATTATTATTATTATTATTATTATTATTATTATTATTATTATTATTATTATTATTATTATTATTATTATTATTATTATTATTATTATTATTATTATTATTATTATTATTATTATTATTATTGGGTATAAATATTAGTTTGTTTAAAAATATATATTCTGTAATTTTAGTTTTTCACTAAAAATCGACTTATTTCCAGCTCTACCAAAGACTAAGATGCGTAACGCGCTTGCATCTTTCTCTCTTTCTGACCTTAAGAGAACATTTCAAGAGAGCCTGAAGCTAGAGCCTGGCGTTAAGGATCTTTATCTTTATCATGTCTTGGGTTAGACCCATCCTCCACCACCCCCTTCCCTATGGACTTAATTGCATTGACAACTTACCAATTTAAGCAATTTGGGGAACTTGCGACGGGTTTCGCTGTAAATAGTTCGATGTGGATAGTTTCGGCCGTGCGATGAGAGTTGATATGCGATTTAAATAGCGAGAAATAATAATTAAATGGGTTCTTGAATGCTGAAGCATGCTCTGCGTGAGCTGTAGTTGCAAATGAAATCCAGGAATTGCCCTGATCCTTGTTAATAATCATATAGCTTTACCGTTACTCGACTCGCTCTCTTTCGTTAGAGCTTTGGGCTGGTGAAGAGGCAGAGGCACTTGGTCGATGGCGGTCATTGTTCGCCTTCTGGAAGCTGTTCTAGTGACGGTGATTAAAGGTGGAACAAGAGTTTATTTGAGCAGGACACTATTGTGCCACAACAGGGCATCTTTAATTGTTTTTTTTTTTAATTTTTTTGTTTTGTATTATTTTTTTTCTTTTTTTTTCTTTTCATTTTTAGCAGTGTACCCCCAAGCATGAAGCTGCTGACTGCATCACTCCAGTCTGAACATGTTCCATCGTGTGTGTGTGTGGGTGTTTGTGTGTGTTGGTTTCGTGCGTGACACGCTCATCGCATCCGCAGGCGAAGCATGCGTCCAAAACAAAAGCCGCACAAAATTGAACTGTAAACGGCCCGCAACACACAACACAGTGCTTTTTACGTCGCAGCCGCCAGAGCCAGCAGCGCTCCAAGTCCTAGTCAAGGTCAAGGTCAAGGTCAAGTCGTAAGTCAATGTCTCTGTCAAAGTGATCTCTCTCTCTCTCTCTCTCTCTCTTTGGTCGTTTGCCCTGCTGCTGCTGGTCACTGCGCACTCAACACCTGACTGCTTCCTGCTCTCCGCCTTCGCCTCCTCTGCTCGGCAGCCGCCGCCAAAGCAACAGGAAGCAACACGACAACACAGCACGGCACACGCGTGCTCGTGACAGGACACACATAGTCACTGTGCGCATGCGGCTGTGTGCGTGTGCCCATAAGTGTTGCAGCGGGGTGCACGGTGGGTGGGGCGGGTTAGGTGGATTTCTATCGATAAGCTAACTCCTTCGTTTTACTTCTATTTGCAATATTGCATTGCCAAGGTTTGTTTTTTTTTCTAGTTACTGTTACTGTTGTTGTTGTAGTTGCTGTGCTTGGGACTGATGCATGTTCGCCTGCCTCAGTGGAAGTGCGATCGGTGCAGGTATAGTGTGCGTGGGTATATATTTTATTTGTGTGGGTGTGTTTTTTTGTGTTGGTTGTTTGGCATTGCCAGATAGTCGAAAGTGTGGTTTGCTTGAGGGGCACTTTTGCTGGGTTTTAGATTTTTTTTCTTTTTTTTTTTTTTTTTTTTGTTGTGTTTTTTTTTTTTTTTTTTTTTTTTTTTGTATTTTTTCTTCTTTTTTTTTAGTGTCCCTTTCAAAATCTCTGATCCACCCCAAGGTGGCTTGCTTTGCTTTGAAGGCAGCTCTTTTTTTTAGAAAACTTCTTGCCCCAAAAATGCCTTTGCCTGCTCAATTGCTTTTTCAAAACCAAAATAAAGTTCTGAAAGTCTCAGCTTTCAGCCTTCTCAAGGACTTCAAGCTCATCCTGGTTTTCTATTTGCGGCCACAACTCGGCAGGGCACACGCTTCTAAAAAGAACAGAAACGGAGGCAACAGAACAATATGGAATTGAAATTTGCTAATCCTATAATTCCTCTGTGACTCCCGACGCGGCGACGACTCCCACGTCGACTTCGAGACTCTTAGTGCGGCAGCATCCTCTAGAAAGGTTAGCAGAGTACTAATCACACCATAGTATACCTGATATAGTGATGATGATCCTTGTAGCGGGAGCGGAATGGGTTGTTCTTCAACACCAACTCCAGGATGTTCAAATTCCGGAACACCACCAAGTGGGCCAGTGAGGGAATCTGCAAGAAAAAGACTGATTAGACTGGGACAAGAAGTATCCTGCTAGTAAACTCACCTTATTATCACCCAAATATAGAATCTTGAGATTGGGTATACGCTTCTCCACTCCCTTGAATGCCTCCATGCTGGACATGCAGTTATCATTGAGATTAATGGCCTCCAGATCGGGTATATTCTCGCATATAATGTCCATGGCAGTGCTCATCACGTTCGAGCGGAACAGCGGACAGAAGATGTGCTTGAGATCGGGATCGGTGTGAAAGCGCGACAGATCCAAGGCCTTGGTCTGTATATTGTAACGCTTGGCCATAACCAACTTCATCTTCTCTTTGAGATTATCGTCGATGACCACTAGCGGTATACCACTGCGCACTCGTGGCATTAAACGGAATCCATCTGGGAGCTGGGCATTCCTGCCCAAATGTTGGATACGCTCGGCCACCTCGTAGTCATCCGTAAAGAACATGACACTGCTGCGCTCCGAGCGCCAATATTGGGGGATGAAGACATGCGGCGACATGGCTGCCATAATGGCCCGCAGGAGGGTCTCCTTGTCATAGATCTGACCATTGTGAATCTGGAAAAGGAAGAGAGTGCGGGTAGGAATGAGATTAATGAAGGCTTACATATATCTGGCAATTATTTGTACGTAATGTGGAGGGAGGAGCTCTCAGACCTGATATCGCTCGAGTTATGTCATAACAAAGCCTTGTGTGTGTTATGGTTTGTTTGTTTGCCCGAAATGTCCCACTTTTGTGGCTCACTTTGTGTGCTCTATCAATGGGGAGTGGAAGAGCCAGAGATAGAAGTCTCACCTTGGAGGAGCACGTACCAAACGACGACAATTTTTAAGTTTGGAAAAGTGCTATAGTGGCCTCGTGGCCACCCACCCTCACCATTTTCCACGTTCGATAAAAGATCACATGTGCGCGTCTGATTCAAAGGGATGCAAAATTCCAGTCACATGAGTGAACGGAGAGGAGAGTGTATGTGTGATCCATCCATCCAACCAACCAACCATCCATCCATCCATCTACTTATCGGTAATTGGCTCTGTTCACTCGTCATATTGCACCCAATTACGATAGGTGAATTAGTGGGACGCCCGCCTATTTGCATGCCATTCATATCCGAGTCTATGGACTTGTCACATAATTACACTTTCGGAGCGGAGCGAAGCGGTGGGGCTTTTATCAGTGGATCTGTCACTGATTTAATAACGAGAGGTGAGTGTGCCAGTGAGAGTGAGAGCAACAGAGACAGCCAACAACTCCAGGGTACCACTCCCGTGCCAAGGTCAGATATCAATATCGGTCACTTGGCTATTATTGGCTATGTACCAGGGCGGTATCTAATCAGTGGTCTACAGCAGACTGTACCCATCATATGCATGGGTAAATACACAAAAGAGTCAGTGGAAAGTAATTCAATTTATGGGATCTCTTTGAGTACAGTTTCCAGTACAGACTGTACATATTTGTACCATATATATATATATATGTACTTCAGCGCAGGCAAATGATCGTGTGAATGATCCATACCCCTGCCGCCACAGCGACACACTACTATTTATATCAACAAGATAAGTCCGGCCCGCCCATCCATCCCACTCATTCATTGCGCATTAATGCGATAAATTTATTTATTACGGGCATTAGATGTTATTATTATTTTTGTCTCTTGTGTGAAAAGCCTTTTTATGGAATATTTCCTAATGGAAAGTTCATTTTTCTTGAACTATAGAGTAGAGCTGAGAAAAAATCGATTCTCGATGTATCGATCTCTTAGAAACATCGATTAAATCGAAAACACAGTTATTTGATTTTAAATTTAAAGAATAAAATAAAACAAAATACACTTTTAAACATTAAATTAAGAAAAATAATAGTTCAGTAAGATAACAAAAAAAAAATTAATATATTTTTATAATATAAAAGTTCTCAAGTCATCGATTTGTTTCGATATTTTAGAAAATAACATCCATTAAATCGAAACCAAAGTAATTTATTTTTAAATTCAAAGAAATCCAATAAAAAAAAAAACAAAATTAAATAAAGAAAAATAAAGGTTAAATACAAAAAAATATATATGTTTATGATATAAAATTTGTATAATATACTACTACTACTACTACTATAGAGCCTCTCATACCATCTAGGTTTAACCCAAAGCCGGGTTTTGCCTGGACTTCCGTTAAAGCTCTTTACTCTCTTAATTGCCATTTAGTTTTCATATATATATCAATCTATTATTTATTTTTTCTTTCCATACAAAGACCTCTTTAGCTTTTTATCTACTGGAGATAATAATATTGGCTTTACTTATTAGTTAAACTTGTTGTTAAAACTTTTACAAGCTGGTTTATGTTTTCTAAAAATGAAAACTAGTCATAAGACTTTATCATTTATACTCTCCTCCCTATCTGAATGAAATCATTTGACAAAATTAAAAACGTTTCATTTGAGTGAATCATTGGAGGAGAAAAAGTCCCATCCTTTGTATGGGCTTTGGAATGTCTTATGGAATGTATTATGGGGACTTGGACAACAACGGAAGCCCTGGGAATCGAACGAAACACCTGATCGATAGCCAAAGTGAACTGTTAAGAACGTTAAGAACCTTTCCAGAACATAAAGATGATGACTGTGTGGGCTTTGGGGATCGGTAACAGTTTCCGTCTCGCTTTCATTCCCGTTCCTGGGGAGTACGGTGGTGCTTTGTTTGCTTAGCAAGCTGCGCCGAGCTGTATATAGGTATTTCTTTATTTATTTATTTTTTATTTATTGTATTCCTCACAATACAAAATATACGAGAGCTCGCCGAGACATATTTCTAGAATTGATATGGAGCTCTGTGACGACTCCAGCGGCGACGTCAGCCGCGCAACAGCGACAGCAATGTCGTCGTTGGATTCCGATTCCGAATCGGATTCGGGTTGGGCTGGGACTAACAAGTGAACACCGGCGAACGGCTCACCATTCGCTGCCAGACGTGCGGAGTTGAAGCAACAACAAATAAGAGTGGTCCCTGGGCAAAGATTTAGGAATCCCTAGATAGAAAAACACAATAACAACAAGCCCACCATGGGAGGCTGTTGCTCAAAGGACCTGGACGATAAGCGCTCTTGGAGCCCCGAGGAGACCAAGAATGGCGTAAGTCTACTGACCTTGACCTCTTGATTTTGACCAACTAATGATTTTTTTATTCTTCTGCCAGAGCACCACTTCCACCATTATTGCCCAGCCCCTGGACGAGGTGGGCAGCACTGGGGTCTTTACACTGACACGCACCACAACGACCAGCACGCATCAGGAGAAGACGGTGACCACCACCAACCATGATGAGCCGGAAGAGTAGTAGTCGTGGGCGTACTAGTCGTAGTAGCTAGGAGATGAGCTGCCAAAAATATTTAACTTAAGAAACTGCTCCTTAATTTCAATCTGTATTTTTTTTTAACACATTTTTTTTTTTGTTGTTGTTGAAACAATTCCAACAGTGGTGTGTGTGTGTGGTGTGTTGTGTTACGTGTGCGTGCGAAAGTGTGTTGTGAATTATAAAAACAATGTGAGTACAACGAATATATAATATATATATTTATATATATACAAATCAAGTTAAGCTGTTATCGAGTAATAATTATTAATTGTTATGCGCCTGAATTCCAATTTCGTAATAAATTGTGGAAACGATAAATCTCAAGAAACTTGGTTTCCCAGCAACCCAGCAATCCCCAGCATCGGGTTCCCAGTATTCTCAAGCTCTAGCTAATCAATTGCAGTCGATTGTGTTCAATAGTTTCCCTTCTTCACGGATCGGTTAATATATACACTCTATATGCAAAGTACAGAGAATTACGCCTAGAGTTCAAAGACAAAATGAATTCAAGAGTTTGCTCTACACATTGTTTTTTTTTTGTTTTTTTGGGCGAATTGCTATATGAGTGTATATTTTTCTGATTCATCCATCATTTATAAATATATATATATATATTTATGTATATATATGGCGTCGATTGCGCTTGACTATGAAACAGTATACAGCCCTGGTTTCGTACGCTTTTTAATCCAGATCAAAATGGGAATTCCAAAGGCATGATAAACTCCTTTCCGGTGGAAACTATAAAGTTTAGAGCCTTATAATTTTATTATTGAGATATGAGTTATATAAAATTTCAAGAAAATAAGTTTAATTAACCTCAATAGTTGAATTAAATTTTTAACTTATTTCGAGGGCATAGAAAATAGAAGCAATTAAAATAAAAGATATTTTGCAGAGGTCGGAAAGAAAAAATTGTAGAAAAGAAGTTACCTTCCTAATAATAAGTTATTGTTTTCAAGTGTTCAGTTTCCACAACATTTTTCCTTTATTTTTTTATTAAATAAACTGAATTTCATAAAATTCCCTCAACCGATATCCACTGTACCCAGATGAGGTGGAGTGGCCTGTAGAGGGCAACCTGCCAGTTCAATTGCCATGATAAGAAGAGCGATCCAATGCATTACTGGCCGATGACATCAGGCGATGCACAAGGGGGCAGTGAACGAGGGAAGGTGATTGTGATTAGGGGAAGCTCTTAGGGGGGTTGGGTTTTGCCCCCACCTACACCCACTACATCCATACACTGTGAGTCAGTTGTGTCTGTTGTTATCACAGCCTTGTTTTCATACCTTGGGCCAGAATGAAAATGACTAACAGTGAGTGGCACGTGTTTGCCGTCATTAGCACCGATCAGTCATTGCGTCTTGGAATGCTTTGGCCATTCCATTCTCACGTATGGCCATAGCTTATATAGACATCGTGTCGCATGCCAGCTGGGAAACCATTGGGAAAATGCAAATGCAAATTGCAATTTGCAATTTGAAATTCGCATTTAACAACATCGCACTGGGCCAGGTCGTTACATGCAGCTTGACAATCTAGTTGTTCTCTTGTCAGCCAAGAGCACAATTTATACTCACACATTATCGAGCAATAATAATAATAATAGAAAAAAATAATTACTTTGCTTAGCATTGATTTTGCCTAGCGATAATTTATACACAAGCGAATCTTTGAATTTAAAGTGTGGGGAAAAGCTTTCAAGCTCAAGGCGCCTCAAGGTAGACAATACTTTAAGTAGAATTCATTACTTGATATGGTAAATTCTATATCCATATGGATTATAGAAGCTTATAAGTATGTTAAAGTGTAGTAACCAAAAATCCTTAAAAACTGTAAGAGATTGCAACAAAATCTGTTAAATCAATATCGATATTTTAAAGTTTACATATAAATTGGAATTGGATCGATATACTCTTTTATATACATATGTTCCAAACTTAGTCTAAACCATTATTGAAAATAATTTCAAAGAAGTCTCAACTACTTTAATAATGTTTTTAATAAATTGAATACATTTTTATAAATATTTATTCAGTACTATCGATAAAATCGATATTTTAAATTTCGATTAGTCCAAATTAAATGACATTTTCGATATATCTGACTTTTATTTAATAATAAAGTCTCCTAAGAGCAAACCCTCACAGAATCGTCTCAGATTTTGACTAGATTAGCCTTCAAAATCTGAAAATTCCAAATAACTCTAAGATCCTACCACCTTCACTTCTTAGAAGAGTTTCACAGACTTTTATTAAGTAAACGTTGAGAATTTTAAGAAATAAAAGACACTAACTAATAGTTGTAATTTAGCTCATCCAAGAGGGTATACCATTAGGAATAGATAAGATTGTAAAGGGGGGCAGAAAATAGAAAAACAGCAACGACAACACACTGTCCCGAACTGCGCAGATAAATTGAATGTGTGAATCGGAGGCGGAGACAAAACAAGCAAAATAAATTATATACAGAATGTGTACGAAATAGAACGAAAAACGAGGAACGAAAGCGAAATCAAACGAAAGCTCTCACAGGCAATTAATAAACATGTGTGGACGAGAGAAAACATATACTGGAGGCCAGAAAGAGGGTTGACTCTGGCTCTGTGTCTCTGCCTCCGATTGTGCTGCATGTGCAGATAAAATAATTTCGAGCGACCCTACACTGACTTTTCAATCAACGACAGTGTTGGGCGCTCGAGCTTTAAATGGTCGCATTTGGCGAGAAAGACACTGGAAGAAAAAGTTGAAACCACAGTTCAAAAGGTTCGTAAAATAAAAGGCAACAAGTGCATTTAGTTCACAAATCAAAGTGTAAATATTTTACAGTATTTATTAAGTGATTAAATTATAGAACCAATTTTACTTTTTAGAACCTTGCAGGGTTTTATAATTCAAGTTAGAAGCTTGCAAAGCAGGTGAAGTAGTTATATCCGACCATATAAATTATACATATTTTTGATCAGCATCAACAGGTCTTTCTAGCCATGTCCGTAAAAAAATTATTTTTTTGGCAATTTTTTTAAAGTTTGATACAAATAATAAACAAGTAAATACCAATAATGTAATGTAAAATATTGATAAAAAAAACATAATGGGAATAGGCATTGAACTTATTCAGTACATAACTCCCCTCCCTATACTATTAAGTGATCTCAATTACGGCTACAAACTAAAGCCAGTTTTGCACATTATTTAAACATTTTTTCGATATGAATAAGTTTCATGGAAAATTAAAACCTTAGCTTCAAATGCATTATTATAACATTTAATAAAAACATTGGCATTTTTGTCATCTTAAGCCCATAAGAAGACCTAAAATATTGTCATTCCTTAAATCGATATTTTTTAAATTTATATATATTGATAAGCTTTTTTGTGCTAGTTTTTTTTTAGAGTATTAAATTAGACTATTGAAATTACTATTATTATTAAATGTACCATTAAATTTGCTACCTTGCTAACTTTAAACTAAACTTATAATTCCCTCCAAAGGTATAAAATAGCTAGATCCTAACCAGACAGCACTGTGCCCCAAGGGAACTAGCGAGCGGGGTAAAGAGCAAACAACATATAGAAATTGGAGCGCACCCCAAGTTGAGGCCACGATCGACGGATCGACAGCAGTTTTAAGTCCAAGCTTGTCCGACACAGACATGAATCCAATTCCACGAAGCATCCTCCTCTTGATCCTCGGCATTTGCATGGCCCAGGCCTTGCCCATGACCAACGATGACCAGGAACTAACGGCTTTGGAATCCGTTGAAGAATCGCTGCCACTGAACCGCCGTTCCGAATCGGAATTTGTCAGCAGAATTGCGCCCAGGCATCAGGAGAATCCGGAGGAAGAACAGCAGTTTGATACACTGGTGCGGGAGTTGCAGGCCGCCGGAGTTCATACAGCCGATCGCCGGGCTTTGCGTACGCTCACCTACAAGGAACTGGTCCGACTCCTGGCACTCTATCAACTCGCCCAGGGTCGCAACTACTACGATGCAGTTGATCAGAAGGAGGCCAGTGCCTATTGATATTAATGTCCAAGTATTTTTTTATTCGATTCATTTGATGGCGATCATGATGATGAGTAAGCTCATTTATTGCGGCGGAATGTTAAAGCCAAAGTTCACTTAATAAAAATGTGCCAAAAAATAATTTAAGGATTGTTTGAAAGTGTAATGGGATTTCTTTCAGACAGGATCATGGCTAGAAAGTGATGGTAATGATTACATAAAGGCGTTTAATAAACACTAGTAACTCATTGAAATTATTTAAAGACGGAATTCCCTGTTAGTTACAAAAATTCCCGGCCTGCTACGCCACATCCTTGTGCTTTTCCCACTCAATCTCGTCCAGTTGCGGCTGCTGGACATCCACCGAAATGCCTCCAATCTCCGAACTGGTGGCCGTGATCACTAGCCGCGGCATCTGGCGTCGCTGCAGGCGTTTGGCTATAGGCGGCACAAAGAGATCATGCTTGATCAGCGTGCAGTCAGCATCCTGATAGATGTGCCTATTACTGTCCCAGTTGAGCAGGGCAAACAGCCAGGACAGAAGCCAGCCGCCAAAGAAGGCAATCACAAAGCCCAAGGCAGCATACCACATGTAGCTGATCCTGTACAGGTAAAAGTAGTGTTCTTCCTCCGCCTCCGCCTTGGCAGCAGTCTTGAAAAATACATCTTGGGCATAGCTCCTGTCCAGCGGGCAGCCCGCAGTTGACATGTCCAGGCTTTGTGGCACCGGTTTCGGCTGACCAAAACCAATCCACAAGCAGAATCCCAGCGAGATGAGCAGTCCTCCAATGGCTCCCTTTTCGTTGGCCTTGGTCACATACATGCCCAGCGTAAAGAGTCCCAGGAGGGGGCCACCGATGATGCCAAAAATGGATAGGGCCGCTTGGAGCAATCCCCCAATTGAGCCCGCCATGAAGGCCATGCCAATGCAGAGGGCACCGAAGAATAGCGACAGCAGCTTCGAGTGCCACAGGGTCTCGCGATCCGTAAGCGTACGCTTGCCAAAGTGACGCACCAAAGGCTTGAGGTAATCCTCCAGTGTGACGGCCGCCAATGAGCTGATAATTGAGCTGATTGTGGACAAACTGGCGCAGAAGATGCCCGAAACAAATAGTCCCGCGAGTCCCGTATACTCGCCCATGGTGTCAACGACGAAGAGCGGCATTACCTGGTCCCTCGAATTGACGCGTCCCTCCAGCACTGGATCACAGTCGCGGTAATACCAATAGATGCACAGCCCGGAGAAGCAGGTGCTAATGCTCAGCAGGCACAGGATGGGCAGGCACCACCACAGGGCCGCTCGGGCGGCACTCAGACTCCTCACCGACATCAGGCGCTGCACCTGCGTCTGGTTAACGCCATAAATGGCCAAATAGGTGGCACTGCCACCGAGTATCTGTGTGAACCAAGTGTGCCGCTCTGTGGGATCCACACTAAAGTTGGACACATCGATGCGTCCGTTCTCCTGGGCCACACGCCAAATCTCCTCCAAGCTGCCGGCCTTTACCCAGGCACAAATGATCACGCTGAAGACGGCGGCGAACATGAGCAGCGACTGGTAAATGTCGGTGATGAGCACGGCCTTCATGCCGCCAAGTGTGGCGTAAAAGGTGCAAACAACTCCAACGATCACAATGGAGAAGACCTGATTGAGTCCAGTGACAGCTTCCAGGGCCAGAGCCGGGGCATACACCACAATGCCCATATACAGGATCATTTGCAGCGAGAAGCTCAGCGAGGCGGCCAGTCGGGTAGCATAGCCAAAGCGCAACTCCAGATACTCGTAAACACTGGCCGCCTTTAAGCGATAGAAGACTGGTATGATGAGGTAGGCGGCCACTGGTGTAGACACCACATACGACAGATTGATCAGGACAAACATGGTGCCGTATTGATAGTTCTCCATGGATACACCCAGTATGGTTATGGCCGACATGAAGCTGGCCATTAGGCTAAAGGCCACCGGGGCCACGCCCATGGAACGATCCGCCAGTAGGTATTCGGTGGTGGTGCTTTGCTTGCCGCCAACAAAACGATAGTAGATGCCAATGGCCACCGATATGATCATCACCACGGCCAGGATGGTGTAGTCCCAGGCACCGAGAGTGGCCATTGCTGTGAGGAGCTATTCTTTGATGGTTTTCCCGGGCAAAACTTAATCGCACATCTAATCGCCGCCGCCGGCTGATAAGTGGCCCTAATCGGGCCTCTTGAGATTCCGAGAAGAAAGTGTGTGTTTGTGGAGAAGGCTTTACGTCTACACCGTTTGCCGACTGTCGATGAAATGAAGGCCCAAAAGGAGAAACTGGCAATAGCTCCGCCTCTGGCTCTGCTCAACTGGCTGGCTTTTAGGGCCTTTATGGGCATTTACGACCCCGCCGGGAGATAGCGGGACGGCGACTGGCAATGACAGGTAGGTAGATTGCTGGTTAAGGTGGGGACAAAAGCAAAGGGTGGGACCACCCACAACCTCATGACCTCTTGAACTGTCAAGGAAATAGAAGAGAAAGAACAGCAGGAAGAGAGCCAGCTGCAGCAAGCAACAGGCAGTCAGAGTTTAGCCATCCATAAATATTTATTTGCTCGCTCGGCCTGGCTGGCTGGCCTGGTCTGGCCTGTAATCTCAAAGCTCTCCCCCTCTCTAGCCGGCGGTTATTGAAAATGTGCCTTGTTTGCTTTACGATTTTTTACGAGTGAAATTAATTAATAAACACAACGGGCAACCAATGCCCGTTGCCCGCATGCTGGCGGGGGATGTGGACAAAATAAACAAAAATAAACACAGACCGAAAGATGCAACTTGGGGGGCTCTGAATGGCGGCTGCTCGATGAAACAACCATTTATACAGGGGCTTTGGAAGTGACCTTAGGTCGGAATATGTGTACAAATCCAAAAGTAGATGGCTAAGCTAGTATCTAAATTACAGCCAGACGATAAACACCACACTTGCGATACGAATCACATGCGTGCCTCGATAAACTTAAAATAGTTATAGTAAATCTGGTCCATATAGATATAACATTCCCGTCTATATGGCCCATGGATAGTTGCAATTGTAGAGTTTATAGCGGCTCTGGAACTCACCGTTACTTGGTACCAGCCAAAGGTGTTGCGCATTAGTTTGCCGAATCTGCCGCGGGGTATGGGTGAGCCGCGTCGCCGGGAAGTGGGACGTTCCTGAAGGAAATATATATATATTCAACACTGTGCAAAATTAGATAGATTGATTGTATGCTGCTTACCCTGGCTGCTGTGGTCATTTCGTTCATGTCATCATCCTCGTCCCAGCGACGTACATCGTCCAGACGCAGCTTGATATCCTTTTTGTTTTGCGGATATTGTGGCGGCTTAAAGCTGACGCGACGCTTGTTGCGATCCTTGCGGCGCTGGTGATCCTCCAACTCTGTTTAACCAAATAAAAAAAAAACACGAGTTAGTACATATAGAGAGGTGCTTTGGTGCTGCGTCCACTTACCATCAAAGTCTTTGAGCGCGGAATAACGTCCACCGCCGCCGCCACCGCCTCCTCCGCCATTGCCGCTGCCGCTATTGTTATTATAACGATGGCCACCTCCGCCGCCGCGCTTGGGCATCTCGCAGTTTACTATTTAAGTTTACTTTTACGGAACTTGTTTTTGCTTATATGCACCCGTGTGCACGTTTTACTTGGGTTCTGTGTTTTGCAAAATCTACTTTATTCAACAAACGCAGCGCAGCGAATCCAGTGCTCCGCTTGCTCTTCGCGGAATTGGGATTACTATGGATCTTAGACTTCTAGGCGGCGAAAAGTACCGCCTGAAAAATTTGGGTATGAAAAAACAAAAGACAACGCAATTCTGTGAAATATTTTTTGATGGTTGACTTTCAGTGTGACCGGCTGCTTGTCAATACTACCGAGTTATCGATTACTTAGCTATTTTCAAGTCAAATCTGTCGAATAGCAACATGTTGGCAGCACGACCGAAATCCAGTTTCATTATCACCAATATGCCCGATCGAAAGCGACCTCTGAAGGTAATCCGGGCCGATTCGGAGGCCCAGCTGGTGAATGGCCTGGCCGATCTCTTACAACACTGCTCCCAAGGGGCACTGGCCCGGCAGGATAGGTTCAGCGTGGGACTCTCAGGTGAGGATCGCCCCCGTTCAGGTCAAGCGTTTGTGCCGATAAGCCCAACTTAGGGTGACCTTGTCCGGTGCTATCATGCCCATTCCAAAGTCAAGTGCCGTAATACCCTACCTGTTGACAGGTGGCTCGTTGGTCCAGCTGCTGACGAAGGCTCTGAAGCAGCGAGCGGGAGATTTAAACACCGCCAAGTGGACGTTCTTCTTCTGCGACGAACGCTATGTGCCACAGGATGACAGCGACTCTACCTACGGCGCTTACAAGACCGAGTGGCTCACCCAGTTGCCGGGCATCCGGGACTCGCAGTTCGTTACGGCCAACACGGCCAAGTCGCTGGACGAATGCGCCGCAGACTACGAGGCGAAGGTCAAGGATAGAGTGAACTGCGACTGCGGCCTGCCGCAGTTCGACCTGCTGCTCCTGGGCATGGGACCTGACGGCCACACCTGCTCCCTGTTTCCCGAGCAGCCAGCCACGCTGCAGGAGACCCAACGCCTGGTCATACCCATCCGGAATTCCCCTAAGCCGCCACCCGAGCGCATCACCTTTACCCTGCCGCTGATCAATAATGCCAGGGATGTGGCCTTCGTGGTGACGGGCGCTGGGAAAGCAAGTGTCGTTAAGGTGAGTTAATGGTTGGTTAATATGGTTTAGCTTGGAAATATTACTATTATTTTCCTTGTTTCATTACAGCGTGTGTTTGTGGATCTGGACAAGGAGTTTCCCGCTGCCTGGGTGAATCCAGATCAAGGACAGTTGACTCTGATTGTGGATGCGGGAGCTGGAAAGGAGATTGAAGCCCTAAAATGACAATTATTAGAATAATGAATCTTGTAAATAATAATACTTTTGGATATTTGGATATTTTTATATATATTTTGGATTCTTGAATTTCTTTACAATTTGAATTTTAAATTTTCTTCTCGATTAATTTACCAAAACAGCTAGATTTGGCTTGAAACGATAGTGGAGTGCAGCCTACCGCTGCCTATCGATTATATTCCAGATGTGACCGTTCACGGCCACACGACGAACGGCACACCCAGTATGACCACATTTGGGGTCACAACAAACGTCTTGTATTGGTTAAACGAAAATTAAGGAAATGCAGCAGCAGCGGCGGTAATTGTTGATGCACCCAGCAAGAGCTATAGCCATGGCATCCCACTACCCGCTCCCGCAGCCCGATCCGGGTCTCAAGTCCGAGACGCAGCCGGCGGGCGATAGGTTGGTCACCCTGGATGCCGTTGACGCGGACCGCGTCTGCCGCGTTTGCCTTAAGGACGCCTCCCAGGACGGCGAACTGCACTTCATCTTTGCGGACGGACCGCTGGAACTGGGCGCCAACTTGGCGCGCATCCTGGACGAGTGTACGCTGCATCCGTGCGAACGGCAAGATGGTATGCCGTCCAACATGTGCGGCTCCTGCGTGGAGGCAGCCCGCCACGCCTATCGCTTCAAGCGCAACGCCGAGCGCTCCTACTGCTCTCTGGTGGCGCTGCTAGGCCGCTCGCCGCAGTTAAAGTCCAATGGTGCCGAGGCGGGCACCCAGACCGACCAGGTGGCCCTGCTGCCCTGCGAGATGTGTCACGACCAGTTCCTCAACAGCTTGGAGCTGCGCCTGCACCGCAACCGGGTGCACAGGACAGCGAAGGATGGCACTGAAGGCAACGACGGTGCTGTCGAGGAATTTAAGTGCAAGTTCTGTCCGCAGCACTTCCCGCATCTCCGACAGCTGCGCAGTCACTTGGCACGCAGCCACGAGCAGACCGCTCGCCTTCAGTGCGCCCACTGCCTGCGCACCTTCAGTCGCCGGGATCATCTTCTGCGACACATGCGTAATCAGCACCGTCACTTGGAAGACGACCTCTTAAACACTTGGCCGCCGGCGGATGAGACCACCATGCAAAGCTCTGCGGGTGATGAGCTTGTCTCGGCGGAAGTGCTCCTTAGCGAGGAAAAGGATAACCCTGAGGATGGCGATATCTTCCAATGCAACACGAATCCCATTTCCAGCAACGAGGAGGACGACGACGACGATGAGGATAACTTAGAGGCTAAGCAGACACTGTGGCTGCACATCAAGCCAGAGCCCTGCCTAGAGACTGAGGAAGTTAGCCTGGCCACGCAACTGAAGCTGGAGAAGAAGCAGCGGCGGCGGCGGCGGCGTGGGGAAAAGGCGGAGCCGCGTTTAGGGAGCTCCAGTGACTCGCCGGTGAAGCGTAAGTGTCTCCTCCGCTCTCTGAAGTCCAGCATTATCCTCATACTGAACATTCCCCACAGGTGAGCCCCTGGCCGCTGGCGACCCTCAACTCAGCATCAAGCAGGAGAGCCAGCTGGTGGGCAGCGAGGATGAGGCGCCCATGGGTGTGGAGGAGTTCATGGCACTGCATGCCACGGGAGAGCTGCCGTTTAGCGATGAGGAACATTTCGGTGACTACGGAGACGGAGACGACGAAAGTGCTTTGGATGACGACGACGAGGAGGAGGAGGACGATGACGACGACGATGAAGATGCAGATGGAAACGATGGGGATTTTAAGATGAAAATGGAGCCGCTGGACGGTGAGCAGCAGTCGCCCAAGAAGTGCAAGTCTGGCAGGCGGAGGCGGCGGCGCCACAGCAAGGGCGAGCCCAATCCCGAAAACCGTTGCGATGTCTGCCAGCGCACCTTCTCGCGTCACTGCCACCTGCTGCGCCACAAGCTGTCCCACCTGGAGAAGAAGCCCCACAATTGCCCGCACTGTCCCAAGGCATTTGCGCGCAGCGATCACCTCAAGGCGCATGTCCAGAGCCTGCATAGCAACAAGGAGCACAAGTGCGGCATCTGCGAGGCGGCCTTCTCCCGTCTGGATGCCCTCGAGCGGCACAAGGTGAGCAAGCACAACGGCGAGGGCCTGGAGCCGGGCAGTGAGCTCAAGCTGCAGCTGGCGGAGCACACCTGCGAGTACTGCTCCAAGCGCTTCTCCAGCAAAACGTACTTGCGGAAGCACACCCTGCTGCACACGGACTTCCTCTACGCCTGCAAGAGCTGCGAGGAGACATTCCGCGAGCGCGGCCAGCTGCGAGAGCACGAGAAGACGCACACCGGGCAGCGCAACTTCCTTTGCTGCATTTGCGGCGATAGCTTTGCCCGGAATGACTACCTCCGTGTCCATATGCGGCGTCATAATGGTGAAAAGCCTTACAAGTGCCGCTACTGTGTGAAGGCCTTTCCCCGGGCCACCGATCTCAAGGTCCACGAGCGGTAAGTCTTCACCAAAGACTTTCTTTTTAAAGAATTTATTGTTACATCTTGCTTACCCTAAAAGCTATCACACAAACACGAAACCGAACCTGTGCAATACCTGCGGCAAGAGCTTTCACCGGGCCTATAACCTGACCATCCACATGCGCACCCACACCGGCGAGCGACCCTACAAGTGCGACCAGTGTCCCAAGAGCTTTACGCAGAGCAACGACCTCAAGGCTCACATCCGCCGGCACACGGGTGAGCGGTACAAGTGTCCTCACTGCGATGCCTACTTCCTGCAGTTGTACAACATGCGCAACCACTGTTTGAGTGCCCACAACAAGCACATTGAGACGAAGACGGGACGCCTGCAGAGGACAGGTCTGCTGGATGATGGTGGCCAGTCGCATCTCACCACCGTGGTGATGCCGCCATCACAGCTGGCAACAACGGCTGCTGCTGCTGGCACCGAGAACACCACCTCTTCCACGGTTATACACTCGCCAGAAGGGTATAGCAGCAATGCGGGAGTGGCTGGAGCAGGAGCAGGAGCAGGTTCCACCACTCTGGATGGTGCCAGCTTTGCACCGACGCCAGTCAATGCCTCCTTTGGGGCTTTTAACTTTCCACCCGCTGTAATGGGTAATTATCTTAATTTAATTTTCTTCGATTTCAAAAGGATCTTGTCCTGTGCTGTTGTCCTTGTCTTATATATACTGTTTTCTCTTTCACTTTCAGCTCATCTCATGTACAACCACGGCGGCACTAGCCAGCACAGTCAGAGTGGCAGCGACACGGGCAAATAGCCAACGCCTTGGACCTGCATTCTGCATCCTCCAAACACACACGCACAACAATTCCAGTGTAGTTATAAGCTCCTGTACATAGCCTTCGTACATCACAAGCCCAGGCACCTGCCCTTTTATCGTGTTAATATTGTATTTAGTAATTAGTTGAAGTGTAAACATTTTTTATAATTCTTGGTAAGAATTTCTAACGTCTGTTGGAGAAGCGACCCCAATTCCCCCCCTAATCCTACTTTCTAATTGTTTATATAAATCCCAAAATATAGTGGAAGCATTGAAAGTGTAAAATTGCAAGGATTTCCTTCTGTAAACCATTAGGCAGCTCCATTTGGAGATTATTTACCCACCCAAACGCTCTTAAAAAACAGGGTTTTTATTATTATTAGTTTGCAAACAGAATTTAATGATAAAACAGAACATGAAGTGCAGGGAAACACAAACTGTAAACTAAGTGGAAACAGTAAAACTTAAGTAAAATGTCCTGGGGAACGCTCTCTCTCTCCTATAACTGTCGACGTGGCTGGAACACCATCAGGCTCTCCCTTGGCGACGGGGGTCGGAGACTGTTCCTGGTGCGTGGTGGCTCCTGCTGCTGCTCCTCCTCCACATCCTCCTTCATTCCCACCGCATGGCGCATCATACGTGGCGCCTGGATACGCTGACGCGGTAGCATTGAGGATCGGCCGGGTGGCTGGAACTCCTCATAGGATACCCCCTGCTCGGAATTATCATCTGTGGTATAGTCGTCATCCGGCTCGTTCGGTGTGTTCTCCTTCTCGGTGGTCTTGGTGCGCGGCTTCTTGCTGGCCCGCGTTCCAATGCTGCGCCTGCCCATGCCGCCGCTGCGACGCAGCGTTGTCTCAAGGACCCGCACTCGCTTCATCGGCGACTTGCTGGTCTTCAACTGGCTGTGGGGCTGATTAACGCTCAGCAAGCGCTGGGCACTGCCGCGCATTGCCGGTGAGCTCTTCATGGCGTTCAGAGAACCAATCAGGCTGCGCTTGGCGTTCGGTGTTCTTGGACCTGGCTGAACGCTGGCCGATGGATTGAGGCGCTTGTGCAAGTTGCCCGTGCTCTTAGTCACGTTCAGCGGGCGCAGATGCTGGGCTGATGGTGTCTTCCGCAGAGACATGGTCGAGCTGGACATGGCCGACATGTTGCGCAGCGTGCGCGGTGTGCGAGGAGCCGTCGAGCCCAGAGCGGGCGGAGGCATTATCTTGCTGGCCGATGCCGTGGTGCTGACCGTCGGTGCCTTCTTGCGGGCGGAGCTCAACAGCTTGGCCTGGCGATGACGCTCCCAGTCGGCGGTCATGCGCTCCAAAATGTTGTCGCCATGCACCAGGAACGGTGTATTCTCCTTGGCCTCGTACGCCTGCACCAGCTCTGTGATCTGCTGCTCGATCTTGGGCAGCTTGGATGTGATGGCCTTGCGTTCCCTCTCCTCCTTGAGTAGCTGGCCACCGCGATTGTTAAAGCGATTCGGCTCGCTGGCCTTGGCCTCCAGCGCCTCCATGCGGGCCCATAGCTCTGCCCGGCTCTCATATAGATCGAAAATCTCCTTGTTATTGTCGTAGAAGCTCTTGAGATCGTCCAGCTCCAATTCGTGCAACTCCAGCAGGTCCTCATTGTACCAGTCGTTGTAGTAGTTGGAGAACCGCTTGCGCTCCTGGGGGCTCTTCAGGGTGAGATCCCACCACTTCTTGATCTCCACGCGGAGCTGTTCAATGAAGATCTTGAGGTTCTGCCTGCGGAGTGCCTGGCAGCGCTGCAGCTCCTCCCGGAGAACGTCGTACGTGTACTGTGTGTACTCGGTGGCGTTGCGCACCCTTCGCATGGCGTAGTCGTCCGTCTCCTGCAGACGCTCCCACAGAACGCGAATCTTTTCGCGCATGTCGTCGATGCGCTCTCGCATCTCCTGCATCTGGTCGGCGAGCTCCTTTTGCATCTTCCGCAGGCGCTCAAAGGTCTCGGGCGTGAGGCAGTGATCCACCTGGTTAAGCAGGCGTTCCTCTTGGTCCGTCTGCGGCAGGCACTCCAGCAGCTTCATGTTGTGCTTGATGCTCTGGCGCAGCTGGTCCATCTCTTTCAGGCGCAGCACTCGCTGGGCCCGCAGCTGCTCGAGGTGATCTCGGAACGCATCCATCTCCTCCGGCTGAGGCAAAGGATCGGCCAGCAGTGGCAACGGCAGTTCGCCCAGTTCCTCGCATAGCTGTTCCTGCTGGAGCAGCAGTTCGCAGATCTCAGCCCGGCGCCTAGCCAGCTCCTCGCGCAGGTGCTCGATGCCCTTGTCCAGCTTCAGCTGCCAGATGACCAGTGGAACGTCATCTGGGCGCTCGCCGATGTCCACCGACTCGTGAAGCAGTCGCGTGAGGTCCCTGGCCTCGGCCTGCAGGGCAGAGATCTCGTCAAGGATCGTCTGCTGCTTCTCGCACGACTCGTTCAGGAGATCCGTGTAGAAGGTCTGCGCATGGTCCTTCAACCTGTGGAGGAACTCGCCGCAGGTCTTGGTGTCGAAGATGCGCAGCCACATGGCGTGGAGCATGTCCACATTCTGGGCCGTCATCTCCAGGATCTCCGCCTTGAACGATGCAAAGTTGTTCTGAGTCTCCATATTGGATTTGTTTTAATTCGGATGTCGGGATGTTTGTTGTTTGATATTTGCGGCCAGGAATACGTTGGCGTTCTATTTAAAGAGCATGCCTGCTGGCCAATAGCCGACTGGAGTTTCACGAGAACTCGAAGTTGAACGCGCTGGGCGGGGAATGTGTTTATCTTGACGAAATTAAGTGACGCCGCCGGTAAATTCAAATCGAAATGGCGGCCGAAAACAGTTTGACGCCCAAAAGTGTGACCGACCAGTTGTTTTTTCGAACATAAAAATACTAAAATGTAAAAATTCAGCTGCATGAATAAAAAAATACATACGTTTATTTGACCAGTTTTTTAAATATCGATATAAAAATACTGTTATGTACTAAAATATGACCTGAGAATACTGGCGGTTACAAGTTTGAATAATTATTTATTCATCTCCGAAAGAAACGAAAAAGCAATTTAAAAGAAAATGGCTTGAAAATGACGCTGCGGTTAGTTGAAGTTCGAACTGTACATCAGTAAGACCTTGCCGATAGCGGGTAATAATACTAACAATACCTCTAATAAATACCACAAATTATTAATCCTTTTAATACCTATTAAATGTGGCTATTAGTTTTTTGGTCACACTAGCTCGGTAGCGAAATAAACAGCGATTCCGCTGTCTAATTTAGACAGCGGGTTTTTCTCGTCAGAGTACAAGGCTTTAGTCATGTTAGTCATCGATAGTATCGATAGTGCTCTGATCTTTTGCCAGTACTACTGCTTTGGTCACACTGAAGGGCGTGTTTGGTAAACAGAGTTGCAAGACGACGTGAAACTCTAAACGAAAATTTATAAACTAAACTTAAACGAAATGGGGGCGTTCAATCGCAGCACGCAAGTGGCCCTCGGCTTATCCGCGTTCTCCTTTTTGCTTTTCCTCATCGCGTTCTCCACGCCGTATTGGCTGGTCACCGATGGCCGCCTGGAAAAACCACGATTCACCAACCTGGGCCTGTGGGAAGTTTGCTTTAATAACTTCCAAGATATCCACCGATTCTACGATAACCGCTTCAAGGGATGCATGTGGGTCTTCGAGGAGGAGTACTACATCATACACGACTTCCTGCTGCCCGGCTTCTACATAGCCGTGCAGTTCTTCGCAACGCTCTGCTTCGTCATGTGTCTCATCGCCCTGCCGCTGACCCTGGCTTTGCTGCGCACCTCCCGCGACGATGACCGCAACGTTGTGCTGCTTCTGACGGTGGGCACATGCCAAGTGGTTGGCTCAATATTCGGTTTCATTGCCGTGGTCATCTTCGGTGCCAAGGGAGACTCACGCGACTGGATGCCCGGGTGGCAGAACAACGACATGGGTTGGTCATTCGCTTTGGGCGTGGTTGGAGCCGTGATGCTTATGCCAGCTGGTATTTTGTACATGATTGAGGCGCGCCGCGAACGCTACAAGCGTTTGAACGAGATCAGCAATCGTCAGGTCAGCGAATACGGCGACGATTACTATCAGGATCAGGCACATGCTGCGGCAGCGGCCATCCCATCAGCTCCTGCGCCGTCCTCATATTTTGCACCGGAGCCAAGCCGACCGCGTCGTCCCCAGCCAGGACACCGAGCCCCAAGCGCACCGGCACCAGGAGGAATTCAAACCGATATTTAACGAAAAAAAGACGACTTTTGTCCACGAATTCAAATCCTTTTAAAAATCCGAATCAGATTGTGAAGCTATTTTCACTTTAAAGAAATCTCTATATATCATTCCCCTAAAGTAGGAACAAAAAATGTAATCAATTTATACCCGTTCATCTTCAGCTATTGCTGAAAACTTTTTTATTGTGGATATATTCTCACTTTAATATTATTTTCTATCGAATATTTGCATGCACAAAAGACCATTCCGTTATTTTAAATAAGAGTAACAATATCCGTCCATTTTAGCCTTTTTGCTAATGTCCAGATTGTGTTATTCCTGTCCCATTGCCTTCTATGTATGTGTTCTCGTGTATCAAAAGTGTCCTTATTGTTCTATTGTAAGTGTCCTTGATGTAGACATTTAAATTGGAATAATTTGAATAGAAGGCTGCGGGAATAAGTAATACACTTACAGAAGCATAGGGTATGCTTTTAACCGTACCACTGATAACTACTGCTCTTTTACCATATGTTAGTATTGCTATTACATATCAGTGTGCAATGGCACAACAAAGATCCATTGTATTTTAATGGTTAATAAAAAACACAAACATAATTGGCGGTGATTGTATTTTTATATCTACCATATATGATAGCAAAAAAGTGATCGGATTTGGGATTTAATATTCGAAGGAGAAGGAGAGTTTTGTTTATTGTACTCCCTCCCACTCACTCAGGCTTCTCTATTAATCTGTTTCCCCGTCTCTCTCTGGAAACCTCTCCCTCTCTTTCTCACTCGCCCTCACTCACTCAATTTCTCTGTCACTCGCTCTCTATCTCCCTCTCTCTCTCTCTCTCTCTCTCACTCTCACTCACCCTCTCTCTCATTCTCTCTCACTCTCTCACTCCCTCTCTCTCTCTCTCACTCACTCACTCTCCCTCTCTCTCACTCTCTCTCTCCCACTCTCTCTCTCCCATTTTTTTTTTTTTCCCCCTACAAAGAGTATAAATAGAGGCACTTTCGCCGCACCTGCCTCAGATAGTGAACATCTAATTAGTTAATTAATTTCCTCATCGCTTTTACTACTGTAGTTAACCGATCTGGCGCCACAATTACTTCTTTTAAATACCTATCGAACAGTGCTAATAGCAATCGCCTATCGGCTGTGCCTATCGAAAGAATCTCATCGCTGACAAAAGCGGGAACCACAGTGTTGTTTACGTTTTCTAATTTATATTTTTACTTGAAAACAATGAGCAAGAAGGCAACGCGAGCAACTAAACCCAAGCCAGATCCTGATGTGGTGGCCACCGGCAAGAAATCCGCTGCCACGGCAGTGAAGAAAGTGCTCTTTGTGTCGCAGAAATTGCTGCCAAAGGATGCCGACGATCGCAGACTCCATCTGGAACGGTTTTTTCATCCGGGACAGGGAAAAGAAGCCCTGTTTGTCACCCATCCCGATGGCCAGATCATGGAGCTGCTGGAGTATGCAGAACCCCGCCGCAGTTGGCTCGTCAACAGCGAGGTCTGCTCCAATGGCCGTATATACATGACCACTCCGCTGGATCCCACGCTGCTGGCAATCCATCACCTCCGGAAGCATTGTGCTCAAAGTAAGATTGCCATTATATATTGGTATTAATATATTAACTTGTTTTTTCAACCAGGAGCAATGTCGCTGGACAACATTGCGGTGGAAGAGGCCAGGACGAGTCGCCTGCTAACCGAGTTTCTTAACCCCGACAGCCTCAAGTGCGTGGCAGATGTGAAGAGGTCCGGGGATCAGAGTTTCTACAAGTACAACCAAGAGCGTACGCTGGCCTGGCTGGCCCTGAAGACGCGCCAGGTGGCCGGGATCCTGAAGGAGAAGCAAGTCCACTGCGGCCACAGTGCCCAGTCGCAGAATTTTGTACGCAGCGACAAACTGGCGGCGGAGAATGCGACCAGCGAGATGGATTACACACGCATGGCCAGCGATATTGTGGGTCGGTATCTGGACGCCGATCTGCACGATCTGCTCACAGGATATCTGCACATTCCGAGTGAGATTCAAGCGATTGTTGAGGAGAAGGCGGCTACCCAGAAGCGGAAATCAAAGGCTGGAAAGGACGATGGCAGCGATTCAAAAAAGATTAAATTAAGTGATAGCGATGTAGGGGCTAAACTGAAAAGCAGCGGTCTCCTGGACAGCGATGGGGATCTCAATGCCAGCGTTACGTCGCCTACAGCCACTCCCGCACCGCTGAAGGAACGCTCGCTAACCGCCAAGGAGAAAGCCCTGGCAAAGGGAGCCAAGGGCACCAAGAGCATTGCTTCCTTCTTTAAAGTCAAGTAGATTTAATGGTTTCGGTGGCATCGCAGTTTTAATATTAATTTTTTTTCGTGTTCACTTTAGTGTAATTTCCTTGCTTATCCGCATTTTACTTCCAACTTTTTAAATGTTCATAAAACGAAATCGTTGTGTTTTGCTGCAAAATATTTATAATGCAAGACATTTTACACAGTTTCCAGCATACATATATTTATTTATCATCTATAAACTGCTACAAAATTACAAATAACCATTTAATAGTTTGCAATTGATTAAAAAATTAGAATTTGAAATTGCCGCCTTGTAAGCTCATGCGCACTGTTGGCCGAGACCACAGCAGCTGTTGGGGTTGCCAGGATCTGCGACAATTCCGTAGCGTGCTTACTGGCGTTGGCCCTTGGAAAGAGGGTGGCAGCCCTGATTTACTGTTACAAATCTGCTGGCTCCTTTGTTTCGCTTCGTTTTCTCGTTCAGTTGTTGCTGTGCGCGCTCCCACGTCCCAGGCTAACGGTGAATTCTGCCTTCCACGCGATTCGCATTTCACCATTCATCCCCCAGTCCCCACACCCTCGCATTCGTTCATCCTGCTGCTGCTGTTGTTTTTTCTATATGCCTTGAATTTTCGGGTTAACAACAATCCCATAAGGCGTCTGGAGCTCACTCTGTATTTGTGTTGTTGCTTATTAGTTTTGCATTAATCCAAAGTGAACGGAATAGAAAGAGTGGCGTCACACGAAAAGAAAATTTTCTTTGGCGTCGTTTGTGTATGTGTGATAGTGTATGCTCTCTCAGCTTGTGATTTTATATATGTATGCACATATATGTATTATATGTGCACGCGTGTGTGGCAGTGTTCAGATAAAATAAAAAATAATACTCGTGGCGAGTACAACAAATACAACGGCGGAGTTAGCAACAATTTTGTTTTGTTTTCAACAGCACCAGCAGCAGTAGCAACAATAACAAACGCACAAAAGCATGCAACGGTAAACAGTCAAGGACAATACAAGACGCCGTTCTCTGTGTGTGTGTGTGAGCAAGTGCAACAATAAAAACAACACCATGTGGCACAAATAACGGGGCAGCAAAGTAGCAAAAACAAAAAAATAGATAGGAAAACAAAACAAAAGGCAGGAACAAATCACACACGAGGCTAAAGGAAAACGGAGGCTGCAAAAAAGAGAAGAAAAAACAGCGAAAAGGAGAGGGCAGCCAACAAGACCCCCCACCCCCACTCCCTCCGGACATTTGGCGCCAGCACGGGCAGAGCCAGCGACTGCGACTGCGGCTGCGACAGAGCACCATGTGGTGGCTCCTTTCCTCCTTCACATCCGCATCCACTTCCTCTACCTCTCCCGCTCTCCTCTGTCGCACGCTGCATTGGATCCTGCCCTGCTTCTTCCTCTTCTTCCTGGCGCTGCTGCCTGCAAACGTAAGTGCATTCGATAAATTTAAATTAAATTTCAATTGCGTTTGCGTTTGCGCTATCCCCCGCGGAAATAAATACATTTCATATTTACACACTTTTTTTTCGGTACGTCAAAGCGAATAAAAAAAAACAGTAAACAAACTCAGCCGTACGGTGGTAACTTGATAAAGCGAAAAAATCACTATTTTCATGGTAATTTTAATAAGCATAAACAAAAAGAATAACATTTAAATGATTTAAAGAAAATGCCTTGCCTACTTTTTGGGGCTACGGACATGGCTTTTATTATTTTGTAAAATATATATTAGTTTCTCTTGCATTATTGTATTGTATTTAAAGTATTGTTTTCTTAAGCATTTCAACAAAGCATATATAATTATATTTATTCGATTTCCGGTATAAAAATAAAACACGTACAAAACAAAAACGTTGCAAAAAAAAATTAATTGTAATTACGTAAAAAACAAGTAAAGGAATCTAGTATTTAAATAATACAAATTAAATACGTTCAAATAAAAAATTTATAAACGAATAACTAAATGTGAATAAATATTATAATTATAGTAGTATACATATAATATAAACTATATTAAATCAACGTAAGTGACATATCAATGTTGCATGCATCTGAATTTAAATTTGATTGCGATTTGTTCCCCAGGGCCAAAAATACATTTCCCATTTCCACAAACAACCAAATGACAGCGACTTTTATAGGAACAACAAATGTAATTAAATTCGAAAACATCTTTACACTTTATCTTACTTAATTCGATAATTAAACTAAAAATATTGTGCACTAAATAATATAAATAATATGAAATAATTATTTGAGTCAGTTTTATAGCAATAACTATACATAAATTTTAAATTATCATAGACTGAATAGTATTTGAAAATAATTATAATAAAACTACAAATATTATGCACTGAAAATAATACGAGTCTGTGTATGAACAATAATATGAATAATATTAAATAATATGAATAATATTTTTAAAAAATTCGAACCAGTGTTCAAGAAATAACTCTAATTAATTTAAGCATTTTTACGCATTGAATATTATGAATATAATTTAAAAATAATTCGAGCCAGTGTAGCTGAGTGCACTTTTCCCGTATGTCCATAATTGCTTTCCCTTTCTCTGCTTTATTATGGCAGCTGGTTGTTTATGGCTTGTCGGACTCCTCTTTGGGGCCCAGCGATATTGACAATGACATTTTCATTTGCCTTGCCCTGCCCTGTGCCCACTGTTTGTTTTGCCTTTGTTTTAAATTGCAACGGCAGAGGCTAATTGCTGCACAGAGAAAAAACACTTGTCCTAATAAAATTCTTGCAGATTCTTTCTAGAACAAAATAATATACACATATGTATCCTTTTCTGCTAAAAATTTAAACAGGAATGCCGAAAGTTACACCATAAACATATAGTTAACAATTTAATATAATGTCTTTGACCCAAAGTAATTAAATCTTTATGTCTTAAGCTGGAAAATTATATATCAATACCTTACATTCTTAATTCCTTATGAGCTATATATATACATACAGATTATATATCCATACCCAGAATCTTGATTTTTTTTTTTTAAAGCCTCTCATCAGTTACCTTTTGCTGACATTTCCCCAATTGCCCCTTTTACAGGTGACGGCTAGATTTTGCGAGGGCTGTAGCCAAGGATGCTGCACACAGGGCTGTTGTCCCCCATACCAGGGCGGACCACGCCCACTGCCGCCGCCCTCGGAACATGTCCTCAATCTGTTCTTTATCAGCCACTGGTTCTTTTGGTAAGTGCGAGTCCGAATTTTAGTTTAAGAATTTACGAGTACCCGGTGCCCATGGTCATGGATGCATCGTTTGGATGGGGTATTCCCCGGAGGCCGGCTGCAAGGCCGATGGGCGGCTGGGCGCAGACCTCCAGCTGATTGGCATTGTGTGGCATGCGAGATATTATTATTATTGGCAGCAAAGGTGGCGCCCACAGCCGGCACTGCTACTGGGTTGCGTCAAGTCAAAAGTCGAGTCAAGTCGAGGAGGGGAGGCTTATGCAAGCGGTGCCAGTGCCAGAGCCAGTTGCCGTTGCCGGTGCCTCCCCAGGGGGGTGCCCCATGGAAATGGCAATGCCAACTAATGAGACACACGGCCCACAGTCGTCGCTCCCGCTGCACTGCTCACATAATCCCATCTCTTGGCCACCAAAAAACGGCAAACAAATTTCAGTCGGAATTCGATTACGGGCACAACAGGACACGGATCCCGCCATCTGTGGCCGCCATCTGGGCCAAAGAACATGGGTTTCTTCATCCAGTCGCGCCAGCTGCAAACCGAGCAGTGAATCCGGAATAATAATAATAAGAGAAAAATCCATATGACTGTCAACCATTTTCACTCTGCAGGTGCGTGGTTGTGGCCATCATCCTGGCCATCCTGTGTGCCTACTCGCTGTGGAAGAAGCGGCGAACTCTGTGCGGCTGGGGATTCAACGAGCATCACACCCAGTCCGAGGGCGACTCGGCCGGATCCTGCTATGCGCCTCCACAGTATAGTCGCTGCAACTCGTTCCATCATCCACCACCCCCTTACACCGAGGTAAATGCTCCTGAAGGACATCCCCAAGAGCCTTAAATTATTATTTCCCTAATACCTGTATTTTCTGCTCCCCAGGTGACCTCCAAGCCGGATCTATATCCGCTCGTCTTCACCTGCAATAGCGATGCGGGCAATGGCAAGGGCAACGGCAGCTCCAGTTACCTGATGGTCCAGTATTTCCGCAACTACATTGTCCGGCCGGCAGCGGGTGGATCGTTGAGCGCCGCTAGCACTGTCGACTCCCTCAGCTCCAGCTTCATTTGCAATGCCAACGAGGCGAACACCTTGGTGCCGCCGCCATACTCCCGTGCAGCCAGTCCAGAGCTGGGATTGCATCATTACGTGGCACATGCCCATGCCCATGGAGGACATGGAGGCGCCGGTGTCAACCATCTGCGATCCATGGAGCAGGCTCAGCAGGTTCAAACAGCTCCCGTGCATCATTATGGCCTGCCTAGATCAGCGTCCCAGCTGGTGGAGCCAGATGTCTACCAGCCGCGAGTGATGCCCGTCCAGGCGCAGCACTACGCCACCGTGGCTCTGGGCAGTGCTCCCGGCGGAGGAGCTCTCTACAGCACCCGGCTGCATGCCTCCCACGAGGAGGGAGTGGGCATTGGCTATCTCCAATCCCAAAGCGATCAACACTTCCGCTACATGGCGAACAGCAGTAGCAGCCTGAGCGACATCTTCGTGAACAATAGCTGTGTGGCGGGAATCCTGCCGGAAAACCCTGGTGTTGGCATTGGAGGAGGAGGAGGAGCTGGAGGAGGTGCCTCTCAGAGCGCAGAGAGCGGAGCAGCCACTCAGGCTGCCTCTCTCAACAGCCTAGCAATGGGCGGTATGTGTGCCAGCGGAACGGGAGCCTCCGGAGGATCTGGAACGCCAGTTATTTATAGCAACGGCTGCATTCAGCCCAATCCCCTGCACAGTCTGGAGAACTGCTGTCAGCCGTCGGCTCAGGCCTCGGGAGTGAGCAGCTTGGCAAATATCGGAACACCAGGATCGCCGCCGCAGGCCACCAGCCCCACGGGCGAGGTTCGCGAGATACTCGACCAGATTCGTCAGCTCCAGGCAGGTGTTAGCTATGAACAACTCTTGCTAGACGGAACTGGAGCCAAGCCGAGGCTGCAACACACGCTATCGACACCCTCGAATTCGCAGCAGGTGCTCCAGCCCATCCTGACCACATCGGCATCCATTTCGGGCGGCGGCGGCAGCGGTAGCGGCCTGAGCAGCGGGCGTAGTAAAAAGTTTTTTGGCTCCGGCAGCAAATCTCAGCCCAACAAGGCTCTATATATACCCATGGCGGCCATTGGATCGGCATCGGGTTCCGGCGGAGCACAGCGCTGTGTGCTCAAGAGTCCCGTGAGCAGCGTTGTAAGTGGTGCTAGCTTCTTTGTCAATCGGGGACGTGTGGCCCGAAAGGGTTGGATCACACGGTCGGCGCCCACGACTCCTGGCAGCGCCCTGCCCCCCAATCGACTTGGCGACGATAGTCCGCTGCTGTTAAATGAGCACGATGAGGATGCCATTGATGATAATGATGAGGAAGACGAAGAGGAGGAGGAGGAGGAAAAGCATCAGCGAAACCGGAGTCATGTGCATCAGGATACTGACAGCGAAACGGAGGCGGAGGCGCGGAATCACCATCACCAGCAGCAGCGTCACCAACGAGGGCATCGCAGCCATCGTCGTGGACAGCTTGAATAATAGTGGGCGTGGTCACCCCGGTCGCCAGTGTCATTTAGTAGTTGTTGTTGTAGCTCAAGGTTCTCCCCTAGGATTAAGCTTTTAAACGAAGGCAGGGGCAAGAGGCCGCTTTGGCTGAGGGCACGGCAAGTCGGTTAGCCTTAAGTTAGGAAATTGAGAAAGCGTTCTGGCAAATGGAAACCAGTTTCAAAAATATTTGAATTTTTCAATAGGATCAATAGTCTTTGACTGGACCCACTAAAAAGCCCGTTGAGACTGGAGAATTGGAACTGTAGCGAACCTGGCAAACAGCATTAAACGATGTTGCAGGAATTTTAACAAAAAAATTATAAATAGTCTTTAATTTATAGCTTTAATCTCTTTGTTTTTATTAGTTTTTGAAAAGTGGGAACACCAGAATTGTATCATTATTTCAACAATCAGTATTACTACAAAAGCTTACCACAAGTATATCATTATTTAATTATTTCTTAAATTATTAGATTAGTTATTATTATTTTTATTGTTACCCGAAGGAAATGTCTGTTTGTTGAGCTTCCATGAATAGTTAAACAATTGAAATTATATATTATTATATAAATCCCTTTCATTAGCTATTAACAAAACAAAAACCAAAAAACGAAGTTTTACATTTTGGATAATATGTAAAAACAAAGGTGGAAGGTTTCATTAATTAATTGAAAATAACAATGTTTATTTCAAACTTTTTAAACTAAGACTTTTTCAAATATTCACCCAATATTCAAAGCGATTTATTCCATTCGAAAGACAGCGCCAGATCAACTTGCATTATTATTTGAGGAAGGCCTTTCTTGCGTTGCACTTGGAGAATTTTTAACAAGTCACAAGGACAGATGACAAATTGCACAAAAGATTTAAATCGACTTAGGGTATGCATGTATGTATGTGGTAATAATAACAATAAAATTAATAATAATTAAAACCAAACACAAGAAAACCAAAAGGAGCAGAAAAAGTCAAAAGTGTTTGTCGCCTAGATGGAGATTTTGTAATTAAGTGTACATTTTAAGAAAGCAAACTCACACGAATAAACCAAAAGAGAAGTAAAAAGCAAAGACAATGTAAAAGATTAAGATGTGTAACATGGGTTTTTAATTTTTAATTTTAATTCATTAATAATAACTCCATGGCATTACGCATCTTATTTCGCTTACATTGTTTTTGCTACAACACTCAAAGTACAGATTCAGATTAAGGATATATGTGAAATATGCAAAACTGTGCAGGCATTCGGTTGAAAAATAAGGGAAAAAATTTAAATTAAAAAATCTAAAAATCGTGAAATTACAAAAAAATGAGACTAAGGGGGATAATGAGAGGAACGGAAAGCAAAGGAAACGATTGAATGCAACAGTGCCTTTCAACTAAATTAAAACAAGACAACCACAAGCCACAAAAAGAGAGCCACACTCAAAATTAGCACAAGCTTAAAGTCCACATACATGGATGGAACAGGAACAGGAACGGGAAGCGGAACCGGAGCTTCAAGAGGAAGGCCAACCAACCAATCCACATAAAGACACGAAACAATCCAATGAACAAGGCAATATTTATATATCTGCTTAAGCATTAGATATATAAATATAAAGTGTATGAGTATGTATGGATACTACCAATACGTGTGTACGACAATTACTTTAAGTGAATTTTACAATTCATTGGCATTTTATTTTGTTCGGCGCATCAGTAACAGTTCCCTGAACTTATCAGTTCTTCTGGCTTATTTCAATGCGATCCAAGTTCGTCTATCTGTGCTTCAATACATAATACATAAATATACAACTAAACAATTAATTAATGAATTATTTAGCATAGCAAAATCTGATAAACGAAAACTGAAAACTGAATACTGAGGGCAGAGTCGTCAAGGCGAATATCTCCAAAAAGCAAGTGAATTGTTGTAAAGATGGGTATCGAAAACCAAAAATAAATAAAAAGGAAACCCACAAACAAAATAAAAATAATACAAAAAAAAAGATAACAAAGAACTACGAGCCCAATTTAAGTCAAATATACAAAGATGGAAAATATAACAATAAATAAAAGAAAAATTAAAAAAAATTGTATTTTTGTCAAGTATTAATGATATATTTTTTTATAAATTAATCTCATTATTTAAGTCCTTAATATAATTTATATATTATTTTCTAATCCTGAAAACTGTGTTGGAGTTTCTTCCTTTTCAGATCCTAAAGTTGGCCCCCTGGCCTCCTGATCAAATTCAAAGTAAGTTAATCCGTTTTGATACAAATCGTACCACCTGCCAACACATTGATAAAATACAAACCAAAATATATATTTTTTATTATATTTATTTCTAGATAGCTTAGCTGGAAACGCAAAAGTTTGCATACAAACCCCCGTAATATTGAATTGGGCAAGGGCCCAACGATCTAATCTTCAAACGTCTTGAACTTTGAAACGGTGAGATTTGGAAAAGCTCTAACAAGCCAACTAAGGAAAGCCACTATGGAGAGTGTCCCGACTACAGAATACCCCTTCCTTAGAGTCCTGTCTGTTTTCTGGTGAGATAATAACATAGTCTTAGTCCTAATTGTAGTACTTCGACACCCAATATCTCAAAAATTTGATAATATTTCCTATAATTGATTTATTTACTTTTTATATTTATATTTATTATATTTATATACAATAGCTCACCTTTTTTACTAATAATGTATACCTTTTACTCAACGGTAAACAGTACTACCTATAACTATATATAGAATAAAGCCTAATCTTAAGACAGTAGTAATACCTGGCAATAATCTCACATCGACTGCGAAAGAAAACGATAAGCAAGCTAGATTTCTAAATTCGAACGTAATGCTAATCAGCTGGTACTAGACCCCCGTGCAGTCATATATATAGTGATATATAGAGAGTGCTCGGGAACCCAATGATTGGGCTTAGCCGATCTTTGCAATGACCTTCAGAAGACTTACCTGGCATTTATTTAAAAAAGAGTTATTAAAAGAATCTATAGACTATTTAAAGGACTAATTACCAGGGACCGTAAATAATGATTATCAGATTATACATGGAAATATGATACAAGGTATGTCCTCCTTCTGGACTCTGACAAAAGCTTCCACAGCACCAATGGAGCTAACTGGCTGTAGGGTATTATGCCATCGCGAAACCAACAGGTGGCTCCTAGTCCGGCGACTAGTTTTCGCCAAGACCTCGATCACGACACAATGATGGACACCCTGCTGGCTGGCTGGGCTCAAACCGGTGACTATTTACAGGAACTGTGGCTCACACTTCTCAATGTTGTGGGCGATGATCCGTGGCGCCTTTGGGTGCCGGGCAGCACGGTGGTCATATTCTCGGTCTACTGGCTGTACGCGGGCTTATTCACGCTGATGGATATTACCAATCGACCGAGATTCCTGCGCAAGTACAAGATTCAGCCGGGCCAGAATGAGCCAGTGGATCTGGGGCGACTCTGGAGCGCCGTAAAGGTGGTGCTCTTTAACCTGACGGTGGTGAATATGCTTACCTCCTGGGTGTTCTTCGAGCTGGTCTTCAAGTCGGAGAACAGCGGCGATATCCGGGTGCTGCCCACGTTCCGGCGTGCCCTCCGGGATGTGGCCATTTTTGTGGTGCTGGAGGAGGTCATGTTCTACTATGCCCATCGGTTGTTACACCACCGATCAGTGTATAAATATGTCCACAAGAAGCATCACGAGTGGACCGCTCCCATAGCTGCCATCACCCTGTATGCCCATCCCATTGAGCACATTATGGCCAATCTGCTGCCAGTGGCCACATCCCTTGCCCTCCTGGGCACCCATGTGGCCCTCGCCTATGTGATCTTCGGCCTGGCCGTTGTCAACTCAATGAGCGACCACACCGGCTACAGTTTTCCCTGGTCGGCAAACTCGGTGCGCTTCCACGACTACCATCATGCCAAGTGAGTGGGATCTCTTGCCTTGCGATATTTCCTCTTCTAATCCGGATTCTACTCGTATCTCTCGGCAGGTTCAACTACAACTACGGTGTGCTGGGTCTCTTGGACAAGCTGCATGGAACTTACCGCGCCACTCCCGAGGTCAAGGTTCCTGCTCAAAGGATTAAAGGCAAGCCTGGCAAAAGGAAAGCTAAATAGTGGCCTCTGGAATGGCTTAACTTGATATATACATATTTTTTTTATTGTTTAACAATGTACATAGATATATGTTGTAAAGAAAACATTTAAATATATAAACATACATATATGGGCAAGTTGAGAGAGATAATTAGGTTGCCATTTTATAAAATGCTTTTTGCAGTTGTCCCACTAACTAACAATTAAAAAAAAAACAGTTCTTAAAGTTATTTCAGTAGTTAATATTATAGAGCAAACATTATTATCCCATTTTTTTATAATCTCCCAAACTCAAATGAAAATTTAAATTAACGTCTTTGTTGTTACATTTAAAAATTCGAAAAAAAATCGATATATCGATAGTCGCCAGAAACATCGATATTTCTCCTAAAACGGCGTTGCCGGACTTTACGCTGAAAGTGTATCGGCAGTGTGACCCTTTTAGTTAGTGTTTTCATCGCAGTGCCGCACGTGGAATTAAATTTTGGAAAACAACGCAATTGTCTAAAACGAAATAGCAACCGAAAAAGATCACATTATGGAGGTGGAGAACATCAAGGCCGACGCCTTCGAGCCAACGAAGAAGGCTACCAAGCGCAGTGCCGCCGGGAGCAGCCAGCAGGACACCGAGATGCAGGTGGACGAGGCGACTGGCATCGAGGGTCAAGTACTGGGTTCCGCACGGGCTTCCGCCCCGCCCAAGGCGAAGCGGGCCAGGAGCGAGCTGCGCAAGGTGTCCGTGCCGCCGCACCGTTACTCCTCCCTTAAGGAGCACTGGATGAAGATCTTCACGCCCGTGGTGGAGCACATGAAGCTGCAAATCCGCTTTAACATGAAGGCACGCCAGGTGGAGCTGCGCATCGGTCCGGAAACGCCAGACATTGCCAACCTGCAGCGAGGAGCGGACTTTGTGCGTGCCTTTCTTTGCGGCTTCGAGGTGGACGATGCCCTGGCACTGCTGCGACTGGAGGATCTCTTCGTCGAGTCCTTCGAGATCAAGGATGTGAAGACGCTGCGCGGCGACCATCAGTCGCGTGCCATCGGTCGCCTGGCCGGCAAGGGTGGACGCACCAAATTCACCATCGAAAACGTGACCAAGACCCGCATTGTGCTCGCCGACAGCAAAATCCACATTCTGGGCAGCTACCAGAACATCCAGCTGGCGCGCCGTGCCGTCTGCAACCTGATCCTTGGATCGCCGCCCAGCAAGGTGTACGGAAACCTGCGCTCCGTCGCCTCACGCCTCTCGGAGCGCATGTGATCGGGACTGTGATCTCGCCCCATCGCAGCGGGAAGAAGTAGTTCTTTGTTTTTTTTAGCATTAGCAATAAATAATAAATATAACATGTATTTTAATCATACATTCATTTACAATATACACACACACAAAAACGAGAACGACATGGAGATATCGCCTGGAATGGCCGAGCTAGAGCTTGGTGAGGATGAGCAGCAGCAGCATGAAGAAGGTGACAGCTGCCAGGACCAGAATGATGCACATCTTGCGATTCTTGCGCTGGTACATCTCCGCCTTGTGAAGCTGCCGCAATCCCTCGGAGACGCGCGTCTGCGTCTGCTCCACATTGTAGTCGATGCGGTCCAGCACAGTGCCCTGCTCCTGCACCATATGTCCTAGATCCTTGAAGATATCATTCAAGTCGTATATGGACTTTACAATCTTGGTCACCTCCTCCTCGCGATGCTGCGCCAGACGAGTGTTCTCCTCCTCGAAGAGCAGCAGCTGCTGCTGGGTCATCCGGCTGGTTGGCGGACGCTGAAAGTGATCGTCGATTGCCTGTTCATCGTCCTCAAATAGGTAAGCATTGCCGCCCCCCAGTTTGCCAGCAGCAGTCAGACCTCCGTTGACTGCAGGCTGTAGGAAGTTGTCGAAGGAGTCCACAAAATTGTTGACACCGCCCTGCTCGCCTAGCTCTACGTTGGTGAATACATCGCCGGCGCCGCCGCCGTCATCAAAGTACTTCTGCGAGCGCTCTTCGCGCGAGTTCAGCTGCATCAGATAGGCGTTCTGGCTGGCGCGGAACTTGAAAGTCAGCTCCTGAAGCTGCAGTAGGGCGCAGTGCACGGCATTGGCGGTTAGGCGCTGCTCCACCTTGCTGCCCACGCCCAGGCTGGAGCGCACGCACTGGATGTGCCGGTGTGTGGATGTGATCAGCTTGGAGATGTTCTGACTTAGCACCTCGATGTCGCACTCGTCGTCCTGCTTGTCATCGAAGGCGGGACGCAGCAGGTGGCGGGCGTGCAGGGAGCCCAGCTCATCCAGTTTGGGCTTGATTCTACAGCAAAAATATTCAATGTTAGAGGAATGCCCGGAGGAGAGGCTGTGTCAGCGAACGAACACCTACTTGGACATGGTGTACTGCGCCTCCTCGAACTTGTCCAGCCAGGTGGGCGGCGTCCCATAGTCGTCCTGCAGCTCTAGACCCTCCTCTGCCTCGCGAACCGAGTGCTTTAGCAGTCGCTCCGCATCGCTGCCTCGCTTTAACACAAAAACATATGGTCAAAACAGACTTTCAACTAACTTTTATTGGGTTTACTCACCCGATCATCATAGTGACTGCGATTCTTGGAGGCATTGTTGCGCATGATGACGAACACCTCCGTCAGGTTGCGCGACGTCATCGTTTGTGTGTGTTTTGGTGTGCTAGTTGTGGTAATAAAACGGCATCCTTGGGCCCTTTCTGCGTATAAAAAGTTCGAAAATATGCCTAAAACTTGAAATTTTCCATCTTACTCGCGTTGAAGTGTGACCAAATGCGTTTACTGGAAAATTGTTTTACAGAGTGCCTTAACGGTTGTGTTTCAGTGCTGTGAAGCGCCCTCCCGCGAATAAAGCTGTTATGACAATTATATTTAAATAAATTCAACATTTTAAATATTTTAAAATGTAAATAATTACGGAAATGCTATGATTGAGTAGCTTGTCCCTGCCTGCTAGCTGGGAATTTATTTCTCCGAAGCAGTGACCCACAAATCCCGTGACTCTAGAACACTGGCGAACGGGTCACGAACTATCGAACATCGAACTATCTCCCATCGCTAAAGGCAACACTATTAATTGATTAAACGCATTCAAAAACATTTAATATTTGTGTCGCGAGCTTTGCAGCGCGCAGTTAATGCAATTCGGAAGTGCGTACATCGTTCTCCAAGGTACCGTCCGTGTCGTAACAAATGTCCCGCACCCCTGTCCCTAGTCCCCGGTTCGTAATCGGCTTGAAAAAGAACGAAATGAGCAGAAACAGTGCGGTGCGGTGAAGGAAAACTACGATTCATCCTAAGCCCCCAATTTCCCGAGTGCAGTTGTGTGTGAGAGCGAGCGCCCCGAGTCGCGCGTGTCGTCCGTGTGTGAGTGACGACATTGACATCGCCCTCGCCCCGGCCCTGCCCGACCCTCTTGGGGGAGGGTATGAAAAATGTGCCATGCCGTTGTTGTTGTTGTTTCTAGGCCGAGTCCAGTCCCAGTCCGTGGGTGTGTAGAGCAGTAGGAGGAATACCCCAGAAAAAGAAATAGAAGAAATATAAAAACTATGTTCAACCGCCAGGCAAGCGGAGCCAGTGGCCAGGTCTCGGGTTCCGGTGCTGGCTCAGGACCCCAGGCATCTGTACCGCCGCCGCCCACCGCATCCGCTTCAGCATCTGCAGCTGCATCTCTGGCAGCAGCATCTTCGCCCAGCCAATCACCCGATCTCTACCTGCGTCCCCTGCCCTTTCTGGACGCCAAATGGCTGCGCGCCGATCTCATTGCCTCCCTGCGCAACGCCTCCGAGGGTGCGGTCCTATGGAATCACCTGATTCAGGACTGTGAGTTGGTCTCCTCGCCCGCTGCCCCGCTCCTCAATGCCCGCGGCCAGCTGTCCTATCTGGGCGATGATGGCAAGCACTACTGCGGAGCCCAACAGCTGAAGTGCTCCTGCTGCCAGCCGGACTACTGTGGCCCGCTCTCCGCCTGCAATTGCGATGGCTGCCGGCCCCTGGACTCGGACACGGCCATCAAGAAGCTTACAACGCAGGCGGCTGCCCAGCAGGCCGCTCATCTTAGCCAGGTCACCGACATGGTGCTCAGCGGCTGGCTCTGGAGTCAACCGCCCTCGCATCAGGCTCGCCAGGAGTGCCAGCGTTCGCTGATCTCGGAGCTGCAGGAGCTGGCATTGCGGGCCGCCGGTAACTGTCTGTCCGCCCAGCATCTTCGCCAGCAGCTCTTCGTTTACGAACGGTATTTTGTGGCCTTGAAGAGGGAGCGAGAGCGTGAGCGTCTGGCCGCCGCCACCACCATAAGCACAAATGCCACCACCACCACCAACACCAACGCTACGAACGCCTTGGCAAACACCACCAATGCCTCGAATGCAGCCACAATAGAGCTCCAGACGGCGGAGCCACCGGAACACGGAGCTTTGGGTCTGGCCCGCGTGGCCACCCGGGCTGCTCTCAACTTTAGCTTTGCTTTTTTGCGCCGCGCCTGGCGTTCCGGCGAGGACACCGAAATGTGCAGCGAACTATTGAGCGAGGCTCTGGCCTCATTGCAGGAGCTGCCGGAGGCCACGCTCTTCGAGGCGGCCGCTGTCTCCCCGCTCTGGCTGGAGGTCATGGAGCGCTCCATCAAGTTCCTGCGCCTGGTGGCTCTCGGCGATCCCATGGGAGGACGCTGCACTGCACCGATCAACGATCGCCATACGGCTCTCTGCCTGCTCCTGGAACTGGGAGTGCAGAAGGGCACGCTGGCCGCCACGCTAGAGTGCGTGGTGCTGCTGCTGCTCCTCTGGGAGAAGGATCGGGCGGGCAATGACAATCGGGATATGCCAAGAAAGACGGGAGCTCCTCTGCTCCGTATCCTTTTGCGTTACCAGAAAATAGGAGCAGCGGCCAAGGGTGGCGGATTGGCTGGCGGTGAGCCAGCGCCCGTGGCCAGCGCCACGGAAACCTTCTTACGCTTCCTTTCCCTGCCCAAGAGCACCGCGGCAATTGTGGATCTGCGTCGTGCTGCCGTGGTTATCATCTCGCATCTGGATCGCCTCGTGCAGCCTCTGATGCCGCGTTGCCTGCTGCGGGGTCAGGCGCAACCCGCTGCTGCCTCTAAGTCCTCGCCTCAGCAAAGGATCTATGCATTGGGTTGGCCGTCGCTCTCCAAGGATCAGCAGGGTTTCAGCTCGGAGCCATCGCTTAGCTGGCGGGGAGAAACCACAGCAGTGCCCATGCTCAGCTGTCGGTTTCAGATCAAGCAAGTGGCCTGCTGCGAGACCCAGTTGTTGATACTGAGCCAGGAGGGTAAGCTGCACACCTGGCGCCTGACCAAGCCGGAGTCCGATCCGCTGCTCATGGAGGAGGTGGCCCACGAGACGTTCATTAGCATTGCCGGGCACTGCGAGGGACGTCATTTTCTGGCCATTGACAGCAATCGTAAGTGGAGGAGAGGAAGGGGTTAACTAAAGGACACCTACTCTATCGCTTTCTCATTCTTTTCTATAGACAATGCCTATTCCTGGGGCACTGGCGAAGATCACCGCCTGGGCCATGGCGACACCCATGCCCGCGCTGTGCCCACCAAGATTGCTGCCTTGGAGCAGCACTGCGTCCAGTCTGTGTTTTGTGGCTGCTCCTATAGTGCAGCCATCACCTGTGGGGGCAACCTGCTCACCTGGGGACGCGGCACCTATGCCCGCCTGGGTCATGGCAACAGCGATGACAGGTGTCTGCCCACCCTGGTGGTGGCTCTGGCCGATCACATGGTGGTGGATGTGGCTCTGGGCAGTGGCGATGCCCATTCTTTGGCCCTAACCTCTGAGGGTCTGGTGTTTGCCTGGGGCGATGGCGACTATGGCAAGCTGGGCAATGGCAATTGCAATGGCAGCCTGCAGCCCATTCTGGTGGAGGCTCTGCCTCGAGTGCAGCGCGTGTTTGCGGGTTCCCAGTTCTCGGTGGCCTTAAGCAGCGAGGGTCAGCTCTTTACCTGGGGCAAGGCCACCTGCCTGGGCCATCAGCTGGTGGAGCGCAGTGTCCAGGGCTGCAGTGTGCCGCGTCTAGTGAGCAGTCTCCAGGTGAGTTAACTCCTAATTAAGCTGGGATTTGGTCTCTATTTCTTTTATTTTGCAGCACAAACGCATTGTGGACGTTTCTGTGGGCGTGGCCCACTGCCTGGCTCTGGCCAGCACTGGTGAAGTCTTCGGCTGGGGTCGGAATGACAGCCAACAGATCTGTCCCGCCTCTGTGTCCAGCGAACCCTTGCTGAGAACCCCCATAATGGTGGCCCTGCCCACGTTGCCGGCCAGCGGCATTGCCTGCACTGGTGGCCAGAGTCTGGTCTGGACACAGAGCTCCCACCAGGGTGTGCCCATGCGTGCTCCCTTTGTGATTGATTTGGGTGAGCCCACTTTCCGGCTCCTGGACCAGCTCCTGAGTATGTGCAGCAGCCAGGACAACCGGCAGACGCCGAACCAGGAGAGCGAGTGCATAGCCGTGGCCTGCCTCAATTTGGTGCGTCTGCAGCTGCTAGCCTTGATAGCCAACGGTGTGGAGCCGCGCCAGGTGGGTCTGGCCAGTGGCAGTCGCCTGCTGAGCAGCCTGAAGACAAGGATTCTGGGACTAGCCGGTGGCAGCCAAGTTCTGCGCACCATCCAAGTGGCCGCCCAGCAGGCTTTGCAGGTAAGGAGTCCCTGTTGACCACCAAGGATGCCCACCTGGTAATAACTATAAACATTTAATCTTTAGGATGGTTGGAGTGTCCTTTTGCCCACGGCTGCCGAGCGTGCCCAGACCCTCACCTCCCTGCTGCCCTCGGAACCGGGCCAGGCCTCCTCCGCTGGCCATCGCTTCATGACCGATCTCCTGGTTAGCTCTCTGATGGCCGAGGGCGGCTTGGAGTCTGCCCTGCAGCATGCCATACGCCTGGAGAGCAGCTCTTGCTCGGCGGACTGCGGCGATGGTGTTCATTTGCCTCTCCTCCAGCTAATAACCCGGCTGCTGGGCAACAATGCAGCCCTCACGCAGACCAGGCTGTCGCCAACCCTGGGCAAACATGAGCTGATCAAGGAGGAGGAGCAGCAACAGCATCATCAGCAGCTTCAGGAGCCCAGCACCAGCCCCAGTTTGAGTCTGCTGCATCGCTTCCAGCGGCTCTTGCTGGCCCACATCCACCAGGCGGAGCCCGAGGAGGAGACCACCGGGGCCGAGGCCTTGCTGCTGCAATACCTGCATGCCCTGATTCCCGCCTGCGTGACCACCCTGCAGCAGGCTTACGAGCTGGCCTTGCAGTGCCGGGAGCCCGGCGATCATCCCCCCTTGTCCCATCAGGTGGGTCATTTGGGTCGCATTCTCCAGGCGGACATCTCGGATGCCTTGCTGCATGAGCTCTTGGTGGGCCTGGTGCTCCTCAAGCGAGATCGTCCCCAGTGTCTGGGGAATCTACGCTGGGCACGGATTTTCCTGCCCCTCCTGCGGGTCCTGGATCGTCTAAATCGGGCTCTGGGCGAGGGTGAGCTGAGGGATGGCGATGACATGGGCTGGCCCGGCATTATCTGTCGAGGAGGATCCAAGGGCGGTGGCCCGCCGCCTGCTGACCCAGAGACCCACTATGTGAGGAGGGCGGACTTGGAGAACCAGTTGCTGGACGGCACTCGCTGCATTATCCTGGCGGGCTACGTCTGTGACCTAAGTGGATACAGGTGAGGTTGGGATTCATCCCCAGAGAAGATAAACTCACGCCTTTTATCCTGGTTAGTTGCGAGTCTGAGGCCTTGAGGAGTCTTCTCGAGGCGGGCTTGGGCAAGGATCTCACCGGGGAGCTGAGTCAGGGCCACAGGAGTGCCCTGGAGCATATACTGCAGCACCACAAGCTGGGCAAGTACATGGCCCAGGCCGGCAGCGAAGAGAAGGTAAGTTTGAAGTCTCCCTCGAGATTATTCCCGTTTCTTGACGAGATTCCTTTTAGTCTTCGACGCCAGGACCCAGTCGGCTTACCCATTTTAGCTCGGAGTGCACTTTGGCCCAGCTCCTGGGCCTGGTGGCCAACCTGATGTGCAGTGGACCATCCCTGCAGCCGGCGGAGCTGCAGTGCCGCCAGCTGGACAAGTCCAGCCTCTTGAGCGGCGGCCTGCAGCTGCTCCAGCCCAACAATCCCTTTGACGAGGAGAAGGGCGAGGCAAGGAGCAGTCACAGTTGCCATAGCACGGCGGGCAACACGCCCACGGAGCAGCCACCTCTGCCCCTGCAACTGCAGCAGCAGCATCCACATCAGCAGCATCCACATCAGCTGGTCCAGGGAAGGGGCAAGTCCCAGCTGCAGCAAAGGGCAGAAGTCTTCATCAGCGGCCTGGCCGAAGCCCGACTCTCAGAGCCACCAGTGGCCTCTTGGCTGAGCCTCACCGAGCGCTACTGCAAGGCTCACAATCTGATGTGGCACCAGGAGTTTGCCACCGAACATCCCGTCCAGGAGCTGGAGCGCCTGCTTAGCGCCGTGCTCATCCGACATCAGTATCTGGGTGGCCTGGTGCTCAGCTCCCTGGAGGCGGAGGGGGAGTCACCGCCGCCCAGGCAGCTGAGCGAGATCATACGGCTGGTGCATCAGGCCAAGTGGTCGGTGGTGCGCACGCGTCAGCAGCTCAACCGCAGCTACAAGGAGGTGTGTGCCCCAATTCTGGAGAGGCTACGTTTCCTGCTCTACGAGGTGCGTCCTGCCATAAGCCCCCAGCAGCGAGGATTACGACGCCTGCCCATTCTGCAAAGGCTACCCCGTTTCCGTCTCCTGGTGCGAAGGCTGCTCCAAGAGTTGCGTTGTGCCCGACAGCCAGCCAAGCCGGAGGATCTCCTGAATGCCACCATCCAGCAGCATCAGCACCAGGAGCAGGAGAAGAAGCCCCAGCAGGCCATGCCCAAGCTGGAGCAGCAGGAGGAGCAAGCGGAGGAGGAGGAGACCCTGCTAAGGCGGCTCAACGAACGACAGATCCATGGCGAGGGTGAGCTGGATCCTGGACTCATGCAGGACATTGTGGACTTTGCCCTGCAGGACAGCTGCGATGTAGAGACAGCACGCCGGGCCATGTACTGCCAGATGCAGCGGTTTCAGCTGCGCCTGGCTGGGCTACAGCTTGTCCAGCAGCTGCTGGAGCTGCACGGCCTCCTGGATGCGGCACAGTATAGCCTCCTGAATGGCTTCCTGGGACTCCACCTGAAGTCCAATGCTGGTGCTGCTTCATCGGGCAGCTCCCTCCATGTCTTGGGCCAACTGAACATGGTGAGTGCCTACCAGAAGGCCAGGTTACTCCTGGCCCAGGCCCGTGTCCTGGACTGGGCCGTGCGGGAGCTGCGCCGCCTGGTCAACCAAGAGCAGCCTGGACATGCCCGCGGCAAGGACAGCTCCAACCTGGGCACCTATGTCCTGCTGAAGCGTCTCCCACGTGCCCGCTTCCTGCTGAGCGTTTTCGGGCTGCTGGCCAAGGAACTGGGCCCTAATGAGCTGGGCCTGCTCATCAACTCTGGACTGCTGGGCACGGTGCTGGGTCTGCTGGCTCAGACAGGAGGCGAGGGTCTGGCCGGTGGCCACCTTCCCGGCGAACTGAGCGTGCTCTACGAGGACAGCGTCCTCAAGCAAAAGTCCAGCAAGGCCCAGCTAAGTGGTCCGGATCTGGCCAAGCTGATGAAGATTGGCACCAGGATTGTGCGAGGAGCGGACTGGAAATGGGGTGACCAGGATGGCAATCCGCCTGGCGAAGGGCGCATCATCAGCGAAGTGGGGGAGGATGGGTAAGTCAACTTAAAACTCTTTCTCTTCTGAAAGATTCCCCTCTGAGTAACGGCCTCCTCTTTACAGGTGGGTTCGTGTGGAGTGGTATACGGGAGCCACCAACTCCTACCGCATGGGCAAGGAGGGTCAGTATGACCTTCAGCTGGCCGATAGTGCCATGAATGTGGCCTCACCCACGGAACCCGAGCGAGAGGAGCATCTGGCTGGCGGCGAGGCCTCGCCCAGTAGTGATTCGCATCCCTCCAAACTGCTGCGTCATAGTGCCGCCAAGCTCCTGCAAATCCTGGCCGTGGGCAGTGGCCTTCACGGCGCCCAGCTGGACAAGCTTGCCCTGCGCGGCATGACCAGCATGTTCCGAGCCATCATTGATCCCAAGCCAGCCATGTCCAATGTGGCGCACTCCCTAGGCTGGCTGAATCTGGGCTTCATCCGAGCCATAGCAGGTAAGCAAGGTGACATACCATCCCATGACCACGTGGGAGCTAATATCCTTGAACCCATTTCCAGGCGACTGTCCACGTCTCTGCCTGGAGCTGAGCACCCCCGCCTGGCTGACTCACTATTTGTCCCTGCTGGAGGAGCCGGCTGGCAATGAGGCTGGTGTCTACCGGCAGCTCCACTGTCTCCGCCTGCTGCAGTTCATCCTGGCCCAGTGGGGCTCGGAGGAGGAGCTTAGGATGCCTGCGCTAGTGCGCCAGCTCTTTGCCACCTTGGGACGCATTGCCCTCCATTGCCCTGGAGATGCCAGCCTGCAGCCCACCAGCGAGGGCAAGGCTCGTGTCCTACTCACCGCCTCCCATTCGGGCAGCGTGGCCGAGGAGCTGGTGGCCCTGCTCCGGCGGCTGCACACTCTGCCCGCCTGGAATCCAGTGATCAACTCGTTTCTGGCGCAAAAACTCTGCGTGGCTGCCGAGCTCCTGGCAGAGCAATCTCCCACGCACTCCTCCACGTCCACGTTGGACAGCGAGCAGGTCTTTGTGCTGGGCGTTTTGGGAGCCATGGGTGGCCATGATCTGCGTCCGCGCGTGGGTCTGAACTGTTTCCACGAGGGCAGTCACATGGTCATAGCCAGCTTCACGCCCAAAGGAAGGTGTCTCCTGGCTCCCGGAGGCCTGGGTTCTGGCTTGGGCTTTGTGAAGGTGCCGCTCTCGGCCGTAATGCCCCATCTGGATCACAGTGTCTTCAGCTTGAGCCGGCTGCCCATGAACGAGATGCTGCTGAATGCCTGGACAGTGCTGCTGTATGGCCCGGCCTCGGAGCTCCGAGAGCTGCCCGCCACCGTGGAGGGTCGCCTGGACTTGGCCCTGCTGCGGGCGCAGCAGCTGCAGATGGCGGTGCTCCAGACCAATGGTGTTTTATATCGCCACCAGGCTGCCTTGCGGCGTATACTCAAGCAAAGGGCTCCGGGTAGCATCTACACTTCCTCCGAGGATTCAGAGCAGGAGAGGAGTGATCCTGAGAGGGAGAGGGAGCCGGAGCAGGAGCAGGATCAAGAGCAAGACCCGCAGCTCTCCATTGGCAGTGCACAGGAAACGCAGCTCCTCATCCAGGCCATCCTGCTGAGGGCCACCCAGGCCTCACCCGTAAAGGCCTGCTATAGTTACACGGATCTGGCCACCGCTGCTCTCAACTGCATCCAGTCGCTGGCCACCCAGGCACACCAAGAGCTAAGCGAAGGCCTGGAGGGGATTAGCAGTGGGAGTGCCTCGGGTAACACTCAAGCCCTGGTTACCCCACCCCAACCCACCATGGTGCATGGCGTACCAGTCTACAATGTGGCCAAGAGGGAGCAGAAGCAGCCGCCACCAGCGCCACCTCCAGACCAGCAGCAGCAGCAGCAGCAGCAGGCGGAGCCAAAAAGCAACAAGTGGCCAGCCGCAGCCACCGATGCCCAGCTCATCGGCCAGATCATGGAGATGGGTTTCACGCGACGCACCGTGGAGCTGGCCCTCAAGCAGCTGTCCCTCCAGGCAGAGATTATGCCCACGCCCGAGCAGATAGTCCAGTGGATCCTCGAGCACCCGGATGTGTGTGCCAACACCATTGAGGAGGACTCACTGCCCCTGGCTCCCACTTCCACATCATCATCCCACGATCCCGAGGCGGATTCCGACAACGAGTGTCCCAGTTCCAACTCTACAACATCCTCGTCCTCCTCCTCCTCATCTTCGGACACAGTGGAGGGTCAACCGGTGGCAGCCGGAGCTGTGGCCTCGCCCCCGTTGAGATTTGAGTCTCGCAAGGACTTCCAAACGGCAGATCTCTATGCTCTCTATGTGCGGGGTCTGGTGCGTCCTGGGATGACTGTCCGCTGCTGCCGGGACTTTGAGGAGATCAAGCAGGGTGACATGGGCACCGTGCTCATTGTGGACACCGAGGGCCTGCACGATCTCAATGTGCAGGTGGACTGGCGCAACCATGGCAGCACCTACTGGGTGTGCTTCGTCCACATTGAACTGGTGGAGGCGGAGGCTCAGACGCAGCATCAACCCAGACCGCCTCCGATTGTAGTGGGAGCCCGGGTGAGGCTGTGCACCTCCTCCCTGCGGTTTGCTCTGCTGGGACAGATGCGACTGGCCAGGAACGAGGCAGCAGCGGGATTAACATCATCCTCATCCTCCGTGGGCCTGGTCACCTCGGTGCGTGGCAAACAGCTCACCGTGGACTTTCCGGGCCTGCCCGCCTGGCAGGGACACATCAACGAGGTAGAGCTGGTGACCAACTCCACTACGGATGTCTTGGCTGCTCCTCTGGTTCCAGATCCCAGCAATCAAGCAGCTCCCAGCGATCTCATCGAGGACTGGTCACGTTGCATCCGCTCGTTGACCGTCAGCTCCAACGAGGCGGCGGCCAAGCATCTGCTGGACGGGAGCGGACAACCGTGGCAGAGTTGCTCAAGCGGACCCTGCCGCCACTGGATTCGTCTCGAGCTCCATGACCGCATCCTAGTGCACAGCCTCATCCTGAAAGTCAGCCCGGAGGATCATTCGCACATGCCCTCGCTGCTGGAGATTCGCGTGGGCGAGTGCGTGGACAGCCTCAAGGAATACACCTGGATCCCGGTGCCTGCCGGAGCCGGCCAGGTGGTGCTCATGCAGCAGGTGCCCACCTACTATCCCTGGGTGGAGGTGGTGGTCAAGCAGTGCCAGAACAATGGCATCCAGTGCAAGATCCATGGCCTCCAGTTCATTGGCCGCCGGCAGCAGCCCGATCTGCATCACATCCTGGCCAATGCCCAGTTCTTGGCCAGCGAATACAGCGGTAGCTTAGGACCTGGAGTGGCTACAGCCATGGGAGTGGGAGCTGTGAGCACCTCCCAGCATGGCGAGCCCAGCGCAGGACCTGACCAGGATCTGCCCTGCACTGTGATGGTGTGGGGTCTAAACGACAAGGAGCAGCTGGGCGGCCTCAAGGGCTCCAAGGTGAAGGTGCCCACCTTCTCGCAGACCATCAGCCGGCTGCGTCCCATCCACATAGCCGGCGGCTCCAAGAGTCTGTTCATTGTCAGCCAGGATGGCAAGGTGTATGCCTGCGGCGAGGGAACCAATGGACGCCTGGGCCTAGGAGTCACCCACAATGTGCCACTGCCCCACCAGCTGCCCGTGCTGCATCAGTATGTGGTGAAGAAGGTGGCAGTACATTCCGGCGGCAAGCATGCCCTGGCCCTCACCCTGGACGGCAAGGTGTTCTCCTGGGGCGAAGGCGAGGACGGGAAGCTGGGACATGGCAACAGGACAACGCTGGACAAGCCGCGGCTAGTGGAGGCCTTGAGGGCCAAGAAGATCCGGGACGTGGCCTGCGGCTCATCGCACTCGGCGGCCATCAGCAGCCAGGGCGAGCTCTACACCTGGGGATTGGGTGAGTACGGACGCCTGGGACATGGCGACAATGCCACCCAGCTGAAGCCCAAACTGGTGGCTGCCCTCACGGGCCGGAGAGTCATCCAGGTTGCCTGCGGCAGTCGGGATGCCCAGACTTTGGCTCTGACCGAGGACGGAGCCGTGTTCTCCTGGGGCGATGGCGACTTTGGCAAGCTGGGACGCGGCGGCAGCGAGGGATCGGACACCCCGCACGAAATCGAACGGCTGTCGGGCATCGGAGTGATCCAGATCGAGTGTGGCGCCCAGTTTAGCCTGGCCCTGACGCGGGCCGGCGAGGTCTGGACCTGGGGCAAGGGTGACTACTACCGTTTGGGCCATGGCGGTGACCAGCACGTGCGGAAGCCTCAACCCATCGGGGGTCTACGCGGCAGGCGTGTCATCCATGTGGCCGTTGGAGCCCTCCATTGCCTGGCCGTAACGGATGCCGGCCAGGTGTACGCCTGGGGAGACAATGACCATGGCCAGCAGGGCAGCGGGAATACCTTTGTGAACAAGAAGCCCGCCTTGGTCATCGGCCTGGATGCCGTTTTTGTGAACCGCGTGGCCTGCGGCAGCTCGCACTCCATCGCCTGGGGCCTGCCCAATGCCTCGCTGGACGAGGAGAAGCGCGGACCCGTGCCCTTTGGCAGCACCCGCGACCCTCTAGGAGGCAGCAGCCTAGGAATCTACGAGGCGGAGACCATGCAGCAGGCCCTGCTGAAGCCGGATCCAAAGCCTCTGAACCTGACCAGCCTGAGCGAGAGCCTGGCCTTGGAGACGCCGGCGGCCAGGCAGGCAGCCTTGGGTCATGTCCTGCGCGCCATGAGCATTTTGCAGGCACGCCAGCTCATTGTGGCGGCTCTCACCAGCCACAGCAAGGTGAACTACAAGGAGAGGAATGTGGCTAGCGGTGGCACCGGCGAAGAGGAGCAGCTCATGGGAGGAGGAGGTGCACCCCTGGGAGGAGTGCCTCTGCCAACGGCCGAGACAATAGCCCAAGGAGGAGGCGAAGCCCCGGCGGATGCAGCAGATGCAGCTCTCCAGGAGCACAGTCCAGATGCGAACTTGGAAGTGCTAACAGGAGGAGTTGGAGTAGGAGTCAATCCTAGTGTATCCGGAGGAGCTGCCACATTACCACCTCTCACTGCCGGACCGCTCAGCGCCTTCCAGAGCCTCACCGGATCCCTGTCCATGTCGGGCTCCCTGTCCAGCAGCGCCCTGCCCCAGCACAAGCACTCCCGGATGTCGGCCAGCGCCATGTCCGTAATGGCCGCCACCATGACCCAGCAGGAGGAGATGCTAGCCCAGATAGGACACTGCCACGGCCTGGAAGATTTTGGTGGCCTGCTGGGTGAGCCCGAGGCCAAGAGCCTGGTGGAGCTGCTCAAGCTGGCGGTTTGCGGACGCTGTGGACCGCCCAGCACGGCCCAGACCATTGCCGAAACCCTGATCTCCTTGGGAGCTGGTGCCCCGCCAGTGGCCGCCATGCTGCTGGAGACCTGCATCACGGAACTGGAGGATCTATGCACGTCGCGGCACTGCCTGGGCAAGCTGCCCAAGCCGGTGATGCAGGAGAGCAGCCACCCGTATGTGGACAATGTGAATGTGACTGGAGTGGTGCGCATACCGGGCGCCGAGATGCTGCGCCTGGAGTTCGACAGCCAGTGCAGCACGGAGAAGCGCAATGATCCGCTGGTGATCATGGACGGCACTGGCCGTGTGCTGGCCATGCGTTCGGGCCGTGAGTTTGCCCACTGGGCACCCGAGATCCGGGTGCCGGGCGACGAGCTACGCTGGAAATTCTCCTCGGACAGCTCGGTAAATGGATGGGGCTGGCGGTTTTGGGTGCATGCCATCATGCCGGCGGCCACGCTAGGCGAGAGCGGCTCGGACCGGGCCGTGCTCTCGCAGCCGTCCATGTCGCTGGTGATGTCCCTGCTGGACTCGAGACTGGCCCCACGCCAATCGGGGGTACTCCTTCGCCTGGCCTCTGCCTTGGCGGCCTGCTCCCAGCTGGGGGCCTTGACCACGGCCCAGAGGATTTGGTCGCTGCGGAAGCTGCATGCGGTGTTGCTTTTAGAGCAGGCACCGCGTCCCCAGGATCCAGCCTTGGCCACGCTCCTCCAGCCTCTGATTCCGGAGCTCCTGCGACAGTACGAGTACGAGGAGCCGCAGGTACGCGGTGGGATTCACCTGATGCACTCGGATTACTTCAAGACACTGGCCGCCCTGGCCTGTGACATGCAGCTGGATGCTTCGCTGCCGGCTGGCGGCGGCGGCTCAATGTCGTCTTCCGCCGCCTCCTCCTCAACCGGCGATGTCCACAAGTGGGCCTGGTTCAAGCGCTACTGCATCGCCGTGCGGGTGGCCCAGTCCCTCATCCGGCGCACTGAGCTGCCCCGCGCCTTCTGCCTGGAGGTGCGCAAGAAATTCGTTGAGATGCTGCCCAACTCGAGCTCCCACTGCAGTGCCATGTCCAATACTGGAGGACAATCGCCCGCCGCCTCCATGCTGAACTCCACCACGTCGCTGTCCTCGAGCACGGCCAGCAATGTGTCACCGCCTCCACCGCCGGCAGTTACCGAGCATTTGGACTTGCTTTGTCCCATCCATCAGCTGGACACCAGCAGCACCCTTCTGCACGAGGATCATGCCCTCTTCCAGGCCCCCCACGATGCCCAGCTGCTGCAGTGGCTCAACCGGCGCCCGGATGACTGGGCCTTGAGCTGGGGCGGAGCCAGCACCATATATGGCTGGGGACACAATCATCGCGGACAGCTGGGTGGCCTCGAGGGATCCAGGATCAAGACACCCACGCCTTGCGAGGCTCTCAGCCTCCTTCGTCCTGTCCAGTTGGCAGGCGGAGAGCAATCCCTGTTCGCCGTCACACCCGATGGCAAGCTCTTTGCCACTGGTTATGGCTCTGGCGGAAGACTAGGAGTCGGTGGAAGCGACAGCTGGGCCATACCCACGCTCCTGGGCTCCCTGCAGCATGTGTTCGTGAAGAAGGTGGCCGTGAACTCCGGCGGCAAGCACTGCCTGGCCCTGACCACCGAGGGCGAGGTGTATGCCTGGGGCGAGGGCGAGGACGGCAAGCTGGGACACGGCAATCGGATGAGCTACGACCGACCCAAGCTAGTGGAGCACCTGAATGGCATGAGCGTGGCGGATATTGCCTGCGGCAGTGCCCACTCGGCGGCTATAACGGCCAGTGGACATGTGCTCACCTGGGGCAAGGGTCGGTATGGCCGACTAGGACATGGCGACTCGGAGGATCAGCTGAGACCAAAGCTGGTGGAGGCTTTGCTGGGCTATCGGGCCATCGATATAGCCTGCGGTTCGGGGGATGCCCAGACGCTGTGCATCACCGACGACGACAACGTTTGGAGCTGGGGCGATGGCGACTACGGCAAGCTGGGACGCGGCGGCAGCGACGGCTGCAAGCTGCCCTACAAAATCGAGAGTCTGGCCGGCCTGGGAGTGGTCAAGGTGGAGTGCGGTTCCCAGTTCTCGGTGGCCCTGACCAAGTCAGGAGCTGTGTACACCTGGGGCAAGGGTGACTTCCATCGCCTGGGCCATGGATCCGTGGATCATGTGCGGCGGCCCAAGAAGGTGGCTGCCTTGCAGGGCAAGAAGATCATCTCGATTGCCACTGGGTCGCTGCACTGCGTCGCCTGCAGTGATTCGGGAGAGGTCTACACCTGGGGCGACAACGATGAGGGTCAACTGGGCGATGGCACTGTCACGGCCATACAGCGACCGCGGCTGGTGGCCGCCCTCCAGGGCAAGCATATAGTGAAGGTCACCTGCGGATCTGCCCACACGCTGGCTTTGTCCACATCCCAGTTGAGCGAGCGACTGCGTCCGCTGCCCAATCCACCGCTCGAGTATGACCTGGTTCGGGACTTGGCCCCGGAGGCTCTCCATGCCCGCCTCATCCTCCTCCATCACTTCTCGGAGCTGCTGTGCCCCTGCCTGGCCATGCTGCCCATTGCCGGCGACCTGAGCCTGGGCGCTCTCAAGGACGTGCTGGTATACAACATCAAGGAGGCGGCCTTCCGCAAGGTCATCCAGACCACCATGGTGCGGGACAAGCAGCATGGACCCGTCATCGAGCTGAATCGCATCCAGGTGAAGCGTTCACGCAGCCGCTGCAACGGCCTGGCCGGCGTCGATGGAATGAAGAGCGTGTTCGGGCAGATGGTCCAGAAGCTGCCGCTGCTCACCCAGGAGGCGTTGGCCCTGCCGCATCGCGTCTGGAAGGTCAAGTTCGTCGGGGAGAGCGTGGACGACTGCGGCGGCGGCTACAGCGAGTCCATAGCCGAGATGTGCGATGAGCTGCAGAATGGCAGCGTGCCGCTGTTGATCAGCACGCCCAATGGACGAGGCGAGGCCGGGGCCAATCGCGACTGCTTCCTGCTGGATCCCACCCTGGGCTCGGTGCTGCAGATGAACATGTTCCGCTTTCTGGGCGTGCTCATGGGCATTGCAGTGCGCACTGGATCGCCGCTCAGTATCAAGTGAGTAACTAATTGGATTTTTAATTAATTTTTTTGATAATTAACTAATTGGATTAGTAAATATTTATCCATCATATAGAATATATGATAATTTTTTTGAAAATTTAAACTTTAAAATATCATAACTCGGCCAAAAAGGCATTAATTTCAATTCGGAAAGCTGTTTTATGCTAGTTTTTCTTAGGTCATTAAATCTGCGTAAAAAAAAAATTTAAAAAAATCCAAATTTTTATAAAATTCTGAGAGCTTAATGATGTAACCCCTTATCAAAATTTGGAAAAATGGCTTAAAAATGTTTATGCTCTGAACACGCCTAGAAAGACTCGCCAGTTGATGCTGATCAAGAATATATACCATTTATAGGGTCGGAGATGACTCCTTCCCAAAATTAGCAGCTTTTGAGTGAAATTATAGTACCCTGCAAGGCTATTAAAATCAAGCTGATAATCTAGTTAACCAGTAACTAAGCTTACTTAACTTGGTCACAAAAAAAGCTAATTTGTTGCTAAACAAAGACTCTTTTCTCGTGAAATGATATTCATGTAATTTAATTAAATAATTCCATTCAAAAACGAACAACAGTGAGAACGACAACACGTCAAGCGGACTATCTAGATTTTTGAGGCTACATTGTTATAGATTAGTCAATATATTTTCAAAGATTCATCTATTTATTTGAACTGGCAAAATAAATAAATACATTTTCATAGATTTATAATTGTAATTTCCTCAAAAGATTTATCATTTCGTTAAAGCCATTATAACTCACCCCTCTAAACCATCTTAATCCTTTCAGTTTGGCGGAGCCCGTGTGGCGTCAGCTAACCGGCGAAGTCTTGCGTCCCACGGACCTCACCGAGGTGGACCGCGACTATGTGGCCGGGCTGCTGTGCATACGCAACATGGACGATGATCCCAAGTTGTTCAATACCCTGGAACTGCCATTCTCAACGTCCTCGGCCCGGGGTCACGAGGTGCCGTTGTCCACGCGCTATACGCACATCTCGCCCAGAAACCGCTCGGAGTACGTGCGCTTGGCCTTGGGCTTCCGGCTGCACGAGTTCGATGAGCAGGTGAAGGCGGTGCGGGATGGCATGTCCAAGGTGATACCAGTGCCTTTGCTATCGCTCTTCTCCGCCGCAGAGCTGCAGGCGATGGTCTGCGGCTCGCCGGATATACCGCTGGGCCTGCTCAAGTCGGTGGCCACCTACAAGGGCTTCGATCCGAGCTCGGCCCTGGTTACCTGGTTCTGGGATGTGATGGAGGAGTTTACCAATCAGGTGGGTGTCTTAACTAACTAACTAAAAAAAAAATAGTGGAATTATTTATTGATATTATTTATTAATTATTTTGTAACCCTTTGAATTCCTAATCCTTGCAGGAGCGCTCTCTCTTCCTGCGATTTGTTTGGGGCCGCACCCGTCTACCACGCACCATAGCCGACTTCCGGGGAAGGGACTTTGTGCTGCAGGTGCTGGAGAAGAATCCGCCAGACCATTTCCTGCCCGAGAGCTACACCTGCTTCTTTCTGCTCAAGATGCCGCGATACTCGTGCAAGGTGAGTCAAGAACGAAGGGATTCGTTTTGCACCGAATTAACCCCCATTTATGAAGATCCCTAACCACAACTTGCTATTAATTCCTTTTTAGGCCGTGCTCCTGGAGAAGCTCAAGTATGCCATACACTTTTGCAAGAGCATTGACACGGACGAGTATGCACGCGTGGCCATGGGCGAACCCACCGAGGCGACCGGCAGCGAGGACAACAGCGACCTGGAGTCGGTGGCCAGCCACGAGGGCTAGACTGAGCACTCAATCTTGTCCAGAAACTAACCAACCGACACGAATCAAACCGAACAAATGGGGTCTTTATGGGCCCCGGCAACCTGGCGAATCTCCCAGCAGTTTATGATCCTCACCCCACTCTAGGACCTAGGATAGCGAAGCATTCACGTTGAACCCACACTTACACACATATACACGTATAAACATATATATATATATTTTAAAGCAGCACACATGCCACAGAGCAGGACGGCAATACAGAGTGGAAAAGAGAGAGAGAGAGGGAGGAGAGCGATGGAACGATGTCGAGATCGAGATCGTGTAATGAAACCAAAAAGCAAAGCGTTAAAGTTATTTCCATAATATATTATATTATATATACATATTACGCATAAATTTAAAGATAAACCTAAGCATAAAGATAAATATGAATGTTAGTTGAAGCCCCAAGCCCCCACTCGAAAAAATGTAACCCCTAGACGCAAGCCATTCCCATCCATCCCGCCTCCCCACAAGAGAGACAATTGATATTAATAGTGCTAACTAAGCCACAGGGGCGCTTACCCAAAGGCAGCCCCCTGGAACTCGTTGCTAATGATGATCACAATTCAAAACTTAGGCAAGGCGCCGCCAGGAAACTCTATTTGAACTAAACTGAAGCTAAATAAAATGCTAAATATTATGAAATTAACAGGGGAAAGTCCCTCAAAGTGTATGTAATTTAAGAAGTTTATATTTATTTACTAACAGAAATCCCTAGGCTTTGGGTAGACCCTCAGGAGCTGTCTTAAAAAGTGCTTTAATGGGTTGGGGTGCCAATCAGCTTAAGCTCCTTTCCGCAACCCTAAGGATTTCTGTGGCGCTCCCCCCAGAACCCTATAAAAACCATGAAATACCAAAAAATTGGTCTCTCGGCCAGATTTATTAAGGAAACCATAAATTTAGAACCCACAAGAGGCGCTCGCACAGCCCCGTCTTAGTTCTGGACTTCCCGCCGCTCATCTTGAATCGCTGGTGAAGAACATATCCGAGGCGAAGCCATCGCTGAAGGCATTGTAGTTGTCCTCAAAGGCATCCTCCTGGGGCTTCGCCGTGCCACTAGCGTTGGATGTGGGCGTACAGAAGAGCGGATTTTTGCGGGTGTCATACACCCGGCCTTCGTCCCACCCATCCTCCTCCTCATCTTCCTCTTCGTCCTCATCCTGTCCGTAGTAGGAGGACTGGCTACTGGACTGGGCCTCGCCCACACTGCTGCTGCTGCTGCTGCTGGTGCTGCCGCCGGTGGTGGTGTTGACCGACGACGACGCCGCACCGCCCGTCACAGCGTCTACGACGCCGCGCATCACCCGGGAGACGGCATCCTGCACCTGCCTCATCAGCTCGCTGACCGGACCTCCCTGATCCGTTGGCGCGGTAACTACATGCTGCTGGAAATGCTGCTGGTACTGGTTCGGTGGCTGTAGCTGATGGCTCCACGCCCTGATGTGGCTGCTGTGGCTATTGCTGTTCTTGAGGGCGCCATTCACGCGCTTCTGCGAATCCTCGCAGGGACACTTGGCCCGCGGCCTGCCAGAACCTCCTGCACCGCCATTAGAAGGCGGCGGTGGCGGCGGATCGTCCCGACAACCATTATTGTCCTCGGCCGCCGCCTTGCGCTGCTGCTCGCGATCATGCTCGCTCATTGCCCGCTCGGAACGATCCCGGCAGACGGGACAGTCGGGATCACTGGAGCCATAGATTCCAGTGTCGCCGTGGGGCATGGTCTCAGTCTCGGCATCGCAGCTGCAGGTTTCGCTGGCCAGCTGGGACTCCTTGCCAGAGCCGCGGCGCAGGCGATAGAAGATGTAGAGCAGGGCCAGGGTGGCATACGTGGCTTTGGCCACCTGGAAAAGATGCGAGATGGAGATGGAGATTGAATGGTATACAAAAATATAGCTATTGATCCGGATTTGTCTTACGTTGGCGCGTCCATTGATGGTGGTACCATTGAAGTATTTCTTGAAGCCTTCGGCCATCGTCTGGTTCTGGTGAGTGATTTGGAATCCGGCTGCGAGCTGCTGTGTGTGTGCGTGTGCTGGCTGTCTCTGGGCGGGCCTGGGTCGAATCTGAATGTAAGGGATGGGAATAGGTGGGCAACGGCAATGGCCAGGCCTACTTGGATTCTGAATATAATGCCCCAAGGGAGCCAGACCCACACTTAAAGTCACCCCCTAAATATAGAGATACTTACTACAAATGATATTCAAATGTATTTATTAGTTGCGATGCCCTGACGCTGGCTGGGGTCCTCTCTTATTCACCAGAAGTTTGTCCAAATGGGAGACGAGGTGGTGTAGCAAGGACATCAACACCAGGAGAACTGATCTAGCTGATCCCTAGCTTCAAAGGCTATAACCAGCTCTCAAGGAATACAAGGAAAAATGATCTCTCATCCGCTTAAAAATTAGTTCAAGAACTCCCCCACGTCCACAAATAAACCCCAGCTAGTGTATACAGACTTCGGCTTCCTCAGCTTCAATAGCTTCTCTGCCAGCTCTGCCCTTAGTAATTAGAATTCCGGGTGCCACCCCCTCAAATCTCAAATTCAAAAATCTTGAATTCGATGTACGATTGTCAACGCATCTTCGCTGGCCACCGGACTACGCAATTCGGGGAATCGCGTGCTCCACTGGACTGTCAATTAACCTGACCAGATTATAGACCCGGTTTGGACCCACCTCCTGCCAAGTTATGGAAATGAGTCGGGTGGCGTCAATTCGCACTGACCTAGTAATTCCCACACCCACCTGACCAGCCCAGTTCGATTGGATATATGCCATTAGTGGCGATGGAGATCCAAATTATTTGCATGTTGTCGTGGGGCAGAGATATAAAAGGAGCTGTTCCCAGCGACTAGGGTAACCGATCTGCAAAAATTGTGTTGAAAATGAAGCTCAATTCGCTGCTGCTGCTGGCAACCTGCGCCCTCCTCGTGGACGTCTCCCAGGCTGGGGTAGGTCCCAAACTCTTAGCTATATAGGATAACCAGGAGTACACTCTGACATTTCCAGGTTACATACGAGCAAATGCGATCTGCTAGCAAGCTAATACGCGACGTCTGCCTGCCCAAGTACCCGAAGGTCACTGAGGAAGTGGCCGATGCCATTCAGGTGGGGAATATACCCTATAGCAAGGACAGCAACTGCTACATCAATTGCATTCTGGAGATGATGCAGTCGGTGGGTAGGCCTAAACATATATTCTGGCTTGGTTTTTGACCCTACTCTGCCCCTGCTTTTAGATCAAGAAGGGCAAGTTCCAGCTGGATGCCACCATCAAGCAAATGGAGATAATGCTGCCGGACAGCTACAAGGAAGATTACCGCCGGGGCATCCAACTGTGCAAGGACTCCACCGTGGGCCTGAAGAATGCGCCCAATTGCGATCCCGCCCACGCGCTGCTCTCCTGCCTGAAGAGCAACATCAAGGATTTCGTCTTCCCCTAAAAGAGAGAGACGATGCCCAGACCCAGGCCATGGCCATTGATTCCATTGATTGTCATGGTCATATGGTCAGAGCCCCGCTCCCTCTTCCGGGCGAGCTCAATCAATAAAGGTTTGCCCCGCGCGGGCCCAGCTAATTGTGGTGCATTTTTGTGTGATTGGGTTGCATGATCCGCCCCAGCAATGTCAGGGCTATCGGTTAGCGGAGATCTACAAGCGGGGCGTTTCGAGCATGTACCGGATGTTCCAACTGCCGGACACGGCTGCTGCTGCTGCGACGGGTATAAAGCAACCCACAGCGAACGATGATCCTTCACTTTCCACAAGACAAGCGATAATGATGCAGAGCAAGCGAATGATGAACCAACTCCTCCTGCTGGCCTGTGCTGGCATATTTCTGGGATCGACGGTGGCGGACGAGGAGCTCAGCATGACCCTGGACGAGGTGGTGGACCTGATCCAGCCCTTCGGCGAGGGCTGTGATCCTGTCCCGGCAAAGGGTATGTGCTTAGAATTCAAGCTGAAGACTTCATTTCCACCATGATCCTGTCCAGAAAACATCGTGGAGATGGTGCAGAACAAGGAGGATGCCAAGCGGGAGTCCAAGTGCTTCCGCCACTGCTTGCTGGAGCAATTCGAGCTAATGCCCGAGGGCCAGTTGCAGTTTAATGAGGACAAGACCGTGGAGATGATGAACATGATGTTCCCCGACAACGAGGAGGATAGCCGCCGCATCACCAAGGCCTGCAATGATCGTCTCAAGGCGGAGCAGGACAAGTGAGTAGAAGGAATCTCTAAGGCTGATCCTGGCTGAAAGGATATTCATCGCTTTTGGAGGCGGATAGTAGTATCTAGTGATCGATCTTCCCATTAGTTTCTTAGAGAATGCATCCTTCATGGACTTCCAATCTCTCTGGTCAGGATTTCCTGCTTTTTCGTTGGTATTTATATCTCTATTTTTTTTTGCTTCTTTTCGATTCAGATGCGAGGCCGCCCATGGCATCTCCATGTGCATGCTGAAGGAGATGCGCGCCTCCGGCTTGAAGATTCCGGAAATCAAGGAGTAGCGAGATCACTGAGCTGGTCCTCCTCCTGCCCCCCACTTGCGCCTGTTCTTCATTTAATTATTATTTTTTTTTTTTGTGTTAGATTTCAATTTATTAAAAGACAGCTCGAGAGCAGGGTGTGGTTCCCGAAGCAAATAAAGCGCCCAGACAGAGAAGGATAATGGTGTTTTACCGGGAATCGGCAAGGGGATAAAGGATAAATACACACAGAAAAATTACTTAAAAAGTGATACATTTCCTAAATGTATATGTTTATATATTTAATATATATAAATACATATAAATATAAAATATATATAAATAAATAAAATATGTAATGATTAAATATACAGATTTATATTTTTATATATCTTTTAGATGTAGATATATATATGAATTTAGATTTTGATTTATTGGTTAATGTTTTCCTAACTCTACAACTTATAAATTCGCAAACTAGTCCCAATTGATTAATACAATCTCTTTTCATATTTTATTTTATTTATTTTATTGAGATAAGTTTATAAATATATTTAACAATTAGGCGAGCAAATTCCTTTTAGTCCTTCCCAGTTCAAGCTTAAATTTCCCATTTGAGATTATAGGTGATAATTTCAAAATATTTTAAATAGTTTTATCCCAAATGGTCATCTCTTGGGCCACGGGTTACCTTATCCCTTCAGCCTCCTCCCTTACATCTCCCTACCACACCAGCTTCACACTGTTGCGGTCCAGCTGGCGGCCGATGCACTGGTTGAACTGATGGGCTGCCTCGCAGGAATCCTTGACGGTGATGATCCGGTTGCAGGTTTGGGCCATGCCACAGCTTAGGGCTATGGCCACCTTGTTGTCCTGAGTCACCAGGCTGGCCAGCTTCTCCACCTGGCCCACATTGAGCTTGTTGTTTCCATCCATCTGTAAATTTTGCAGGTTAGATCTGTGCTAATCCCTCCGCCCAGTTCTCCTGCCACTACTCACCAGCTTGATCTTCTTTAGGACGCACTCCATCAGGCATTTCTCCTTGGCCGTGGGACTTGCCACTTGCATCAGCGGTCGCTGATCCTTGGGCAGGCCCAGCTGCTGGAGGCACTCCTTGCGGGCTGCATTGATCATTTCCTGTACCTGCGGCAGATTCCGATTGATCACCGTCCAGATGGGCTGCGAGCCGCTCTTGGGCATCAGCTTGGCCAGATCGAAGGCTTGATTCTGGCCCTCGATGCTGGGCAGGATCAGGATGCCGGCCAAGAGGGCAATAATTGCAGCGAATGGTTTCATCTTGGGATGAGCTTGACTCTGCACTGGCTCTGGGTCTTGGCTCTTGGTTTATATATAGTGCTGTGACCCGTGTGACCTCAACATCTTGTGCAACTGCCCTCCATTGGACTCATTCCGCTGACGCAGCCGATTTCCCAGCATCGAGTTCATGCTCAACGTCGTCGCCCCCACAAGTCACGCACCGCAGACGCTCGACGAGAAGCACAAGCCAGCCACGCCGAGAGTTCACACTTTGGGTAACTGATTGGGAATGGAATCGGGGGTGATCTTTAAGGGGATCTATAGTATCTATTGTATTAAATTTTAAATATTTTTCCATAATTTTATATGATAACTTTTGAATAAATAATAGCTTAAAAATATCATAATGACGACATAAAAAATTCATTTCAAATCGGAGAAGTTGAGTATTAGTTTTTAATAGGTTAATAAATCTGCAAACTAAATTTAAAAATGTAAAAAAAAAAAGTTTTTTGCCAATTTTTGAAAATTTTAACGATGTAAATTCAGTAGAAATCCAGCAATTCTGGGATTTCATGTACCAGGAAAACAGAATCCGCAGAAGGTGGATTTACTTTAGTGCAAAGCAAGATTTTCACTCAATGTTAATACTTCCACTCATTATTTTCACTCTTCGCCACAGATTAGCTCATCTAAGCTCTTTCGCTTTTTGTTTGAAACTTATTCGAAATTGAGAGATGGACCATTTATGAGAGCGTGAGAGTTGCGGTTATCATAGCTCTTTGACTCAATAGATTTTCAAAGCTGCACGTCAGCTACGGTCTTCGCTCTCCTGCTCTTTGTTCGCCAGTTACGGCCTTCGGGGAATCAGAGTGCCGAAATGAGTGCAAACCATTAGTTTTACTCAAATTTAACATTTCTCACTCATTGCACGGATCAGCTCGCTGATTCTTTGAGAGCAACGATTAAAATTACTCAAAGACCCAATGAAAAAGAACAACTGTTGTTGTTGTTAAATGTTTTTATTGTAAAAATATTGTTTTTATTTTTGTAGAAACAACGAGGCTTCAATTTGTACATTTTCAGTACAAATTCATACATTTCTGGGAGTCAAGTACCAGGCGAACAGAATCAGCAGGAGGTGGATTTACGCTAGTGCAAACGAATATTTTAACTCAAATTACGATATTATTTTCACTCAATTTACGATATTATTTTTACTCAATTTAAGATATCTCTCAGAGCTGCATGTCAGCTACGGTTTCCGCTTTCCTTCTCCTTGTTCGTTAGTTACGATCTTCGGGGAATTAAGCAACAAAGTTAAGAGCACGTTGTTTATTCTCTTAATTACGATTCCGCTCAGCGCTGCGAGAGCTGACCTTCGCTCTCCTGCTCTGTGTTCGCCAGTTACTTTCTTACGCAAATTAAAGAGTAAAGAAGAGTGCATCCCATTACTTGCGAAGACCGTATCTGAGCTGTGCAACCCAGAGCAATATCGTAATTTGAGGGAAAAATTCGTTTGCACTAGCGTAAATCCACCTCCTACTGATTCTGTTCGCCTGGTACTTGACTCCCAGAAATGTATGAATTTGTACTGAAAATGTACAAATTGAAGCCTCGTTGTTTCTACAACAATAAAAACAATATTTTTACAATAAAAACATTTAACAACAACAACAGTTGTTCTTTTTCATTGGGTCTTTGAGTTTTTTTAATCGTCGCTCTCAAAGAATCAGCGAGCTGTTCTGTGCAATGAGTGAGAAATTTTGAATTTGAGTAAAAACAATGCTGTGCACTCATTTCGGCTGTCTAAATCCCCAAAGAGAGTAACTGGCGAGTAAAGAGCAGGAGAGCGGAGACCGTAGCTGACGTGCAGCTCTGAGAAATATCGTAAATTGAGTAAAAATAATATCGTAATTTGAGTTAAAATATTCGTTTGCTCTAACGTAAATCCACCTCCTGCTGATTCTGTTCTCCTGATACATGAAATCCCAGTATTGGCGGATTTGTACTGAAAATGCCTAGATTTCAGCTTTGGCTTTGTCTACAACAATAACAACATATTTACAACAAGAGCATTTTAACAACAACAACAGAAGTGCAAACGAATTTTTCACTCAAAGCCAACACTTTCACTCAGTAGGAGAATTCACTCAAGTGCAAATTAAAGTAAAGCAAAGAAAGAAAGATATAATAAAATACAAATATATAAAGAAAATAAAGATATAATTTGATGCCAATATACATATATACAACTATAATTTTTATAGTTAAGCAAAAGTTTAAAAAAGTCATAACTTTGCCAAATATGCATTAATTTCAATTCGGAAAGCAGTTCTGTGCTAGATTTTAGTAGGTTAAGAAATCTGCATAATAAATTTTAAAATTTAAGAAATTAAATTTTTTGTGAGTTTTCTACAAAATTTAATGATGTAACTAACCACTTATAAAATTTTGGAAAAATGGCTACATTTTTTTCTTCCTCCGGACACGGCTAAAAAGGCTCGCCAGTTGATGCTGATCAAGTAAATATATTATTAATGTGGTCGGAAATGACTCCTTCACTGCGTTACAAGCTTCTGGCTGAAATTATAATACCATCAAATGGGGATAAATATATTATGAATATAAGTATAACATGATGAAGCAGTGTCCGCTTTGCTGTAGATCCCATCGAAACACACTTCACAAACTCGAGCACCCGCTCCCTCCGAATGCCGCCCTTTTCCAGTTTGGATGCACATTGCGTGCTTCCCAATCTCAACTAGCTGTGGAGGTGACAAGGCAAACAGACTGGCTGGGGGAGTACAGACTGCAAATAGGCCAGTTATCCAAACAGGAAGGCGGACGGAGACGGACAGGTGACGGTGATCAGGGGTGTTTTATGGAGCTAAACGGTCGCAATCCGAGAGCAAACCTCCTCCAAAAGGTTCAAATGGGGCTGGGAACACTCTGATAATTGATGGATGGCCAGTCACTCATCTCACACCGGCAGCTGTTGATCGATTTAATTGCATATGGGAAAGATTTTGCATTTTGCATTTTAATTTCCATTTCCCATTCCAATTTCGGATTTCATGCCAGTCACCAATTAGGCGGGTAATTGGTGATCGGTGGGTCATCTGTCCATTCCCATCTCCCATTTCCCGTGGTCTCCCATCATCATGGAGCCAAGTGTCAGTTGTTCACACGATACCCAGCCGAGGGCATCTCCGGCGGATCTCGTCCAGAGCGTTGGAGTGTCATGTGCTGCCCATGTAGTTCAGCGACGTTCCCAGCCGATAATGGCGAGTAATTGCGGCAGCTGCTTGAGACTCATTGCAGTGGAGAGATCTGGAGATCGTAGATGGTTCTGCCAAGTCAATCACGGGACTTGTCTGGGCATCTCACCTATAAAACGTGGCGGTTGTTTGCGTTCCGCATCCAAATAGAAGTTCGAACGCTGCTTGGAAATGTCGCGTCTGGTTAAACTAACTGCTCTGCTGGTGCTGGGACTTGTGTGCCTGGGAGCTGCCTCGGCCAAGCCGCATGAGGAAATGACCAAGGATCATGCCACAGAGCTGGCCAACGAGTGCAAGGCGGAGACGGGAGCCACTGATGGTAAGTAATCCAGCCAGATCTCAAATTCTCTTTAATCCTTGACTCATTGCAGAGGATGTGGAGAAGATGATGAAGCACGAGGAGCCCGAGAGGCACGAGGCCAAGTGCCTGCGCGCCTGTGTGATGAAGAAGTTCCAGATTGTAGGTTCTACTTTTCAGCTGGGCAAGGATTACCAGCTCATTTTTTATCTCCTTTTGTTTGCAGATGACTGAGGACGGGAAACTGAGCAAGGAGCATGCCATGGAGATGGTCAAGGCCATTAGCAAGCACGATGCGGAGAAGGAGGCTGCTCCCGCTGAGGTGGTGGACAAGTGCGAGGCCCTTGTGGCCCCCGAGGATCAGTGAGTAGTGATGTTTATTATGGGTACCTTTATACGATTCCCGTTTCCTTCTTCCCGTTTAGCTGCGAGGCAGCCGTGGCCTACGAGGGCTGCATCTATGAGCAGATGAAGGAGCACGGCCTGGAGCTGGAGGAGCACTAAACAACAAGGATACAAACCAACCCGCGAACCCTTTGCAGAACCACAAGCGCCCCCCTGGAATATAAGTCTATGTATTTTTTTTTTTCATTTGTAAACTATGACTAGTCTTTAAGAAACTGATAAACCTGAGCAACTGCAAAAGATGATGGTATGGAAGGGGGATTAAACCAGGTGGTAGAGGGAAACTCAAGCTTCTTTAAGCCTCGAAAAGACTCGGGTGCGTGATACATCTTACAATCTTTATTTTAATATTTATATATATAGTTACTTGTATATAATATCCCAATCTGGGTCGTAAATTACAATTTCTTCTCAGGCTCTACGAATTCCTACACACTTCCGAGAGACACAGAGGCCAGGTGGCTGGCTCTTAGCTAGGAGTAGCTCTGCCCACATCATGCAGCGTGTGTGCCTCCTAGGAGGTTATATATTTAGTTAGTTACTGGCTTAAAGCTAATGCCTAAACGTATAGAATGTTGCGCGGCAGCGGGGGAATTCGCATGGAGAAGGGACCGCTTCGAGGGCCGCCTTGGCCAGGCGAATTCGCCTCGAACCGGGCAGGGGGGTGTGTTAATCCTACAAATTATTATTATATATAATATTAATGCGCATCTTGCGTCAGGGTGATGGGTACAGGGTACAACACACGACAAACATGAGAAACTTGGACATAGAGCAAGGTATATATGATATAAATGTGTATAAGGGGCAAAAAAATGTCTATACGAACGGAATACTCCGGAATCTTGATCTATATGGGAGCCCGGTTGGAGGCCGTGGCTCCGGTTCGCTTTTCCAGCTTACTTTATGTCTCATTATGTAATAGATTTTCTTGCATTTGCAGTTGCTGGTCGCGCGTTTGCGTTTGCGTTTGCTTAGGCAGGCAGGCAGTTTCATTTTCCTTAGATGATTTGTGGCAGCCACCACCAGTGGACCACCGGTGGAACGATGCCTCCCGCTGACGAGGTGCGGCGGGAGTGAGAGTTGGCGACGACTACTAAGCGATCGCGTGTCTTAGAGGAAGTAATCCGCCTGAGGCTTTTTTGAGGGAATGCCTCGACTCTCCTGCGGTGCCGCCTCAAAGATGACAAAGTCGCGATGCAGGTACTCGTTCAGTTCCAAAATGGCAGCCACATTGCCGCAGCTGCAAGTGAAATATAGACATATAAATTTAAGAGAATGTAATTCAAGAGGCAGAATGGCCAACTCACCGATAGCAGTAGTTGGGCGCTGACCAGACGGTCAGGACGGTTTCGTTGAAATGCCATTTAAATCCCTCCATCACCAGCTGGTGTGCCCGGCATATCATATCGATTTCATTGGTGCGGTTAAACTGGGAGACAACGTCGGAGCCGAACAGATAGCCAGCGCCGCGCGGTGACACGCCCCAGCCGGTCTGATCCTCCGGATCGCTCCACAATAGATCACACATGGGCCCGTCGTGCGGCACCTCCTGCTTGCGATCGATGCTGCGGATCTGGTCCAGGTACTGGATGGAGGGCGACAGGCCGCCATGCACACAGAATATTTTGCCATCGATAATAGCCGACAGGCTGAGGTAGTCAAAGATCTCCGTGCAGTAGCGCCACACGGCCGTGGAGCCATACTTGCGCAGGCACTCGTCATAGAACCCATACACCTGCGTGATCTGTCGCGATTCGTGATTGCCGCGGATCAGCGTGATGCGATCCGGGTAACGCACCTTCAGCGCCAGCAGCAGGAGGAATGTCTCCACACTGTAGTAGCCGCGGTCCACAAAGTCGCCCATGAACAGGTAGTTCTTCTCAGGCACATCGCCGCCCACTTTAAACAGCTCTTTCAGGTCGTAGAACTGGCCGTGAATGTCGCCGCAGACAGTCACCGGCGAGTCCACCCGCTGTACATTGCCCTCCTCCACCAGTATCTCGCGTGCCTTGGCGCACAGGGCCTTCACTTCGTTTTCCTTGATGATCTCACAGCGCTTTAGCTGCTCGATCTGGCGGTCTAGGTCGCTGTAGTCCGACATTTTGAGGCGGAGGCGGCTGCGGCGGCGGCGGTGGCGAGTCGGGAGCGGGGATGTGGGAACGCAGACGGAGACACAGGCGTCGTTCGTTGGGGGGCGCTCACCGGGCTGCAGGGAGATGATGCAGATGCGGAAGGGAGAAACAAAAAGAGAAATTGGCAATGAGTTTTGGTTCGCTGTAATTGTTTGTTTGTTTGTGTTTGTGTTTCGGCTTCTGCAAGCGCCCTGCATGCATGCATGCGTGCGTCGGTGTGTGTGCGTCTGCGTGTGCGCGGGTGAGTGGCTTCGCAAGCCTTTTTGCCGCGCGCGGATAACTGGCTGGCCGCTGTCCCCCGCTTTCCTCCGCCCGGCCCTCACTGTTTTCCGAAGACGACTACTCACTCAACGCTTTGGCGGGGCTTTTACGGCAATCCTTTGGCGGCTTGATCGTCGTTCACGCACACTTTCTCGAAAAAAAAAGATTAACATTAAACTTCTGCAGAAACCAGCGTGACCGCGCCGGACAGATCGAAATATACCATTTATCCCTCAAAAATATACTATACTGCAGAAACATCGGTGTTACTATCGATACTATCGATGCTTTGGGAATGGCGATACATCCAAGCTGTGTTGCAAAATGCCAGTTGGGTTCGTCGCCTAAAAAATATCAAAAAAGTTTAAATTTCCCTCTAAAAAATCCAAGTCCCCTACACTAAAAAAAATTAATTTATATTAATTTATGTATTGTGTTTTGTGTTTTTTTTTTATAATATTTTAAATATATTTATATAAATAAAAAATATATAAATAAATATAAAACATATTTCTCGTATGACACTATAATTCTCAACCAGTTCTAGCATTTTCTAAGAGGTAACCCAGCTGAATGGTCGCGCGGTAGAGGTTGTACTGTGGCAGTGGTTACTCCTTTCTCTCATACTTGTTGTGTTGCTGTGCTTCAGTATACCCCATCTCTCTTTTGTAGCTTAGTGTTACGGGCGTATTTGCTATTTGTTTTTATAGTCGAGAGATAGGGAAAGAGTGTGTTTGGCTCTGTGTGCATGGGAGAGTGTAAGTTGTTGCAAATATCACCAGAGAAATCAAGGAGATTGATCAATCAGAGGAGGGACCTAGACAAATGTGAGTACTCACAATATATTATATATTTTGTTTTTAGCTAAAGATCTCCTTAACCAAATAATATTAGCATTTAACTTATTAAAACTTGAAGACAATGCCAACAGTTCCAAGTATTTTTAAAGTCGTCACATTTTTGGTTTTAATTTTTCCCGCTAAACTGTAAAGCTGACCAACACCGAAGTAGGCTAGTCGTTTTCCAACATTGGCCTCGTTTACTGTTGAATGATGCCCGCACTCGAAACATAAAAATTTTAAAATATAGAACAACCACAAAATGTCAACCAACAAAGGCCGGGACAGCAGTCTCACTGATGTTTTCGGAACCCTGCAGCTCAGCGACACTGAAAGCTTATCGGTAAGTCTTGCCATCCAATAATTGATCGACGCACGCCGACCTGAAACTGGTTCCACTTCAGGCACAGCAAGAAGATTCGTGCAAAATGCCCCAAAGCGATCCGAATGACAGCATTGGCGACTCGTTCGTTAATGTCGTGGACTCTGATGAGTCTTCCGTGGTCAGTTATATATATTCGGTTGACCTGGTATCCCCCGAATCCAGCCTCTGCGAGGACAACAACAGCAACGACAACATTCTGTACACCACGAACGACGACAGCAGTGACGGCTCCGATATTAATGTTGTGGACACTGATGAATCGTCCGTGGTCAGTTACATAGATCCAGCTGACCTGGGCATCACCATCGAGGAGACGAGCGAAAGCGAGGCGGCGGATGAGCACGGTGAGTTCGGTGGATAAACGTCTTGGTATCACATTCTGACTCTCTTGTTGTCATAGGTCCTGGTCTTTCTCCTCCCACACGTACAGCTACCAGTGGTGCCGACATGGACACCCCACAGTCATCCAAGTCGTCGAAGTCATCGAATTCGTCGAAGTCTTCCTTAAAGCGCTCCTCAAATTCCCTTAGCGACGACGACACGCAAGCCAAGAAATGTGAGTTGGGGGAAGGTTACTCCGGTTTCGGACATTTGGGCTTTGCTGATAAGAACTTGTCCTAATCCTTGTCGCAAGGGGTCTTGGGGTTACAACCTGAAAGGTTTTGTTTTAATAGCAAGCAACGCGCGGTTAATCCTTCAAAATTGAGAGTAATCTGTCCCCAAACCCTGAATAGGTAGTTTGGATGCCATCAGTGGCAGTGTTTTGGCGGCGTCAAGGTCTGGATTAAAGCGCACTTCTCCATTTTCCCTGGGCAAGGACATTCCGGCCAAGAAACGTGAGTTGGGCGGCCTTGAAACCCCATATATTCTGCTCTACTGACCTTCTGCTGGGCTCGCAATAATCCTTGATATGATAACAATAAGATAGACCTAACCCAAGCGGAGTGTTTTGTATAAATCTAATCCATGCTAACATCCTCCTAGCCCTACCGCTGCCATTTTATTGATAGAATCAACCTGTTTATACACTTTAGTAGCCATGAAAGAGATGGTCGCCTTCTCGTCTAGTCCCAAGATTGTCACCCGCAGCGGTCGTGCGGTGCGCATGTGTCTGGATAAGAAATTTGACTACTCATCCTCGCAGCCGGAGGATGACGAGACGGAGGACTCGTTGGACTCGTCAGCAACGGATAGCGACGATGAGTTCCAGTTGAATGGCAGCCACGAGGAGCTGAACTGGTCGAGTCGCAAGCGACGCCGCTCCAGTCATGGAAGCAACCGGACCAGCACTAGCTCTAGCAGCTCCTCGCAGCTGGAGGCTACACTGATCTACTTGGACCTAGAACCACCAGTGGCCACTATTATGGATGAGCCATTCGCCGATTTAGTCCTCGAAGACGATGCTGATCTTAAGACCAAAATGCACAAGTTCCTGGGTCTAATACCGCGTCGTCGCAAGCTGTACAATCCCGAGGATCAACTGTACCTGGAGCCGGATGAACCGCCCCACAAGGAGACGGCACCTTCCCGCAGTTTTCTGTTTATTACCTCTCCTGTCCAGCCACAGTCCCAGCCCCCGTCCCCGCATGTTCTGCATGTTCCGCCGTCGCCCAAAAAATTGCCCATAAGATCGCCCATGATATTGAACACATCTCAACTGCAGTCGCTGACCCTGGAGGAGCGGAAAACCAAGATGCTGGACGATACTATGCTCCTGGTTAATGCCGCCACCTTAGAGACCGAAACGCCGGACTACATCAAGGCGCCGATCGATCTGAGAGAGCTGCCCAGCGAGAAGTGGCGGGCCAACAACTGCCGCCGTCACAAGGCCTGCATTGCCTGCCTGGAGCAGCATCCGCTCTTGTACAGCTTTGTGGATTCGCTTAACCGTGAGATTAAACTAAACACGTATGCCTTCGTTATGCACCAATTTCCATTTCAGCCGCCACCTCGATCAAACTGTGCCATCCCCAGGCGCTGGCCTATCGCGGAAGCGACTTCGAGAGCTCCAAGCAGGCGCTGGCCAAGCTGCTATTCAACGTATTCAACCACGCCGTCTTCCACTGCGCCTTGCAGCCAAACATAGTTTGGAAGCGGAGCCTGGGCAAGCCCTGTCGCTGCGAAATGATCATTGACTCGTCCGGCCAGCGTACGACCCGCCTGCTCCTGTGGAACAACATCAATAGTCCGGGCAGGCTGATCAAGCCCCTTATCCACGAAATGTGTCATGCCGCTGCATATGTCTTTAACCGCGAGACGGGACATGGCGAGGCCTGTCGCCAGTGGTAAGATTTCATCAATTGAACGAAATAGCCAAGCTGCTATGATGAATTTTCTTCGTTTTTGCAGGGCCTACCAGGCCAATCAGCAGCTTTTCGAGCTGACTCAAATCGATGCCTGCGATGCGGCCTACAAATATGTATGCTCTATGTGCGGTCGTGGCTCCTACGGCCTCATGGACTTTGCCGGGAGCAAGGACATGCTGCGCTGCCACTACTGCCAGTTCGAGGTGGTGGTGGAGCCCTGGAGCGTTGACGACAAGTACGACGGTATCCGGCCGGACACAACTTTGACTGAGTTTAAAACTTTTATTTTCGAAAAATACCAGCAGCTGGCGGAGCAGGAGCACAGCTCCAAGATGCGGTGCCTGAACCAGCAGTATCTGGATATGCAGCTTCGGGCGGCCTGTGATTAACCCCAACTCGATTACTATTATTCCTTGTTCTTTTTTTGTGGGATTAACTATCTATATATTTTTGTACCTTTACCAAATATTAGCATAATGAAGCCGATGTTATATTTACAAGTCGCATGGCTTTAAGCATGTTACTCCTAAAACCACAGATCTGAGAGATTCAATCCAAGGACCGTGAACATTAAAAGTGAAAAAATAAAAATCAAAGATGAATCAAACCCTTTCCAAAATGAAGCACAGATTTAAAAGGCACTTGTGTACATGGATTCTACGTATAAATACATTTATTTTACTGAGCTTTGAGCTGGATCTGAGGGTTAACCCATCATACCCTTGCTACGCTTAAAGGCCGCTCCAGCCTTGCGATTGTGATTGGCACGCGAGGATTTGTGGGCCTCTTTTTGTCCACGATTGCGCTGAGTCTGCTGCGATTGTCCCTGGCCCTTGGGTGCGCCCACCACAGAGCTGCCAGTCTGTGCTCCTCCGCCTCCTCCGCCGCCGCCACTTCTATGACCGTACTTGGCCAGTTGTCGCTGCTGGTAACGAGCCCGTGTCACCTCCGGATTCTCACAGAAATCAGCTGCATTGCGTTTCGCTGGCTCCGCATCTGAGCCGCTGCCACTGCTCTCGTCATCATCGTCGTCCTCCTGGTCCTGTGCCTCATAGGCGGAATTGGAGGCGGCTGCCTGGAGCTTAGCCCGCAGCAGGCTCACCGGCGGTGCTTGTCCCTCGTTCAGAGCCTCGTAGCTATCGTCGTACTCGTCATCATATTCACCGTTCTCCAGTGGAGTCTCCTCCACCATGGCGTACTCCTGATAGCGCTGCTTTAGCTGCGCCAGATCCCGCTTGTCGTCCAGCAGCTGCTCCGCATTGCGCGGCGCCCCCGGCAACCCTTTGCCCTGCTTTATCACGCACTCGGGCTGGTCCCGCGTCAGGACATCATAGCGATCGCCGTCATGGACATTGAAGTGACGGATGCCGGTCTGGCGCTGCTGCTTATCCTGCGGATCGGGCGGTATATACTCCTTTTGTCGGTCCATTTGCGCCAGATCCGGCGGCAGATTGTCATCCAGAATGGCGGCAATGGCCTGTTCGCTATCGTCGTAGCGTGAAAGCAAACTACGGATGAAACCAATGCCCAAATCGGGCAGCACGTCCAGCACGGCGGCCACCTCCAAGTCGAGGTCCCGCGTGGCACCATTTGCGTTTGGCGAGGGCAAAGTGGAAATGGGCGAGGAGTTCTCCTCGTCGTCCTCCTCGTCGTCGTCCTGCTCCGAGTCCAGGTTGCTGGCCATGTCGTCGGCCATGATGCCACTGGGACAGCTGCTCAGGGCCTTCTGGTAGCCGGATATCACAAAGTCAATCTTGTAGTTTTTTCTGTAATATTATAATTTCTTTAAAATGATTTCTTAACCCGGAATTTACGATGACTTACATATTGGGACACCTTTGCAGCACCAGGTCCATGTCCTGTTCTAGGGGAAACTGCCGCTGGTAGTCCACCACAAAGGCCTGGGCGGAGAGGCACTCCTGCAGCAGTTCCACCAGCTGCTGGCCACGTCCCTCCGCCATTTGCACTGTGATCACGCGTCGGACGTCGAAAAGGAACTGCTGTCGGGTCTCGTTCAGCCAGCGCAGGGAACTGGCCAGGGGGTTGACCATATAAATGTTTTTGTACAGCATGGGCACCGTAAGGTCGTAGAAGTTGGCAATGCTGAAGGAGAGGCGATGCCAGGATGAGGAAATATTAAAAAAAAAAAACACTTGGAACATACCTTTGAACCAGCCGCAATTGTTCGATGACCTCCACCAGTTCCGGGCAGAGCAGCAGCAGCAGGCGCAGCGTGTAGGCACAGTCCATGGCAAAGAGCACGACATCATCGTAGGGCGTCTCCAGGTCAGCATCCAAGGGCGCACCGCCGCCAGCCCCCTCACAGCCCTCGTTCTCCACCTGGATCTGCATGCTAAGGAAGGCGCTTTCGTAGAAGAGCAGCGCTTCCTTAAGGTCCTTCCTGTACTCCGGCTGCAGGCGGAGCACATTCCCAACAATCTGGCGCAGCAGCTCCATATTCGAGGGCTCCGCATCGCCCACGGCGATGATCAAATCAAAGATCATGGGCACCGATATCAGGTAGTTGCTGTACAACAGGTTACTGTGCTGCTGCGGGCTGATCCACTCCGAGGTCGACTCCTTGGAGGTGGATAGACGCAGCACCAGACGCACCACAAAATCCAGAAGCTGGCCGTAAAGTTCAGTGGCCGATTGCAGGTCCTTTTCCCTCTCCGGGCTGTCCGCCTTGCCGGGCTCGGCCTGCATATAGTAGGGATTGGCGCGCTGCAAGAAGGTCACAACGGCAGCCATGGCCGACTCCTCGTAGACCATGTAAGACCAGAATCTAGAGGGAAGAATTAAATAATAATCAAAATCCCTGGGGCTTTACCCCATACTCACTCGTGCTGACTTAAGCCTAGTAGGAACTCCATGTCCTGGCAACAGTTGTTCGCCGCAAAGGTCCACTCCTCCAAGGCGGCTCCGGATTTCAGCCGGCCGTACGAGCCCATGAGGCAGATATAGCTGCCAAAGGGCTTCTCCCGGCGCACCCAGTGCTCGTCCTGCGTACAGTAAAGGTTAGTCTTTAGCTCCAGGTATCGCTACTTATAACCACCTACCAAGGCTGGCACATATTTCCGGACACCGTCCTGGCCAGAGAGCGAAAACTTTAGGTCGCCGAGTGGCAGGTTTTGTGGATTTCCGCTGTTGTTGTTGTTGTTATTGCTGGTGTCGTTGTCCAGCATTGCGTCGCCTCTTAACAACCAAACAACAACAATTAACTATGCTGGTTTTGGCCAATATTAGCAGATACTCTTTTTGGAAACGTGCGAAATACGTTGAATTTCATGCGAATTGTTAAAAGATATGAAATAGTGATGGAAGTAGTGTAAAATATCGAACATCGATGATGTTTTTCTTGGCCGTTTGTGTTATCGATAAGTTCCGACACCCGCTATCGATAGACCGAATCATTTAAAAATTTGAAACTTTAAGACTGCCATTTTTCTTATTGTTCTTTCCAATTCTTCTTTGGTTGTCCTCGGTGGTATCTAGATGCGGCGCAACGGGTGAGATTCCCCTTCTTTTTTTATTTATTTATTAAAGGCATTGCCTTTCATTTTGTTTATTTTTCGTAGTGCCCCTCCGGGAAGGGACAGAGACTCTTGTGACTTCTCGCCTAAAAGTGATGATTCGGCAAAAAAGTGTGTGCAATTCTCATTGGGTAAAGAGACCACCGAGGTACCCAGCTTTAAGTCCGAGTCCCATGGTGTTCCCATCACCTTTGCCAGTCCCAGGTCCCGTGAGGCTCTCCTCGACTTCATGGCGGCCACAATTCAGGCCAAAGATCTGCGCACGTGCAGCATTTTAGTGATCTGTCAGCAGAATGAGGAGGCCAGGCAAGTGAAATCGGAGATGGGCAATCGCGACATAAACACAATGCTGCTGGAAGCAGACCAACAGGCGACCCGTCAAATGGTGCTATTGTGGTCGCAGGGCGTAAGTAGTTGGCTATAAATTAAATGTTTGAGTGCTTTTATTGGAAAACCTTGTTTATTTTCAGTACATCCAGCAAGTTTTTGTTGCCTGCGACGACTGTTTGGAGATGTTCGAGGGGCTGCCCGTTGACTTTGTCATACACACTGCCCTGCCGCCAGTGGAGAAGTTCAAGGAGCGCCTGGACAGGCTGACTAAATCGGAAAACAAGGCCGAAATGCTGGCCCTTATCACGGGTGCCTTCAAAGAGGAAACTGGGATCCTTAAAAAAGAAAATGGTAAGGCACAGAATTCAGTGGTTAAATCCTTAAAGAACCTGGAGAATAAGGAGAAGGCTTCGGAATTAGTATGTAGTACTCGTGCTCTTACCCGAGGAAAGGGTTCAGTGAAGGATAAACCGGAGTCCTTAAAGGAATCCCTGCCAGAAGAAGCCGACTTGGAGGGATGGCAAACTCCACCAGAAGATCAAAAGGTAGATTACAACCATGTAGGTGGCAGTCAATGCCATATGGAGGCCTTGGTACAGGCAAGGAGCCGACTTGGCAAGGCCTCTTCTTCGTCCAGATCATCAACTATAGATTCAGCGAGGTCCACCATGGCATCAGGGAGGGTAGGCTTCGCCCGCTCCCAATTTGGCGTCCTGGCCTGGAGTCGGGATCTGATCGTTCCCTGCTATGACATGTCCGGCGTGGTGGACTTAAATACCACCATTCAGGCCACCATGAAGACAATGTTGGATGGTTTGGGAAATGGCCACCAGGCTCGGGGAGCCCAGAGATACGCCTGGCCACATGTGTCGTGTGGCAAATCCCTGGTGGCCGTAGGACCTGAGAATATTGGCAAAACCTGGTGCTACCTGCCCAGCCTGTGCCAGCGAACCCATGAGCAGATGCTCCTGTGCACCGAGGAGCACTATGGGCCCATCAGCATCGTGGTGTGCTTCAACCAGCGGAACGGCAACCAGATCCTGCAGTGGATCATAAAGCTCTTGAACCCGCTGGACCCTGGGGGGAGTCAGATTCCCCATGACCAGGTCGTCTACCTGTGGGAGAAGGGCAATGTCCAAGAGGTGGCCGACAGACTGAGCCATTCCGTGGGCATCCTTGTGACCACACCGGATATGCTGGTCCTGCTCAAGGAATGGCACACCAAAGAGGCACCTATTTTCGACCTCGACTCGGTGAAGTGTCTGGCCCTGGACAACCTATCAGGCATGATGCGCCGTCAGCCGGATACCACAGCGAAAATGGTCGATTGGATCATCCAGCTCTTAAACTTTGGCCCTGATGGGAGCCAACTGTTTGTCACCACGCGCCTCTGGCCAGGGACACTGATGCAAAAGAGCCTGCTGCCGCTTGTGCCCGATGTGCTCATTGTCTTTAAGGATCCCCTGGAGGCCACAGTCTATGGCGGAGCAGGCCTAGAAGTAAACCTGATTAGACCGGGGGAGGAGAGCCGTTCCCTGGTGCAGCTGCTCCGAGACAGGACACTGAGCAAGGAACGGATCGTGGTGATGTGCCACACCAAGGAGGAAGTGCTGGATCTCAGACACAAGCTGACGCGGGCAGGCTTCCGATCGGAGGGCATATACGACGATGGTGGCCTAACGACGGCCACCCAGTGGCGACTCCAGAGCCTGCCCCTCGTTCTCTTGGTCACGGATGATATGGTGGATAAGGTGAAGTGCGGCCCCATTGATCAGCTCATCCACTATACCTCCCCCACTAGCTGGACGAGATTTAAATTTCGGTTTTCCCTGTTGTATAAGAATTACGTGTCATCGTGTCCTTGCAAATCCGTGGTACTGCTCCAGCAGTCCGACTTCGATCGTCTCTGGGAGCTGGCCGACTTCATTGTGTGGCACCAGCTACCCCGTCCCGATCACTGGCTGCGTGTTCTGTCCGAGTGTCGTCGGTTAAAGGATAAGCCAAGCTCCCAGCTGGCGAAGCTATCCCTGTGCGACCAAATGTCGTCCTATGGTGATTGCTTCCGGCGGTACTGTCACTATCGCCACATCATGTGGAGGGAGGAGCTGCAGCCGCCGGCTAACTACCCCGGCGAGGGGGATTTTCGCTTCCAAGTGCTGAATGTGAGTGCATCTAAAATCAAATCTTCGAACCATCGGTTTTAATGGGTTTTTAACTCACTTTTCCCAGTGCTACAGCCCCGTCCAGCTGGCAGTGCGTCTGAACGAACTGTACCCCACCCAGTTCTATTTCTTTAGTCAACCGATGAGCCAACTGGGCCAAGAGGTGCATGTGCACTACGAGGTGGAGGAGAACCGGCGCCAGCACCAAAAACCAAAGGCTGGGGAGATTGTTATCGTGAGGAATCTCAAGCGGTATGAGAGGGTGGTCGTCATCCAGGCGGAGGATACGAAGGTGACAGTGCGTCTGTTGGACAACGGAATTGACCGACTAGCGTACAAACCGAGCGAGATTTTCGTGTGCGAGAAGCGTCACCAGGTGGGGTTTCCAAAGAAATAGAAATTAAAGAATCTAAGAAGACATTTTTCATCAGAAGGAACCCGGCCAGGCGATGGAAGTGCGTCTAATCGGCATCGAACCGGACACCTTGGAGCGGACCTGGTCTACGGATATGCGTGATGCGGTGCGCTCTGACTTCTTCAACCAACTGCAGGGCAAGCGGATGCGCATCTTTTCAGCCCGCGTAAAGTGCGTCCTTTCGCGAACCATCTTCGTGGACACCGTGGTCGATGACAAGGGGCAGGACCTGCGCAGCTTTCTTCTGCATCGATTCCATGTCCACGAGGAGGCCATGTCGATGGAAAAGCTAAGGGGAGTGGTGAATGCATCTCAGCCCAGGCCAAAGGATTTTTAATCATATTTTATTTGAACTTTTATTGGGTTTTTTTTAATGATTTGATTTTTATTATGTCTTTTTTTAAATAATTTGATTTGTTTTAGTTATTTTTTTCAACTAAAAGAAATCTTTTCTTGAGTCCTGGAATCCTGTTTTGGGGACTTTTTTACTTGCTTACATTTAGCACAAAAATGTGTTTTTTAATTTTTGTAATATTATTTTGGATTGAGATCTATTTTTAATTATTTTGCTTGCTTAAAGTTTATTACTTTCTCTTTGTCTTGTGACCCTCAGAGAGATTTGTAATGACAATAAGCCTTTTTTTGCGATTATTTAAATACATTTTGAAAGAAATTCCAATTAATTAATAAACGATTTATTTTTATACATAGCCTTAAGAGGGGATATACACTGCAAACGGCCAAAATGAGGTTATTTTTAGTGATTTCATTTCATCTCCTTCCGTGATCGATATCTATCCCCACTTGTGAGTCACCATACCTAACGAAGAAGCCGTTGCTTTTGGCGCAGGTGTATAGGTGAGCTCGGTTTTTTTCTATTTCCTATGTAAAATTCGCAATTTCCGAACTTAATGTCTATTCTCAATGGCCTAACCATGCGACAGCCCGACGAGGTAAGCCTCCTAAATAGCCTGAATAAATAACAATAATAAATTAATTAATTAATCAACCAGGGCAAGTGCCACATTTGCAAGCGGATTTTTTGTTGCGGCAAATGCCGCCAGAAGCATCAGTTCAACGCCCACGCCATTGCTGTGCGAGAGCCATTACCACTAGGTGTTACCTCCAGCGCCGGCAGAATCACGGAGCACCGCATGCAAATGGAATCGGGCGTGACCACCATCTATGTGTTCTGTCCAATTTGCGAGCAGCGGCCGCTGCTGCTCCAAGAGGCCATGCACGGCGAGCTGCTGGCCCACATTGAGAGCTGCCACCTGCCGCTGCGGTGCCGCAAGTGCAAGCGCAACTACACGCACATCGAGGATCTGCGGGAGTTCAGCAAGTGTGTGGACCGGCAGCAGGACTGCTCGGGAGCCAGCACCATCAACGATCTAACCTGCGACACCGAGGCCTCCAAGGTGACGGTGAAGAAGGCTCCGAATGGTAAATGCGCCATCAATAGCACCACCATCTCCACGCAAACGTCGCCGGGCGTGACGCCCATTTCGGTGATCAATATGCACTGGAAGGCCAAGAACCGCATTACCCATGAGGAGTTCATCAGCGACAGCGTCTCCTCGATCCGGAATCTCTCCTCCTTCTCCTCCTGCGGCAACAGCTCCATTCGCCGCTCCATTGGCCAGTTGGTTGTGAATCCGCCGGAAACAGTGGTGAAGGGAAAGGTCATTAGATCAACTTCAACGCCCCTGCAAGTGGAATCGGTGTTTGCCAAGCCCAAGGAGCCGATTGCCTTCAACGCCTCCAATGGGGGCCATGTGTCCAGCATTTACCAGGAGGAATCCAGTCCCGCCGCCGAGAACAATCTCGTCCAGCAGCCGATGCAGCAGCAGCGCGCCTGGAAAATTAGCGGACGCAACAAAATGAGCGCTGCCACGCCCCTGCGCCAGGTGATGTCCAAGAGCATACAGAAGGCCTTTGTGGAGCATGGCGGGATGCTATCTCAGCCTGGGCATGGAGAAATTCAGCGACGGGTGCGACTTGACCTCAGTGACCACAACAATCACTCCACAGAGGGCGGCCCGGCTGCTGGAGGATCCTCCGCCCTGGACTTACGACTCTCGCCGGCCATGCGGCGTACCCAAAGCGAGTCCAGTGCTCACGGAGCCAGCTCCAGCTCGCAAGCCGGCGATCCCTACAAGCGGCAGTTAATCCTCTCCGCCCAGAAGCTTACCACCGAATCGATCATTATAACCAGGACAAACTCCAATTCGCGCGAGACCTCCTCCACGGTCTACAACTCCTGCGAGAGCGTCGAGATCATCCGCTCCACATCGGAGTCCGCGGAGCTGCATGTGCCGCCCATTACACCTTTCCGGGTGCCCGGAACAGGGATTAACAAGAAGCAGATCAAGTTCGAGACTCCGCCAAAAAGCAGGCAGCTTCTGAAAGCCATGGAGCATGGAGAAGGTGACGGAGACGGCGAAGACTGCGAGGAGAGCAGAGAGCACTTTTATACGCCGAATCCGGGCACACCCGACCCTCAGGAACGGCGACGTCAGGCGACTGTTGCACGCCAGCTAAGCGGCGAGTTTTCGCCCAGCAAGGAGAAGGCCCATGAGGCACAGCCGCCGCCGCCGCCGCCCCGCCCCAGGCCACGTCCTCCGCTGCGAGACTGCCAACAGTCAAAGACCTTTAGCGGTGTCCAGGACGTGGGCGAGCAAGAGGACGACGATGATGAGGTGTTCTTGCCAACTAACGCGTCCACGCGCAATGACAAAAAACAGGGTCAAGGTCAGGGTCTGTGGTCGCTGGTGAGCTCCGTAATGCGGCTGCCGGCCAGCCTGCGCGGCGATAAGGAGAACTCCGGCCCGAGCTCGGGCTCGGGTTCTCTCATCCGACGCTGTGCCTCCATAGCCGGCTCCTTGGTGCGCCCTGCTAGCCGGGATGCAGGCGAAAAGGATGACGTCCATCCTCTCAAGCGAAAGCGCACGCAGACGCTGGACAACCAGTACAACAGCGATCTGTCGCCCTCCAGTGGCTCCACATCCAAGCGGTACCGCATCCGACCCAGAGATCCCATCGAGCGCATGCGCCAACACTAACACTTATTTTTAAGTCGAACTATATAATACACAAAAATATGATCAGTTAAAAAAACTAATTTGTGCCCAGTTTTTTTCCGTGCACGTGGAGTACCCGAGAGACAAAAAAACCAGGTAGAAATCTTCCAAGTATCCTTAGCGAAATCATTTCTGTTTGGCTGGTGTTTTCCCCGATGTTTGTCAGCATCGTAATCGTGTCGTCGTCATACGCATTTCGCCCACAGAGAGCAGCCGATTAGAGCCGGTGCCACCTTCATCATGTCCCGCGGCATTTGCATGTACAGCTCCAGTTCCTGACGATTCAGGGCCCGGATACCCTGTGGCGAGTCGTTGGCTATGCGGGCAATCTTCAGAAAGCGCTTCATGTCACCGAAGAAGTCCTTGATGCCGTCAAAGAACACCCGGTACAGCTGCATGGCCTTGGGGAAGTTCTTGTCATAGTTTTTGACGTAGTTAAAGTAGCGGGTGAAAATGTAGTCCTGCATGTTGTCCCGCATCTGTTCCCGCTTCGATTTGATCGTGTCCGGCTCCTTTCGCTGCTCATCCTGCGTCTTCGTGACCAGCGGCGCCGGCGGGGAAGAGCTGTCGCTGCTACTGTGGCTGATATGCTCGGTCTTTGGCTTCTCGATGGGCGTGCTGGCATCCCAGCCCGTCTCATAAATTTCATTTCGCTTGAAATGCTCTCCGCAGGTTATCGCTGTAGAGTGGTAATTGAATTTTAATGCCGATTGCTAATTAGGACGGCGGAACGCTTACCTGGCAGACGCGGCTGTGGTGGTGAGGGTGCACAGGTGTAACAGCCGCCGACGATCTTGCGGCCAGAAAATCGCCGGACCCGGAGCAAATTGGGCCACGCGCAAGGCCAACGCCATTCCGGCCACCAACTCTGAGCGACGCCGATGCAGGAGCTCGCCCACAACTTTAATTAAAGGATTAAAAAATTTCACATGCAATACGGGACCAGTGCGCCCATTTGCGAAACTGTTTTTTATAGCCGAGATTTGAATAAAGGATATTTTCTAAGTATGTAAGATCGATCAATTGATTAAGCAGATAATTAAGCCAATAAAGCCAATAAACGGCAGAAAAGGCATTAGCTGGCTTGAATCCGGCGGCAGAGTGGCAGCGCTGCCGGATTTCAGATCCAGTTTTAACGGCCCAGGCTCATGTGTTCTGGAAAGGCAATTTATTAGAGGATGCTGCTGATAAACTGGAGATACTCACTCTCCTGGGCCTCAGCGACTATCAGCCCGATGAGGCGAATGACGAAGGTCGGCTCAGAGGACCCGGCTTCCCGACACGCCTTTGCAATTGCCCCCTTCCAGCCGCGGCCGAGGTTCTCCAGCTTCACGGTGTTGGCCTCCAAGAAGTCGCGAGTGCCGTGTGCCCTCATCCTCGCGGTAGAAGTTCCTTGCGGCTTGAGGGGCCCGCTCCAGGTACCGCTCGACTTCTGGGCTGGGGTTCGTTTTTAAATCTTGTAAAAACCCTTTTAGGACTGTTTCTGTCACCGAAAATTTTCGGGAGACGGTGACTACTAAATGGTCGTAGTCCGGAATCATCGGGAGCGTCAGGATCTTCTTACACTGGGTGTTAAGGATACACTGATCGCTCACCACCGCCATTATGTTGTCGTACACCTCGAGGCACTTTCCGGCGTGAAGAAGGTTCCTCAGGTCGAGGGCCACCTCAGTCGCGCCCAGCCTCCTTCGTTTGTGTGACAGCCGCACCGAGAGCACCCGGCTCAGGACGCCGTCCACGCTCGTCCCTATTATCGTTAGGACTTTGAACTTATACTCTCCGACCGTAACATGCAGGTCGTCTAATATAATATAGAACGGCGTCCTTTTGAACTTGTCTAGGTTGCTGTACAGCGTCAGGTATTCCCTGTCCAGCTGCTCGGCCTTGTCTGGCATTTTCAGTTTGTTCAACACGTAATTTTGGTCCATGAGACTGTGGAAAACGGTGGTTTTCCGTATTTTGGATTCCCAATCAGATTGCTAAAGAAAAAAATTAAAATTAATTAATTAATTAATTAGTAGTTTGAGCCGGCTCGAGGTCAACGACCCTGAGTCGGCTTAAAAACTCCTAACGCCTCTCATTACGGATTTCACTTGTCACTCGAAAAGTAACTGTAAAAAGTTAACTGCAAGAAGAGTCCCGGGAAAAATATGCAAAAATGTCCGCATTCGACCAATTAACGATTGAACCCGGAAAATTGCAGTGCTCCAATTTCCGGGGCAACTTGACGGAGCTGGCCGCGTTGGCTGCCATTTACAGCGGCGAAAAGAGGAAAGCCCCGACGCCAGAGGAAGGCCAGGAGCCGAAAAAGACGCTGGGCAGGGCGAAGTTGCAGGAGGAAAAGAAGGTGCACCACGGCAACTCGCAGGAGCAGAACAACCATTTTCCGCGGAACCATAGTGACGACGAAAACTCACCTTTTCGACGAGATCGGCAAACAACTTGGTTAACGAGTCCGCAAGCTAAAGAAGGCAGGGTTTTCCAAAGATCCTTTTATATCGCTGTGGTATATACATATATAGCCCGATATCTGCAGATTGGCAAAACCTCACGTCTTCACTCTTCTGACACTCTTCTTCAAGGCAGTTTTCCCCTATATCGCGATTTCGACCCATATCGGTATAATTCGCGATCAGCCATAGATAGCTGATTTTTCGAAAATGCGCGCTGAAAAAACCGCCGCTCGGCGAGGCTGCCACCTTGCCGCCAGAAACGGCTTTAAAACTGTTTAACTGCTTCGTGTCCCGCCAGAAACTGCTTTGCTTTGCTTGCTGCTGTTGCTTTTGTTGCTGTGGAGTTGCCACCCCGCGGAAAAAGCTACAGCTAGAGTGCCAAACTTCTCAATTGGAAGTTCTTAATTCTCTTAATTCCCTTAACCTAAGCTCGTTACCTATTCCCGGTTCGCTCTTTCAAATCCCTGCCCTTTACCGATCTATCGATAGTCCTGGAAGAGGCGGACATCTTTTTGCGTTTTGTTAAAATTTGTAGTCCTAATAATGGCAACGAAGCTGCCTGCAATCAATATTAAGCCAGGAGCTTCCGCTCCCAGCATGACCACGTCCGATCCGGAGGCACCAAATCTATGGATCCATTGCAATAGCTGCTGCGAACAGTACGTCCAGAAGAAGTCCAAGTTCTTCCTCCTCGCCTGCCACCACGTAGCGTGCGATAAGTGCGTCAAGGTCTGTGCGGGCCGCACGCCCACCGATGCACCGGTATTTGAGTGTCCCGTCTGCCGCAACAAAGTGCGCGGTCGCCAGGTGAACAACACGATGCCCAGCAACTTCAAGCAGTTCTTCCACCCGGAGCCGTTCAGCCTAAACATCGAGTTCATCACCACGTTCCAGATGGCCAACCATCGCCACTTTGACAGAGTCAAGGAGAAGAAGGTGGGGAACATGTTATAATCAGGATGATCATGATAGTAATTTGGTTGTAGGGAGCAAAGGCACACAAGCTGCAGAAGGACGTCGATCTGGCCAAGTCCATTTGCCAGAAGGGCTACTGTAACCTGGAGATCATGCGCGTGGAACGCCAGAAGCTTTCACAACGGATACGCCAAATAAAGATACAGGTGGCCAAGCAAAAGGAAGAAAACGAGAAGGAGAAGCGGTTCGTAGATCCTTTTTAGGTTAAAAGCTCTTCGGGTTGAAAGCTTAAATCATTTTATTGTTTATCCACCTCAGCTTGGCGGCGGAGATATGTTATGGCATTCAAACACAGCCCAAATCTGGCTCGGGACATGGACAGGAACGGCTGCGAGCGAAAACAGTCTCTCCCATAAATAAGCATTGTCGTAATACGAGCATCACATCCTCGAGTTCCTCGCAAAAGCACAAGCAGGTGACCAGCTTCCGACACCAGTCTAATAATTCCTTCAATTTGTAGATTTATTACCATTGCACAAGTGCACTTAAACTTAATTTCTATATATACTATAAAATAAGAACGTATATACAGTATGCGTACGTAAATATCTCTATAATAATAGAGGTATAAAATTTAAGTCTAACATAACATCTAAGTTATTCCGTTATATTCAAATTCTAACGTTCCAATCGGTTATTAAAAACAAAACAAAAATTTGTACAACTATGATATAAATAAGATGAAGTTTAAGAAATGTACAGTATTTTTAAATTTATTTAGTCCTTTGTTGAGTTATTAATTATTTTAGTATTATTATTATTATTTTTTTTTTGTTGTAAATTTGCCTTAAGCACCGGACGGTATTATTGTTCGAAAGTTCCACGGTCACACTGAGGCTAAATAAAACTTATTTGGTGTCAGAATTTGGTCATTTGAAAGTCTCTGCGTTAAAGTAGCTCCTTTGTTATTCGCAACATGTTGGCCAAGTCAATTCTGTCGATCGCGGCTTGTGCCCTGCTGATGTCCGCCGCTGCCCACGCGGCCCAGGACGAGGACCCCTCTGCCGGCAAGCAGGCTGAGAAACAGTTCGCCGTGGAGCTGGACCCCGACACCTTTGATGTCGCTATTGCCGGCGGCAATGTCTTCGTCAAGTTTTTTGCACCCTGGTGAGTAGTAGTAGTAGTTCGATTTGTGCTTCCCCAGTCCATGTCCAAGTCCAATTTCGGTCAACTTCTGCCGGCGAATCGCAGCGGTCCACATCGTTGATTTGATGTGACCAAGCCACGCACACATAATCACCGTTTGTGTTCCGGTCTGCAATTTCGCTGATGAACCGTCAGTTTTGCAAAGTAGTCAGTAAATGGGTTTAAAGTTTGGCCCTTGTGTCTCATATGTGTATATTTTCCTATATATTTATTTATAAATAATGATCTTCAAATGGATCTAAAGTATTTCGTAAACGAGCCAACCTAATCCCTCATCAAATTCAGCGAATTTGAAAGCGGGAACATCTTTTTATGTATGTTAATGTAGGCACATACTCGCATATTAGGGCAGGTGAATGGATGTTGGTGTTGGTGCAGCTGGCTGTATGTGTCTCCTGAAGATCTGGCATGACCCTCGGCCCGATTTGGTCAGGCAAGCGAAGATCCGCGCAACCGAAGAGATTCGTCATGGCCCAGACGCAATCGAGTGGCACGTTCACTGATAAGACGATCACAGGGGCTTTAGTTTCCAGAAATCCCCCCTGCTAGCCCCCGTCCCTTGATTGACACACTAAGCGCTCTGGTCAGTGCTCTCCCTTAGCCTTATCACAGCCATCGGAGCTGTGTCTATGGGCTAATTTGATTGGTTCCAATTATGTTGCTAGGAAGTGGTCTTTGCAAGGCGATTAGACGCATCAAGAGGGGGAGTAGGAGGGAACTTGAACTGCGACTCGCTCGATGATAAACTCTTTGTTCGGCACAAAGCACACACAGGACGGAGCACAAAGCCTTATCAGGGCTCATTGTTTTGTCCCCGTTTGTGTGCAGCCACCAAAATTGATTATCGATTAAGCGATTTTTGCAGTTTTAAAATAAATTTAAAAATATTTAAAAAGTATATTAATATTTATAGAGTTTCGTTTATAAAAATATTAAAATTACACCTTTTTTGATTTATAATCAGGTGCGGTCACTGCAAGCGCCTGCAGCCCCTGTGGGAGCAGCTGGCGGAGATCATGAACGTGGACGAACCAAAGGTGATTATCGCCAAGGTAGACTGCACCAAACACCAGACCCTGTGCGGCGCCCACCAGGTTACCGGCTATCCCACACTGCGTCTCTTCAAGCTGGGCGAGGAGGAGTCTGTGAAATTCAAGGGAACCCGCGACTTGCCCGCCATCACCGACTTCCTTAACCAGGAGCTGAGCACACTGGCCGAGGCGGATTTGAGCGTGGCAACCAAGCGTGAGGAGGTGGGCGAGAATGCCAATCTTGGCAAGGTGGTGGATCTCAACGAGGAGACCTTTGCCAAGCATGTGTCCAGCGGCAATCACTTCGTCAAGTTCTTTGCTCCCTGGTGCAGTCATTGTCAGGTAATTAACCTTGGAAGGAAAGATTCTTTGAGCCAAAACCATCTTTAATTGGTTGATAATTTTTTGGCTTCCATTAAACCCATTTTACCCTACCCATTATGTTCACAGCGCTTGGCTCCCACCTGGGAAACTCTGGCCAAGGAGCTGGTGCCGGAGCCCGCCGTTACCATCTCGAAGATCGACTGCACCCAGTTCCGTTCCATTTGCCAGGACTTTGAGGTGAAGGGCTATCCCACGCTGCTCTGGATCGAGGATGGCAAGAAGATTGAGAAGTACTCTGGCTCCCGAGACCTGGACACGCTGAAGACCTATGTAGAGAAGATGGTGGGTGTGCCCCTGAAGAAGAGCGACGAGGACAAGACCGCTGGCGATGAAGCTGCCAAGAAGGAGGATGCTGATGCCGAGGAGGAGGTAGCCAAGAAGCTTACAGCCCAGCAGCTGACCGGCGAGGCGGAATTCGACGAGTCCATCGCCGATGGCGTGGCCTTCATCAAGTTCTATGCTCCATGGTGCGGACACTGCCAGAAGCTGCAGCCCACCTGGGAGCAGCTGGCCACGGAGACGCACCAGGCCCACCAGAGTGGCGTGAAGATCGCCAAGGTGGACTGCACGGCGCCGGAGAACAAGCAGATTTGCATTGACCAGCAGGTGGAGGGCTATCCCACGCTGTTCCTTTACAAGAATGGCCAGCGGCAGAGCGAGTACGAGGGCAGTCGCCGGCTCCCGGAGCTGCAGGCCTACCTCAAGAAGTTCCTTGGCCACGACGAGCTCTAAGAAGGATCAGAAGCAGGAGCAGTCGAATGAACAAAATCGCCCGCCAAACTAAACTAATCGTAAACATAATGTTTCTCTCCGCATTCAGTCAAACCAGCAGCAAGAAGCCTCTGTGAGGAGCCCGCATTTACACAGTATCCCACATCCGACATCGAAAAGACAACAAAGCATGCAACTAGCGGGAATAGAAGTCATCCAATTTGTTGTGATCTTAGTTCCCAATCCCCCCGCTCTGTGTTCAAGCCCACGTCCTTTTATCGGCTCTCTGGAGCTGAGGCTTGGTTCGTTTCCCATTTTCATGTTTTATGTTTTAGAATTTATTTCAATGGGACGCAAGAAGGCCATTTAGCAAGCTTTTATTTCTATTTTTAATATATTTTCTTTTTTTTTTGTCAGCAGGCTACCTTTAAGTCTTTCTTAGGAGAAATTGTCAAACACAAAACAAATAAAAATTAATTGAAAAAGGCGAGCCTGTGTTGGTGATTTGTGGAACAAAGTGCAAAAAAGGGTAATTAAACAGTACATTGTATTTAAACACTGGTTTGTATTTTTATTATATTTATTTATTTATTTATTTTTTTTTTTTGCTAAACATGCGTACATCTGGCAAGCAGACAAAACTCTGAGGCAACAAAGGCTTTTGTTGGTTCAACCCACTTGTGGTGGAATTACCCCTTAAATTGTTAACAAAATGTATTGTTTTGTATTATTTATCAAGCTCTTGAGAATTTTTTATTTATTTTTTTTTTAAGTCGCACCTGTTCAACTAATGCCAAATAATTTGCTTTAATCAATAATAATTTATACCAATTTCACAAATTAGGTTAATATTTTGTATTTATTTATATAAACCTAACAGTTGGTATACAAAATAATTGCTAACGTATGTTTTAAGAGCATTAGCTGCTATGTAGGTTAATATATTATAAATTCTTTTACTAAGGCATACTAATTTTATCCTTTTTTTTATATATTTCCAAATTTAAAGAAAAAGCGACTAACTTCATGTTTAAATTTAAACCTTAACGTAACCATTATTTAACAGCACCGTGGCCATATGCATTACGTTAACATAACCATGTTAACTCTATGTAAAATATTTAACAGAAAGTTTAAAATATTTTGTGTTTGGTTTTTAACCGGACTAATTGGCTATCGATAGTGCCTTCGCTGACCGAGTGTGACCCTGCTGAATATATTTATCGAAGAATATAGCCGAGCTGGTCACTCTGAAAAAGCAAAACTGCAACTCACGAAATTTGTCTAAAGAATTTGTTGATTTGTTAAGCGTTGCCTACTGAGAGTTTAAGAAAAGTTACAAGATGACCGTGACCGCCACGCCACTGCCCGACAATATGAGGGTGAAAGCCTTCTCCGACTACAGAAAGAAGCTGTTGGAGCACAAGGAGATCGAGGGCCGTCTCAAAGAAAGTACGTTCTGCGCCGCCGGCCCCCATTAGTTTGTTGGCGAATCCTCATCGTTTGTTCCCCATTTCAGAGCGCGAGGAGATCAAGGAGCTGACCAAGCTGTACGACAAGTCGGAGAACGACCTGAAGGCGCTGCAGAGCGTGGGTCAGATCGTAGGCGAAGTGCTGAAGCAGCTCACCGAGGATAAATGTGAGATTCCAGCTTCCCGCGGGGCGTATTGTGTGTGTGTATGTGTTTTACATGCTTCCTTTGTTTTCCAGTCATTGTGAAGGCCACCAATGGACCCCGCTACGTGGTCGGATGCCGGCGACAGCTGGACAAGGCGAAGCTCAAGTCTGGCACCCGTGTGGCCCTCGACATGACCACGCTGACCATTATGCGGTATCTGCCACGCGAGGTGGACCCGCTGGTGTACAACATGTCGCACGAGGACCCCGGCGATGTTACCTACTCGGCCATTGGCGGCCTCACCGAGCAGATTCGTGAGCTGCGCGAGGTGATCGAGTTGCCGCTCCTCAACCCGGAGCTCTTCCTGCGCGTTGGCATCACGCCGCCCAAGGGCTGCCTGCTGTACGGACCCCCCGGCACGGGCAAGACTCTGCTAGCCCGCGCCGTGGCCTCCCAGCTGGACGCCAACTTCCTCAAGGTGGTGTCCTCGGCCATTGTGGACAAGTACATTGGCGAGAGTGCCCGTCTCATTCGCGAGATGTTCAACTACGCCCGCGACCACCAGCCCTGCATCATATTCATGGACGAAATCGACGCCATTGGTGGACGACGCTTCTCCGAGGGCACCTCGGCGGATCGCGAGATACAGCGCACACTGATGGAGCTGCTCAACCAGATGGATGGCTTCGATTCCCTGGGCCAGGTTAAGATGATCATGGCCACCAATCGGCCGGACACCCTGGATCCTGCCTTGTTGCGTCCTGGTCGCCTGGACCGCAAGATTGAAATTCCGCTGCCGAATGAGCAGGCCCGGTGAGTGGCTCTTAACTGGCTTCGAAGTAGATGGATCACCTGGGTGTGATTTATGCGACAGTCCTGTCCTTCCATTGATTAGATATCTGCCTCAAAAGCCAGGCTAATTATATACATTCTGTGGACTTACTGCTTATCTTGGGGAGCGCAAACAAAGCTACCAGAAAATGAGTCAGAAAGCTACAATTTTATACGAACCATGGAACCCCCATTAACATGACTTCTATATTCTCTTTAGTCTGGAAATCCTTAAGATTCACGCCCTGAAGATCGCCAAGCATGGCGAGATCGATTACGAGGCCATTGTGAAGCTGTCGGACAACTTCAACGGCGCTGATCTGCGGAATGTGTGCACAGAGGCGGGTCTCTTTGCCATCCGGTGAGTGTACAACCAGAAGAAGGGAGTAGCACCCCTCTAACCAGTTCCCCAATCTCTCCCTGCTGCAGCGCCGAGCGGGAGTATGTGATCCAGGAGGACTTCATGAAGGCAGTGCGCAAGGTCTCGGACAACAAGAAGCTGGAGAGCAAGCTGGACTACAAGCCCGTCTAGGAAGCCCACAGTAGACTTAACCACGAAGGGATTTACACACATATACAGATATATATATTATGTCCACGAAACAGGCTTGTCATACATAGTCCGTTGCTCTTCTCCATACGCTAATATTAAATGCTATGTAAAGATACGGGTTTGGTTACTTAGTTGCTCTTCTGCTGCTGCTGCTCCTCGATGCGCCGCTTCTTGCGCTCCAAATAGTCGCTGACATTGTCGAATCGCTTCTTGAACCAAACGGACAGGTCCTCGGGCTGAAAGTTCACACAGTTGCCATCCGCATCCGGCAGGGCATGCAGCCCCTCCAGCACCATCTTCAGCCAGCCCTCGGGCACTCCTTTGGATGGTATGCCCGTGGCGCTGTCGTACACCCGCAGCTCCAGGCGTTCGTTCACCGCCCCTGTCACATAGATCCGGTTGGCGGTTAAAGTAAAGTTGCAAATGTTCCAGGCACCTGCGTCCGCCCGCACCAGCTGCGTGAGGTTGATTGCCCAGCTCTCTCGGCCGCTCCGTTCCAGGTGGAACAGGGCCAGAGCATCCTCATAATCGTATAATAGCATCGCCGCCTGGAAGACCTTGTCCGTTTCCAGTTCACGCACCTGCATACGCATCGCCGGCGCCGGCAGCTCGTGCACCAGCAGCTCCTTGCCCTCGATGAAGTTCCATATGCGCAGCGTCTTGTCGCCGGAGGCGGAGGCAATGTGCCGATCGGTGAGCAAGGCAAGACCCGACACAAACTCCCGATGCCCGAGGCAATAGCTGTGTATGTCGAAGGTGGCGGGATAGTTGGTGACGCGTATTTTGTCGTCCCGGTCGCAGGTAATGATGTGCTGCTGGTCCTCGGACCAAAGAATGTCGTACACCACGCTCAGGTGGCCGAGGAGGAGGCGCGGAGCAGCCTCCACTTCCACGCAGTCGTACTGGTAGCAGTCGCCCGTCTTGTCCGTGACCAACACGGAGCTGCTGTCGCTGCAAAAGCGCAAGGCGCTGGCGGCGCGGGCCAGCGGCCGAGCGGACAGCAGGCGGGCATGCTCCGGGCGGGCGCGGTAGAGCAGCAGGGCCTTCTGCGCGCCGGACGTGGTCACGGCCAGCAGCTGTCCGTCCGGCGAGTAGCTTACATTCTGCACCGCCACCTCGGCCGCGGAACCAGATCCCGAAGCTGTTGCTTCCCGCTGCTTTGCAGCTCCACCAGCAGCGGCAGGCTGTTGCTCCTGGCCGGGGCCGGGTCCAGTGGCTGGACAGGATCCGGGCTCGGGTACCTTGAGGCCGCACGTGGCCAGATCAGGCGGCAGCTCGATCTCCTTAAAAATCTGCAGGTCGTCGGGGTTGACGAACAGCACCCTGCGGCCGTGGCCGACCACCAACTCGGGCTCGGCGAAGAAAATCGTTGCCATTGCTCCTGCGTGTCGTCCGAAATTCCGAAGGCGCCGCACAAAAAAAAAATAAAAAGTGCTTTCAGCGGTGCCAGTGCTGCCAACTCGTCGGTAAACCAGCTAGCAGCAGTTGGTATATTCAGCCTTTTTTGGTATATTCCCGGGGCAGACTTTTTGCTGGCTTATTGCAACGCCCGCGCCACGGTCACACAGCAAACTATTTTTTTTTTTTGCGAAAATATCATTAACAAACATTTCGGCAAAACGACCGGCTTATTGACAGCAGGAAAATCTCATGCGTGGGCGAACCGAAGCAAGCTGAATCCGAAGCATTCCCGCTCCGGCCCAGAACCGGAAACCAGCAGCAGGCACTCCGCAAAGAGGAGCCCAAGAGCGAGCAATAAACCGGCAACGGCAACCCAGAACGCTGCTCCCTGCGGGCCAAACCCATGCGAGTGACAGAGAGAGGGCTGGCGAGAAGAGCAGAAGCAGAGCAGCACAGAGCGAGTTCTGCGCGAATAGAAAATAGCGAAAAAGTCATCAATTATATTTAGGCCATGAAGAGCGTGCTGATGGTGGCCGAGAAGCCCTCGCTGGCAGCCTCGCTGGCGGGCATCCTCTCCAACGGCCGCTGCACCGCCAAGCGGGGTGAGTTTGTGTAAAATCTCCGTTTGCCCACGGAATATAATAATAATCCGTAATCCTAAGCCAGGCACCGGCAACGGCTGTTCTACGCACGAGTGGACGGGCAGCTTCCGCAACGAAGGCAGCGTCCACTTTCGGATGACGTCGGTGTGCGGGCACGTGATGTCGCTGGACTTCATCAGCAAGTACAATTCGTGGGACAAGGTGGATCCCGTGGAGCTCTTCGGCTGTCCCACCGAGAAGAAGGAGACGAACCCCAAGCAGCACATGCGATCCTTTCTGGCGCAGGAGGCGCGTGGCTGCGATTATCTGGTTCTTTGGCTGGATTGCGACAAGGAGGGCGAGAATATCTGCTTTGAGGTAATGGACGCAGTGCAGCACGTCATCCACAATGTGTACAGCCGCCAGGTGACCTATCGTGCCCACTTCTCCGCCATTACCGACAAGGACATCAAGGGCGCCATGGAGACTTTGGGGCATCCCAACGAGAACGAGGCCAAGTCTGTGGATGCGCGACAGGAGCTGGACTTGCGAATTGGCTGTGCCTTCACCCGCTTCCAGACGAAGTTCTTCCAGGATCGTTACGGCGACCTGGACTCCTCGCTAATCTCCTACGGCCCCTGCCAGACGCCCACGCTGGGCTTCTGTGTGAAGCGTCACGACGACATCCAAACCTTCAAGCCGGAGAGCTTCTGGTATCTGCAGCTGCTCGCCGGCCAGCCGGAGTTCACGCTGGAGTGGGCGCGCGGACGCGTCTTCAAGAAGGATGTGGCCATCATGCTGCTGAATCGTGTCAAGGAGCAGAAGGAGGCCACGTAAGACAGCTCCCCTAACAGCTTCCTAATCCTTGTCGCTAACCCTTCGTTCTTCTCTTTTCGCTATGATCTTTCAGGGTGGAGAGCGTGGGCAGCAAGGAGGCATTCAAGAGCAAGCCCCAGGCCCTGAACACCGTGGAACTGATGCGGATATGCAGCTCCGGGCTGGGCATTGGCCCGTTCCAGGCCATGCAGATAGCGGAGCGCTTGTACACGCAGGGCTACATCAGCTATCCGCGAACGGAGACCAACCAGTATCCGGCCAACTTTGACCTGCCGGCCGTGCTCCGTGTGCTGCAGCCGTCGGGCGATTTTGGGGACGAGGCACGCACCATTCTGGGTGACCTGCAGACGCCGCGTAAGGGCAAGGACGCGGGCGACCATCCACCAATCACGCCCATGAAGCTGGGCAACCGGAGTGACTTTGATCGCGATACCTGGCGCGTCTATGAGTTCATCTGCCGGCACTTTATGGGCACGGTGTCGCGCGACTTGAAATACCGCGTCACCACGGCCAAGCTGAGCGTGGGCCTTGAGACGTTCACCTGCACGGCGAATGTCCTGCTCGACGCTGGCTTCACCAAGGTGATGACCTGGCAGGCCTTTGGCCGGGACGAGCCAATGCCGCCGTTTGTCCAGGGCACTCAGGTGGCCATCAACGATGTCCGGCTGGCGGAGAGCCAGACGGGGCCGCCAGATTATCTCACCGAGGCGGAGCTGATAACGCTAATGGAGCAGCACGGCATCGGAACGGACGCCTCCATTCCGGTGCACATCAACAACATCTGCCAGCGGAACTACGTGCACATCGAGAACGGACGGAAGCTGATACCCACGACGCTGGGCATTGTGCTGGTGCACGGCTATCAGAAGATCGATCCGGAACTGGTGCTGCCCACCATGCGATCCGAGGTGGAACGGATGCTGACGCTAATTGCCCAGGGCTCGGCCGATTTCCAGGACGTGCTGCGCCACGCCATCCAAATCTTCAAGCTGAAGTTCATGTACTTTGTGAAGAACATTGCCAACATGGATGCGCTCTTTGAGGTCTCCTTCTCGCCGCTGGCGGAGTCGGGCAAGGCGCATTCGCGCTGTGGCAAGTGTCGACGGTACATGAAGTATATACAGGTGGGTAACTCACGATGGAGGTGCCTGCTCCAAGCTAATCCCTGGTTTCTCTCTCTCTCTCCCCCTCGCAGACGAAGCCCGCCCGGCTGCACTGCTCGCACTGCGACGAGACCTACTCCCTGCCCATGGGCAATGTCAAGGTGTATCGCGAGTTCAAGTGCCCGCTGGATGACTTTGATCTGCTGGCCTTCTCCACGGGCGTCAAGGGACGGTCGTATCCGTTCTGTCCCTACTGCTACAACCATCCGCCGTTCAGCGACATGCCCAATCTGGGCGGCTGCAACACCTGCACGCACTCCACCTGCCCGCACTCGCTAAACACGCTGGGCATCTCCGGCTGCGTTGAGTGTCCCACCGGCGTCTTGGTGCTGGACTGCACCCTGGCGCCCACTTGGAAGCTGGGCTGCAATCGGTGTGATGTGATCATCAATTGCTTCAAGGGCGCCACCAAGATCACAGTGGAAGGTGGGTCTTGGCATCTCACTGTTTGTCCTGGCTTTAATCATTATTTGTCCTTGCAGAGGCCAAGTGCCAGGAGTGCGGGGCGCAGCAGGTGAACGTGGTGTATAAATCCGACAAGAGCAAATTCAAGGATGGCAGCGAGGAAAAGACCGGCTGCATCTTCTGCTCCACGGATTTCTCGCATTTGGTGGAGAAGCATCGGGCGGTGGCGTCACGACCCGTTCGCAGTGGAGGCGGTTCCCGGGGCGGCAAGGTGGGACGCGGCGGTGGCGCTGCCGGCGGACCCGCTGCCGCTGGGCCAGGTGGAGCGGTGGCTGCCGGAGGAGCGGGCGCACCGGGTGGCGGCGGGGGACGTGGCGGACGCGGTGGAAGGCAGCCCAAGGATAAAATGGCTCAGCTGGCGGCGTATTTCGTTTGAGTGTGTGTGGTCGGCACGTCAGTGGCTTGCATTTAAAAACAAACATACGAAATCCACAAAGAACCCACAAAACCGAATAAAAGAAACAAATTGTATAAAGACAGCGAGCATTTACTGCGGTCACCAGGGGTTAAGGTTCATCGTAAGGTTAAGTAAATTAAATACATTTCGATGGCAGCGAATTATTGGGTCAATATTTAACAATTGCAGTAATAAATTGGTATTTCATATTAATATAAAAAATAAATAAATCTGGATTTTAAAATATTGGGGGTTTAGTGATAGTTTCGTTACATCACCGCTCGAAAAGCTGACATCATCTAACATCACATTTCATCAGCAATTCAATTTTTACAGTAAGCGAACGTTCCAGATGCAGTTAGTCACGAATCAGTGTGCACACACACACATGTGCGTGCATGCAAGTGTATATATGTGTGTATATGCTTTGGGGAAATGAAAAAGTGAGGTCTGCCCCAATATGTATGTATATATGCGTGTGCTTGTGGGGGTCTTGTCTGAGGCTGTTGACCAAAGCGAAGACAAATCATGCAGCGTCAAAACAAAAAAGGTCGTTTAACTCGCCAAACAAAGAAAAAAATACAGCTAGAACATATACATTCACATCACACGCATATATAATTACAAACATACACATTGGACAGTGTTGTAAAAGCCCACATCGAACTTATCGATAGCTCGGCTATGATGTCCATGAGCGCGAGCGAGAAAGCAAATGCACTACGCATTTTGTTTTCAATGCCTAATTTTGACCATTTCTAATTTAAACACGAACGATATTCTTGGCAATACTTGAGGTTTAAGTTCCAAATTGTATGTTTTTCTTATGTGTCAAGCCGATAGCTCATTACAAATCAGCTAACAAAGCAATCCGAGCACAATTGTCGTCTTAGAGTGAGCGAGACGAATATCTAGTCCGACAAATACCCACCGCCCTCTATAAATACGGGTCGCTCGCTTTGCATCTGGCAGTTGAGAAAATAGTGGAGAATAAAGCAGAAAAAGAAAGCAAGTTTTTAAACACGGACTCTGTGAATTGTTAAAAAGTGCAGAAATACAATTAAATTAATTTATACAAAGTCAAGCCAATAAGGTGAGTAAATGTAGAATGAAAAATGCTGCCTATAAAGTCGCTCGCGAAGCATCGTTGTGAGAAATAGGAGAACGATAAAGCAGAAAAAAAAGAAAGCAAGTTTTTAAACACGGACTCAAATTGTAGAACGAGAATAAATAAAATTAAATTAATTTATACAAAGTCAAGCCAATAGGTGAGCAACTGCAGAATGAAAAATTCGGTTTTTTTTTCTTAGTTCTTTTGTGTGCCCCCTTCCAAACTGCATCCAAAATGGCGTCGCAGCAGAGAAGTGCAGCTAAGAATAAAGAAAATGGGGGAATGAGTGCGTGGCTGTGCTTCCAGGGCCATTTTTTCTTCTAAATTTCCGATTAGTCATTGTCGTAAATTCGACGTTTCATGGCGAAATTATTAAGTATTCAGTTGTGAAAACATTCGGGGGAAAACCCAGAAGTACGCCTGTGTGTGTGTATGTTACTGGGTCACGAGAACTGGGTCACTACGCAGAAAATCAATTGCGCACTTTCCTGCCAAATTTCATATACACACAAACACGACTGAATTTGATTTTTTTTTCTCCGCCCACAGCCAACATGCAAATCTTCGTCAAGACTTTGACCGGCAAGACTATCACCCTTGAGGTCGAGCCCTCCGACACAATCGAGAACGTCAAGGCCAAGATCCAGGACAAGGAGGGCATTCCCCCAGACCAGCAGCGTCTGATCTTTGCCGGAAAGCAGCTGGAGGACGGACGCACCCTGTCCGATTACAACATCCAGAAGGAGTCCACCCTTCACTTGGTTCTGCGTCTGCGTGGAGGCATGCAGATCTTCGTCAAGACTTTGACCGGCAAGACCATCACCCTTGAGGTCGAGCCCTCCGATACCATTGAGAACGTAAAGGCCAAGATCCAGGACAAGGAGGGCATTCCCCCAGACCAGCAGCGTCTGATCTTTGCCGGAAAGCAGCTGGAGGACGGACGCACCTTGTCCGATTACAACATCCAGAAGGAGTCTACCCTTCACTTGGTTCTGCGTCTGCGTGGAGGCATGCAGATCTTCGTCAAGACTTTGACCGGCAAGACCATCACCCTTGAGGTCGAGCCCTCCGATACCATTGAGAACGTCAAGGCCAAGATCCAGGACAAGGAGGGCATTCCCCCAGACCAGCAGCGTCTGATCTTTGCCGGAAAGCAGCTGGAGGATGGTCGCACTCTCTCTGACTACAACATCCAGAAGGAGTCGACCCTTCACTTGGTTCTGCGTCTGCGCGGAGGCATGCAGATCTTCGTCAAGACTTTGACTGGCAAGACCATCACCCTTGAGGTCGAGCCCTCCGACACCATCGAGAACGTCAAGGCCAAGATCCAGGACAAGGAGGGCATTCCCCCAGACCAGCAGCGTCTAATCTTTGCCGGAAAGCAGCTGGAGGACGGACGCACCCTGTCCGATTACAACATCCAGAAGGAGTCTACCCTTCACTTGGTTCTGCGTCTGCGTGGAGGCATGCAGATCTTCGTCAAGACTTTGACCGGCAAGACCATCACCCTTGAGGTCGAGCCCTCCGATACCATTGAGAACGTCAAGGCCAAGATCCAGGACAAGGAGGGCATTCCCCCAGACCAGCAGCGTCTGATCTTTGCCGGAAAGCAGCTGGAGGATGGTCGCACTCTCTCTGACTACAACATCCAGAAGGAGTCGACCCTTCACTTGGTTCTGCGTCTGCGCGGAGGCATGCAGATCTTCGTCAAGACTTTGACTGGCAAGACCATCACCCTGGAGGTCGAGCCCTCCGACACCATCGAGAACGTCAAGGCCAAGATCCAGGACAAGGAGGGCATTCCCCCAGACCAGCAGCGTCTGATCTTTGCCGGAAAGCAGCTGGAGGACGGACGCACCTTGTCCGATTACAACATCCAGAAGGAGTCCACTTTGCATTTGGTCCTGCGTCTGCGTGGCGGCGCTCTCTAGATTTTCTCACCAAACCCAGAATCCAAAATCCAAATCTCATAAACTTGATCTTACCGCCACACGGCGTAGTTAAAACACAAGTATTCAATAAACTCAAAATTTAATTAATCCATGTAGTGAGCATTCGGCTAAATAATAAATCTACTATTGGTGTGCTTAAAAATAAACTTGCTCTGGTATTTTCTTTTGGTTTCCGAAGGAGGTTTCTGCCATCGTTTGGACTTTGCTTTGTGCAAGAAACCACGAATCCGCTAGGTAAAGAATGCAGTTTGAGTATTTATTAATTTACAAGTTATTTATTTATCTATATCAAATATTTGTATAGTAAAAAAAAGTAAGCTTAAATGTTTAAATTCGTCGGGGAATATTTAAATTTAAATTGAATACCCTTTTGAGGGTATTTGAATTTCTGTCAGAAGCTTACAACTTAGTGAAGAAGTCATTTCCGACCCCATAAACCATATATATTCTTGATCAGCATTAACAGGCGAGTCTTTCAAGCCATGTTGGAAAGAAAAATAATTTGTAATAATTTTTCTAAATTTCGATAAGGGGGTACATCGTTAAAATTTTCAAAAATTAACACAACATTGGAATTTCTTTAATTTTTAAATGTAGTATGCAGACTTATTAACTTAATAAAAACTAACTCAGAACCACTTTCCAAAATAAAATTAATGCATAATTTTAACAACAACATGAGGGGTTGAAAATCAGATACATTTTAATCCAGGCTTAAAAGGTTTGTCCACAGGCCTAACCCAACAACAAATCCGAATTAAATTAAATTAAATTAATTAAATTAAAAAAAGGCATTAATTAATAAATTAATTTTTTGGGTTATTAAATCTTCATACTAAACGTCCGTCTGTTCGTGATTTTATAATATTTTGATTTTATTTTATTGATGATTTTATGATTTAATGATTTAATGATTTTATTTTATTGATGATTTAAAAACATTTTTTTTTTTTATATTTACGATTATAATAGACCGCTCAGTTTCAACTTTTATTTTTCGAATTAAAAAAAAAACAACAAGTTTTTCGTCGACTTTTATTTTTAAATGTCAAAATAAAATTTATTTGTAAATTTTGATAAATTTGTATTTTACTCATTTACGATCCCCTCGAGCTTAGTATATTTTTGAGGAGCTCCTTGGTATATTCGAGCGGTGGAGCGGCGGCCACACTGGCCCCTACTTACTTTTTTGGGGCCCCAACAGGTTCGCATTGAAAATCCGGATTCCGGAAAGCAGGAGCAGGAGCAGCAGCAGGCAGGCACTAAACACAGTCACTAAAATGAGCAAGGAAATCTCGCTGGCCACCGTGAAGGAGCACAACAAGCCCAATGACCTCTGGCTGATTATCGACAACAGGGTGTACGACGTGACCAAGTTTCTGCTGGAGGTTAGTGTGCTCGTTCTGGGTGGGAGGAACTCATTATCACAACTCCCCTGCTTAAAAACCATTGCAGCATCCCGGCGGCGAGGACTCACTGTTGGAGGTGGCCGGTCGAGATGGCACCAAGGAGTTCAATGACGTCGGCCACAGCTCGGAGGCGAGGTGGGCAGAGAGCGGCTGCTGCTGGCTCGTGTATGGTTAGCAAATTGTTTTGACTTTTGATCATTTTTAGGGAGATCCTGAAGAAATTCTACATTGGCGATTTGGCGGCCGAGGATATTGCCAAGAAGAAGGGTCCTATTAGGTGAGCATTGCATTCAAGACATTGTCCTCCCTTCGCATGAAAGTCCACCCATCACCCATCAAATTTATGTAAATAAAAGAGACTGCCGCCTGCCTGTCTGCTGCCTGATTGAAATCGATCTTGTTATCTCATTTCCGTTGAGAGCTGAAGCATCATTCGTGGCCAAGCCAAAGGCAGCTTTGCCTGAGCTTGGCCTGGTTGCCTGACGTAATCAATATTAATATTATTAAGCATTAACCCATTACTGCCGCCGTCTGTTTGTTCAATCAATTATTCGACTGGAAGCCTCGAAAGTGCCCCGAAAGCCTATGGCGTTCCTGGCCATTACCATTTTAATGATAATTACCGTACATTTCGTCCTGTAAATGGTTCAAGTTATTGGAGTAGAGGCTTGTTTATTCCAGATTTTCCTGACAAATTTGTATTTTTAGTAGGTTTTTCCTAGGAAGATTACTGGGATTCTTTTAGTGCCTGCTTACTTCTATGTTTATTACACTGAAATAAGGGTTAAGAGGGGGGTACTTTTTTAAGAAACTCATCTTGTAATATTCCTTAGATTTTTCAAATTAGGTAATTCTTTTCTCCTATTCTTTATTTCTATTTTTTATTCATAATAATAATAATAAGTATAAATAAGAAATTAGAGCGCTAGTTACTAACCCTTCGTCTGTGTTTCCCTATTTTAAAACAATTGCTTTTGTTTCCCAACCTATCGCCTCCTCTTTCCCAGCTTCAAGTCATTCTCTAGCACCAAAGTCAGGTTCTACAAGAGCTAGTGTTAGGGCTGCTTGAAGAGGGATTCCCCGTAAGTTTCTGTAAATAGAAATGTGTGTGTGTAAAATGTATATAGTAGTATATATAGAACCTATCAAATAATATTTACTAATAAATAATGTTTATTTTTTATTTTGTGGAGAAACTAACCCTGCACTTTGTAATTTTCCCCCACTTTGCCTTGCATTTTCTTTCTTTGCTTTTGATTTTTGTTGACTCTTGGTTTTGTGCATCCCTCCCCGTTCCAAATCTAGTGCCACGCCCACTGAAGCGAACCAAGAGACCGCCGCCGCCCCCAAGCAATGCTGCATTTTGCATTAATCCCCCACCAAAAAAAAAATAGAAATCGTCTTGGTTTATGCGAAGTTTACCTTGTATTCACTCTTGATTCTCACCATCTGCTCTCTATCTTCTTTTCTCTCGGTGTATTCCATATATGTGTATATTCCAGCTGCCGCCACATCGGAATGGCCCTGGTCGCCGCCGCCCTTGGCATCACGCTGGTCTATATGATCAGGCGCGGAGTTAACCAGAAGTAAACCTTTGCGGTTTCGAGACCTTGGGACCTGAAACAGCTTCATTCCGTGATTCCAGAGTTATGTTTCCACCACAAATCGTTAATATTTCCACTTTGATATGAAATACACTGTACAAAATGAATAATGGAGTTGCCTTTTACTCGGGATAATAGTTGGAGTCTAGAAGATATCTGTCTGCAATTGGGAAAATGTTTAATATTTAAGGAGTGGGAGAGGGAGAGGGTAAGGTAAAGGGGGGACATCTGAGTAACTGGCAAAAAAAAAGCCCATTTTCTAGAATTTTTTTTGGCCAAATGAAAAAGCCAATCGAAAAATTTTAAAGTTGGTTTGATAATGTTAGATGTGAACTACAAAATAATTTTTTTTTTTTATAAATCGAAAACAAAATGGCGGCTGTGCAGCATGTCTTCGTAGGCCCTATTTTTTTGAAAGGGGTCCATGGCCGAAAACCTAACGTCCTTAATTTTTTATCAAGAACAAAAAATTAAATTTTGTTAGTTTCTGTATCTCAACCGCTATCGACACACGTAGGATTTTTTCGATATTTTGATTTTTAGCAAAATGGTGAGTAATTAATTAAAATTTTCAATTTTCATGAAAAAAAAAACGTCACAAAATTGTTGATAAAAAAAAAGTAAAGAAAAAAAAAAAAATCCTACGTGTGTCGATAGCCATAGGTATTTTGGATATACTGTCAAAATTTCAGTTCGATCGGTTAAGATTTGTTTGAGTTATGTTTTCGGCCAACTCAAAAAAAGTGGTTTTGAGAAAAACGCGTTTAAAGTTTTAAGATCGTATATATTTACATGAGAGGCATCGCCGCAGAATGAAAAATTTCGACACTTAGACACATTTGCCGGACTCTATCGTTTGGTATATTATTTTTATGACCCTAAAGAATTTTTTAAGCAAAAAAAAATTTTTTCGATTTTTAAAAAAAGTTACTCAGATGTCCCCCCTTAATTGGGTGCAAAATGGGATACTGTTAAAAAAAATAATATTGTGGCAAAATACCAAGGATAGCCTCATAGGCTAAGGGAATTCCCAGAAATAAGAACTCAAACATATACTGTTTCTGGTCAGAAAAAATTCAAATTTATTTTTCGTCCTTCGCCTTCGTCACAAACTTTAGTTCAGCTTCAGCTGTTGCTGTTAGCTGCTTTCTACCTTTGACTTTTGACTTCTGATTTCCGAGTTTCGACTTTTCACTTTCCACTCTTGACTCCCTCGGACTCGTCGCCGTGACTCCTGACAATTTCGGATTATATGTATAGAGGTGTTTTTATATATTTATATATAACGCGATTAGTTTCGATTTGCACTTAACACTAGTTATCGTTGAGGATCAATGCCAAACGCACATCAACTTACTAAGATTAGGGTGCAGCTGCCTCTCCGCCAGCTGCGTGTGTGTATTATTATTGTAGGGTTCTGTGTTCTGTTCTCTGATCTCTGTTCTGTTCGGTTCTGTTCTCGTTCCGTACATGCTATATATAGTTATGTTAGTGTTCTTTACGTTAGTTAGTTCTCGTCGTAGAGGGGCGTGGCATCGCCCAGATTCATCGAGTGCGGCGAGGTGTTGGTCCGCGGCGTACTCCGCACAGACACCTTCGAGGATAATGCTCCCGAGCCGTGCCCGTGACCATGACCGTGCCCATGACCATGCCCATGCCCATGCCCATGCCCATGCCCATGCCCATGTCCATGCCCGTGTCCATGTCCATGTCCATGGTTAACTCCCATGCTGCGATTGTGCCCGCTGCTGCTGTGGTAATCATTGCCAGGGGTGGAGTTGTAACCTCCACCGCTGCCACCCATTCCCATGCCCATGTTCATGCCCATTCCCTGCTGCTGCGGATGATGGTGCTGCTGCTGTTGTTGTTGCTGCTGCTGCTGTTGCTGCTGGGATTGTGGTCTGCGTCTTGCCCAGGAATCATTGGCCAGCTGCCAGTCGAGGTTCTCTTTGGCACGTTGCTGGTGATGCGGCTGCATGCTGTAGGCATTCGAACCGCCACTGCCGCTGCCAGCTCCACCACCACCCATGTCATAGTAGCTCCTGGGCGTGGTGCCTGTGGCAGAGCTGCCATAGTGATGCAGCTGGCTGGACGAGGATTGGGAGCTGGGACTTGGGACATTGTGGCCATAGCGCGGCGTCTGCGAGGCATGCGGCGTGTAGGGCGTCATGAACGGTGTCTGGCCACTGGGCGTGTACGGAGTGTTGATGATGGCTCCAAACGAGGGCGTTGACGAGAGGCCGCCATAGTGGGAGGCAGCACTCGCTGAGGCAGCTGCCGCCGCCAGGGAGGCGTTTGTGGTGGCGCCATAGCTCACAATGGAATGCGATACGGAGTAGGCGCTGGAACTGCCGCCACCACCACCACCACCAGCACCACTAGCTCCTCCACCGCCGCTGGTGCTGGAGCTGCCCACACCGCCGGAGCTACTGATGGCACTGCGAGGCGTGCCGCTTAAATTACTGCTGAGGCTGTACGGCGGCTGGGATGAGGAGAGTAAGGAGGCCGAGGCCGAGGGCGGCGGACGCATGCTGTGCAGGCCATGCAGCGGGGTGGCATTCGAGCCCGACGAGGTGAAGGCCGGCGAGGCAGTCGGATCCAGCCAGTGCTCCTTGAACCAGCGCAGCAGACTGTTGATCGAGTCGAAGATCTGGCCGCGGAAGCGATAGCCCTCGGGCATCACCGTCACATACTCGTGCCGCACCTTGGTCTTGGGCAAGTAGGACAGCAGGAACTTGCCGGGCATGCTCCACGATGCCGTGAAGAAGTAGTGGATCTTCTTGGGGTCTCGCGTCTTCTCGTCGCGCAGCACCTGCTCCATAAAGTCGCGCTCGTTGACATTGGCCGGCGCCTTGTTCGGCTTGTAGTACTTGTACTGGATGAGCTCCCGGGCGGCTACTGCCATAGGATTGATGTGTCGCGCTATGATCTCGTCCAGATCCTCAAACTCCTCGGTGCCAATCCAGAGGCTGCGCCCCAGGCTGTACTCATTCTCCTTGCCTTCCTCGCGCACATCAATGTGCTGGAAGATGAGGTCGGCCACCTTCCACGTGGCGGTTAGATGATCCTTGGACTTGCTGCTCGGTCGTATGGCCACCTCACCCTGGTCTGCCTCCGCCAGCATGGCCACCACCTCGGCATAGGATTTGTTAAAGAAGCTGGGATGGGCTATAACCCGGCGGGCGTAGGTCTTGCGCTTCAGCGCCTTGGCCTTCGCATCGCTGGCCTTCCGGTTGTCCAGCTCCTCGGTGACAAAGTCGTAAAAGGCATCCCTGCGTGGCCGCCACTCGTTGTTCACATCCTTGAGGTCTGCTGTCTTCGAGGAGCAGTCCACCGAAAACCGATCAATGTCGATCTTAATGATCCGCACATGAATCATCTGGGAGACACGGACGCGCTCCTCCGGATTGCGAACCTGTTTATCCGACAGATTCTTGATGTGTATAAAGCCGGGCAGGCCGTTCTCCAGCCGCACACGCACTCCTGACGCCTGGCCGGGACAGGCGTTGGCATCAAAGTGATTCCACACCTCCGATAGCTCGGGGAAGTCATCCTTGTGGCAGAAGGGACACTGCCAGCTGTCGCTGGTGTCGATGCGCACGGGATTCGCGTTGTCCAGCTGCTCGCCCTGCGGCCGGCGGTAGGTGAAGCCCGTCACCATGGCCGTCACGCACTTGCCCACGTAGAAGGAGTCGGGCGTCTCCTTGGTCAGCATGTCGAAAAGTTCCTCCGCACTGGGCTTGGTATACTCCGAGCGATAGTCCTTGTACAGGCAGCTCAGCTCGTTCCGGATGTCGTACAGGGTGATGCTCTTGCTGCCAAAACCCTGACGCTCCAGCTCCACGGCAAAGGCGTCCAGATCGAGATCCTTGAGACGTTCCGGCGACTCTAAAATTTCTTCAAGGGCTCCGGCCGGATTGGTCTCCTCGTCATCGTACTCCATGGCATCGATGGCCATCTTGCGGGCCCACTCGTAGGTCTCGGGATGCACACGGGATCCGTCGAGGACCTCCACATACGCCTCAGTACTGTCGCCCAGCGAGGATGTATCGATCTTTATGAAGCCGCTGCAGTTGATGAAGACCTTCGGCCCCAGGTGGCACACGGTGACCAGCTGGGTGCGGTTCTCCAGCCGCTGGTTGCTCTGCTTGAGCAGCTTCAGCAACGCCTGACCCTTGCGCGGACCCAGGCCGCAGGTGTACTGCAGCAGGTTGGTGGTGCGGGCATTCTGCACCATTAGGTTGATGTCCAGGCCCACCTCGCTGGTCCGGTTGATGAACTCCAGACTGAGCTGCTCCAGCAGCTGTTCGCGCGGCACCCGCTCCTGCAGCGGATGGTACCGCAGGCAGAGAATCTCGTCATCCGCATCGCACAGCTGCGAGTATTCCACGAGGGGATCCTGCATCTTGCGGGCCAGGGAGACGGCCTGCTTGAGCAAAGCCGGGTACTCCTTGAAATCGGACTCACCCTTCTTGGAATTGGCATAGATCTTGGCCAGCTCGTTGTCGATAATCTCTACCTCGATGGGCGGAAACTGCTCGGATGTCTCCAGCTCCTTGAGTATCTCCTTGATGTCCGCCTGGATGGTTTGGGCGTCGCGTGACTCTGCCCCAATCACCACTATGTGCGGCTTTTTCATCTTGATGAAGTCGCTCAGCTTGCGCAGATCGGCCAGCTTCTGGGCCTTTTCCTCGGCATTGTGAGAGTTCTTGCGCTTGAGGATGTTCGGGAGTCGCAGATAGTCGGATATATCACCCTCCACGGTGGTTACTGCACAGAAGGCGGCCACCGACTGGTCCGGATCGTAGGCCAGGGCCAGCACCCGGATGCCACGCAGCGTGCTCCACTCATCGTAGTTAAAGTCGGCGGGCAGCTGTGGCTTGTAGGGTGCCACCTTGAGCCACTTGTACAGCTTGGCCGTGCAGGAGCGCAGAACGAACTGCTGCGCCTCTTCATGCAGCGTGGCGCGCAGCTCCTTGATCAGGTCCGGGATGACCCACTTCTGCAAAGCCAGCTTCACGCAGTCGGCACGCAGAGCATTCCACTCGAGGACATGCTTGGAGAACTGATCGAGGTGGTACAATGCCTTGGCCTCCTCCACATAGTCGCCGGGCGGCCCGTTGGCACTGGCATTGCCCTCGAACTCCTCGAGAAATGTGATCTCCAGCAGCTTCTCCTCCTCGGCCATCATCAGCTTGATGAACTGGTCGCCAAAGAGATCACCCACCGGCTTCTTGGCCACATACTTCATGGGATACACCGGCGAGTTCTCGTCGATTAGCACCATGCCGTTCTTGGTGGGCCGAATGTTGAGGCGTGCCCTATCGAAGTACACTTCCCGCATGGTCTTGCGGAGCAGGGGCTCCTGGGCCAGCTGGCGGGCCACCACATACTTGGCCGCGTGCAGCACCTCGTCAACGGTCATGAAGCGCGGCGATAGATACTGCTTGGCCAGCTCCGTGGGACCGACGCTCTCCTGGGTGACCTCATTGCGCTGGTAATTGTCGCGCAAATTCTCCGCAAACTGTTCCGGCGTGAGGCCAAAGTGCTTGGCAAAGCCACAGATGCCCGCCTTGCGGAACACCGCATAGGGACTGCTGTTGGGCGCCTGCTTCAGCTGATCGTCCACCAGCTCCTGCTCGTCGTCGTCGTTCTCCGGCTCGGGTATGTTGGTTGGAGCTCCCTCCGCCGTCGCCGCTGCCGCCGCATCCTCGCCATTCTCGGCAGCCGCCGCCTGGCGACGTGCCTTGGCCTCGCGACGCTCTTGGAGCTGCTTGCGTCGCTGCTCTGCCTGCATGCGCGGCAGCTCATGGGAGTAGTTCAGGAGGAAGTACATGTGGACGTCCTTTAACTCCTCCATCGACTGGACATCGGCCAGGCGCTCAAAGTCACTGTCGGGCATCAGGCGGACGTCATCTGGGAGTGGCTTTTCCGGATCCGCGCAGAGCGTGTCCAGCTGGAACTGTCGCATCTTCTCGAAGAGAGCTTTTAGCTTGCGCTTCCGCTCGGTCAGCTGGCACCAGCGCTCATCGTAGTAGTAGATCTTCCACAGGTCGTCGATGTTTAGCTCTGGCTTGACATACTCTTTGCGGTAGAAGGCAATGAAGGGCACCTCCAACTGCTGGTTGCGTATGAACTCCAGGGTCTGCTTGATCTTGTTGACTGCCGTCGGTGGCTTGCGCAGTTTCTCGCGACTGTCGGCCTTTTCCTGCTCGGAAACGGTCTGTTTGCAGAAGGCGAACCTATAGATCCAGTCGGCCTCGTCATCCAGCTCATGGGAGCCCTCAAAGACGGGAGTGACGGGCACCTGGCGCAGCTGCATCCGCTCGGGTATGTCTGTCTGGCGAATCTCATTGTCCAAGTCGGTAAAGTGACCGCGCTTCAGTTCGCTGGGTTCATAAATGTCGAAGATTGTCTTCTTGGCCACCTTCTTTTTGAGAGCCTTCTTCTTCTTGACGCGGGATTCTTCGCCGGCGCCCAGATCATCGTCGTACTCATCTCCCTCGGAATCTTCCTCGTACTCGTCCTCCTCGTACTTGGAAAAGTCGTCGTAGTCAAAGTCCACGCCGAAGATGTCCTGGCCCTCCTGCAGGGATCTATTAAGGCAGGTTATATCAAAGGATACAGATAGTTGGGAAGGATAACAACTTACGCATCTGTAAAGATGGGTCTTCGCTTCTTCTTCTTCTCGGCTATGGGACGTCCATTGTCATCCACAATGAAATCATCTGCATCCGACTCCGAGTCATCCTCGCCAAAGTCATCCGCCTCTCTGGGACTTCTCTCGCTGCGATGCTCAACGCTCTGTTGTATGGAAAGGGTTAATAAACGCGATGTGAGGGGTTACACAACCTACCTCATCGTTCTCATCGAACAGCTGCTCGGCGATTTGTTCGCGGGCCAAACCCTCGTCCACATGCTGCTCCTCGCCATCGCTCTCATTGTCATGGATGCGACGCAGACGCTTGAACCGTTTCTAAAAGGAGAGGAAGTACAATAAAAACGATGTCTTAAATTCCTGGTTTTTTTTTTTTTGAAAAGTTTTAATGGTTTCTTTAGTCTTGGCTGCAACAATAACAATTCTACTAGTATCAAATAACAATTAACATGTAGTAGAGATAAAGAAATTCCTGGTGAACCTTCAACCTACCCGTCTCTCGACTTTAACACCCAGATTCTCTTCAATCAAATCGTAGTCATCATCCTCCAGCCGATCGTCCAGATCATCGTCTTCATGCTTTTTACGCTTTTTGCCGCTACCTCCACCGCCTTCGTCATCGCCACCGCTACCGGTGTCAGAGTCATCGCCACTGCCGTCATCCTCCTCGATGGGATTATCGTCAATTAGATCCTTGAGCTCTTCGCGCAGCCGCTCCTCGTCATCTGTTTTGGGTAAATTGTAGAGAATATATTTAAAATAGGGTGAACACATCCGGATCAACTGGTTGCTCCTCGCCCAGGGGTGGGAGGAGAATGGTTAAATTTCCAGAGCGTTGGAGCATGCCTTAACCATAACACAACACTGTATTGTTTTTTTGCACCTGTTAAGCTGTCACCTGCCCATCGGTTTCCTTTCGTGTTCTAGTAAGCTTTGCCTCCTTTCTCGCTAGTTGCTATAAAATAATCTTCTATAAAGTAACTAGAAGAGTGCCTAGAATGGAAAGGTTTGGACAAGTATGTTGATGTACAATATTGCCCGAAAGAACAAGAAGCGCCACTTGGTATGATGAAAATTATCCTATGATGAAATCGCAACTTTTATTTAAAACTATGTGATTTGCCATTGGAAGTGCAGAGATACATAGGAATAAATCCATTGATGGCTGCCGCAGTTGCCATCCATTGATTATTCCAAGAGATGCAGGCAGCATAATTTCGATTGCAATTTCTCGAAGAAGCCGCGTTAGCTGCTCCTCCAATTCGCCGCATTTCGCACACACCGAAACAAAGCCACATACCCGAGCGGTGGCTGCGCTAATTGTTGTTGGCTTGGCCATGGCCACGGTAGCACGGTAAAAACACAAGACATAACCTCAAAGTTGTAAACAAAAAAAAAAAAAAAATTTAGGAGCAAAGCGGGCTGCGCTTTCCCGCGCTCCCTTGGAACTTATGTGTATGTACTGTCCACCGGGCAGACACAGCCGAGATCGTTGGAAAAGAGCGAAGCGGAGTAACGCCGCTGCACAATTGTGTTATTGTCGGCGGCACGCACCCTGCTCGCCGCGCGCTGGAAAGAAACGCACCTTCTTCCTCCTCGCTGCTGTCGGAGACCGCGGCCTTCAACTTCTTGAGTTTCTTGCGCTCGTGCACGTCCAATTCTTCCTCCTCCTGCAAAAAATAGAAAAGTCCAAGGAAAATGCAATATATATGTATATATTTATATGTATGTATATTTATCGCGCACAGATATACACACATATACACATAGTACGTACGCGCGCCTACAACAGAACGCAACGCAACGCGAAAAGTCCGCCTTTGAGCGGTGAGTGCGACTTACCTCAGATTCCTCGGCCTCGGAATCCAGAAATTCGGCCATCGTAATAAATTAAATATTAAACTATATGCTTAAAAACGAATTTAACTAAAATAATGCACAATAAACGTCTCTTGCAGTGTCACAATAAAAAAAAAACGCGAAGACGAAGAAGCAGAAGTGTCAAAATTGTGGGTGATCCCCAGTGTGGCCAGCTATATTTCGGGCTACTATCGCAATAGTCCAAACAATCGACGTCATCGATAGCGCTGCCATCGATAGCGCTGCCATCGATGATTTGACAGCTCTAGCGAAAATTTCATGCGCCAAAAACGTAAACTAAAGAAGATTTCGTCGAATTATCACCTATAAGTGCTACCAACTGGCTAACTTGCCCTTCTCAGTGCATAATTAAGATCCGGGCAGCGGGACAAATTGAAAGCTGCCCGCAAAGTGAATTCCGCGAGAACAGATCGCTTGGTGCGCCGTTCCACTCTTAGGGGGCGGGTGGCCCACGAAGCGAGAGAGAGAGAGCAGAGGCAGCTTCAATAGTACAGCCGATGCTGCGCGGCAGCGGAGCAAGAAGAAGAGCGGCAACGCTGCACGGCTGATAAACAACAAAAGGAAGGAACGCGAATTCAATTAAATCTCGGTTAAGAAACCGGAGAATTCAACTAAAAAGCGCAGTGCAGAAGACATGCTCAGGCGAAGAGCTTAGAACAGTGGCAATAACACAACAGATTCGCTAAAGATGCAGGTAAACCAAAACAAATCATGACATGGTGAAATAAAACTAATTCTAATTTCTTTCCCCAGCAAATGGACGATCCCCCATCGCTGCCCGTGGGCACGGAGGTCAGTGCCAAGTATAAGGGCGCCTTCTGCGAGGCCAAGGTCAGCAAGGTGGTGCGCAACATCAAGGTAAAGGTTGCCTACAAGCAGGGCCTGGGCTCTGGCATTGTTTCCGACGACGCCATCAAGGCACCCACCGGCCAATTACGCGTGGGGGCCGTCGTAGAGGTGCGTCATCCGGATCGCAAGGAGATCGTGGAGGCCACCATAACCAAGATTCAGGATTGTTCTCAATATACGGTTGTCTTCGATGACGGCGACATTACAACGTTGAGGAGAACGGCTCTGTGCCTCAAGAGCGGGCGGCATTTTAACGAGAGCGAGACACTGGACCAGCTGCCGCTGACGCATCCGGAACACTTTGGCAATCCCGTGGTGGGCGGACGCCGGGGACGTAGGCGCGGCCAGCTGAACGAGGATAGTTCCGATGACGATGATGAAAGTGATGCCAAGGAGGTGGTGAACGAGAAGGAGGAGAATATTGGCAAGGTGGTGTGCGTGGAGACCGAGTCGAAGAAGAAGGACAAGGAGAAATGGTTCCCAGCTCTCGTTGTGGCGCCCACAGCACAGGTGAGGGGAATTGCTTGAATATTTTCAGACAGAATGTAGTGATTGATTCCTTTTTCCTATCCAGGCTACTGTCCGCATCCGCGTCAAGGACGAGTACCTGGTGCGCTCGTTCAAGGACGGCCGCTACTACACGGTGCCCAAGAAGGAGGCCACCGAGTTCACTCGCGAAGTGGCTAGCAAACAGGATGTGCCTGCTGTGCAGGCGGCCCTCGAGTTCCTCGACAGCAGTATCCTGCCGCCCCACTGGGACCGCGACTCGCTCTTTGGCCTGTCGAATCTCTCCAGCGACGACGAGGGCGAGATCGATTCGGACTCATCCGATGACGAGCCGCACGAGGAGAAGGATCGTTTTGTGGCGCAGCTATACAAGTACATGGATGACAGGGGCACGCCGCTCAACAAGGTGCCATCCATCCAAAGCCGGGATGTGGATCTCTACCGCCTATTTCGGGCGGTACAAAAACGCGGCGGCTACAACCGCGTGACCTCCCAGAATCAGTGGAAGCTCATTGCCGTTCGCCTGGGCTTCACGCCCTGCACGGTGAGTGTCATGAACCTGGTGAAGCAGGCCTACAAGAAGTTCCTGCAGCCGTATGGTGACTTCCATCGCAAGCTTGGCTGCTCCATGCTGATGACCTCCCGGAACTCCAATCGCAGCAAAGGAAGAAGTCTGGTGCGAGCCAATTCGGTGGCGTCGCCCAAGCCGACGGAGACAACGAAAACGGAGACCATCAGCAAGTTGGCCCAGCCAAACCAAACAAATGTGGTGGTGGCTTCTACTTCAACGGCAGCCTCATCAAGCTCGGCAGCAGCTGCATCGGCGGCATCTACCCCTGTGAGAGCTGCATCCACCGCTTCCCAATCAGCGGTGGAGGTAGAGTCGGAGGACACCAGCGAGTCCAGTGTTGTGGTCGACTTGCCCCCAGCCAAGAAGCATAGAAAGGGTTCTTCGGCAGCCAGCAGCAATCAGCAGGGCAAGGTTAAGACTTTGGTGGAGAAGTACGAGGAGAAATCGACTGCGGCACAGGCTGGAGGAGGCGGAGGCGGGGGAGCAGCTGCTACAGCAGGTACAAGCGGATCAACTGCAGTCCCAGCAACACCAGTTACCACGGGAATAGCATCCACCTCCTCCTCCACCACCACCACCAATCCATCGGCTTCTTCAACGTTTGCCCCAGCCACACCTGGAAGTGCCGGTGCCATCTCAGCCTCTGGAGCATTCAGCAAGGACACCGAATCGGACCTGCCGCTGGCCAAGATTAAGGCAGCTGCAGCAGCAGCGGCGGCGGCAGCAACCAGAAACAACAGCATGGAGAAGGAAACGAACATCAGCTCCGGCAGTAGCGCCTCTGCCTCCAGCAAGGCCAACTCAGCGGAGATGCAGAGCAGTAGGGATGCCTCGCCTTCGGGTAAGTGAAGGGGAATTGGAATTTAATTAGTTCGGTAACTAGGAAGCCCCCAAAATGTTGGTTAGGAGTCTCTTAAGGGATCAATTTCTTTGTCTTTTATTTCTTAACAATTAGAAGAATCCTCAACTGGAAGTCTTGGCCAGAGCTAGAGCTAAATCTAGGCAATCTTAACCCTAACCTTGTGATAGGCATTGGCCAGCACGCCACGTAGATTCCAGATGTGCTCAAACTTCTCCGGCTGGACATTGTACGCCGAATCAACGGCCTTGGCCCAGATTTCCACATCACTACCGCTGGATTCAGAGATGGGCAGGCGAGCTGTCCACAAGGACCAGCCATAGTGTCGTCCATCGGGACTATCCTCCTGCTCCAATTCAGCTACATGCCAGCTCTTACCCTCATCGCTGGTCAGATCCACACGTACTATCTTCCTGCCACCGCCGCTCCACGCGTATCCCCTGACTGTGATGTGACCATCGTCGTCATCCGGCTTCACCCTGGCTCCCGGCTGTGGCGTACAAATAGCCGAGGTGACTGGCATCGCCTGGATGGCATCCGACTTGCTAAAGTCCACGGTGTCCCAGTCTGTGCTTGGACTGAAGCCTTTGTAGTCGTTTTGCTGCCAGTGCGAGTCCGACTCCTTATCCGCTACCACGATCCTCGTCAGCCACTTGACATTGCGTGCTCCCACTGTCCCAGGCACTATTACCCGTATGGGATAGCCATGATCCCGGCTTAGGGTTTCGCCATTCATTTCGTAGGCTAGGATTACATCCCCGCGGGGATCCAGGGCCTTGGACAGGGGTATGGATGCTCCATAGGGATGGGAAGTAGGATCCAGATCGGCGCCCTCGAAGATGACATGCTTGGACTCATCCGGCTGGACACCCTGCTCTCGCAGGACATCGCAGAGACGAGCTCCTGACCACTTGGCATTGCCCACGGCTCCGGCGCCCCACGAGAGACCTGGAAAAGGGATGGTAATTCAAAGGATTAGGTGGTTAAAATTCACACTAGACCCACTCACCCTTCACCGCCTTGACCTTGGTCATCTCGGATCTTCTATTGCCACCGCACATGATGGCCGCCGTTACCGAGTGCTTGGGCAAGGCCTTGATCTCCTCCAGATTCAGTGTCAGCGGGTCCTTCTTCTTCGATGAACCACTCTCGATTTCCAGCTCGTACTCCTCCGCACTTATCACTGGCACCGGCAGGTGGTTACGGACGTAGAAGAGCTCGTTGGGCGTGAGGAACTGCTCGGCTAGGAGTCCAATCGGTGGCTCTGCGTTAAAGGGTCGCTTGGAGGCGGGCTTCAGCAAAGCATGGCGCTGCGGTTCGTGGGCCCAAGGCGAGCCCAGCTCGTCCTCGGCAGCACTGGCTCCAGGCTTCAAATCCACACCCTCCAAGTTGCCGATGCGGAAACCCTCGAGCAGCTCCAGCACCTCCAGGGTGTTGTGCTGCTGATAGATGGCCCAGAAGGGGTCAATGGCACTGCCGGCGGCCATTAGGATCTTATCGCCGCCGGGATGATTGTCGGCAAAGTCTGTGACATCATAGACGCCCAGGCCATAGGTGATCCAAATGCCCGTTTTGGCGGAGTTGTGCTGCTCCACCTGGTCGGTCTTGTAGTTGGGTAAATCCGCCCTCGGGGTGATGTGCCACAGGCGAGCCCGAGCCTCTTGCTCATCATCGCTCGGAACCACCTGTGCCTCAGCCAGCAGGGGTTTGTGCCCGTCGCTTAGCCAGTGGTAGCCCAAGGCCAGGCCTCCTGCCCAGTAGGCGGCATACAGCAATCTCTCGGTTCTGCTGCCCGGTGAGCTCCATTTGTGACTTTGCTGCTTCCGCTGGTCATTGCCTGTGCTGGAGATGGTGGCCAGAAAGCGTCTGTGTGGCCGGTGGTGCAGAACCAATCCTCTCAAGCTGCGCCACAGCAACCGCATGGTTATGTAACAGCCAAAAACCAAGCGAAATCTGAAGTCTCCAAGCTGCCGCTGCCGCTGCTGTGCCTCTTCTGCGTATGCTTCGCGGTGCCGGCAGAGATTGTTGGGGCGCGAGTCCGGATTTCGTGGCTTTCTATTGATATAAATGCTGTTTGCTTAGTGGCGACATTGGCCCCGGCACCCTCTGGCCCCCCAGTGAGTTCAGCGTTGGTTTAATTGATAAGCAATCTCGCCGAAAGCGCTAATTCTCGGCTGTTTTTTATGCTTTCCTTTTACTCCTCTTCCTTTCACGCGAGTCACACCTGTTTTGCCGATAGATGCGAGCTATCGATGACTCCCGATATACATGTGTACATGTATGCGTAAATGCTGCGTGTGAGAGTCATCGGCAAAAGTAAATTACCAAAAATGAAAGTTAATCAAGGAATTAAAGTTAATGTTGTAGCGCACAAGTGGGTTTGATATATGTATATATATATAGGAGGTCGATGTATATTGAGCCGCTGCCAAAACAAACACTTGTTGCTTTGTATATGTGTGTGTTTTTATTGTGATAAGGGAAAATGTACTACGGCATCTGCCCTCTCGCTCTTATTCATTCTTCACTTTTGTTTATTTGTACAAATAAGTAAACAAATACAAAAATAGCGGCCAAACATGTTTTACTTGACCATATATAGTGACTTTGTCATTTATTTAAGTTCTTTTGCATTATTATTTATATGATTTAAAAATCGAAAAGGTAACTAATTGCCTCTCTTTTTAAATGTAGGAGAGAGCTTTTGTGGAAGAGGTTTTCAGTCAGACGAAGATGAGAGTGTATATGTTGTATACCCTTCCAACTGTTTCTATGTCAGTAATGTGATAAAATATAATATATAACATATACAGTGAATCACAAAAGTATTCGTTGCAAAGGAGGTCTTGAGGAAAATTTTCACTAGCTAAAAGCTTCAAAATGTGAAGAAATGGATTACTATCCCAAAGATGTACAGCTGTGTTCACGGAAATAGCAGTGCCCAACGACCTGCACGTTTAAGATCGGAAAATCCTGTTACAAACACTATTTTCATAAATTTTTTTTTCATAAAAGCTTAGTATATTTAATTAGTAACAATACCACAATCATTTAATTTAGGTAACATAACCCCTTTAGAAGATATAGGTAATAACAACAAAAAAGGTCTATATTATGCCGATCATTGAAATAGCAGTGAAAAACTAAAATTCTTCATAAATTTAAAAATATCGTTTAAGAAACCTATTTCTTCTTAAATTCTAATTGACTATGATCTAATATTTTGTTAAATAGCCTTTAGAAGCTATCATAGCCTCATACCTGGGTGGCAAGGAGTCCACCAAGTCTTAGCAACGCTTGAGGGGATTATGGTCTCATTCCTCCTGCAAAAATCGCCAAAACTGCGGCTTAGAAGTCGGAAACTTCTTTAATACGTAGCCCTTGATGTCTTCCATAAGTTTTCGATCGGAATTATATCCGGGGACTGTGCAGGCCATGGCATTGCATCCACCTTTTCTTTCAGAACCCACTCCTTGGCCACCTTGCTGGTATGATTAGGGTCACTGTCCTGCAGAAATGTCCAAATTAATGGCATATTTTCATCAGGATACGGCTGCAAGACAGTTTTCAATATTTCGACATAAACATAATGGTCTTTGATCCCACCGATCATATATACGGGACCTACAACGTTGTATGAAAAGTATACCCATACCATGATTTTTAGGCCACCGTGTTTTACTGTCTTCAGCGTATGGTTTGGGGGGTACTATCTATTTGGAGGTCTTGTCTTGTCCTATTCCACCAAATAAAACCAGTTTGGAGTCATTTGTCCAAAGGATATTACGCCATTTGAATACTGGCAGTTCAAGTGGCTATTGGCGAACTCGGATCTTGCCTTGATATGCCTTTAACCAAGCAGTGACATTTTCCATGGACTTCGCGAATCTAAAATTTATTCAATAAGTCCCCGGCGAATGGTCCCAAGACTGATTCCCATGCCAATTCCCGCTCATATATCCCCAGAGGATGCAAAAGGACGAGCTTTGCTGAAGCGAAGTACGCGTCGAGCCTGTATAATTGTGGTTTTGCGAATCGTACCTCGGTTTTTTTGGATTCGGTTCATATTTTATGACTTATAAACTATTTTAAAATAACAATTTGAAAGATTTAGAGACTCTTTACATGTTTTGCCCTTCTTTCTAGGCTAAATTATCCGATATCTTTCTCTCATGGAGCAGTGAGGTCCTGCGCCCACTAAAATAATTTTTTTTGCGTTGTAAAGGTGTATTATAGTATAAACTATAATAACGACCGTAATTAAACTCATTTTTTACAAAATTAAAAGAAATTTCGGCACTTTTTGCGAAATAAAATTAAATACTGCTATTTCAGTGATCGGCCAAAACGAGCTGCATATGTGAAAAAATATCAATAAAACATTAAAATAGAGCAAATCTAACGGAATTTTTTCTCGATTCTTATCTTTATGTTCCATTTTACAAAAACAATGTGCAATAGATCAGCTTGCAAAAAGGAATATGTACAAAAAAACGTTTTGAAGTTGTTCCTCTGTCGCACTGCTATTTCAGTGAACACAGCTGTATATTTTGTTTAGTATATGACAAAAAAAAACTTAGAGAAAACCTTTTCAATAACAATCTACAGACAAATATATAAAACTAAATCGATTTTTATGCTCACAAAAGTATTCGTTTCTGAGATTTTTTTAATATTTTTTTTCCTTTTTTCATGGGTTAGTGCAATTTTTTTCAGTATTCTGGTTGGGAATACATTTTAAAATTTAATTCATGGAAAAACACAATATTTAAGCGTCATTGTGGGTCGTAATCAATTACAAAATGGCGAATAGTACGGAGTCAAAACATTTTCCAGAAGAAAATTACTTTACACCTACACAATGAGGGTTGATCCTTTAAATATATTTCTGGTATGTTTGATAATAGTCCTCTTACCATAATAAGCGTGGTTTTTCTACTGAAATCAAAAAATTTCCTGGAAAATAAGCCGCGTTTTGGCCGAATATAGTAATTGAAAATCAGAGAAGATAGAACAATTCTTTAAAAAAATCAGGAAAGGCATACATTTATAGGCTGCAAAAATTAACACCGCCATGACCACATTCTAAGGAACAAATGTATCCACTTAAACTATTGGAACAGTTCCTAGAAGCCATGGTGAGGATGGTAGAAGCCCTAAAATAAAATCCTTGTTTTCACCTATCAATATGCCGAAGCTATTTTCTTAGATATAGCGTTTTTGAACCAAATTTTGGAGTATTCAGGGCAAGTAATATTAAGTAAAAAAGGTTTTCAATGTTTAGGGATCGGATTGAGAAGGGATAGTTTGCCGCAAGCCCGGAAAAGCCCTCAAGTTAAAAAATTATACAGCAACAGTAAAGCACGTCAGAGTTTCTGTTCTAGTTTAGGGTGTCTGTCTGCCCCAGGAGTTGGAAATATGTTTTTTTTTAGACAGGATAATAATTGCTGATATATATTTAAACGTATTAAGGTGTATTTCACTCTCTAGTGGCACCCTAATGTGTCCAGAACCCGACAAGTTCAATTTCCACCAGTACAATAGCGCCGAACAAACGACTTTTAAAGTCAAGATGTGGGTGTTGTACTATTGAAACCAGACTAAAACTCCTTCACAGAGCCCCCAGACGTTAGCCCTACTGAAAATCTATGACACCATCTTAAGCTAAAATTCCAGGAACAGCGCATTTCTGCCTAAAAAGGAACTTAATGATATAATGCGGAAGAAATGGTCAAATATATCCTGAAAGAGGTGCCCAAAATGGGTAGAGCCAGTGCAAGGACGATTATAAGCTATTAAATAAAACAAAGGATTGCATATAATATATAACACAATAAAAAAATAATAAATATTTAATGGCGAAACAAAAAAACGAATACTTTTGTGACATGAAATTTTGTAGTTCAAATGAATTTCTTAGAAAAAAACAGCAATGAAGCTAGTTTTTTAACAAATTTCTGTTGTTTCCCTATTGTTTAATATCTGAGTAACATAAAATAAAAACTAAAGTGATCAATTTGATACTTAATCATTAAAAAAATAACATAATTATTCGTCGGGAACCTTGCAACGAATACTTTTGTGACTCACTGTATAATATATTTTAAAACTTGTTCAAATTTCTAAATTTCGATTAAAAAGAAGCTCTCGAAAATTCCCTTTTATTACCATATACACTTGCAGGGTATTATAATTTCAGTTCGCAGCTATTAATGCAGCGAAGGAGTCGTTTCCGACCCTATAAATCATATATATTCATGATCATTTACAGCCGAGTCGACCTAGCCATGTCGGGAAGAAAAAAAATTTTACCCGTTTTTTCAAAATTTTATAGGGGGTTACATCGTTAAAATTTTCAAAAATTAACCAAAAAATTTTGATTTCTGAAAATGTTCAATTCTTATGCAGTTTTATTAAACTATTAAAAACTAACACAGCACAGTCTTCCGAATCAAAATTAATGCCGTTTTGACCGAGTTATAATATTATTAAGTTTTACTTTTCCCCAAAAATATTCATAATGGATGAATATTATTAGCCATTTGTTTTTTTTTATTTTATTAACATTTTTAAAAATTTTTAAAAATATATATATATTCTCAGGGGATTAGAATCTAGAATTAGTTGGGAATTCTATTCAAGAAAAGCCAAATAAAGCCTTAGTTACTTCTAAAGGAGACCAACCGTCTTCCTCAGTATCTTTTACAATTTTTTTTTACCTATATCCCAAGTTAAAAATTTAAAAAAATGCTCAGAAAGAAGGTGGGCACTGATCATCTGCTCATTATACTGATCATCTTTTCTCCTTCGCTTTGCACAGTCTCTGGTGGACCGCCTTCAGTTGCGGCTAGCAGCTCCTCAATCGCTCCAGCTGCCAGCGCCCAGCCGTCGTCAACCAAGAAGGAAAAGCACCAGCGTGCCAAGCAGGCCGACAAGGATAAGGATAAGGAAAAGGACAGCAACAAGGACAACAACAAGGATAAAGACAAGGACAAGGACAAGGAGGAGAAACAGCCGGGAGGTAGCGGTAAGCGCAAGAAGGAGAAGATTAGCGTGGAGAAGATCGACACGGGCGACTTTGTGGTCGGGATCGGGGACAAGCTGAAGGTGAACTACCATGAGAAGAAGTCACCCAGCTCGCATGGCAGCACCTACGAGGCCAAGGTCATCGAGATCAGTGTCCAGCGCGGCGTGCCGATGTATCTGGTCCACTACACCGGTTGGAATAATCGCTACGACGAGTGGGTGCCTCGCGAGCGGATTGCCGAGAATCTGACCAAGGGATCCAAGCAGAAGACCCGCACCATAAGCACGAGCAGTGCGAACAGTGGCAGCGGCGGCGGCGGCGGAGGAGGAGGAGGTGGTGGTGGTGTTGGCTCCCTCTCTGTGCAGGGCTCCCTGCCGCCAGGAGTCGCGGAGAAGCAGCAACAGCAGCAGCCGTCCGCCAAGGAGGGTGGTTCAAAAATTCCACCCTCGGCGGGATTTTCTCCAGGCTCGGGAGCTTCCCCCTTGCCCGGTTCCCTGGGCGGGGCCAGCTCCACACCCTCGCTTCTCTCCTCCACTGCGGTGAAGACACCAACATCTGCTGGCGCTAAGCGTGGACGCGGGCGTAGTGACTCAATGCCGCCGCGTTCCACGACGCCCTCATCGGTGGTGGTCTCTGCCGGTGGGCGCACCAAATCCCCAGCTGCCTCACAGGGAATGAAAAAGCGGCCGACGCGCATCTTGCCGGGAACCACCACATCCCGTCGCACCTCGGACGCCTCGATGGCCACCGAATCGGACTCCGACTCCGATGAGCCAGTGCGTCGTCCCAAGAGGCAGCAGTTGGCAAAGGATAAAACGCAGGCGGGTAAGCAGCAGCAGCAAAGCAAGGGCCGTGTGGCCAGCAGTGCCTCCTCGACGGCCCCACCTAGGGAAGATCCCAGCGAGGATTCCGAGGAGGAAGACGAAGAGGAGGAGCACCCTCCCAAGCAGCAGCAGCAGTCGGTCTCCGCGCGTGGAGGCTCCCGTGCTGGCGGCAATCGAGCCATGAGCAGTGGCGCAGCCTCCGCCAAGGGACGCGACTACGATCTCAGCGAGATTCGATCGGAACTGAAGGGTTTCCAGCCGCAGCTCCTCACGAATAGCCAGCCCAACGAGGACCGCAAGAAGGAGGCAGCCATTAAGACCGAATCATTGTCCTCTGGCGAGCCATCCACCCTGCTCCAGGATGTTGTGAAGAAGGAGCCCGGCAAGCTGGAGTCCTTGGCCAAGAGTCGCAGCTCCACGGAAATGTCTTCGGAAACGGAATCCTATGCGGATGAGGATTCCCAGTCATCCGACTATCGTAAGCAGCCCAAAGGAGCTGCCGGAAAGCGGGAGCCCACCACATCCTCGAAACTGCAGCAGGATCAGTCCATGCCCAAGCGTGAGGCTGTCAAGGAGGAGCCACAGCTGAAAGTGGAGCCCAAGGCGGAGCCCAAAACCGAGGAGGACACGAAGAGCAAGCCACCCTTCCTCTCGGGAGCGGACATTAAGCCCACCACCCTGATAGCACCAGCTAGATTTGGCAACAGCTCCGCAGCTGGCGGAAGTGGCTCGGCCACGCCCAAATACACCTCAGTGATTGTGGAGAAGCTGCTGACATTCGGTGGCAAGAAGTCAGGAGGAGGAGGAGCAGCCGGCACAGCGGAGCAGCAGCAGCAGCATTTGCCGGTGAAGAAGGCGGCGGCGACGACCTTAACAGCGGGCGGCAGCCAGGAATCAAAGAAGTTTGCCGAACCTGTGGCCAGCCTGAAGGTGGAACTGCCGGCGGCCTGTTCGCCCTCGTCCTCCTCCTCCTCGTCCAGTTCGTTTTGCTCGAGCGGATCGGGCAGCGGTAGTTCCAGCTCGGCGACACGGTCGCTGCCAGATATGAGCAAGCTGGAGATTAGCAGTGGGACGGGAGGGGGAGTGGGAGCGGGAGCTACCTCAGCAGTTAACCCAGCCAGCAGCTCCTCGGGCACGGGTACGAGCTCCAGCTCTGGCACATCTGTCAAGGAGAGCAAGTACAGCAGCAGCAGTGGCGCAGCAGGAGCAGCAGCAGCAGCAGGAGGATCGGGTCTTACCATGCGCAAGCTTCTATCCTCGGATGTCTATGAGTTCAAGGACACGGAACCGTTTGAGTTTGAAAAGCGTATCTCGCCTATGACCTCGGTGGGAGCAAGTGCAACTGGAACATCAGGACCGGGAGCAGGAGCAGGAACGGGAACAGGAGCACCCGGAGCAGTAGCTGCCTCGGTAATCACCGCTGTATTGCCGCCAGCAGCAGTAGCAGGAACAGGTGTCTCCGGAACGGGGTCAACCACAGCTATGGCCGCATCCACTGGCGGAGTTCCTGTAGTGGTTAGTTCGGTGGCCAGGAAGCAGGCCCTCAAGGCCAGCGCCATGCAGCATAGCCTAGAAGTACACCAGCTCCATCAGCCCTCTGCCGCCGCCTCCTCCTCCTCCGCCGCCTCCTCCTCCACTGGCAGCTCCTCCACCGCTGGTTATAGCTCAATTTCCAGCGGATTATCAACAGCCGCCAAGCCAAAGAAGAGAGGTTCCCCGCTAAAGGAAGCTGGTTTGGGTCTCGAAAAGGGCAAGAATCCCAAGCTGGACAGGGATCAAGTTCAACAGGTGGAAACCAAGCCGCAGCAGCAGCTGACACCACCCAGCATAAAGGTGCCTTCATCAGGAGCGGGAGCACAACTAACGCCGTCTGCGGCTGTAACCAATCCAGTCAAGATGCACACGCCACCGGGAGCGGGAGTAGCTGCTGGAGGAGCAAATACAACCGTCATTCCCGCCCAGCTGACGCCCCATCATGCCACGCCCTTCGATGCCCTGAGAAAGTCGCCCAGCTTCAATCTGAACATCACCGCTTTGAACGAAGAGCTGGCCCAGACGGTCCAGGAAACCACTCGCGCTCTGACGGACGCACTGCAGCCACCGCCAACGACGCCGGTGGCCTTGGCAGTGCCCACACCAGGGATTCCAATGATAGCACCCTCCGCCTCAGCCTCCACTTTGAGCTGTCCTGGGACACCGCCAACGGGAAGCAGTTCCTCCGCCGCCTCGGTGTCAGCCTCTCCCAAGCTAAGCACTCCACCGCAGGCACCCAAGCAGCCTGCCACCAGCCACATCGTGGGTAGTCCCTTCATCGAGACCCGCAACGTGTTCGAGCTGAGCACCTCCAATGAGGGCAGTGGCTATAGCTCCGGCGAGTCCAAGGACAACAAGCTGGAGAAGCTGGAGAATGTTAAGATTCTGCTGGCTGGAGCAGCAGGACCCTTTGACCTGGACGCTGGCAGCTATGAGCAGAAGACCAGCTCCATAGCGGACAAGGTCCTGAAGGCGATCAGTCAGAAGAAGGAGGAGGTGGAGAACAGCAAAGGCAAGCCATCGGCGGTGGAAGTCACCACCAAGGCTTCGCCGCCTGAGGATATTCCGCCGCCCAAGCTAGAGCCGAGCAGCAGCAGCAGCAGCCACCAAGCCATCAAGCTGGACACTCTGAAGCTGCTAAGCGAGCCCCTCAAGATCCAGACGGGTCCGCTTCTCGGCGAGCTCTATCGTCCCGGACCGGCCACCAGTAGTCCGGAGACCAAGTCCATACTGGAATCCTCGCTGCCGGCCAAAAATAGCGAGCTAAGCGAGACTATCCAGAAACTGGAGTGTGCCATCCAGCAGAGAAAGACCCCTGTGGGTGGAGCTCACTCACTGGCCAGCTCCAATGCTGGAACCCCGCCCACCGCCCACACGCCCAACTCCACGGCCACCGCGGGACCAGGTTTCTCTGATGACGAATCCATTGATAGCACCGATTCCGAGCAACGGCTGGTAATTGAGGATGTGATAGCGGAAGAGCATACCACCACTACCACGACGGGGGAGCAGAAGAGTCCGGGATCGGGTCAGGAGGAGGGCCAGACTACGGCCACCATTGTGACAGCGATGACTTCTGCGGAGACGGAGGCCACCAGCAGCAGGAGCAATGCCACGCCGCCGGTCTCTGCACCCGTAAAGCTGGAACTTGGTGGTAAAGCCCTGCCCGGTATTCAAGCTCCCATTCCCCTGAAACTCACCGAAGGTGGCGGCAGCTCTTTTGCTGGCAAGCTTACGGCGGTGGTGACCCAACCTCCACCGCTGGCCAAGCTTCAGCCCACGGAGGAGGCAACTAAGACAAGTCTGAGTTCATTTGGTATTCCCATTGTGGTGCCCGAGATTCCTGCCTCCGTGGTGGTGGCCACTCCGGCTTTGATGGTGGCCTCCGGTCCAGATGGTGCTTCTGGGGTGATGCGTCCCAGTCCTGGATCTACTTCAAATTCACCCGCAGCCGGGACACCCGTCTTGATCTCACCCAAGGCTTTTCAGGCGGCACCTAAAGTGGGCGAGGCGTCGGGCGGCAGTAGCGGTGGACTGCTCTTGAAAACCTATACGGGCGTGGGAGGCAGTGGAGTGGTGACCACCACCGTGGTGGCACCTGTTGTGCCCTCAAACTTTGCCCAGCAGCAGGGACAGCAGCAGCAGCATGTTAGCAGTGTGCTCCAGGCTGCTTCTGAGATGCCCGGTGGTTACATTATTGACCCAGAGACTGGAGGAGGAGGTGGCGGAGAAGTACCCAGCAGCTCACCCGTGGTGGCCCGTCCTTTTGTGATGCATGCTGTGGGCAAGGAGATGTTCAATGTGGCGGCACCGGCTAGCTCCCCCTTGATCAGTGACCCCCACAATGATCAGTCCATCAATTTGCTTTGCGAAGAGACAATACCAGGCAGTCCGGCTCCCAATTACGGTGGCAAGGAGGAGCAATCAATGCCTGCCGCAGCGTTAACCCTTGTCCCAGGGGTCACTCCCTTGCCATCCGAGACGCCGCCAGCTATAGGCACCACGCTCCAGCAGCCACAAACACAGCAAGTGCAACCGCAGTCATCTTTGGAGGCAGTGAACCCTTCGGCCACCAATAGTTCACCAGACTCGGCCAGCCAGGAGGATGAGAGTGGCGAGGAGACCATGCAGCAAAAAAAACCCGAGCTAGGACACGACTCCATGGAAGACTCGATGGGTCTAAGCAAGCGCAAGCGGACACGGAAACAGGTGCCCATGGGTGCCCAGGTAACGGCTGGCGTGGCCGCTCAGCTGCAGTCGCTGGGCAAGAGGCGACGCCAGGTGTCCGGGATGAGAAGCCAGAAGACAGCCACAACGGGCGGTGAGTAGTGGGGGGTTGAGGAGTAAAAAGGGAGGATGTATAAATTAATGAAATCTCGTCTTTAGGTGGCTCCGATACGGATGACAATTCGGACAATCTGGTGCCCATGGCGGGACAGCAACAGCAGCAGCAGCAGGTGCAGCAGCGGCAGAGTGCCCGCCATCAGCTAATGTTGCCCCAGGGCAGCAGCAGCACTCAGCTTCAACAGCAGCAGCAGCAACTGCAGCAACAATTGCAGCAATCAATCGTAAGCAACCAGTCCGGAGTGCGTCCCTGTCCCTACAATTTCCTCGTGGAGCTGGGTAAGTTATCCCATCTGAATCCTGAACCCTGAACCCTTAATCTTAACCCCCTTTTGTTTACCCAGATCCCGCTCTCAGCTCCGATGAGTGCATTACCATCCTGCGCAAGCAAATCCAGGACCTGCGCAAGGCTTACAACACCATCAAGGGTGAGCTGGTGGTCATCGATCGGCGTCGCAAGAAGCTGCGTCGCCGGGAGCGCGAGAAGAAGCAGCAGCAGATGCAGAGCCAGCAGCAGCAGAGCAAGCTGTGTGCCTAGAAGAGCTCTCCTTTCACCCACCCACTCACACACACCCAGGATAAGTGCAAATAAAGATGGCAAACACAGCAAAACAAAAAACAACCGAGCAAGCGGGAGCCCATATAATTGTACTATATCTTTTTACAAATTAATATATACTATATATATATATATATATATATTTATTTTTTTTTGCTCCCCTTGCTTTATTAGTTCGTAAAAAGAGTGATTAAGTCGAAACTTAGGGTTCTATGAAAATACATTTAATAAAATGTATGCAGTGTCTAAGCAGCAATAAGCCAAGGGGTTTTATTTCAGTCTATTATCCCTTTTATCCCTATTATCCCTTTTGTTCCAAGTAGATTCCAAGTGCTTGGTTTATTGTATTTAATAATTTTCCCAATAATCATTATTACGGTCCCTGGGCAAAACCTTAAAATGAAATGTAAACTTGATATTTTTCTTGGCAAACAAAACTTGGTAATATATTTTCGAGTTTTCAGAGTTTAGGATACGGCATAGCCTCCCTCGAGCAGAATGTGATGGCCATTCACGAAGCTGGACTTGCTGCTCAGCAGATAGCCAGTGGCGTCCACGACCTCGTACACCTCGCAGAAACGATTCAGCGGAATGTGGGCCAACAGGGGACCACTCTTGGCCGGATCCGTCCAGTTGTCGCGACCCATTTTGGTCAGCACCACGGTGGGATTCACAGAGTTGACGCGAATCTTGCGGGGACCCAGTTCCAGGGCCAGTGACTTGGTCAGCGAATCGAGGGCCGCCTTGGTGGCACTGTAGGCAGTGTGGCCGCCAAAGGAACGACTAGAGGCTATCGAGGACACATTGACAATGGAAGAGCCATCCCGTAGACGGGGCAGCAGAGCCTGGGTTACATTAAACACGGCCTTTATGTTGACATTAAAGTGACTGCAAAAATATATTAATTATTAATTATTGTTAATTGTTTTTTTCTTAACCGGCTTCTCCTTCTTAAAGAAAACATTAATAATTATTATTTACGCTTTATGGGTTGGCAGGTGCCCCTCTTCTGGCCAACCAGGAGTACCCTTGCTACTCCCAGCTGTCCTTCTTTGAGGTCATTTGAATGATTTCTCCAATCTCTACCATAGTTTATAATCTGATTGTGGCCTTTTGTTATCAGAATTCATAAATTCATGAATATAAAAAGTGATCTTTAATGTGGCATATGATTACCTTAGAGAAACATTCTGTGCCACAAGGATTCCCCTTATTCCTCTATTTTTATATATTTTTTTTAATTTAAAATCCCGCAACTTACGTGTCAAAGTCCTGCTCGGTGAGCTCCTCGAACGGCTTGATAATGGCCACACCGGCATTGTTCACCAATCCATCCAGCAGGGGCACCTTGGCCAGGACCTCTCGCACCTTTTGCCACTCGCTGAGGTCCAACAGCAGCGGCTGAATGTACTTGGGATAGTAGGAAACCAGCTCCTTCAGCTGCTCCTCCTTCCTGACCACTGCAATGACGGTGGCTCCAGAGCTGGCCAGTTGCCTGACCAAAGCGTGGCCAATGCCGGCACCAGCACCGGTCACCAGGATTACCTTACCAGCCAGATCGCTCCACATTTTGCTGCTAAAAAATATATTAGTATATATATAGTGGCTCCGAGTTGATGGGGTTTGCGGTCAGAACTAAACTGGAAATTCAGTGTTTACTTCTTATCGAGGCATTAATCTCCAGGGGAGCTTTCTTCGGAGATGGTAGCACTGGAGAGAGGGAGAATCGGGAGCTTTGGCTCTCTCGGCTAGGGCGTTTAAGGTCGTTTCTTGATCGCAGCTCTCTTGGGGATGCAGGGAACCGGTATCAGGGGCGTAGAGCTCCCCCCTGAAGCTGATAAACATTGGACTATAAATATATTTAGATCCGGATTTGAGAGCCTCCCTCCTCTTCCCCATCCTCCTCTGAGCTGAACTGGATTTCTATCAATTAAGAAGTTTAATAAGGGCAATGGAAATATTTTAAAATGGAAAAGTCTACAGACAAGAATATATCGAAGAATATTTTCAATTTGGAAACAAAGGATCACTTGAATTAGCTATCAGTCTTAAGTGTCAGGCCCCTGGGGATACAACAGCTCCTTCAGTTGCTGCCGAGCAGTCGAACTGGGAAGTCGAATTTGTTTAGTACTTATTTTTATTTTCTTTATTTTTTTTCATTACTTTAATGTTTTGTTCTTATTTAATATCGTCACTAGTTCTAATACGTTCGTGTTTTTATATTTATTTTTATCTGAAATATTTTTTTTAATTGATTATTTTAATTTTTTTTATCATTTTGAAAAAAACAAAACGCGGGACTTTCATCTGGAGGACGCTATCTGTCATTAAATTGTTTAATAATATCTGCAATATATATTTTTAAATTTATTTTTCTTTTTATTTTATTTTTTTGTGTCACTTTTCTTATTTATTTAGATGACTTGTTAATACTTTTTTTTTGTATCAAACAGAAGTAATATAGCATGGACAGGAAAGTAACGTCCATATTTTGGCAGAAATATCTGCAATATATATATTTAATTTTGTAAATATTTTGAGAACATAAAACGCTTTGCGTCAAAAGAGATGTAGATGGTCACTCTCTCCCATTTAATACCCCTAGAGGGTATCAAAAGCTAGTAACGCAGTGAAGGAGTCATTTCCGACCCTATAAATCGTATATATTCTTGATCAGCATTAACAGCCGAGTCGACCTAGCCATGTCGGGAAGAAACAAAATTTTAGCCATTTTTTTCAAAATTTTATAAGGGGTTACATCGTTAAAATTTTAAAAAAATTACCAAAAATGTTGATTTTAGACATTTTCAAATTTTCTTATGCAGTTTTAATAAACTATTAAAAACTATCACAGCACAGCTTTCCGAATTGAAATTGATGTTTTTTTGGCAGTTATTAAATTTTTACGATTTTATTTTCCAAAATGTTACTATATTATTTTATCAAAAAATATTTAAATTAAATTAAGACGATTTATTAAACTATTAAAAACTAGCTTTCCGAATTGAAATTAATTTTAAAATATACATCAGTGTGACCGGGTACGTGAGAGGTTATTATACCACCTCTCCGGCAAGCTTTGGTTTTTCAAACAGAGAACCCAACGGGCACACTGCACCTTTTGCATCAATGTTTTGCCGACAACAAATTAAATTTTAAATGATTTACTGACTTAAGGCAACTACAAGAAATGGCGCAAACGCAACCCACAGGTAAGTACTGGCCCCGCTAATAGCCACTGCCGTTGGTGTGTTCCGGATCCCTAACTCCCGTCCCATTTAACAGCCAAGCGCGTAAAGCTGGAGCAAAAGCCGGCGCATCTGGTCGAGGAAGATGGTAAATATAAGTGGAAAATCCCAAGGAAATGGAGAAAACTAAGTTAATTGTGCTTACCCACCCAACAGAGACGCCCTCCGTGTTCAATCCCAAGTACCGGGTGTGCCCCTACCTGGACACCATCAACCGCAACATGCTGGACTTTGATTTCGAGAAGCTCTGCTCCATCTCGCTGACCCGGATCAATGTGTACGCGTGTCTGGTGTGCGGTAAGTACTTCCAGGGTCGCGGCACCAACACCCACGCGTACACGCACTCCGTGGGCGAGGCGCACCACGTGTTCCTCAACCTGCACACCCTCCGCTTCTACTGCCTGCCCGACAACTACGAGATCATCGATTCCTCGCTGGACGACATCAAGTACGTGCTGAATCCGACATTCCTGCGCCAGGAGATCGCCCAGCTGGACCAAGTGCAGCCGAAGCACTCGCGCACCGTGGACGGAGTGCTCTATCTACCGGGCATCGTCGGGCTGAACAACATCAAGGCGAACGACTACTGCAACGTGGTGCTGCACGCCCTCTCCCACGTGGGTCCCCTGCGAGATTACTTTCTGCGTGAGCAGAATTATGCTCACATCAAGCGACCACCGGGTGACTCCATGTTTACGCTTGTCCAGCGCTTCGGCGAGCTAATGCGTAAGATGTGGAATCCGCGCAACTTCAAGGCGCATGTCTCGCCCCACGAGATGCTCCAGGCGGTGGTGCTGTGGTCCAGCAAACGTTTCCAGATCACCGAGCAGGGCGATCCTATTGATTTCCTCTCCTGGTTCCTCAACACCCTCCACCGGGCCATGAAGGGCACCAAGCAACCGAACTCGTCCATTCTCTACAAGATCTTTTTGGGTGAAATGCAGATTTATACGCGGAAGATACCGCCTGTGGAGCTGGATGACACGGCCAAGGCGGAGCTGCTGGCCACCGAGGAGTACAAGGAGCAGGTGGAGCATACTAATTTCATATATCTCACCTGCGATCTGCCACCGCCGCCGCTGTTCATAGACGAGTTCCGCGAGAACATCATTCCGCAGGTGAATCTCTACCAGCTGCTGGGCAAGTTCAATGGCAGCGCCGAGAAGGAGTACAAGACGTACAAGGATAACTTTATGAAGCGCTTCGAGATCACCCGCCTGCCGCAGTTCATCATTTTGTACATCAAGCGGTTCACCAAAAACACCTTCTTCCTGGAGAAGAATCCCACGATTGTTAACTTTCCCATCAAGTGAGATTTTTTGTTTGTTTTTTAATTCCTAATATCCCCAACTAATGGGAATCTCTCTTGTTGCAGGAACGTGGACTTTGGCGACATTCTGGGCATGCGAAAGCGGGACGGTAACGTCAAGGACACCAAATACAATCTGGTGGCCAACATTGTGCACGATGGTGACCCCAAGAAGGGCACCTATCGCGCCCACATACTGCACAAGGCCAACGGCCAGTGGTACGAAATGCAGGACCTGCATGTCACCGAAATTCTGCCCCAAATGATCACGCTCACCGAGTCCTACATACAGATTTACGAGCGCTGTGCGGACACTTCCTGATCCCTGGGATATTTTACTTACCTTAAGCTGTGTGTGTATAATTTATAATATGGCTCCAACCAGCATACAAAATACATAAGTAGGCAGGAAGTAAAGTGAACGTTTACAGGAGATTTTAATGGGTTTAGCGATGGGTTTCACTAGGACCCCGCAGCCTCAGCTGCAGCTGAAGCTTCTAAGAAGCGCATGCGCCACAAATTGGGGCCACAAACATGGGACAAAAAAATCGATGACCAGCGAAAGCCAGTTGCCAGCACGCAGGGAAGGCATTAGGAAGCATGTCGGAGCAGCCGGAGATTAGCCACACCTACGAGACCGAGTGCCAGCGGGCAGAGCTCCTGGGCCTGCAGCCACCAGACAGAGCCGACTTTGAGCGGAAGCGCCAGGCCAGGCTGGAGCACGAGCTGGCCGAACAGGAGGCCGCCGAGGCGGTGGTAAGCAATGCCTCTCTGTAAACCGAAATATTCTCCTCCACAACTGAGTATCCTCCCATCTTAGCTGCTGGAACAGCAGGATGAAACGCTGGGCGGCGTGGGCGGTAAGCTGGGCGAGCTCAACAGCATCCTGTCCAGCACACAACAGAAGCTGAATCGCTTCAAGCAGACAGCCTGCGGCAGTCTGACAAATATATTTTCAAGAGCCAGTTCCGGGTCAGTGGATTTAACGGCGGGTGGAACTGCCGCAGGTCCCACCCAGGAGGAGCGTCCGCCTGTGTTGGCCGCCAAGCCACCGCCAACGGCGGCCGAGGTAAGTGCCGCAAAGGCGGCCAAACAAAAGCGCATGGACTCGCAGCTGGACAAGCTGGATTCCCTCATCAATCAGGCGGACAATGCCCAGATCGCCATGAGCGAGCAGACCCAGCAGATGCGACGCCTGGCCAAGTAGAAGGGAAAGAATGGGTTTTAAAGCGAATTCAAAGCCAGGTATTTGTTTTTTTTTATTTTATTCGTTTCTCACTCTCATTTATTGTTATCTTTTCCCGCCTCTCGCAGCCAATCCTGGCCAGCCTTCTGTCCTCGGAACACATGAGTTTCGCTTAAAAACTAAACACACAAGTTGAGAGTTACACCCAAAGCGCGTCTTCAATCACATTTGTCGAGGGTGCAGGACGGCTGTCCTCCCTCACACTCATCCCGTTGACTTTATCTAATATATAGTTATTATATATATACATATATATGTGCAGTTTATGATTAACATTCGAGTTTTCAAAAGTAATCCCCTTTACAATAGGATTTCCCTCCGCGTTGTCCTTGTTTAGAAGCTGAATTCAACTCGAAAATGTTTGACAATAATGTTGTTCCGTTTGGATAATTAATTAATTGCGATTTCTTCATATTAAGTAATTGTCAGTGAACATTTCTTAGCATTTTAAAATTTACGTAAATTTTTTTAAAGGTTTTCCTACTAGGGAAAAGTAATTTTGTTTTGTTTCAACTTTAACACTTCAATTGGTTTTAAAATAATTGTAATAACACTTAGCTTTCTTTGATTTTGCTTTTACTTTCTTTGCTGCTGCTTCTTTTTGCTTTTACTTTCTTAACTTTTGTTTGTCGAAGCTTTTTCTTTCCTTACTTTTGTTTTTCTCCGCTTTTACTTCTTTGCTTTTGTTTTTTTTTTTACTTTACTTTATTTCTTTGCTATTGTTTTTATCTTCCTCACTTTTTCTTTTCTTTTCTTTTTTATTTATTTTTCTTTCTTTTATTTTCTTTGCTTTTTGTTTACGTAGGTTTAGCTTTCTTTGCTTTTACTTTATCTTTTTCTTAGCTTTTATTTTCTTTGATTTTGCTTTTCTAATTTACTATTTTTTACTAATTTAACCAAATAAAAGAAAAACCAAATATACAAGTGTACAAAAGCAATACATATTTGTTAATTACATAAAATGCCCATCGAGTAATATTTGTGCTAGAAGGTAGCATTCCAGCTAATACTTGTTGATTACTTACACCAGGGCATCGCCAGGAAAAGGCAATCTTGAGTCAAGAAATAAACAAAATCAAAATTTTCTTCACTAAAAAAAAATTGCTTTGCCTTGGAGGGAAATCCATAGAAAACCCATAAAATCTGTAAACAAATATATAGATATATAAATTGATATCTAAATTAACTAGAAAAGCCAAAGAAATTGCTGGACATTTTAAAACCTTATAAAAGGTGTCAAAACAAAGGCTACAAAACGAGAAGCACCACAAATCTAGCCTAGATTTGAGGTCTTAAGTCATTTATAGTCTTACCTTATATTTTCTAAAATTCCCAGCAATTTCAATGGATCCCTTGAAGGATGACATAGCAGGACAATAAATTTGTACAGCAAAAGAGGTTTGAAGGCGACTACTTATCCTCCGAAGAAGCCGACGAGGTGGACGTGGAGAGGTTGAGACAATGATGCGGCGGGGTGGGGCACCGCTTGATACCTGTGCGCCTTTCCACAGAGTGACACACATCCTCATCGGAATCAGAGTGCTCGTCATCGCTCTCGCTCTCGCTGCTGGCATGCCCGGCATCTGTTTCGTACTGATCATCCGGCTGCTTCTTGCCAAGCCGAGTGACGGCATCATCATCATCATCATCAGCCATTATAACGCCCTCCGGCTGCGCCTCATCCTCGTAGAAGAAATACGACAGCTGCAGGCCCTCCGCTACCGAGTTCAACCTCCAGGCATGTGGTATAAGCTGGGTATTGAGCTCGAAGCGTTCCTGCAATGTTTGGAACATAGCTGGAGAGATCTCCATTTGGGGCACCGACTGATGTGCCTGCCACTGCTGCAACAGCGGCGGCTCCTGCTCCCCTTCGCCAGCTCCAAAAACGCCGTAGTAGAGCTTGCAGGCTCGGTAGCAACGCAGCTGCTGCGAGTCCGGTTGGATGCGACGCAGCACGCGCAGCTGTGACTCCACCACATGGATGAACATGTACTGATGGCGGCGGCGACTGGGCAGCGAGGTGACCAGCACCGCGCGACTGGTGCTCAGGCAGAGCTGCGGCAGAGGCTGTGGCCACAGGGAGTAGAGCAGTCGCTTGACCAGCTGGGTCATCGAGGAACTCTGGAAGAAGTGACGCGGCAGGGTGGCTGTGGCTTTACATTCTCTGCCTGGCAACCAGCGCACTGCATCGGCCCAGAGGCGGGCCGCCGCCCCATTGAACATAGTAACGCCCAGGTAACGCATGCAGCGCTTGCAGTACAAGTGATCCTCGCGGTTCAGGATACTGGGACTCGAGTCCCGATTCATGCTCACCACCACATAGTTGAGGCCATAGAAGAGATCTGCCTCGCCGGGCACCAGGCTTGGCACCTTGCTTTCATCCTCGCATCCACCCGCCACGCCGTGATTGTGGCAAAAGAACTCGCTGGGATCCACCACGCAGCTGGGAAACTCGCGCAGCCGGCGGTAACACCGCTCCTCCACCAAGGTGGCCCGGCAGTCGCGGCAGGTCACCGAGATGGGTTCGTTTTCGCGGCACGAGCATAGCAGGGGTGCCATGCTCACCTGGACGGCGCCGCCGTCCAAGGCGTCCAGATCAATTTGGGTATAGTTGAAGCGGAAGCTGATGTGGTGGCCGGCGACCACGAAGATGGAAATGCAGCCGATGTCCATGCCGAAGCAGTCGTGTCTGATAACCAGGGACTCCACCTCCTCCTCATCCGTCTCGCTGTCGCTGTCACTGGCGGTGCTGGAGAAGGTGGCACGACTGGCAGTGCTGGAGGCGCTCCCCGGCGACTTGGCAGCTATGTAGACATTGTGCTCCCGGATGACGAGGCGGGTTTCGTTGCGATCGGCGATGTTGTGGTCGAACTGCAGGAAGACCACGCCGCTGCGCAGGTTCGGACGCAACTCGATGCACAGCCCGGTCAGGGACATCCTGGCCAGTCAGCGGGTCCAGGAGCAAGCCGGTCGGGTCCAGCAGGCTCAGATCTCCAAGTTGAGTCGATAAATTGGCCTGAAAACGTGAGTTGAACCCGGGTTTAGATAAAAAATAAATGAAAAACCAACGGGAAAAAAGGAAAACAAACTTCGGCATAGAGATGGCACTTCGATAGTTTGGCGCTGGCAGAGCCGCCAATTAATCGATGTTTATTTAGTGGGGCCAGAATCAGTGGCGGAAAAGCCAATTCATCAAACTGAGTTGCGCAGGCTTTATCTGGAGACAAACCACTTTTCCCACCTTGAAAGAAGCTATGCTTTCCTTGCAGTGAAGTTTTCTAACGTTTTCCGAACATAATTTGGTCCACTTACGTAGTTTCATTACGTTCCCATTCATTTCGGTGTGACCAGTTGCCGCGGAGGCTGGAATCCCATCTTTGCAAATATCGCAGTAATAAAAGCGAAATAACCGACGGGCATACTGCACAAACAGGGATAAACGCGATAAAATGCGAAAAACAAAGCCCCGTGTAAAACTCGTCGAAAACCGTGTTTAAAGTAAAGGAAATTGCTACTCGGGCTCCTATTAACGGCTCCGGAGCTTGGGTGACGGGCGTGCAATCGCGGGTTAGTGAACGGTCAACGGTCGAGCGAAGGCAGATCGACGAAAAGGTCTTTTCATCGTTCGCCTTAAACGCATTTCGTTCGTGCAGCACACACACACATCCGCAGATCCAAATACAAACAAATACACGCAACGCGCAGCGCATATACACAAAGAAAGAAGGCAAAAAGGCAGCAGTGAAAATCGACAAGCGAGCGCACGCATGCACACACAAACAAACACACACACGCGAAAAAGTGTGGATATATATCCAATATATTGATGTTGTGTGCGCCGTTGTTGCTGCTTCTGCTCTGTGTGTGAGTGGAGTGAGTGAGGGAGTGAAAGAAAGAAAGAGAGGGCGGCAGAGAACAGAGAATAGAGCCCGCGCAGGCAGGATAAAACAGGAGCGACGACGAAGATGAGCCAAAGCATAGAAGTGAAAAAATAATTAAAGGTTGCCCAACGGCGGCACCAGCAGGCGAAAGGGACAGGCGCAAAGTCAACGGAACGGCAAAGCGGAGCAGTTGCAGCAACAACAGTAGCAGTAGCAGCAGCAAAAGCAGAAAAACCAAGGCAAAAGCCCGAGAGTCGTCCCCAACACAAATTGGCCATCCCGGTGTCCCTCGCCAGCGACATTCCCCATCACCATCGCCCTCCCGCTCTTATTTTTGGCAGTCGTCGCATCTCGCTCTCTCTCATTCGGTGGGGGGTACGAAAAGTTCACATGCAACAACAACGACAACAAACAATAGCAGTCGCCGTCGCAGTTGACGCAGGCAGAGGCAGAAGCAGTGGCAGAGACAGAGGCGAAGGCAGTGGCGCACTGAACGTATTTTGTACATAAACATAAAAATAGTTTTTAAATCAATTTAAAAGAAATCCTTAAGCATAAATATACAGTAATAACTAATTAAACGAAAGCAAATCAAGTAGACAACGGGAGATAACAGAAAGCGAAGAACGCAGAGCCGAAAACCGAGAACGGAGAACGTAGAGGAAAATAGAGAGACAAGAGAGAAAATCGCGAAACGCTCAACGAAATTCGCCTTTTACACGATTTTAAATTGAGCGTTGGCACATCCAGAGATCCATTATACATCCATCCAAAACGAAAAGAGAGGGAGAGTAAAAAGTGCAGAGCAGCGCTGAGCCGAGCTGAGCTGAGCAGAGCAGAGAAAATAAACAAAACACACAGCGGAGGAGACCAGAAGAGGAAGCAGAAGCAGCTGGAGGAGCAACTGTAAACACGGTCCCACACACAGCCAGGCGACACACATACCCGCAATCACTCATTCGCACTGCACACACAAACATACACACACAGCGGACACATACAATCTCAGCCTCACGCTGGCGAATCGCAACGGCAGCAACAACAGCAGAGGAGGCGACGCAGGTGGAGCTGGCGGAGGAGGGGGCGGGGCAGTGGCCGCCGCTGCCCGTAATAGCAACAACAACAACGGCAACAATCCTGGCGGAGGCGGAGGAGCGGCTGCTGTCGGCGCTGGCGCCGAAGGAGCTGCTGGCGGCAACGGAGGAGGAGGAGGTGGCGGCGGCAACAACAATGCTGGCGGAGCGGCAGCCAACGAATGGAATCAGGAGGAGATGGATCGCTTCAGTTTTGACGACTCGATCCGCTTCGAGGAGGACTCGCTGTGCAGTTGGAGCTCTGAGCCGGAGTCGCTATGCAACAACTGGCGGGGCTGGAAGAAACCAAGCAACGCTGCGGGCAGCGCTGCCGGCGGTGGTTTAGGCGGTACTGGACCCGGTGCCGGTGTCGGATCCGGAGCCAATGGCCTGGGCATCGCAGCGTCATACGGAGCGGCGGGCCTGAACGGAGCAGGTGCCACCGGATCGTGTACGCCGGGCGGCAGTGCAGCGGCAGTGGGAACCCTCTCCACCTGCGGACGATATTATGGTGAGTCCTAAGATCTAGTCTCTTAAAGACAAATCGAAGAAATTATGAAGATTGGGAATCTACTTTTTAAGTTTTATCAAGGCCATACTTATCCTTTATTTTAAAGGTTCTTGCTGTAAGGAAAGATATTTTGGGGTGATACTTCTATTTCAATTTGTATACCCTTGCAGGGTATTGTAGGGCAGTGAAGGAGTTACTTTCGAATATAAATTAATGCATTTTTGCCTTAGTTATGATTGATTTCAAATTCGTTCTTCCCGACAGATACAGATTTCTGCTTACCAAAGTTATATCTCTACCTAGTTTTCTATAAAATGTAATGGATATCGCCTCAAATCCAATATTACTCAGCCTGGTATCCAATAGTTTCCCATAGTTCCTCTCATTTGAAAGTATCAAACATTATAACTAATCAGTTGTTCCTCCTTAATTTAGTGATTTTAAGCTGTTTAAGCCTTGTTTGTATTGTTTATTGTTTTAAAGACCTAATATCTAGAATATTTATATCTATAATTCTTTAGGTCTTGTACCTCCTTATATTCCTTGCGTGGAAATAGGCCTTAAGTGTTACCGTCTGGCAACGCTGTATTGGCTGAAATTATACGCATGACCTTTTCGCTGTTGGTAAATTCTGTAAAATTGGCTTAAGGGGCAGTGCAACAACAGTGCTGTAATTGTTGTTGCTTTGTCTGCAATTGTCTTTTTCTTTTTTGCGTTGCCTTGCCTTGTCTTTCCTCGATATCCTCTGCTTATCGTTAAAGTCAAAATCACGACTTTTTAGCCTGGCTACGTTCTCGTTTTCCTTCTTTTTTTTATGTTTTTAGTTTTTTGTTGCTTCTCCTTTGTCTTTTTGTGGATTATTACTCGTGTCTTTCTGCGTTTTGCCTTTTGTCTGTGTGTATGTAAGTGCATTGTTTCTGGGCCCGCTGAAGAAAACGTTTTTTACACGTCTCAGGTCGAGGGTTTTCGGTCGGTATCCTGTGCGCCGACCAACGACGCGTCGCAGTATTATCGTCTTGTAATATCTGGCTGCGACTGCGCAGTTTATCGTCCTCTTCTCCTACTCGCTTTTCTCCCTTTTTCCCTCGTTTCCCCATCTATACAGCATTCGTTTTGTCTTTGTATCGTTGCCTTGAAGGCAATGGAAAATACATATCTATACATGTATATATGTACGCGTACATATGTAGGTGGAAAGGAGCTCAGACAGTGGAAGGACACTGTACGTGTGATGTCGCTCAGCACTGCTTTGAAACTTGTAAAGATAGATGAATATATTTTTTAAACATTTTCCTTCAATCTTACTGCTACACAGATATTGTCTATCTATCTATCAGATCTCTGCTTTCAATAGAAACTAGTTTATTTTTTTAACGGGAAAATAGCTAAAGTTACAACCCTATGGTTAAGTGTGTGTGTGTGCAAGGGCACAGCCAGCTGCATTTTCATGCTCGAAAGACATAATAACCGCAACGAAAAAAAAAACAGAAATATATAGCCTTAAAACGATGTCGCTGCCAGCTGAACGACGCAGACGTCGACGTCTTTTTCTAGAGCCCCTTTTTGTTGTGTCGAAGAACCTTTTCAAGGATACCTTCACCCACCATGCCTATACAACCTGCCCGAAGGGGGATGTCATAAAACTGAACCCGACGACATGTACGAGAGTCCATTATTTCCTTCGCACCTTGCTGCAGCCTAGCAGAAGCTATCAGCTATCAATCACACAATATATTTTCCGGTTAAATGTACGAATTTGGGCAATATTTAATAAGGTTTCTCATGGTTAATGTGTAAGAGTTAACCTGGAGAGTTAAGAAGCGATTAGGAGGACTAAGAAAGCAATTTAGACCCTAGATAAAGTGATTCCTATTAGTATTTTAAATCAGATTAATATTCAATAATCAAACTGATCCCTGGACTACCCAATATTATTAAAAATATCACTTTTTAAAGTTAAAAGTATGAACTGCCTGCAATGACCCCGAATAAACCGTCACGCTGCTCTGCTGACAATGGAATTTATCGGTACAGGTGCACTGGTGTGCGTGTGTGTGTGCTTTTATTGCCCGGCGGCTTCGTCGTTGCCACATGTCATCATCTAATTAGTGGGTCGAGTCTCGCTCGGTGTCAATATCGAACTGAAACTGCGACCAGTCGCGGCAACAAGCCAAGCTTACAATTTATTTATTTATTTTTTTTTTTTTTTGTTGCTCTGCATATCAGTTTCATGCACTTCCGCAGTCGCACAGCACTAGAGCATATGAAACACACACACACAAAGAGGCAGAACTGCTTGTTGGCATTTCGACCCCTTTTCTGTGTCAGTTTTATTTCGCTTTTGAGCGAGCTTTTTGTGCCGACAAACCTGAATTTGTCACTTAAAAAAATAAATAAAAATTAAGATAAACAAAAAACACAATGGACAAATTTAGAAATATAAGGGCATAATGTAAAGATCATTTTCAGCATTCAGTAGGAAGTTGAAATGCCAGCACAGTGATTCGAGTTACTATTCTCTTTAAAGGCAAATTACATTGTCTTATTTGTTTTTAATAGAACAAATTTAATCTAACATGGAATGCACAGGAAAATGTTGCTAGAAACATGTTGAAGATGCACAGGAAAATGTAGCTAGAAACATGTTGAGGAACACACAACCCCCAATTGATAAAAGACCAACTGGGAATTTCATTGTCGGAATATTCGATATTGCCGCCACCTAGGTCTTAACACATGGTACCTAAGTTGTTAAAGCCATAAAGCATATTTTACCAGTAAAAACAAAGCTGTATGTTAGAGTATAACGAATGCATTCGTCGAGGAGAAGTTCGGCAACTCGACAAGCTCGTCAACTCCGGCACCTCTTGCTCAACTCAACGCAACGCAACGCAACGTCAACGCTGGTTTGCTCAGTAATAACAAAAATAACTGGAGCATGAGGCTTTGGGTTATATATTCTCATCTTTATTGTTACAAGCCTTGCCAGTGCGCTGCATGGAAATGGAAAACAAATTAAAATGCAAACAAAATGTGTCGAAAGAAGCGGAAGAAGGGGACTACAAGGGAGGCAAGGCTCAAGCTCAAAGCTAAAGAGGAAACGCCAACAAACAAAGCAGAGCAGAGCGCGAACCTGTTTGAAGGGGAAGCAATAGCCTTGAAATATACACACGGATCGGTTATTAAACCTTCTTCTCTTTTGATCAAATCAATCTGACTCATGCAGCTAGGGGGAATCTGGGGATCAATGCCCATATTTCTGTTGTTGGATTCATCTTTATAGGGTACCTTAAAGCCAAATAAACTTAACAAATCAATTACCTTTGAAATAAAATAAGCATTTTCCGGTTTGTCAAAAATGTAGACAAAGAAACATTGGGTTTACGCATTTTTATGCTACAGGGGAGGCATGATACTACGTTTTGAAGCTTCCATACCAAAGATTAAGATAAATAAAAATAAAATAAATTACTTTAATTTATTTATTTATTTATTATTTATTTAATATTATTTTACATATTTATCTCTTATATATTAGTTGATTAAGCGTTTTTAAATAACTAATATGTTAAAGGAATCCTCTTATACTGATTGTATAATTATTTTTCCATGTCGTATATGCACATATTTCTCCCAAGATTACTTCGAGTTTTTATGCTCCTTAAATTAAATTAAATTGAATTAATTAATCACGCTTGAAGTGCTAGTGGGGCTATCCGTGTAACCCCTGCTGTATCTGTGTGTATATGCATACAGGACAGGCATGAGCAATAAGTTAACGCTTGCGGAAAATGACTTTGAATAAAATGGTGCCAAAGTGTCTGAAAATTAAGCGACGGCAGCAGTGTGAGAGACGACGTTGTCGATGGGTAGAGTGTGGAGCGTATTAAGAGGAGGGGGCGAAGAATGAGAGCGAGCAAACGGGCCGACGAACGAGCGAAAGAAAACAAACAAACAAACAAAACAATGAGAGCTGTCCCCCCTTGTTCAGTGCTGTATATTTGGCTCTTTTATGGCTGCTTTAAGCTTGAAAATTATTTTACAAATTTATATTAAGTTAACTGAAAAAAAAGTTTACTTCGGTAAGGCGATATTTTTAATATATTTGCCATAGATTCAGGGGGGATGAATTTAAAATCGATCAGAACTAAGCCAAAAATGCATTCATTTCAATTCGGAAAGCTATTTTGAGTTAGTCTTTAAAAGGTTAATAAATCTGCATAACTAATTTAATTTAAATATTTATCTTTAATTTTATATATTTTTTTTTTATAAAAAATCAAAATTAAAAAAAACCATACCTAAGCTAAAAATGCATTAAATTCAATTCGGACAGCGGTTTTGTCTTAGTTTTTAAAAGGGTATTAAATCTGTATACTAAGTTTAACGTTATTTCTAATTAAATTTTTTGCCAATTTTTTTTTTTACATTTTTAACGAAAAATTTTGAAAATTGTGAAATTTTTTTATTCTGCCAAACAACGCTAGATTGACTCGCCTTTTAATGCTGATCAAGAATATATATGTTTTATGGGGTCAAAAATGACTCCTTCACTGAGTTACTAGCTTCTAAGTGAAACAATAATACCCCCAAAGGAGTGTTAAAATTTAAATATTTATCCATAACTATATATGAAAATTTTTGGAAAAATTAAAATTTTCAAAATAGTAACTAAGCTCAAAAAGCATTAAGGTTAATTCTGTGTTAGTTTTATGATTTATATGATCGGAAATTACTTCTTCACTGCGTTACTAGCCTCTGACCGAAATCAAGGGTATATACATTTTCCAAAAATAAAATTTTAAAAATCCCCAAAGTTCGACTTCTAAGAAATTCCACTTATATTTACCAAAATGTAATTAATTGATTTTCTGCTCGTTGAACATTTCTGCAACATATATTTAAAGCAGGGATTTCCCTCTTATTTTTTCCTTATTGATATAATATCGATTCGAAGCGAAGGCGAACCTATTATTAAATTTTAACAACCGAATCCCTAACCCTTTATTTTTTGTCGCAATGCAATTACATGACTCACATCCCGACCAGGTATATTCTATATTTCAACCAATTGAAAGCGAAATCTCCGATATCTGGTCGTGGCGAATATTTGATTCTGCAAACAAAAATTCGCGTGGGCGAACTTGAACCTTTTGTTCCGCGACTGCATCATCATCATCGGGCAGGAGGAACACTATACACCGTCGTATATACCATATAATAATAGCGCCCGATGTTCTTTGTTTTGCTTTGACTTTGGCTTGTTTGTTTTTTTGTGCGCTTTGCGTTTTGCTTTTAAGGGCAATGGGAACGAGACCTTTAAAATGCAGGCCACTGCTCTCCCTGGTCTTGGTCTCTCCTCTCCCCTTTGGTCTTTGCCGCCATGGCCATTTGTTTATTTGCAAGCCAATTCGTTGAATTTTTGTTTATCTACAACTCAGTTTACGCACAGATAAATTGCTTACTCCCTTACTGTAGCCGTATTCTCTTTATTTTTATAACTTAACTGATTGATCTGTTCGTGTCTTATGTTTCTGTGGGAACCATATCGTGTTTATCTCTGGGATATATTTTTGGGGATAGACTAAAAAAGGCTTATTGATTGGGAAATTGTTTATTTAGGGTATAATATATCTAGTAAATTGGAGCAACCTATACACTCATGAAAAATATATTTTTATATTACAAAAAAATTAATAAATATAAATAAGAAAAGATTTTTACAATTTAGAATAAGGTTTTTGGAATTAAAGGCAAGGTGCCATAAAAAATCCAGGCAAGCCACAATTATTAACATTTTGTTAAGGGTTTATTTATATATTTTTCTATAATTTAAGACGATTTTACTACGTTTAGTTCCTTACTTAATTACTAATTTAAGGTTAAATTACACTTGTTTTCCTGGTAAATTGTTCATAACAATCTTGCCGAATTCGCCCTAAAATTTGTCCCGATAAAAATCTCACACTTGTGCACATATAATTCCCAACTGGTTCTAACATCACCAGAATGAAGTGACTTGCCAGCCATGGGCATAGACAGTGGCGAGCAAATGTGGATATGTGTAGGTGCTAAGTGCTACTTTATATTTGATATTAAATATGTGATATTACATAGTTACTTGCCCTGAAAGCAAGTCACATTCCCCGTAATTCAAGAAAAAAATCCTTAAATTTTATTTTATTTATTGATATAGTAAAGCTTTACTGGTTTTAATGGCTTTAATGGTTACAAGCTAGAATATATCCTTGAAATTATTAAAAGTGTAGCTGAAGTTATTTCAAATGAAGAAAATTAAGGGTGCTTGGAGCTACTCATGGATATTCCCTATTACAGATATGTGTATATATCTCTGTGCCCGCAAGAACAAACAGCAAACAAGTTGTAAAACATAGCTGGTGGTGACCCCTCTTCTCTGGTCATTGGCCCTTCGTTGTTGCACGAAAAAAAGTTCTTTAATTAACAAAATGCCCATGTGGTGTATCTTCGTGGCTCTGCGAGTGTGTGTAATGAGTGTGTGTTGTGTGGTGTTTGTGCTTAATTATTGCACGAGAATTATGAAATTAGTCACTGGGCTTGGGCTTCTTGAATAAATTGAGGTTTACGGTTTAATTCTGATTTTAAATCGTGAGTATTACTATCGATTAGTTACAATATCACTTATATTTTAATCTCTCAATTAATTAATTGTTGTTGTCCTGTTTATTTCCCCAGAAGTTTCCACATTGGCCGAACTGGCCGCTCGCTGTGTGGCCTCCTACATACCGTTCGAACTGGTGGAGCATGTGTATCCGCCGGTGCCCGAGCAGCTGCAGCTGCGCATTGCATTCTGGAGTTTTCCGGACAACGAGGAGGACATTCGGCTGTACTCGTGTCTGGCCAATAGCTCGGCGGATGAGTTCAATCGCGGTGATCAGTTGTTTCGGATGCGAGCTGTCAAGGATCCGCTGCAAATAGGTAAAGTTACATTAGTTTAAACTTGATTTCAAGTGGATTATAATATTGATTCCATTAATTACAGGCTTTCACCTATCGGCCAGTGTGGTTAATCAAACGCCGCGGGCCTACTTCAATGTGGCCGTGACCTTTGACCGAAGGCGCATCTCTTCCTGCAACTGCACCTGCACTTCGTCCGCCTATTGGTGCTCCCACGTGGTCGCCGTTTGTCTGCATCGCATTCATTGCGTGAGTAGCTTACATGATCCCTACCTTTAAAGGATAATAATGATTCCATCATTCTCCTCCACAGCCCCAGGAAGTGTGCCTGCGTGCACCGGTGTCCGAGTCGCTGACTCGCCTGCAACGCGATCAGCTGCAAAAGTTCGCCCAGTATCTGATTAGCGAGCTGCCCCAGCAGATCCTGCCGACGGCTCAGCGTCTGCTGGACGAGCTGCTCAGCGCCCAGCCCACGGCGATTAATACCGTGTGCGGGGCACCCGATCCCACGGCTGGGGCCTCGATCAATGACCAGACCAGCTGGTATCTGGATGAGAAGACGCTGCACAACAACATCAAGCGGATTCTGATCAAGTTCTGTTTGCCTGCCCCGATTGTGTTTAGGTAAGAAGCTTGTAGAGTTACTGGAAATATAGAAAATATTGATATGTCAATACTTTAACGATATTTGATGCAAAAGTTTTAATATTTATGCGAGAAATTGATATTTTGTTTGATGAAAGGATTGATGATGAAAGGAAGAATAATATTATAGGAAATAGTTGCTAATAGCATTTTTGAAATATTTTGTTGGATATTTACAGTGATATCAATATTTCATTATATCTTATATTTCATTATATCCAACTACGATATCTAACTTTTCCCTTCGATATAGATCCCTATATCCTTTATTTAAAATATTTGGTTCGATATTTTTCGGCTATTTCGATTTTTTAATATTTAATGCAATTTTGTTTGATATTTCCAATTCCGATATTTTAAACTTTACAATATTTTCGATACGATATTTAACTTTTTCCTTCGATATTCATCCCTTCCTCCCGCAGTGATGTCAACTATCTGACAAACTCTGCACCGCCGGCGGCCGCTGAATGGACCTCGTTGCTGAGACCGCTGAGGGGACGCGAACCGGAGGGCATGTGGAACCTGTTGTCGATCGTGCGCGAGATGTACAGGCGCTGCGATAGAAATGCGGTCCGCTTGCTGGAGATAATCACCGAGGAGTGCATGTCCTGCGACCAGATCCTCATCTGGTGGTTCCAGACCAAGCTGGCCCTCATGATGGGCTCCCACGGCCACTCCGGCGGCAAGCACTCGAACACGCACTCGAACTCGACGGCCCTGCAGCATGCCTGCAGTTCGCTGTGCGACGAGATTGTGGCCCTCTGGCGTCTGGCAGCCCTTAATCCCGGCCTGGCGCCGGACGAGCGCGACATGCTGCACGCCCAGTTCACCGCCTGGCACCTCAAGATCCTCGATCGCGTGGTCAAGAGCCGGATGATGCCGTCGTCGTACACCAACAAGCACCAGCAGAACTCCCGCTCCGACACGGAACTCTTCATTGGCTTCAAGCCGGCCATCGAGGCGTGCTATCTGGACTGGGAGGATTATCCCATTGCGGGCGTGACGCACACCCACGACACAAATCCCATCTACTACTCACCCTTCACCTGCTTCAAGCACACGGATCCCAAGTCTGGGGAGTCGGCCAATCCCGGCCAGCTGAATGCCACCCAGGCGGTGATGACGAACAACAAGCACTACAACTACTTCAGCTCCTCCAGCGATCATGGGCTGCATCCGGGCGCCTTTAAGCAACGTTTGGAGCGACCCTTCCGGGAGTCGCGCTTCTACAACAATCTAGGCGATCTCGAGGGCTCGGCTGTGATGTCTGGCGGAGGAGGAGGAGCAGGTGGATCCAGCAGCAGGCAGCTTCCCTCGGGGCTGGTTAGCGGTGGCGCTGCCACGCCAGGAGCTGGAGGGATCGGGCAAATGGCCAGCGGAGTTGGAGCTGCAGGAGCAACGTCTGCTTCGGGGGAGGTGAATAATCCTGCTCAACAGCAACTAATGCCCGGTGTCAATGCCTCTGTGGTCAACTCCAAGGGAGGAGGCGGAGGAGGAGGTGCTGGCGGAGGAGGAGCTGGTGGAGTAGTAGCCGTAGCTGACGGCAATCGCTCGAGTGCCAGCAGTGAGGGATTCTGTGAGAACGACGACTTTGGCGGGGACACCAGCAGCAGCCACAACTACTGTCCGCCGGGACAGGCCACCACCTCGTCTGTGCCTGGCCAGAAATCCTCCGCCCTCACCGAATCGGACTCGCAGAGCAGCTTCGATGCCGTCTCCCAGCAGAGCAAGGATGACCAGCCAGTGGGAGTCGGAGCAGCAGTGGGCGTAGAGCAGGCATGCTCCACCTCGGACACTTCCTCTGCCTCCTCGGCATCCTCGTCAGCTTCCACGGCCTCCGGGAGTTCCAACAGTTCCACCTCATCCATGCTTATGGCGGGTCAAGAACTGGCCACGGGCTCAGGTGTCGTGGGTGTGGGTTCCGTGCAGCAAACGCCGCGTCGCCTGAGCAAGGATGAATCCTTTAGCAGCAGCAGCGATGAGTACAACCAAGGAGCTGGCAGAGGAGAAACCAGTGGCAGGGACGCCACAGATGGCGGCGGAGGAGGAGTTGCTGACACGGGTGGAGCCGCCGGCTCATCGGCTGGCGGAGATCTCACCCCCGTGCCCAGCACTTCGGCGGCAGCCCGAGCTGCCCTGGCAGCCGGCTCCTCTGCGGGCATGCCTGGCACACCTCACCACCATCACCATCATCACCATCACCTGTCGTCTGGCGGGGCTGCTGGAGGATTATCGGTGCTGGGACTGGCAGCGACTCCTGCTGGAACCCTGGATCAGCCCGGATCATCATCATCCTCATCCTTGGCAGCCGCCCGGGCAGCTGCTGTAGCCGCTTGCAGCGACAAGCCGCACGTCTTCTCCAATGTCCGGCCCACGGAGGATGCCTGGGACATACTCCTGGCCAGGGCCGAGGGTCTGCATGCCCATGGACATGGCAGCGAGGCCTGCATCCTGGCCGTTCGCCTGGCCGAGCAAATGCTGGCCAATCCGCCCAATCTGCTCCTGGAACTGCCGCCGGCGCCCAAGCGCAAAGGCAAGAAGCAGAATGTGAATCCCATTTCGCACCAGTTGACGGTGGTGGCCTCCGCCACGCTGTCCAAGTGCGCCTTCCTCTGCACGGTGCTGTCGGAGAACTCGGAGCATTATCACATTGGCTTTCGGATATGCCTGTTTGCTTTGGAGATGCCCCGGCCGCCGGCCAGCACCAAGCCGCTGGAGGTGAAGCTGGCCAATCAGGAGGCGGATATACTGGCGCTACTCAAGCGCCTGCCCCTTGGCTCGGCGGAGCTCCAGGTGATCCGCGAGCGGGCCGAGCAGCTGCGCAGTGGAACGTTTAAAACCCGCGGCGAAGCCCTGCTCCCGATTAACCTGGCCACCTTTATATTCGACGCTTTGGTTCTGCTCAGTCCCGTGGGAGGAGTAGGAGGAGGATCTTCCACCGCCATGACGGGCTCGGGAGGATTGGGAGCTGGAGCAGGAGGAGGAGGAGCAGGAACTTCTGGCAAATCCTTGGTCACTTCCAATGGCCGACTGCTCTTCTACAAACCGCACAGCGATGAGAATCTAGGATTCGATGCCGCTGTGGCCGCCCTGGGGCTCAAGGCGAATGTCTCGGAGGCAGAGCATCCCTTGCTCTGCGAGGGCACGCGCCGGCAGCGCGGAGATCTCGCCTTGACGCTGCTCTCCCACTACAAGGATGAGCCGCGCAAGATAGCCAAGATCATGGAGAAGCTGCTGGACAGGGATATACACACGCTGCTCAAGGCACCGCTCCTGCCTGCTTATTACTCCAGCAATCCGCCGGTGAGGACGCCAAGTAATCAGCCTACGCGCAGGGAGGATCATCACGAGTATGGTGGTAGCGGTAGTAGCGGCTCCGCGGGATGTCACTCCTCCAACTGCAATCCCGTGGCCAATCTGTGCGAGCTTCTGCCGGCGGACTATGGCAGTGTGGGTGGGAATAGTCGCCCCCACAGCTCGACCAGCGCCGAACTGGAGCTGAGCATGTGTGCTTTGAGCATGGCCAGCAGTGGCAGCCAGTCTGGAGGACAGGGAATGGTGCCTACACCAAATGCGGCAGGTGGAGGAAACACTGGGACACCCAACTCGAGCAGCACCACGGCCAGTGGAAGTCAGAATCCGAGTGGGAATAACCCCAGTGGTAATGGTGGAGGAGGAGGCGGAGGCGGCGGCGGCGGCGGAGGAGGTAGTGGTGGCAATGGAGGCGGTGCCAGCTCCAGCAGCAGCCGCAGCAAGGAGAGCCGTTACAAGGGTAAGCGAGCCTACCCCTCAATACCCAACCAGCCCTCGGAGGCCAGTGCCCACTTCATGTTCGAGCTGGCTAAGACGGTGCTGAACAAGGCCGGCGGCAACAGCTCCACCTCGCTGTTCACCCAGGCGAGCACCAGCCAGAATCACCATGGACCGCACCGTGCCCTCCACATGTGCGCCTTCCAGCTGGGCCTCTACGCCCTCGGCCTCCACAATTGTGTCAGTCCCAACTGGTTGTCGCGGACGTACTCCTCGCACGTGTCCTGGATTCTGGGTCAGGCAATGGAGATTGGAGCGCCGGCGATTAGTTTCCTGATTGACACCTGGGAGGCGCATCTAACGCCACCGGAGGCAGCCGGCATGGCGGATCGTGCTTCACGCGGCTGGGACAGCAACATGGTTTACCCGGCTGCGGAGCTGGCGCTCTCCGTGCTGCCCCATGCCGCTGCCTTGAATCCCAACGAAATCCAGCGGGCGATCCTGCAGTGCAAGGAGCAGAGCGACCTGATGCTGGAGCGTGCCTGTCTTACGGTGGAAACGGCCGCCAAGGGCGGCGGCGTCTATCCAGAGGTGCTGTTCCAGGTGGCACGCTACTGGTACGAGCTGTACATGCGGAACACGCCGAATAACAGCGACCACGAGCCCCACGACGAGGCCATGGATCACTCGGCGGTGAGTCTGAGTGCGTTGATAGAGTCGCAGCAGCAACACGAGCTACAGCAGCAGCAACAGCAGCAGCAGGCTGTGCAGCAACAGGTGCAGCAACAGCAGGTGCAGCAACAGCAGGTGCAACAGCAGATGGGCATGCCCAATCCAGGTGTGCCTGGCGGAGGCGGACCTGGTCTTCCAGTGCCCGTACCACCGCCCGTCGTGGGCTCTGCCCTGCCCAATCCCCAGGGCCAGTTTCAGCCCGTGGGCGTGGCCGCCTTGGCTCCCCTGGGCCTGGCTCCGTATCCGCCATATAGCTTCTGCCAGGGATTGTATGCCCATGCCCACCACAACCTGAGCTATCCGCCGGGACAAATGCAGATGTACATTTCGGCTGGTCCACCGCCGCCGCCACAGGCTTATGGTGGCTACCAGCAGGCGCCACCACAGCAGCCGCCCAATCCGCAGCAGCAGCAGCAACAGGTAGTGCAACAGCAGGTCGTGCAGCAGCAGGTGCAACAACAGCAGGTGCAGCAGCAGCAGCAGGTCCAGATGGCTCCCCCAGGTCATCCTGGTCAGCCTGGACATCCTGGACAGCCGCCCTCCGCCTTCCAGCCGCAGCCGCCGCCGGGAGCCTTCCAGCCCATGCCACCGCAGGCTTACCAAGCGCTTCAAGCAGGTCCTCCAGGACCGCCAATGGGTCCTCCACAGGGCTATTACGGACCGCCGCCGCCACCACCACCAAATGGACCACCCGGAGTGGGCGTGGGAGTGGGTGTAGGCGTGGGCGTGATGCCCATGCGCCAGCATCAACACCAGCATCCCGTGTATCCGTTCATGCAGCAGGCGCCGCCGCCACCAGTGCAGCAGCAACAGCAGCAGCAGGCGCCGCCGTCCCAGCCGCCGGTGCGACAGCGACAGCCTCACCAGTTCACGTGAGTAACCCTGCAACATTCTCCCCTAGAGCTTCCCTGATTACCAAACCCTCCTCTTTCCCGTTTATAGACCCACCCAGCTGAGGTATCTGCTGGCCGCCTACAATGTGGGCATGCTGGCCATGGAGACGCTGGCCCGTCGAGTCCACGACGATCGGCCGCAGGCCAAATATGCCCGGAATCCCCCTTACGGTGAGGATGTAAAATGGCTACTGAGGATCAGCAAGAAGCTGGGTACCCAATATCTGCATCAGTTTTGCATTTGTGCAGTCAACTCGATTGTGAGTCCATTCGTGCTCCACGATGTGGCCATCGAGTCGGCCCATTATCTGGGCAGGAATAACCACCAGCTGGTTATGCAGCATCTGCGTTCTGCTTTGACGCCGCTCGTCCAGAAATGCCAGCAAATGTGAGTAATCTTTAGGAAAAAGAAGTAAAACAGATTAAAGTTTTTAATTTCTGGAAAAACAGGTACATCCAGTGCATCCACCAGAAGCTGTATCATCTGACGCAGGGGGATTACGAGGAATTTGCCAGCATTGTGGTGGCCGCCCGTGCTGCCTTTCAGATAACGCCCGAGGGCAGTGCCCAGTTCAAGGATTGGCTGCAATCCATCAAAAGGTTAGATCTATCTCAAGGCTACAAAATTGAATGCGTTATTTATAAACAAACCTTGATTTTGTGCAGGTCGAAATCCTGTAAGAAGGAGCTGTGGACACAGATCAATGCGGCTCTGCAAAGCAACTCCAAATGACAAAGACTTGACTCCTGCAATCTGATGACGGCAGCAACGACGAGTGATGCGGCGGCGGTGGCGGCTTCAGCGGTGGCAGAAGGGAAATCAACAACGGCAGGCGTAAGCGGCATTCTGCCGCTGAATAGCAACAACCACAACAGCCTGGCCAGCAGCAATGGCAAGAATGTCAGCTTGGGCCTGAGCAGCCTGGACGAGAACCATCATCATCATCATCATCACCACAGGCATCATCATTTGCTGGAAACGCCAGCTGGAAGCACGGGAGGAGCGGCAGCAGGAGGAGGAGGAGGAGGAGGAGTAGGAGGAGTAGGAGTAGGAGGAGTAGGAGAAGGAGGTGTAGGAGCATCCTCCTCCTCAGCTGCCACAGCAACTGTTGCTGCAACATCTACAGGCTACGATCGAAGCGTGGCGAGTGGAGAGCGACGGCCGCCATTGCTAGGGGCACCCCCGATTTTTGCAATTAATAACATCACCAATAACACAAACAATAATAATAACAGCAGCAGCAACAACAACAACACCACCAACAGCAGCAGCAACAATCGCTCCACAGCAGCAACAGCAGCAGCAATGACTTATCATCACTCACTCATGCCGAATTACTATCCCAGCACAACGCGTCAGTTGCAGATGCATGGCCATGCCCGGACGACTACACATCCTCACCAGCATCCGCATCAGCAACATGCTCAGTCTCAACTACATAGCCAGCCGCACCCACCACACCCGCACCCTCATCCTCACCCGCATCCCCATCAGTACCAGTTGCAGGCGCTGAGCCATTACCATCAGCAACTTTAACAACGTGTCGGGTCCAGCCCAGCAGCGGTTGGTGCGTTTATGGCTCCAGCTGCTGCAGTGTCGTCGGAGGATGAGAAGGGGAAAAAGCTTGCCTGGCCGCGAAGACGATGCTGTCCCAGCTGGAAGCGATGATCAGCCGCCAGCTCATGGTCCTGGCACTGGCTTCTGGCTTTGGCTCTGGCTGATGGTGTTGCTGATGCTGTTGCTGGTCCTGGGCCTGCCGCTGCTGCTGATGCTCCTTTAGAGCTATATGCATACCTCTTTGAATGAGAACCACCGCACTTAGTTCATGTTTCAATTTACAAATTTCGAGTTTCACATTTTGGAAAAACTTTTTTGATTTTCTGTACGGTTTTTTTTTTCTTTCTTTATAAAATAATTTTAATTTTATTTTTAATCTTATTTCGTGTGTGTGAGAGAGCGAAAGAGAGTGAGTGTGTGTGTGTGCTGCTTTTTAGACTGATATATCTGCCAACAACAGCAACAACAACAACCGACACCACACACACACACAAGCACACTCTCTTAGCCGCTATAGAACTTGGTTAAACGATTAATTTCGATTAAAATTTTAATTAGTTTCGATGAATTTCAATTAATTGTAATTAATTTCGATTAAATTCAATTAATTTCGATTAATTTTGAATGAATTTCGATTAATTTCAAATAATTTCGATGAATTTCCTAAAATTTCGATAGTTTCGTAGCTCTTACCCACACACTCTCATACCCAAACAGCATCTAGAGCGAGCACAGAGGGGCTCTTGTGGCTCTGTTTGATCATTTTTTCAGAAATATAATGTGTTCAGTTAAATTAACGTATTTATATAGGCGATCTATCAAATAGTTATCTTCAGCTACATCTCTATATATATATATATATATATATATATATGAAAATATCAACTTGGACTTGCTAAACATTTGATTAAAACGAATACCCCTTACCCTTAACCTCACATTTTTTTTTACTTCAACTTTTTCTAGCTTATAAGTTTTAAACTAACTGCTTTTGATTATATTCATTGTTTCTATACATATTTATATTATTTAGTCTAAGCGAAAAGCGATTTATATATATATATAATTTTACTTATTTTAGTAATCTTTACGGGTTAAGTAAATTTTTTTAGGATTTTCAAATTTAAAAAAAAGGAGAAACAAATTACAAAAATGTATATCGACAATCGACAGGAGAAGGAAGCAGTTTGTTTCAAATATTTTTAGCTAGCAAAAGATCTCACAAACAATTCGTAATCGAACATTTTGCTAATTGATATTTCAATTGTTTACGCGAAAAAGTGACTGGAAAGTGTACATCTTTCCAGACAGCAGAGAAAACTGTTTCTTTGGTCAGAGAAATTAAAAAAAAAAAAGGATTTCCTGTGGAAAGATTCCTAGGTTTCCTTCCAAGTGTTGTCCTCCCATGGAAATGCCTCATTTCCGGCTGGAAAGAAATTACTGGCCTATGTGGCATTCCAAGGAGAACGCAAGCCTGGAAGGAACTGAACGAGTCAGCCCGAAATAGTCACTTTTTTTTTTGTATATATTCCAATTGAAAACAATTTCGAAATGGTTTCCTTTGGCAGAAACCTGAGTGATATGTGGATGTGGGTCCAGAAAGGTGACTGACCATCCACATAGATGGCGAAAATATTTCGGACAAACTGCTGGAATTTTTTCGGCTTCGACCTTACTTCTTTTACTTCAACTTGATTATGTTGACACACCCAAAAAACACTTTTTATTATTATGTAAAGAGCTATGAAAAATAGTTTTTCAACGGAGTTTCTATTTTTACAATGAAATATAAAAAAACAAATGCAAAAAAATTCTTATTTTTGTTTCTAAATTTTTTTTTTTTCTTATTTTTGAATTATTTTTTTTTCTACTTGTATGAAACATATATATTTTAAAACCCCATAAATTCTGTATATTTATACACAACAAAAACAACAAAAAAAGGAAAGAAAAGAATGAAAATGAAAAAAAGATGAACAAAATAATTTTTTTTATATACACACTGAGAAAAAAAATGCTGTTTTGAATAAATATGGTTTTTTGGATTTATTTCAAAACGCAAATGAAAAGAACAAAAAAAGGAGAAAAAAACAAAACAAAAAACAAAAACACTCAAAATAATCAATGTTGGTTTTACTTTTCCTCTGTTGGTTTTTCTTTCCAGAATATTGGTATTAATATTTATTTACTTTTTGCCTAATTTTATGATATAAATAATTTATCCACCCCCGCAACGTTCACGCCCAATTGAAACTATAAAAGGAAACTGCCACTTTCTTGAGGATTCATTAAATACGTTACATGAATATAATATATGATATAATGAATAGTTTTTACACGATCGCGGATCCCGGAAGCACCCCAGTCTCAGTCTCAGTCTCAGTCCCCGCTTGGAGGTTGTAAATAAACGCATTGGATTGACGATGATGTCTTATATATATATAAATATTGTAACTCTTTGTGTTTTTGTATAATCACCGACGTACATCGAGTCCGGAGATAGGATTCGAGTTCTGTAAGCAATCGCGTAATTTGTAAACTTTTAGTAGCCAGTTTTATACAAAAGAGAAGTCCCAAAAGAAAAAAAATAAATCTATATATATAAATATATATAAATAGTTAACGAAACGCAATCTGTAAATTACACTTAACGAAGGAAATGTTTTTAAATTACATTATAGTTGACTTTTTCCATGAAAAACCAAAACAAAACTTAGCAAAGACTTCACGCTTTGTTCACCCCAAAAAAACAATTTTTGTAAAATATGAAATACCGTAAAATAATAAATCAAAGATCGAATTGGAGAGCGGAGAAATAGGAATCAATAGACATAGCCCACATACGGATAACGACCATTAACCCATTGGCTTGAGCCACACTCAACAATAACAACAATAACAACAATAACAACAATAACTAAAGAGCAAAACGAAAGCGAGAAGCAAGAAAAATATACAATTTAAAAAATAATAATAAATGCAAGCATAATGTTAACGTAGCCGAGTTAGCCTTTAGATCACATTTAGCGCATATTTTACACAAGCGTAGTGAACCAATTCCAAAAACTTAACTTAGAAAACAAAAGCCGCACAAGCCAACCCACGACCCAAAGTCCAAAACCATATAAAGATATAGCGAAAGGGTTACATTTTGAATCAATTTCAAGGCAAATACATATATTTCTATCAGGGTGAGATCAGCAATGTTTTTCTTTTACAAATCTCCTGAATCTTGACCTAACCTGAAGTCAAGTCCTGTTCGTAAACGAAACGCGTTTAAACACGAATCAAGCTCCTTGATATCGATAGCTAGCGATATTCAGTTTCAGAAGTTAATCGAAGGCATACTTATGGTTTTTTTTAGATATTTTCCATTCTCTGAACTTCAAACTAAACCTGTTTCCTGATTTTTAAGAAAATACACCCCTATATCATTTAACTGCCACTGATATTCTTTCGAAACTCCGAGTTAAGAGTTATTTTTCCAATCAGAATCAGTATCAGTATCAAGATACAAGGACACTGGACACTAGAGACGTGTATATAGAGGCAAGATCTCGTTGCTTGCCGTATATATTTACAGATTTACAGATAGAATTAGACTTATTGACGCGGGCATAATATAATATTAATTGTAAGTCGGAAATAAAGCATTACCTCATACTTTAAATACTTATGATGACAACAGTTACCAGTAGAACGACAGAAACACTCTGAATATATATATATATATATACAATATATACACACGATATATATATATATAGGACATTTTTTTGTAGCAATCGAACTTAGGCTTTATGAAATTCTATCATTTACGAAACGAATTCCCAGTGCTAGAAGAGATTTTCCTCTCCACGCGGTGGCCTGGCAATATCCTGGGACTCGTTGAGTTGTTTGCTCTTTGTACATTTTTGCACTGTAAAAAAAACAAAAACAAACTAAAAACTAAAATATTAAATATATATGCATACTATATATATATATATATATATATATATATATATATAAATTGCTTGCTAAAAAATAAAACAAATAACAGTTTAAACGAACGAAATGGAAAACACGCAAAAAAGTTTATCATAAAAAATATATACATACATATACATACATATATGTATATACTATATATATATATACATATATATATATACAAAGCGAAGTTATTTATATATACGCCTACAGAAAAAACAAAAACATGCGAAAAACCAAAAACAAAAACTATTATATACAACAAAAATATATACATACATACATATATATATATATAAATTAATATATATATATATCTATATATATATATTATATATATACAATACTTATTTACATTGCGTATTTTAGCGTTTTATTCGAAATCGGAAAATAAAAAGAAAAGGAAGTAAAAACCAATCGTAGAAACGCTACAAAAGTGTTCTTTTTAACGAAAAAATAAAAGAAACAAAAAAAATATATATATATAAAACATAAATAAATTCGGAGAGCGAAAAAATAGAAAATAAAAGTGAAAGTGACAGAAAAAAATATTTATACACTGAGAAAATGCAATGGGGCATGTTGAAGGCTTAAATAGAAATCAGAGATTAATCGACAGGAAAAAGGACGAAATAAATATTTAATTAATAATTATTGAATAATAACAAGGTTTTTTTTTACCAATCGCTGTAAATAAAAGGCAAAGAGGGAAACTCCCAACACATACACTTTTCTCAAGCGTTTCCTTTCCGTTTTCAATTATTTGTGATTTTTCTCGGTCGCAAAAACCCCCCAATAAAACAATGCAAAGCTTTAATTCATTGCCACACACACCACACACACACACACAGCGATGCAAAGTGCTTTAAACACGTAAAAATACATTTCTCTTAAGTAAAAAAATGCTACAACTTTTTACAAAACCAAAAACGATGAAGAACAGAAACTCTGCCAAAAACCAGCTACTCTTAATAACTAAAAACTAAAAACACTTGAATGAAAAGCAAGAATAATAATATTACAAAAAAACGAGAATATTCTTTACAAAAAATAGCAGCAAATTGTAAACAACAAATAATACGGCAAGCTAAATAATAACAATTAAACAGGCATTAATTCAAAAGCAAAGCAGAACGAAATTAAATAAAAGTGCTTATTTTATATATTCGAACATACAAAACAATAACATAACAGATGACCATTAAATGAACTAAATTATATATTAAAACAGAACTATGCATACATCCACATATGTATATAGTATATATATATATATGTATATGAATGATTTTTAACCTCGAGGTGTAAAGAGAAATTGAACAGATCCCTTTCGAATTTTAATAGTTTTCACGAAGCGGAAATGCGGAAATGCGGAAAAGCAGGCAGGCAGGCTCGAGTTGTGGTGGTTTGCGAGAGAGAGAAGGCTAGAGACGCGCATTATTATTAACTAATTTAATATGCAATATATATACAATATTAAAAACAAAGGAAAACCAAGAAAAAAAAATTCAAAAAACAAAAAACTTAAATACAAATAAAACGAGAAAGAGAAAAAATTAAAATATACACAGCAAAAAGAAGAATATAAAAGTGAACACATTTTAAAACAAATGAAAATAAAACGGGAAAACATACAAAAAAAAAAAAAAAAAACACAAATAAAAACGAACAAAAAAAAAAAACAAAAGAAACCAGAAAAAACATAAAACCGATCAGTTTTCTTCATATTGCGGGGTGTTATAATATTTAATATTTACTAAATATTTACTTTATATATTTATTTTAAATTTATCTATTATTTATTTAATATTTTTTTATATGTTTTAATATTCACTTAATATTTTTAAAAAATTTATTTATTATTTATTTAAGATTTATTTAATATTAATATTTTTTTAAGTGTTTCCCCTACAGGTTTTTTTTTCAAATTCTGCCGCCCATCGAGGACTCACAAAAGCTAACTGCCACGGCACGGCTTGGCATTTCTCTGTTTTAGTGTGCCCAAAAACCGTGAAAGCCTACATTTTCTAGGGTTTTGAGATTTTTTAGGTGGAAAGCGTAATGTGCATCTGGCAATACTGCGTGTTTATAAGGCGAGAAGGAAACTTGCATCGGCGACAATTTCAAAGCGCCCAAAAGACGAGAAAGGCGTCCGTGCCTGCCCAGCGTCCAGCGTCCAGCAAATCCTTGCCGGAAATCCAGTCACAGATCCACAGATCCAGGACACCCAGCAACCAAGTTTCCAAAGTTGAAAAGTGCGCGCCTTAAACGCCGTTTCTACCAGTTTAAATTCAAGTTTTGCTTCAAGTTTTTAAAAATAAAAGTTCAGTTCCAAAATGCCTTTCGCCCACGAGTCGCAACTGAAGTCGGTGGCCAGCGAACAGCTGACCAAGACGGAGACCATCAAGCTGCGCAACCAACACATCGGGTGAGCATTATCCTTTTTCCTTTTCGTTATCCTTCCTTCCTGCGTAATCCCTCCCCCCGCCCACCAAGTGGGTGGTGTGAGCCTGCGACCTTGCCTTGAATTCGCTTTGGCTGTCAAGGTCAAGCGGCCGCTGAGGCAGCGCGGCATCCCCAAAACACAGCCCACTCATCGCCTGGCCGGCCCCTCGGCCGCCTCTTTATTCTTGGCACTGTTGCCACCTGCAGTCGCCGCCGCCGCTGCCTCCCAAAAAGAATGAGGAAAGAGAGGCAAAGACGCGCAGATAGAGAGAGAAGTGCGAGCGCCAAAAATTGGCTATATTTATTTTTGTTTTTTTTTATTGATTATTCCGTTTTTGTAAAGGAAATGTAACTTTAAAGGTTTCTCTCATGTCTTAAAAAACTCCTTAAAAATTGCAATTAAAAAAACTATATATATATATACATTTTGTTAATGAAAACATATATTAGACTCTGTAACTTTAATTGTTTGGGTTTAATTTTATTAAAGATTTTTCTTGTGTCTTTAAAAACCCCTTAAAAGTTCCCATTAAAAAAATCTATATATTTCTTTTGTTAATCAAAATATATATCCTTTCTTGGTGTTTAGTGTATCTATATTCTAAATACATTTATCAATAGCATTATATCTAAGAACATTTGACATATATTTCGATTTCTTTTTTGTTTGTTTTAAAAATAGCTGCCACGGGTTTGTTCTAATTTCTAAATAATTAAGTTAGTCAGCTTTGATTTTGTTGATTTTTGTTACGGGTTTATATAGATTATAGAATTGTTTTTTAATTGTGACAAATTACGTATATTAACTTATAAAGTTAAAAATTAAAGAAAACGAGGTTTAATTTTCAATTAAATATGTTTTGTTATCATTTTTAAATAATTAAGTAGGTCAGCTAGCCTTTGTTTTTTAAATGAATATAAATTACTTACTAACCTTTAAAGTGTAAGTAAAATATGAAATCTTAAAATCAAAGTAGAAAAATTAAAGAAAATCAAGAGTTTGCTTGAGTTAACTTGAAAAACATTCTATTAAATATTTTTTTGTCTCCTATTTGTAATATTTTTTTGATAAAAAATATATTTTAAAATCATAAAAACTAAAAAATATATCTTAAATATATTTAAATGTGTTATTCTATAGAAAAACATTATCCCAATCATAGGGAAGACATTTTTAGGAAATATATTGAAGATCAAAGTGCATTAATTTGTGCACTTCTCCTGCTCCTGAACCCCAATCCCCCATCCACCCCATAAAATGTTTATCAAACATCGCAAGACCTACGTCGCCGCCTTGTTTTTGTCTGGCAAACAACAAATGCAATAACCATTAGATTGGGCGTGTGGAGTGGAGGCGGAGGGATCGGACGTAATCGCAGCGGCTAGGCCCCGGTTTATAGAGTCTCCCCATAGTGGTAGGACGTCATTGCCGCCCGCCTTGCCTTACATTGTAACCCCGCTATCTAGCTTTAGGGTTTGCCTTTTTTTTTATTATATTTATTTTTTACTAAATATTTAATGCTATTTTACAGACAAGCCTGCCAGCTCTTCTATCGCTCTGATCCCCTGAAAATCGTACGCGGCCAAGGTCAGTACATGTTCGATGAGGAGGGCACCCGGTACTTGGATTGCATCAACAATGTGGCTCACGGTAAGTTTTTCTATTTTGCTTTAATTGATCTTTAGTTTGATGAAAAATTAGTAATATATTAAGAGTATTGTGGGTATAACGTTCGATTATATGGGTTGTTATGCACTTTTTACATCATCTATTGCGTTTTTTTTTATTTGATTAATAATTAGAAAAATACGCAGAAGGAATTAGAGAGTCTTAAATTGATTCAAAAATATATATAAAATGTATATATTTGAAAATATATTTTATAGGAGGTTTAGAATTGGAATAGATAGAATTTCAGAGGCCTAAAATTTAAATAGCCTTTCTTAAATCTATTAAAATCATAGAAATAAATCTATATATTTAAAAATATATTTTATAGAAGGTCTAGGATTGAAATATATAGAATTACAGGGTCTAAAAATTAAAAAAATTCTCTAAAATTGATTTAAAATCATATAAATAATTCTATATAATTGCGAATATATTTTTATTATATAAATAAAATATACAAATGTCTGAAAGAAATATATAAATGAACTTCATATAAAATCTGCAATTGTCATAATGATTTGCATTTTATTAAGTAAAATATTAGGATGGAAAGAAAATCTATTTAAAAAATCTGCATTTTAAAATGTATGGGATATTTAGTTGAAATAAATAGTATTTGATAATATATAGAAAAAACAGGATATAAAAAATAAGATATATGAATTACGGATAAGAAAATATATAATATTTAGGATATTATTAATGGCATATTTAAAACTCCTATAAAGAAAACTCAGGTATCGATAGAAAGGCATCTTTCAGATATTTCTGTATGGATTATATATGTACATAATATTATGTATTCACTTCACCAAAGGCAGTTGCTAGGTTCGATTCGCCAAGGCGGCAATTTAGGAACCGGGGCCTGATGACGACAACGCTGGACCCCCGTCCGGCCGTCGACACCTAGCCAGATCCTATTTCTGTTTCTGTTTCTGTTTCTGTTTATGCTGATTAGGCGACGGCGACGGCACACGCCCGCCGGATGCAAAGTGCAAGCTGGCCAGCGAGAAGGGGGGGCCGGACTCTGGCTCGCTGGCTCGCTGGCAGTTTGGCAACAAGTTCAAGGCCCATATAGATATAGTAGGCGGACGGCAGAGGCAGAGCAAGTGGCAGCCGCCGGCAGACGGCGGCGGCATGTTCAGGCCCCGATTGGGGAACCAGCTGCGCGAGGGCTGTGACTGAGTCAGCCTTATCACACTTCGCCCACCGACCGACCTGTGGGTAAATTTTTTTAGATGCTGCTGCCGGCCCGGCCCGGAATTGGATCTGATTTCGGATTCGGGATTTCGGATTTCGGATTTCGGGCCCCGGCACGACACAGCAATAACTGGCGATTAAAACAACAGTCGTCCCATCAAGACAATCACTCATAACAATAACAATAATAACAATAACAGCATTTGCGTATATATACACACACAGGGTATAAAACGTGCATAACAAAACATATATCATCGTCGAGGGGGGTAGCCTGGCCTAAGACCATATCAACTTATCAGCGGAATAACAACATCAGCAACGGGGAGTGGGATAGGGATTGACGTTGTCCGGGGTTCCAATTTGCCAATTTGCTGCGATTTATTTTTGTTTTTCCCAAAAGCGCTTCCTACAACGGAATTTTCCATATACAATAATCTGTGTAAATAATAAATATCATAATATTTAATGATTTCAATGGGGTCTGAGTTACCTAAGCTACCAAGTCTGCAATACCTTTGGGTATTTTTAAAGATGAAATGCAGTCTAAACTTGCTGGAGATTTTTTAAAGATAATAATAAAACCAAGGTTTAAATATTTTTAATTATATAATTAATTTTAATTGGGTTTTTAATAATAAAATATAGGAGATCCTTTAAATATAATTATGAAGCCAAGACTTACTTTTCTTTAATTAATTTATATATTAATTACGATTTTTAATATTAAAACTTATTTATAGATTTTAATTCTTAAACTTAACTTGCTGAAAATTCCTTAAAAATAATTACAAAGCCAAGTTTTAATTTTCTTAAATTTACTAATTTATTAATTTGGATTTTAAATACTAAAACCTACTTATAGATTTTAATTCTTAAGCTTAACTTGCTAAAAATTCCCAAAAAAATAATAACAAAGTCAAGGCAATTATTTAATACATTTATTAGGATTTTTTATATAAAAACTTATTTATAGATCCCAATCCCCAACTTCTTGCTCTGTTTTCTTTCTCAAATTTTAATCACTTACAAATTAGTTGGCCACTTAAAGTTGACCTTATATTTAGACATATTATTTTACTCTAAATTTAATTTGAAATCCCAGTGATTTATTTTTGCTTTTAATGTTGTTTTTGCTCTCGATTTATGCTGATAAGCCGAGGCCATTGGCATTGCGAATCTAATGAGAAATCATGGAATAGAAATGGAAACCCAATGGGGACGGACGGATGGACGGATGGTTGATAACGCTGTGCTCTATTATTTTTCATATTTATTTATAAATCAGCATTACCGCCCAAAAACAGGGGGGGCCAATCCTGGTAGACCCACGTACACGGGCGTGATAATTGTTTCACGGGGGCAAATGGTGAAATTGTTGGCAGCTATTAATAGTTTGCACCTCTGGCTCTCTCTCTCTCTCTCTGTAGGGGCTATCAGGGAGGGCACCCCTTTAGGTTTACCCCTTTTTAAGTGCGATCTACAATCGAGATTAGTGTGCCTTCAATGGAAATAAACCAGGTTTAGTCGAGTGCACTTGAAGGTGCATTATTGAGAATATTTTATAATTTTATAGGTAAGGTTAGGTAAAAAACCAAATTTAAAAAATGCATAACTAAGCCCAAAATGCATTAAATTTAATTCGGAAAGCGGTTTTGTCTTAGTTTTTATGCGGTTATTAAATCTGCATACTAATTTTTGAATTTCATTTTTTTGTGAATTTTTTGACATTTTACCCCTTACAAATTTTTTGAAAAATTAAAATTTATTTTTTTATTTCTAATATAGCTAGAAAGATTCGCCTGTTAATGCTGATCAATAATATATATGATATATGGGGTCGGAAATGACTTCTTCACTGCTAAACTAGCTTCGAACTGAAATTATAGTACCTATGAAAATAAAAAAATGATTTATAAATTATAATAATTACATAAATTAAAAATAAATAAAAGAGTAATCCCCTTTAATACATCCTAATCCTACTAACCCTACAAATAAGATGCATAACGTCATCGGATTTATCCTGAAATATTATTAAAAAAAAACCCAAAGACTCATAGATTTGTCTTTGATGGGTGACCCACTTAAGGCATTCGCAAAGCTCCTATTTCCGATCACGCCATCGATTGACACTACCCCATGTACCACCTTTATGTAATGCCCTCTGACCATAGTTATAGACACTAAACAATCAATAACAATGTAGGAATCAAAAACAAAAACTACCAACTGGCAACTGGAACCGTGATAAGGCGGTGCACGTGTTGGACGATCGTCGCATCTGAACAACATGTTATTTCTATTGGCGCGACGCGTTATTATGAAATGGGAATGGAACCACGTTCCGTGTAATCTCGTGCTACTTTTTCCACTTGGCTCTGGCCCGGGCCAGGCCTTATCGGGGGGTACAACATGTGAACGTCTCGTGCCGAATGGAAATGTACTCGAGATAGCTCCTAAGCATGAGTCCCCGGGATCGTACAGTCTAGCGTCCGATCTGGTTTCAATATTTGTTCCAAGGGGAGGAGAAGATGGAAGGTTCTGAGGGATCTGAGCAATCAGCTGTGCCACACATTGCGAGTGGAAAATTCTGTTGAGATAAGAGGAAAAACAACCGGACGGTTGGTTGTGAAAAAGAGGGGAAAACCAAGTGGGAGGAAGTGGAAAAAATCATGTCAATTTGCGAAAAAGCTGCGAAGCCAATTCACACGTTTCTCTGGGGGGAATCTCTTCTTCTTTGAAATATGTTATGTTTATTTATTATATATTTGATATATATTTTGTATATATTTTCCCTCTGCCCGCCTTGTAGTTGAGTGTTCTTCTTAGCTATTTAGAACTCAACTGTACTTTTGTGCCACTTCAATCAAATTACAAATACAATAAATAATACAGAATAAAAAAAAAAACAGAACAGACGGAGACTCCCCCATGGTCATGCCCCAGTGCTAAGTGCCTAATCAGTGGCCACCACCACCACTACTCCCTCGACTCGACTCGATTCTGTGCCATATCAGAAACTACAAACGTGAAGGCATCGCGTGCACTTCACGTGATCCATGGCAGAGGCTTATCAAGGGGCGTGAATCCGTAGCCAAATACGAATCCGTGACAGAATTAGAAGCACAATCGGAACGAGTAGTTGACCCCCAAAGCGAGAGACGCAATCTTTACTAGCTGGACGGGAGCGGAGTGCTCAAAAAACCCGGGTGCCGCCAGTCCCGTTGCCTTATCGCCCATCCGCCGGGGCCTATGATGATGAGGAGTGTCACACTTGGACCCGGGCCTGTCTGTCCCGGACTGTGTGCTTAGGCATCATCGATGCGCAAGCCCTGTGATAAGGGTTCTAAAGGTGGATTTTGGTGGTGGAGCTGGGAGGAGAGATCACGTGCGGTTTTCCAATTTATTTTTAAACTAAAAGTAGACACTCTTCGGAGTAAAGTTCTTCTAATCGGAACTTGCCTGATCTATAAATATTAATTGCGGGCTAATCTCTCACCGATATGGTCAAGTGTGGGGTTTTACGAACAAAGGTTCTATTTTGGGGCTACTTGGCAGGGTGAGTCTGCTTGTTAACTGATCTTTAAGCGAAATTAAAGGTAAAATAAACCGAAAAAGAAGGGTTTTGTTTCACTGGAAAGCCTTATTAGTAAAGCTTAAATTAATAAAAAAAATTTCTACTAATTATCAACCAATTTTTATATATTTTTTCAATTTTATTTAATTATTTTCCAGTTGGCCACTGCCATCCGGAGGTGGTGCGTGCCGGTGCCCTCCAAATGGCGACCATATCCACGAACAATCGCTTCCTCCACGACGAGCTGGTGCAGTGCGCCCGGACGCTGACCAGCAAGATGCCGGAGCCGCTGTCCGTGTGCTTCTTCGTCAACTCCGGCTCGGAGGCCAATGATCTGGCCCTGCGATTGGCCCGAAACTATACCAAGCGCCAGGATGTGATCACCCTGGACCAGTGAGTACCACCTAAGACTCTCCACAACCGATATATGTATATTCTATCTAAAACTCTCTCTTCCCTTGACAGTGCCTACCATGGCCACCTGCAGTCCGTGATGGAGGTATCGCCGTACAAGTTCAACCAGCCGGGCGGCGAGACCAAGCCCGACTATGTCCATGTGGCCCCCTGCCCAGACATCTATGGCGGCCAGTTCACGGACAAGATGTATCCCGAGGCCGACATGGGTGCTCTGTATGCCCGGCCCATCGAGGAGATATGCCAGCGCCAGTTGGCCAAGGGTCATGGCCATGGCGTGGCCGCCTTCATTGCCGAGAGCCTGCAGAGCTGCGGCGGCCAGATCCTTCCGCCGGCTGGTTACTTCCAGGCTGTGTACGAGGCTGTGCGTTCTGCCGGCGGCGTTTGCATTGCCGACGAGGTCCAGGTGGGCTTTGGACGCGTTGGCAGCCACTATTGGGCTTTTGAGACCCAGAATGTCATTCCCGACATCGTGTGCGTGGCCAAGCCTATGGGCAATGGCCATCCCGTTGGAGCAGTGGTCACCACGCCGGAGATTGCCCAGGCGTTCCATGCCACCGGAGTGGCCTACTTCAATACGTATGGCGGCAATCCGGTGTCCTGTGCGATCGCCAATGCCGTGATGCGGGTGATCGAGCAGGAAGGCCTGCAGCAGAATGCCCTCGTCCTGGGGGATTACCTGCTGCGCGAGTGCAATCGTCTCAAGCAGGACTTTGAGTGCATTGGCGATGTGCGCGGCACTGGACTCTTTGTGGGCATCGAGCTGGTGCGGGACCGGGCGGAGCGTAGTCCCGACAAGAAGGCCGCCCACTGGGTGGTCAACCGGATGAAGCAGCTGCACCGGGTCCTGGTCTCCTCCGACGGGCCCAACGACAACGTGATCAAGCTAAAGCCGCCGATGTGCTTTAATCGGGAGAACGCCGATGAGTTCCTGCTCGCCTTCCGCGAGTGCCTCACCACTTTGATGCAGGATCGCTTGACCAGTGCCAGCGTGGCGGCCACCACCAGTGGCGTCATTGCCACCGCCGCCGAGACGCTGGCCAACAAGACGAAGCTCTTCGAGCGGCAGGATCGCCTCATCAAGTCCGTCTGAGGCAGTGCCTGCTGGTTGGCCAGCAGCAGCAGCTCCACTAATGCCTCTCCGCCCGGGCACAAAATAGCTTTAGCCTTAGCCGCCAAGGATATTTAAATTATTCCATGATCCCCCCTCAGTCCCCCTCAGTCCCACTCTCCCGACTTTCCCTTCTCCAAAGATATATATATATTTTTTTGATTAGTTCTTAGCTTTATTTTTAGCCCATGTAACCATTGTAATCATTATTCTGTATGTCAGATATCTTCTAGTATCTAGAAAAACGTAGGGAGCCCAACGCGAATTTTTTCTATTGTTATGTGTACCTTTCCCTATTATTACATACTATTATTATTCTTTTTTTTTTTTCATATTTTAAGCACAAAAAGTGGAAAATGTTAATAAAATGTTATGTACAGATGTTTTTTTAACCGCAAATGCCTACTGTTTTTTTATTTCTTCGTTTGGGTTTGGGAAATTACTCATACAAGATCAATAACAAAATAGCTATAATAGTTGGATGCCATTTTGTCCCAATAATGCATAATAGCTAGATGCGCATCACTGGTTGTTAGTGAGGTGTCATTTTGTACCAATAGTGCAAAATAGCTAAATGAGCATCACTGATAATAAGCTATTTTTGTTGCCTTCCAATATTGCAAAATAGCTAGATGAGCATCACTAATAATAAGCTATTTTTGTTGCCTCCCAATATTGCAAAATAGCTAGATCACTGATGATCACTGGTGCCAGTGAGCATCACATACCCTTATACCCTTGCAGGGTATTTTATTTCCAGTCCGAAGCTCATTACGCATTGAAGGAGTCATTTCCGACCCCATAAACCATATATATTCTTGATCAGCATTAACAGGCGCATCTTTCTGGCCAAGTCCGGAAGAAAAAAATGTTTGATCAATTTTTTCTAAATTTTATAAGGGGTTACATCATTAAAATTCTCAAAATTTGATAAAATTTTCAATTTCTAACTAAGTATGCAGGTTTGTTAACCTTATAAAAACTAACATAACGCCGCTTTCCGAATGCAAATTAAGGCATTTTTGACAGAGTTATGCCTTTTTAAGTTTATAATTTTTTGTTTTTCTCATTTCAATTACAGACTTTCCATCACTATTGCCATCGCCATCGCTCCTAGTCATCAGTATCAGTAGAGCTGTCACCCATCCCGGCCAAGAACCAAGAGAAAGGACCAACGACACTCGCAAAAGGATGGTGGATAAGGGATGGGAACGGAGGAACAGGGATCAGGAACCAGGGATAAGGAGAGAGCACCGCCAGTCAGGTCTGCCGGCTACTTTTACAACAACAGCAACGAACACAAAAAGCAACATTTTAATTTTAAAATACTTTATTTTATTCTATGTTAATGAACCTAAATAAAAACAATGAAATACATTATTTTATATTATTTTGTTTTATTTTATTTTTCCTATATAAGAACAATGAAATAAGCATCACTGGTAGTAAGTGAGATGCCATTTTAATGCAAAATAGCCAGATGAGCATCACTGGCTGTTAGTGAAATGCCATTTTCTCCCAATAATGCAAAATAGCTAGATGCGCATCACTGCCGTTAAGCCTGATTTTATAGCCTCCCAATATGGCAAAATAGCTAGATGAGCATCACTGCCATATAGCCCGATTTTATTGCATCACTGATGCACATGAGCATCACTGATGCAAGTGAGCAAAAATTTCCATGCAAATTGCCCGTTTCCCAAATTGGGGTAACAGGCGAACAGAAATCAGCAGCAAGCAACTGAAAACTGGTATAAACTGTTATAAAAAGTCCAAGTTTCGAACCATTTCGGAGCCGGCGAAAGTTAGCGGAGACTCAAACCTTTTGAATCCAAATTTAGCTGTTATTTTACAACTGCACCTGGGCACACTAAAACTGATTGTCGTTAAATTTAAATTCAAATTTGGCAGTTAAATTCAAATTCAAATTTGGCAGTTAAAATATTTAAAAAAATGTAAAAAATTCTCAAAAATTTTAAAAAATCTGATAAAAATGCTAAAAATTGAGAAAAAAAAACTTTACAAATTCAGAAAAACATTTTCAAAATTTAGAAAAACAATTTAAAAATTCAAAAAATTATTTTAAAAAATCAGAAAAAGATTTAGATTTGGCATTCAACAGATTTTTTCCCAAACAATCCCAAGGCCCCCAAATAGATGCCGCTTAAACCACACAATTCCACATTGATTTCCCTTATTTATTTTATTTTATTGATTCAAATTTGTATGTTCCATCAATTACATTTACCCATTTAAGATGTATTTATAAATATTCCAATACTTTACGCCTGCTGGGCTTCAACTAACCCGGAGCCAAGATCCGATCACTGCCATCCGCTTGAGCTCCGCCATCCTATCTGCTTGCTCCTCCAGCTTCACCTCTGCCGATCCGATAATTATCAATCAACAATTACAATGATGACTAGGATGAACTTGTGCTTCGCGGATCTCTGCGCACGCTCTCGTTTTCGCTATTGGAGCGCTGTAAATATAATAAATAAAGCTATGTAAAATTAAATTAAATTAAGGGGGTCTTCTCATTGGGCAACTTTTTTTTTTCGATTTTTTTTTGTGTATATTTTGTGTATATGTCCCCAAAAGGATTTTTAGAAATTCGAAATACTTTAGAAGATACAGCCTTTTTTGTGAAGCAAGTTCTTCGCAAAATGAGCTTTTTTCAAACTTCAAACGCGTTTATCTCGAAACCACGTTTTTCGAACTGGCGGCCATGATATCTCCAGTTCAACTGAACCGATTTTCATGAAACAAAGTGGAGTCGACGCAGAATTGTCACCATTTTCGGGTGACGGAACAGATTTTTTTTAAATTTTTTTTCTATTTTTTTTTTACACTAAACTACAAAAAAAAAGCCCGAAATCGAAATTTTTTTTTGAATGGCCGCCATTTTGTTTAAAAAAATTTAAAAAAAAATCTGTTCCGTCACCCGAAAATGACATCAATTCTGATTATAACCCCGTTTTTATTTTTCATTTCGGACGCTCTGGAGACCCTGAATCGTGGCCGCCAGGACGACACCTTTTTTTTCGACCACCAAGTTTGAAGTCTCATTACTCTTTGAACAACCCTCGTATCGAGGCAAGAACAACTTTTTTAGTTACTTTGAACATTTTTGAATACAATAAATAAAAAAAGTTTTCAATTATTCTTTGCGTTTTCAAATAAGAATTTTTTTAAAAAGGGTCCAAAAAACGGCTTTTGAATGAGAAGACCCCCTTAAATGATAGATAAATTTTTAAGAAAAACTGAGTAACCCTAAACGTAGTATGCAAGCTAAGAAAAAGCAACTCAGAACATCTTTCCGAATTATATAAAATAAAATATAAATATTTAAATAAAATTTTGTATGCAGATTTATTAACCTTTTAAAAAAATACCTCAGAGCAGCTTTCCGAATTGAAATAAATGAACTTTTGGCTTAGTTATGGATTTTTTAAGTTAAGCTTTTTAAAAAAAAAAAAAAAATTGTAAAATTTGGCCTGCCAATTTATGTTGTTTTGTAATCAGTTGGCTCTTCCTTAAATGTTCAGTTTAGGTGTAAGTTGTACCGACACCTGAAGCCCCTTTCATCATGCAAGAGCTGGCGGTGCCGCAAAAGAGCCTAATTAGGCACACCTACGCAGTGACCATCGCTATGCTGGTAATTGGCCAGATTCAGGTGGCGGTATTCATGCAGATGTGAGTAGCACACGCACACACATGCAGCTTTAATGTAATACTTACCTATGGCTGGCAGCAAGTCCCTGAAGGATTTCCTGGCGAGGCGCTACTTCCTCAGCCTAATCCAGTTCTTCGTCAGCTTCCTGTCCATCCAGCTGTACGTCTTCTTCTTTCACATCATTTCGGGCAAGTCGATGTGGGTACGGGTCGTGGTTGGCATGTGGACGGTGAGCTCTGGGGTTATGGGGAAAAAAGAGGAATCAAGGAATTATTTGCTTAATATTTTGCAGTATCAGGTGAACACGATTTCCATCATGAAGCCGGCCATGAAAGCGCCTTACTTAACCCTCGCCGTGTCCTTTGTCTTTACTTATTGGATGATGTTTATCAGTGCGATTTATGGTTACAATGCGAGGCATCACAAGCGGGGTCTCTTTGTACGTATAAGCTACTCTTTCCTGCTTTTCTGCTTGTCTCTCTTCAAATCGATTATTAATCGATCCTTTTCTCTTCTCCACCAATGGACTCTAACCTCTCCTCCAATCGATTACCAACCAATCCTCAGGTTTCCCGACACAACGTGATCCTGTGGAGCGAGCGTATATTTGTGGTTACCTGTTTTGGGATCATCGTCTGCGATGAGATGGCGAACGTGACCATCGAGTTTCTCACCCTGCTCGTCTATACGCTCATGTCGAATGTGGTAAGTTATATATATATCTGATCTATCTGATAATACTCCTACACCATCCCACAGTTTGTCGTCATCTTTGCCGCCTCCCTGCGAAGACCGAACTTTTATCACCCACACGACCTGGGCGACTTCATATTGATCGGTCAACTGTACTATCTGAACTACTTTGCTCTGTACATGAGCATTGTGTGGACATTAGACGTGTTGCTGGACATCATGGAGTGGGACACCAGCTTCTTCCAGTTCTTCAATTCCACTACTAAGGCTCCGACAACTACCCATATACTGATATAGGATCGATGGCAGTTTGCTGCTTGTTTTATTTTTTAAAGTGCAAGTGATCAGCGAAAATTAAAAAATAATTATGTTCAAGAACTGTGGCTGCTATGGCCTTAGATCTTAGTTTGAACCTAATTGTTGGCTTTAGATAAATAAATAAATAAAATAAATAAACATATATTTATCTATAATTATTATTTTTATTAGTGTTAATATGTTTCCAATTTAAAACTCCATATATTGTTATGTTCAAAATTAAATAATAATAAATAAATATAATAACTAACAGAGGAAAGCTCTCTGAATTAAAATTAAGGCATTAAATCGAACTCAGCAAAGCTCTTCAAATTAAAATTAATTTAATTTTAATTAAATAATATAACCACAATACAATAAATTACTTGATTTATATAAGCACATTACTTGTGTTTGTGTTTAATTTTTGTTGTCTTTTTTTAAACTGAACCATTAACAAAGAAAATACATAAACTTGAAAGGGAAAGCAATTAACAAATACAGAAGAATTAAAAGGAACACCCATTACTTTCTGCCAAAAATAAAAACCAAAGTGGAGCAGCAATGTGGAGCTCCTCTACTCCTCCAAGTAGAAGGCCTGCTGGAAGGTCGGCTTGTGGGAAGAGATCTCCGACATTCTGCGCTCCCGCGCTGCCCTCTGCCTGGCCTCCTGGGCGGCACAGGCAGCATTCTCTGCTGCCCTCTTGGTGCTCTGGTAGTCGGCACGGGCCGCCTCCACCCGGCGAAGGAGCAGTTCCAGACGCTCCCTGGCCTCGGCCACCGCCTGCCTCTGGTCGGCCACCGTCTGCTGGGCCCCGGAAACCACGCGCTCCGAGTGGGCCACGCCCTCTTGGGCTTTCCTCACCAGTTCGGTGAGCGCCTTGACCTCCTCCGATGCCTGCTTGACTCCCTGGCGAGCGTCGGCAGCCGTGGTCTTGGTGGACTGGACACGGGCCTTCTCCTTCTGCACCACCAGACGACCCTCGCGCAGCTCAGACTCGATGAGCTCCACCAGCTGCTGCTTGCCCACGAAGGCCGCCTCCGCTGCCTTGGCAGCGCTGCAAGCCTTGTCGGCCAGCATCTTCTGCACCTTATGGGCAGCCGCTGCGCCGGCTTCTACCTGGGCATCGGAGGCCTCCTTGGCAATCTTGGCCGCCTTTTGGGCAAAGCAATTGGGCTTGGGTCGTACCATGGTGGCGCATTTTCCTGGAGGTTCACCAGGAGCAACAGCACTGGCACCAGCTCCTCCATTGCCTTGATTGTCCTGCACCAGGTCAGTGTCACCAAAGGGGCTCTGCCGGGTTGTTTAGCTATAGATTTAGGATTTTAGTTGAAGGAATTTGGTTCGTTCTTACCCAGTTGAAAAAGCCAAGGCCAATGGTCAGACTGGAGAAAATAATAATAGAAAACAAAATCAAGCGTGTGAACTCCATGACGAACGATTTTAGACTGAGCTGAAAGGGGGAACACAGAGCCTCGTGGCTGACAAGGGGGTCTAAGGCCTACTTGGCAGGAGCTATGATACTCTTAGTTTCTTTCTATATTATTTACGGCTTTCGGTTTACATGGAGGACACTCAAAGGAGCTTGGATAATAAATACAATTGACTAAATATATACACTGATTAATGACAGTATAACTATTTACGACACAAGTCGTGCATGCTCATCATCGTTGCCGTTACGTCGGAGCTGTCCGCATGCGGAACCAATGTCCAGGTCTGCCACCACGATGTGCGGCGCCTGTAGTCCGTTGGCCAACGACTGTAGGTTGCTGCTTGCCTGTAAAGAAAAAGCTTTAAAAATTGCTTTTTAGAGAGAAATTAAAACTTACTCTGGGGCTTTCGAGCAGCAATTCGGTAGCCATCGGATCGTTGGACACCTGGCGGGTGCGTAGCAATCGCTGGAGAGCAGTCGGCACACCAAATTGCATCGATGAGGCGTTGGCCCTGTCGCTGGACGTCTCCTCCCGTTGTTCCTGCTCCAGAAAGGCTTTGGTGGACGAGGAGCCACCGTCTCCGCCTCCACCGCCACCGCCGAGTGTCGCCAGTGGATTCTGGAAATGCAGGTTTATATTGAGATCCTTGTGACCCCTCTTCCGGTAGTTGTAGTACATGTATCCCAATCCTGTGCCCAGCAAACCAGCAGTGAAAACAAACAGCAGCATTAGCCAGTGGCTGCCTGATTGCTGCTGCTCCAGCTCCAAACTGTTGGCTGATCCAATGGCCACCTCATTGCCTGAACCATGGGGACACAGTTCGCCCTCGGCCACCAGACGATGACCGCACATGCACTCGTACCCAAAGTCCGCCTGCAGGCACAGTCCCTGGCAATGGGCATGCATGCAAGGATGAGCCGCCGGCTGGGGCTGTCGGGATGCGGCAGCCACCACAATGTCCTCGGCATTCATCACATTCAGATTAATGTTCCGGCAGATTCTTGACCCGTACAAGGCGCACTGCTGCGCCTCCTTGGCCCCCAGGTTGATGATGTAAGCATTGTTCTCAAAGACACTCAAACCGGAAGGTTGGATGAGGGCATTGGATTTTTGTAGGATTATTTCCGAACGCCTTTGGGTTCCTAACGAGGACGCCTTGAATCGATAGGCAATCCTCTCCAGCGTTCGCCGGTGCAAATCCACAAAGTACAGCTGCTGCTGGTGGGGATCTGTGGTTAGGGCAGTCAGGTAACTGTCGCTGCGCTGCAAGATCATCTCCCGGCGACTGCCGTCCAGCCGGGCCATGTGCAGCTCCGAGGTGGAGTGACCAAAACCCTCCGTGCGTATGGCTATGTAGAAGATCCTTCCATGATAACCATCCACAGCCAGATGCTTGAGATGCTTGTGATTCTTGGCCAGCACAATCCGGCCACACATGCGAGCCTCAAAGCTGCAGGCTTGGATCTCCTTCTGGGCAGACACCACATACACATTGCCGGTGGCCCAATCCACCGAAAGCTTCGAGGGTCTGGGCAGGGTCAAGGCCCGGGTTACCAGCTTCTTCTGGAGATCGATTTGGTAGATAACATCCTCCTCCTCGGCAGAAAAGTAACCCATTTGCCGTTGGACATCCACATCAAAGCCTGATATCCTTGAATCGTTGGCCGACCAAGCCAGGGTGAGCATTACGGGATGTTCGCTTAGGTTCCTCACCTGGTTGAAGCTGCCAAAGAGTATGGCGGCGCCTGACTGGAGGCTCTTGCAGCTCACCCTGTCCTGGCGCAGCATAAAGTCAGCATGGCATTGACACTGATAGCCGCCCAGGGTATTCTCACAGAGCTGGGCGCATGGCTGCTGCTGCTCCTGCTGGCACTCATCCACATCCACGCAGCTGGATTTGTCCGTGTCCAAGCGATAGCCATCGCGACAGGAGCACATGGCACCGGCGGGCGTGGCCCGGCACTTGTGCTGGCATAACTGGCGACCATCTGTGGGTCGGCAGGCTGTGGCACACAGTGGTCCCTCATCCTGGCCATTGGTGCAGTCGGGGAAATTGTTGCACACCCGCGACATGTCCACGCATTCGCCATCCTGACAGTCAAAGAGATGCGGACGACAGGCACGCCTTGCCGACTGGGTTTGGTTGTGCTTTTTCTGCTCCTCGCAGCTTAGTTCATCGCTGCCATCGAGGCAGTCCCTTTCGCCATCGCAGCGGAATTCCTGGCGGATGCACTGCCTCCCGGAGCGGCACTGGAACTCCGAAATGCTACACATCTCCCCACAGTCTGCTTCGTCTTCGCCGCGGGCACACTCGGCGGTGCCATTGCATCTAGCTGAAGCGGGAATGCACTTATTTCCGGAACATTTAAACTCATCTTGGCCACAGGATATATTCTTTTTCGTTGACTCTGGAGTGCAGTGCAGTTCATCGGATCTATCGCCACAGTCATTGTGTCCATCGCAGACCAGGCTACGATCCAGACACTGGCCCAGGAGGCAGCGATGCATGTCCGGGGGACACGTACGCTGGCCGCATTTGTCGTGCTCGTCGGAGGCATCGCTGCAGTCTATCCGGCCATCGCATTCCCAACTGCCCGCTATGCAGGAGCCACTGCTGCACTGGAACATCTCTGGATCACAAGAGGCGGGTTTTTTGCACTCCAACTCATCCGAATTGTCGCCGCAATCGTTGGTTCCATCGCACAGCAGGCTGGAGTCCACGCACTTGCCATTGTCGCAGGCATGCTGGTGGGCATGGCACATCTTGGATTTGTCTGGGGGCAGGAGTAAATATTAGTTTTTGGTCTTGGCTTGAGGAAGCTCATACCCTTACCATACTTCTCGCAGTGCTCCTCGTCGCTGTGATCCTGGCAGTCCTTGATGCTGTCACAGCGTCGCTCCATGTCCACACATTGATCCCTGCTGTGGCAGGCAAATTGCCTGGGCGAGCACATCACCTTGGGCTTCCTGCTGTGCTCCTTGTCGCAGCTCAACTCATCCGAGTTATCCACACAATCCCGGTGGCCATTGCAACGATGGGCCATGGTCAGGCACTCACCACTGCCGCAGCGGAACTCACAGTCCAAGGCCTCCATGCAGGTGCGATTGCCTGCATCCCGGTACACAAAACCCGCCGGGCACAGGCATATCACATGGATGGGACCCTCGCCCACGCAGATGTGCGAGCAGCCGCCATTCTGCTGCTGGCAGGGATGAGACTCCCGACTGCCAGGCGAGCTGCCAGCCAAAGGAATCCTTCGTGGCGGTGCCATAGGCACAAAAGGCATAATGGCATCGGGATCACCTTTGGCCTCGATATCAATCCTCTTCCTGGGACCCACGTTGCTCTTGTGCGTCCAGAAAATAGCCGAGGAACCCAGTTCGCTCCAGAACAGATCCTGCTGGACCAGAGCCAGGCTATAGGGTCGCCGCAACTTGCCGCGGAAGGTCTGGGCGTGCGGCTGCCTGTAATCCGAGTGGGTGATCCTCCCAAGGTCACTGTCCGACCAGAATATACTGTGCGTTTCTTGATCCGCCGCCAGTTTGATGTCATCATCCCCTAGGTCATCCTCAAAGACATGCACCTGGTCACCCTTGCCGCTCAAGGGGATTCGATCTATGTGGGTATGCCTCCTGGCCTTGAGGACCACATAGAGGTAGCCTTCGTTGGGCATTACCCCAAGTCCTATGGGCCACTCCTGGCCTGGGAAGAAGCGTATCAAAGCTCGGTGCTGGGTCTGTAGGGAGAGCAACTCCACCACGCCCCGCTCGGCATCGGCCCAGTAGAGATTCCTGCTGAGATGGTCAAAGGCCAAGGCGCTCACATTGCCCAGATTGGCACGAACCAGAATGGTGGTCTCCCTGGCATCCGGTTGGTATTCCAAAATCAATCTCTGGTCATTATCCGCTATAAACAGGCTGCCATTGATCCTATTGTAGACCATCTCGTCTATGGAGCAGGGCAACGTGTGCGACTTGCTCACCACATGGCGTCCAAAGGTCGTGTGCTCAATCTCCAGGAGCACCTGGCGAAGACCCACAAACAGCCGCTGGCGTTTCTCCGTCAACATGCACCGCTGCTGATCTGGGGCCAGTCGCATGCCGTCGGGACAGGCGCAGCTATGACCACCAGACTCGGGTTCAGCCAGGAGGCACAAATGCGAGCATCTGGCTGTGCGGCAGCCATGGTTGGTATCCTCCGGCTGCTTGGCTGGATGGTAAATGTGCACAGCATAAATGGTGCGATCCCGGGCCAGGACACGGTGATCCTTCCCGGAGAACTTGTGGCACGCATGGATACTCTTGGTGGCCCAGTCCGACCAGTAAAGTTGATCCTCGAATATGGCCAGGCCATAGGGATGCTTGAGCATCCCATCCAGCACTGTGCGCCGGTCACTGCCATCGGGACGGACGGTCTGCACACTGCCCAGCTTGGCGTCCACCCAGTAGATCCTCTGCTGATGCATGTCCAGAGCTATGCCATTCGGCCAGTGGATATTATCGCTCACAATCGATCGCGATCGACTGCCATCCATGGAGGCGCGTCCTATCATGGGCTTGGCTCCCCAATCCGTCCAGAACATGAGGCCACGCTGTGGCCAAAGGGCTAGGGATCGGGGCTGGTGCACATCCTGGGTGACCAGCACGGCACAGTTCATGCCATCGTTGGAGCACACGGCTATGTGGCGCATTATGTTGTCCGAAAAGTAAATGTTTTGGGTGAGCCAATCCACAGCCAGGTCTTCGGGTGCATCCAGACCGGAGGTCAGCAGAATCTCCGAGTGCGAGCCATCGTTCTTGGCCTTGACAATGCTCTCGGCTTCGTTTTGGATGTTTGTCCAGTAAATGTGACTGCCATCGTAGGCCACGCCTATAACTTTGCTGAGATTACCGGCCACCTGGTAGACATGATTCCGTATGTTGTCCTCTTGGAGGTGCATCCCCATCACCGTCATCTGTGTGGTGTACAGAAGCAGTGGCTGATCATCAGCGGAGCCGTGTCCCTTTTTAGAGGCGCGACAGGTGCGATTGTCATGGGCCAGCAAGTGATAACCCGGATCACAAATGCATCGGTAACCTCCAGAGGTGTTCTCGCATCCCTGGCTACACAGATCCTTACGCTCCTGACACTCGTCAATGTCCTCGCACTTGTCTGCAAATTTGGCTAGCCTGAAACCGGTTGGGCAGTGGCACTCGGCCCCGACGGTGGGCATCATGTGGCAGGTGGCACCGGGTGCACATTTTTTGATTTTGCAATCCTGCTTAGAGTGGCAGTTGTCCGACTCATCGCTGCCATCGGTACAGTCCTGGTGGCCATCGCAGACTTCGCTTAGCAGGAGGCATTGTTCATGGTTTTGGCACAGGAATTTACCCATCTCAGGCTGGCAGAGGTTCACTGGAAGAGGAAAGAAGGGTTTTATTAGTGAAAAAGCTTTTCAAATCCCTGGAAAAGGTGACTAAAAGTAGGCAAATAATATTTAAACATTAATATTCTAGGATTTTATAGCAGATATTAAGAGTTTTAAGGGTTTTTTATTAGTTTTTATGAAGCTTAAATGAATCAAATTTATTTAAAAAGTAATTAAGATATTTTAGAAGGCTTAAAAATACGTTTACTCAGGCATAAACATGTCTTTGGCAAGACCAAAAGTAGGCAATAAATATATAATCATGAATATTCAAGATATCTTTAATTTCAGAGCAAGTCTCAAGGGTTTTCTAAGCCTTTAAAAATGTATTTATTAATTATTTAAATTAATAATTAATTTGCTGAATTTAAGGTGTATAAAGATCACTTCTGAAGCTTCAAATAAACAAATAAAGTAATTAAGAAATTTTAAATATCTTAAGAGACTTGGTTATGCAGACATAAGCATGTCTTTGACAAGACCTTTTAATTACTTTCAAAAGTTTACCCTGTATTTAAAGAGAAATCCCGACTCACCGCATCCTTTTTCATCGCTGCCATCTCCGCAATCGTCAACGCCATCGCATACCCATTGCTTTCGCCTTAAGCAGCGTCCATTTGCGCACAGATGGCCCTCGCTGGAGGAGCAGGTGGCCTCCGCCTGCTTGCAACCAGCCAACTCGTCCGAACGATCCAAACAGTCGGCTCTGGCATTGCACATGAAATCAATGGGAATGCAGGAGCGATCATCCTGGCACATGAACTCCTGATCCGTGCAGTTTTTGGGCTTCTGGACAAAATCACCAAATCGGAAGCCCGAGAGGCCTGGGCAGTTGCGCTCATCCTCGCCGCCGGGACAGTTATCGATGCCGTTGCACATTAGTTCAGCTGCCAGGCAGGCACCGTGTGGCTGGGCACACGGGAACCAATGTGGCGGCCGACACAGTCGGTAGTCTGAAAAATGTAAATTTAGAATTCGAATTTCGTTTACCCATAAAAGTGAGCATATTTTACCGCAGTGTAATTCATCTGAGCCATCCTTGCAGTCTCCGCGTCCGTCGCACATCTTCGCCTGTAAGATGCAGCCGCCGTCTCCGCACTGGAATTGTCCTGCATCGCACCGCGTGTCCTCTGATCCCGACGTGGCGGAGCAAAACGAACAGCAAATGAGGAGCAACAGTGCTGCCACATGCCACCACAGCAGCCCAGATTGGCATCCATTTTGTGATGATTTGCCTTTTCGCTCAAGTGAAGCGCGTGTCTGGGAGGTTATGTTGAATTCCTGCCGCCCGGCGATCATCATTGTCGCCTTTTTGGCGTTTAAACACGGCTCTGACGCACACTGGATGGACTGAAGCGGATGCTCCGCCAAGCACATAAAACACAAATTGGTTATAAATTAGACAACAATTAACATATAACGTGGGATTTATGCAAGACAGAACAAGAAAAAAATTGCAACCTGCTGCTTGAAAAGCTGAAAACGAATTGGCCGAGCAACGTGGCGAGATCGGGAAAAGCGCCGTTATGTTTCAGTGTGACCAAAGGCGTTTGATAAAGGAAATGCCTAACGCGTTTAGATGGGGCTATAGCTAGAGCCGCTGATTTGTTTAACACTTTTTTTTCAACATTTATTTTGATTTAAAAATAAAAAAACAATTTTGTTTATAAATCAAATAATACACAATGTATTTATTTAATGTTTACATAGGAATTTCATGTAGATTCCGTCTTGGTTGGCCCATTCAAAGGATTCTCCTTAACCACCTTATCTACAAACTCTTGCAAAAAAGCCGTTCCACTCTCACTATCCATTGCCATGAGCTTGTCCAGCAGCTCCCAGGTGATGCTCTTGTCCAGTAGCTGCCGCTTGAACACATACGCCGGCATGTACACAATAAAGTGGGTAAGTTTCCAGTGCGGACGCAGGCGTGGTATACCCAAGCGATGCGGCACCACCTCGTTGTCCGCCAGCGTCTGAATGTCCACATAATTCCACTTATCCTCTGGGCGTGGCTGCGGCTTTGGTGGTGCCCGATTGCGTTGCTTCTTGGGCGGCGGCGGCGTCAACGGGCGAGGATTTGGCTCCGGGCGAAGCGCCTCCGCATCGAACTTCTCTGCCCACAGGGTCTCCAGGCGAACCAGTGAACTGCGATCGTGGCGCGTCAGGTGGTCGGTGTCCGAATACAGATTCTGCATCATGTCCTCGATTACGGAGCTGGAGAAGGTACGCGACTCGGGGATCCAGGTCGGCACTTGGGACAGCACCGGCTGTTTGCGCTTTCTGGCCTGCGTCGTCGACTTCAGCTGGCGCTGGTCTCCAGGCACAATCCTGATCTTCGGGCAAGTCGACATGGTTTTCGAGGAATTTTGTCTGTACGACACACAGCCAGCGCCTGCTTTCTGCACCAAACTTTGCTTTTTACTTTTTAAATACAACTTTTCAATTTACAGTTAGGCCGCGAGCACACTGAGAGAGGCTCTCCAGTGAGAGCGGAGCTGAGCTTATAAAGCTTTCAGCTTCGGTCCGCTCTGTTTGTTTGATTTTCTTAGAAGCTGACGCTCTCTCCAGCCAGGTGGCAACGCTGGGCAGGGTTCATTTGAAATTTGAAAGTTTTTATCTTGTTAAATAATTTCTTTTTGGTTTGTTTTTTTATTATTTAAAAAATATTTAAATGTTTAGAATTTGTGTAAGTTAATTCTTTTTTTTCGCTTCTGTTTTCGTTATAAAATTTTTAAAATAATTTCTTAAATTGTTCTTTTCTGTTTATAAACTTAAGAAAAATCAATTTATGTTTGGAATTTTTGTAGGTTTTTTTTAGGCGTATTATGTGTAAAAAAGCTGTTGTTTTTTTATAATAAAATTGCAAAAATTTGTGTAAGTTAATTTATTTTTTAATATTATGTCTTAATATACAGAAATTTTGCTTCGGTTTTAGTAATAGGATTTTAAAAATAATTTGGTTTGCTTAAAATTTAAAGATCCTCATTGAATCTTTTTTTCCTTTAGTTTTTCTTGAAACAAAGCTCCTTTAATGTTTTCAATTTTTATTAACTAATTTTTTCTTAATATTATATCTTAATTTACAGACCTCTTGCTTCTTTTTTACGTTATAATCAGGCCTGCTCCGGTAATCGAAAACGGCAAGAATTTTTCGTTTTCGTTTTTGAAAACGAGAAATTGGTGCTCCGGTAATCGAAATCGAGAGATTTGTTCGATTTGAAAAACGGGCACCTTTTTCTGGCCGGAATGAAAAGTAAATGGCTTTTTTTATATGAAATCAGATCTTATTTACAAAAGGACAAAAATAGTTTACTCAGTGGTCTATTGATGTTTATTCCACACCACCACAAGATCATTCTGGCAGGTAGTTATTTTATAAAAAATTTATTTCTGACCCCACCTCAGATTTGACAACAAAAGTTTTGCCGTGTTCAACCAGTTTTCTCGTTTTGGCGATAGGTCGATAAGTTCACCGCAAAAAGTTATCGCCAAGGTTGCCATATTGTTGGTGGAACGAAACATCCAGTTAAAAATACTTATAAAATATAAATGAATACATTAATAACTTTAAAGGACCGCCAAAATGGTTGTTTAAAAATAATGCTATTTAATTGTACTACTTAAATAGTCCAAATTAACCAAATAATTACTTGAGACCACCGGAATTAAAACTGTGAAAAGTGTGGCAGCATCTTAGGTGCATGGATTTGCTTAATTCTACCATTTTTTGCCTTTTTCTGGCTTAGAAAAAGGGCAATTGTAAATATAATAGGCAGTACTTTACGTTGTTTACTTGTTACCAAACAACACAAGTTAGCTGCTTGAGCAGTGAGAAACGATGAGAAAACGAAACATCCGATAGCAGAAATTTGCCGAAAACCGGAGCAGCTAAAAACGAAAACGGTTCGTTTTCGCCCAAAACGAAATCGAAAAAATTTTACGATTACCGGAGCAGGCCTGAATATTCTAAAAATACTTAGTATTTTCCTAAAAATATAAAGATCCTTATTTATGGTATAAAGCTACCTATATATTTTTCACAAGGACTTTTAATACCAATTTCTGCCAGTGTACACCAATCAACTTAAAAGAAAAAGTATTCCAAAAATCAAAATCTAAACATTGAACATCAAATCTCCCCCACCGGAATATCGCAAAAGGACTGCACCAAATACAGAGTGATTAATTGGCGGACCATCATGATGTCAGCGCCTTAGAAATTCCAATTTCAAACCGAACAGTGCAGTGTGAAATAGAAACAGAAACTGAAAACTGAAAGCTGAAGCGCAAACATCTAAGCCGCCAGGTTTGAGTGAGCCATTGCAACAATTAATAACGGTTGTGCCGCGAGATTTATGAGCGACGACATATAAACAAGACCAAAACGCTGTTGCCGTCGACCGCGAAATGTCATAAAAAGTCTCTGGGAGTCCGGTCAGAGACAAAAACCCGCCGCCGAATTGCTTAGAAACCAGAAGAGAGCACTCACAAATTGGTTAATTAGGGGAAGGAGCGCGAGTCCGAGTGCTAGGGCGACTTCACACGACGTAGGGGGCGTGCCGCAATCGTAAAAATAAGGCAAAACTAACGCGAAAACCGAACCCAAACACCTGGGAATGCACTGAGAGAAAGAGTGGGTTTCTAGTTAGTATAATTGTATCGGTTTCAAGGGAATTATAGCTGACTAACTGTTCTGAGTTAGTTTTTATAGGGTAAAAAACTCTGTATACTAAATTTTAAATTATAAGAAATCATAATTTTTCTCAATTTTTAAAAATTTCAATGATCTATTTTTCAGAAACTGGGTATATTTATTTGAATTTTAAAAAATCCATAACTAAGCCAAAAATTCATTAATTTTAATTCGGAAACCTGAGTTGTGTTAGTTTTTAATAGATTAATAAATCTGCATACTATATTTACGTTTTTTTTTAATTTTTTTTGCCAATTTTTTTTTTTACAATTTTAACGATGTAACCCCTTATTTTTTTAAAAAAAGCTTAAAAAATTGTTTTCCTTCGGACATGTCTAAAACGATTCGGCTGTTGAAGCTGATCAAGGATATATATGATTTACAGGGTCGGAAAAGACTCCTTCACTGCGTAAACAAAATTTCCGATTAAAATTATATAAAGAAATTATAATTTTTACAAAATTAAAACTCTGATTTAACAAACTACGTAAGTTATCTTTAGATCCTTATAAAATCTCAAAAAAATCACGAACTTACCCTGCTGCTCATTACTGATATTATTCCTATCCAAATCTTCCAAATTTTCTCCAAGTGCACATGTCATATATACACAATATATCGGCGAACGTGGTTTTTCCATGGTCATACAATTTCGGGGCTCCTCTGCCGGATGAGTCGTGGGATATCGAACGACGACTCTACGAACAAGCCCGGCTTGGGGAGTCTTCTTCTCCGCGCTGTCCGATTGCCGGTTGCCCCGTCCCGTTGAGTAATGGGCCCTGTCCGGCGACATGTCCGCGCCAAGGCGTTAACTCGGCTGTAGTTGTAAAGTAGCTCGGGTGCGCTAAGAAGCGTATAAAAACTAGAGACGGCGGCTTAATCCGCAACAGTTGATCGTCAGCGTCCACTCGGTGCATATATCAGTCAAAAGCAGAATCCGAATTCCTATCTAGGACCAAACAGAACTTGTTAGAAATATTCTAAAAATGGTGAGTGGAATAAACTAGGCGATAAATATCTGAAATATTATTTTGAAGTGTGTTTTTTTTTGTTCTCCTGCCAAAATTACTAAAGGAGGTCCTTTTAACGTGGTGTGACAACGCCAAAGCAGGGTACAGTTCACACAAAATATTCAAATTGATTTTTGAATTACCTGTTTTAAATATTATGAAAGAATTATCAATATAAACAATATTACAAAAAAAAAAATATTAATACCAAAACAAGGGTTATAAAAATTAATAAATAATACTAAATATGAATATATAATATTTTGAATATAATTTTAATAATAATATTAAAAATTCCCTAGAACTCACTCACCATTCTCGCCATCTTCGCCGCCTCCCTGGCCTTCTGCGCCGGCGATGTGTCCCACTTGTCGCGCACCTACCTGCCTCCCGTGAGCGGCGGCTATGGTGGCTACTCCTCCGGATACTCCTCGTATCCGTCGTACTCCAGTGGAGCTGGTTACTATTCGGGCGGTCTTGGTGGCAGCTATGCATCGCCGGTGATCTCGTCCAGCTACCGTAGCTATGCGGTGCCGCAGTACACATCGTATGCCGCACCCTCGAGCACCTACTTGCCGGCAAATACGGGCTACTCCGGCTACTCTGGATACTCGGGCTACTCCGGTCTGGACACCAAGTACGGCAGCAATGGTGGTTATGTCTACTAAGAGGGGGAAGACACCTCCCAGCAACAATGGAGCCAGCAGACATCTCTATATACATATTTTTTTTGTTTTGCCTAAGGAATTTTTTTGTGCAATTTTTTGGATACTAAAATATATATTTTTTCGAATGCTTTATTAATTATTAACAAACTTAATTTGGGTTTTTTATTTGGGAAGGGAATAAATGTGGGGAAATATTTTATATATGCGTAAAAGCAGGCTACAAAAAACAGAGGCCGCGTTGCCAGCTGAAGCTTAGGTTTGCAGCGTTATCAGCTAGGTATAATTTATATTTCTTGCTATTTTTTAAGTTTAAAAATTATTTTTTTCAGCTTTGAAACCTTGATTTCCTTCAAATAATTCGATTTACATTCTTAACTTTATTTTGTTTGATAAAAAAAAAATATTTCACAAAGTGTCGGTAATTTGTTTGTTTTCTTTTGCTTATTTTTGTTTTCATTCGAGAAGAGATCCTTTTTAATGCTTCAGACGGTACTCGTAGCCACCGTTGGAGGCATATCCACCGGACTTGTGTCCCGATGCGTAACCAGATCCATGACTAGCTCCATGACCAGCTCGGAGGCCGGATCCTTGAAGAGAACCATGGCTGGAACCCTGACTAGCAGCATAGCCAGAGCCATGGTTGGAGCCGGTATAGCTCACATGAGACACGGCTGGAGCGGCATAGCTCTTCCTGGAGGCCACAGCTGGCGCGAAGTAGGAGCCATGAGAGGTAGTAGCAGCGGAATACGAGCCATGAGAGACAGCTGGAGCCGAGTAGGAGCTATGAGAAGCAGCTGGAGCCGAGTACGAGCCATGAGAAGCAGCTGGAGCCGAGTAGGAGCCATGAGAGACAGCTGGAGCCGAGTAAGAGCTATGAGAAGCAGCTGGAGCCGAGTACGAGCCATGAGAAGCAGCTGGGGCAGCATAAGATGATCCTCCAACGGCACTGTAACTAGTATGAGAGGCAGCCGGGGCCAGATACTGCCTGGAAGGAGCGGCCACAGGTGCCGAGTAGCTGGTATGGGAGGCAGCTGGGGCAGCATAGCTTTTGTGGGCAACGGCAGGAGCAGAGTAACTGCTATGAGAAACGGCAGCTGGAGCCAGATACTTCCTGGAAGGAGCAGCCACAGGTGCCGAGTAGCTGGTATGAGATGCTGCGGGAGCTGAGGCGTAGCTGCTGCCCGAGGAAATTCCAGAGGAGTAGGAGCCATGGGATGTAGATGGAGCCGAGTAGGAGCCATGAGATCCTCCAGAGGAATACGAGGAGCCATGAGATCCACCAGAGGAGTACGAGGAGCCACCAGAAGAGGCAGCTGGCGCCAGATACTGCCTGGAAGGAGCAGAAGCCACCACCGAGTGACTCTTCCTGGCATAGGAAGCAGTCGCCGGAGCAGCTGCATACGAGCCAGAGGAGCTAGAAGCTGCGGCATTATAGCCACTCGTGGCACCCACCTTGGGCGGCAGGTAGGAGTTGCTCAGCGGAGTGGCCAGAGACACTGCCACAGAGGCCAAGGCCAGAGTCAGAACGGCAAAGGAGCGCTGCAAGTAAAAGTATTTAAAAATTAATTTAAATGGATTTTAAAATGAATAATTAATAGATAAATTAAGGTAGCAAGCTTTCACAGGTGCATTAATCATTAGAGAACATCTTGACTCAATTAAGATAAATCTAAAACCTGAAAACACTCACCATTTCGATAGATTCTTAATTTCTTAAGCGTTTCTAGCTGCTGTTCCGGCGTTTGGGGGTTTTTGGGAACTGATGCCTCAGTAGATGCTGGCCGACACTTTTATAGGAGACTCCGGACAATGGCTTTGCAGGTGAGTACAAATCTTTCAGTCTACCAATCTTCCAATTCTCCAATCTTCCAATCTTCCAATCCCCCAAGACGCACACACAAAGCAAAAAAAATTGAAGCAAAAAAAGTAAAATAAAATAAAGCCAAAGCAAAAAATATTAGAACGCATAGGAATGGGGAGGCTAGAGTCTTGCTTGGTCCGCTGGTCGTCATCATCGCACATAGTTTGGGCTTACACTGAGCTACAAGGTTTGGTAAAGGTAGAGAAAGAAGCATTGGAATACTTTATTACAATAATAGTAATATTATAATAAATATTAAATTATGTTTCTTTGAATCTTTGTATCTTAGTATCTCAAGTACCTCAGTATCTCAGTACCTCAGTATCTCAGTATCTCAGTATCTCAGTATCTCAGTATCTCAGTATATCAGTATCTCAGTATCTCAATATCTCAGTATCTCAGTATCTCAGTACCTTAGTATCTCAGTATATCAGTATCTCAGTATCTCAAACTTTGTTGACCAGTTTCTATGGCAAAGAATGGCGCGATCAAGGAATATGTCGTAGACTCTATATATTTGGCCGTCTTTATTTTTAGCCCTGTCAATTTCGGAAGTCGCCGCGAGTCGAGAGTAATTAATGATGTGCCAGTGCCAGTGCGAAGTTCGCGGATAATCCAAGCTCATGCCGCCCCGCCGCTAACGGTTCGATAACGTCTTGGGGATCGCATTATTTTGGATGGTATTGGATCGAGTCCGCCCTCGCAGCCGCCGACCCGCATCTAAAGGCAACCATTACTCACCACACACATTAATTATAATCCACACCGACATCGGGCTTAATGGTCGCGGCCCCTCCAGTGTTTATGTCTTTTGCGTGCGTTTATATAATTAAAACGAAATGCTAAGGGAAGAGGAATTAACAACAAACAAACAAAAAAAACATTTATATATACAAATCGCATAAAACAATACCAAAAAAACAGGGAATCAATGATTGTGGAAGTTAAAAATACCCTTGCAAGCCGCAATTTGCATAAAAATGATCAAAGTCATTGCGGGGAATTTGCTGATGAGAAATATTTTATGGTCATAAATGTTATAGAAGCCAAGAAAGTTATCATAACCACTCGATTTACTACCTGTTTCTTCAAAACAAAACAAGTATATTACAACTTTTTAAAGAGAATAAATACATCCATCTTAAAGTAATAATTCTTTCACTTTCAATTCAGAGACATTGTTATTTGGTTGCTTCATTGGCCTGCTTATTGAGCCATAATGCATTGCCTTTAAAGCTAATATACCCGCTTTTTCGAGAGTCCAAGACAAGAGAGGAGCGAGAAGATAAAGCTATTTATTTTTTGCCTTTGAGGTGCGTAGTTTGGGATTGGTCTGGAATCGGTTTGGGTTGGTTGAGTTGGCCCAACGCCGATCAGTTTAAGTTTGACTTTATAATGGAATGGTATCAAGTCAGGATCTAATTAAGGTTTACTTCAGAGTGCTAAAAATAAATTAAATATAAGAGATCATTAAGGTATCAGAATTATCTAAAATATTAAACTAAATACAAAAATAAATTATAAATATATATAAATTATAATAAATAAGAAATACTTATATATAAATATTTACATAGAAATATTTATATATGAAAAGGAAATTATGGTATAAGATTTCTAAATTTTTTTAATAGGAATGAAAATGATTTTAAAGGTCTAAAATATTGAATTAAATATCTAAGGAATATTTATATTATTCATTTTTGGTTGCTTATATTCATAAATATGGGTCTATACCAGTAGTCGGCACGTCCCAAGCCCATGGGATAGGCAAAGGCTCTGCCGGCAGCGCTGCCAGCACACGGATAGCGTAAACTTCACACACACGGAACACACTCACGTCATTTTTGCTCCGTACCTCACTCACACAAATGTGCTTTTTGGTTGATTGTGATGGTGCCGAGCACTGGTCTATACTTAAAAATTACTTCAACTTTGAGTTATAAAATTAATTAAATAATTAAATTCCGGTAATATTTTAAAAATAAAAGAGATTGCAGGGAAGTTCTATACATAATAATAATATATTTATATAATAATAATACATTTAATATTCTCACTAACGTGAAGGTAAGAGCCCATATTAATTCCGAAATAATTTAGACTAAAAAACTAAATAAAAATAAAATAAAAATGTATCAGTTCAATTTTCAATATAAAAAAATAATAAAAGGGAGAAAAGAGATCCAAGGGCAATTCAATTACAAAATTCTTATATTAATAAAGGGAAATTTTCATATTGATTTTGGGAATTAAAAAAAATGTAATGGACATTTTACATATTATTTTTGTTAAAAAAAATAATAAAACAAAAAATCAATGACAAAACTTTAACTTAATAAAGTAAAATTCTAATATCTCAAAAGGTTATAATTTATTTTTTATTTATTTTTTCCTTGCAGAGTATCCTATAATTCCCTACTTCCTTCCCAGTCGCGTTTTCTGCGCCATATCCTTGGCAATGGCCACAAAGAGTATGTTGTGCTTGCTGGCCACCGGCTTGCCCGTGGGATTCTCCTCCTCATGCCGCACCTGCAGTGTGTCCGAGTCCAGGGTAATGCTGCCCACCACCTGGCCGGGCTTTAAATAATAATTCTGGCCCAGCGAAGTGGGTCGATGCTCGGTGACAAAGTGATACCTCATCGGCTCCAGCTCCTCGATGATTAGCTTGGGCCGGGTGGTGCTCGGCGGCAGCATTGGCTGGGCGCCACATGAAGCTATCAAGGCTACTAACACAATGGCGAAGATGAGTATCCACTGGGAGGACATGCTGAAACCTTATTCCTTCTGCTGGCGCGTTCACAATGCCATCTGGATGGACCCTGGAACATTCTTTTATATCCTGAGCTCTGAGAAAGGAGGTTACTGGAATTGAATTCTCTGGACGTGGATTCTCTGAATGTGAATTCTCTGGAAGCTGGACATTCAGGAGAGACGAAAAGCTCTCTCCACTCGAACGATGCTCTGGCTGGCTGGTGATTTTTACCTGTCCCGTTTTGGGCATAACGAGTTTTTTTTTGTTTTGGACATTAACCCGATTGCGTATGCATGCTTGTGTGTATATATCAGATATATATATTTTTTTTTTGCATAAATCGCAGTGTATATAATGGTCCATTCACAATACAACAGAAATGCAAATTTTCTGCCGTGTTTTGTGGTTTGGATATATCACCCAACCTGGCTATATACATACATCTATATGCACATTATATCCGTTTTGGAAGTCGGACCTGCCCGACGACCCATAGACAGTGGCTAGATCTCGGATTGGACTGCTTTTAATGGCAAATAAATGTTTGAACGATTCGTTTATTTATCATTCCGTGGGATATATACTTATTTATGGGTTTTTGATTTGTTTCGAATAGAGTTTTAAGGGGTTTGTTTAGGAGGTGTTTGTTTACCAGGGAAAATTTAATGCATTTTTGGGTTGGAATTAAGGAGAATTTGTTTATTAGCTGTGATCTTTGATGGGTGTTTTCTTATATTATAGTAAATATATAAATAAAATAATTAAAATCATTGTTTAAATTGCTAAAATGTTAAAGTTTTAGGCTTAACAAAATGATGTTCTATATATATATATATATTATAGATCTCAAATCATTGTTCTCTGAAAAATAAACAACGAAAGTCTCCGAGTCTCTCTCAGGCACAATAGCTGGCAATCAGCCTTAATTTCAACTGATTTCCGGATTGATTCGGCACTGATTGATGGTGTTCCACAAAGGAACCAAAGATGTGCAAGAAATCGTACAGGACGTTTAGACTACACTCATAAACATTTTTAACTAAAAACAACAAATTGTAAACTAAATTTGTTCAATAAAATTGTTAAGTTTCTATTCAAGTTTCCTTCCTTTGCTCCACGTTTTATAGCCATTTAGTTGGTTGATTAATGTTAATTAAATTTTATTTATTAAATTAAAAAAAAATAATAATACAAATATTAAAATAATTTTAGTCCTACAAAATACATTTGAGTAGGGTTGGTAGAGAATTGAAATCGATATTTAAATAAAAAATATATAGAAATAAAAATATATAATAAAATAAAAAATAATAAAAAAATAAAAAAAAGATAATAAGCCTTAAATAATATAGAAAAAAAAGCTAAGAGTAGCAGAGATCCTACCAAGTAGGCCTTTAGACCCCCTTGTCAGCCACGAGGCTCTGTGTTCCCCCTTTCCGCTCAGTCTAAAATCGTTCGTCATGGAGTTCACACGCTTGATTTTGTTTTCTATTATTATTTTCACCAGTCTGACCATTGGCCTTGGCTTCTTCAACTGGGTAAGAACGAACCAAATTCCTTCAACTAAAATCCTAAATCTATAGCTAAACAACCCGGCAGAGCCCCTTTGGTGACACTGACCTGGTGCAGGACAATCAAGGCAATGGAGGAGCTGGTGCCAGTGCTGTTGCTCCTGGTGAACCTCCAGGAAAATGCGCCACCATGGTACGACCCAAGCCCAATTGCTTTGCCCAAAAGGCGGCCAAGATTGCCAAGGAGGCCTCCGATGCCCAGGTAGAAGCCGGCGCAGCGGCTGCCCATAAGGTGCAGAAGATGCTGGCCGACAAGGCTTGCAGCGCTGCCAAGGCAGCGGAGGCGGCCTTCGTGGGCAAGCAGCAGCTGGTGGAGCTCATCGAGTCTGAGCTGCGCGAGGGTCGTCTGGTGGTGCAGAAGGAGAAGGCCCGTGTCCAGTCCACCAAGACCACGGCTGCCGACGCTCGCCAGGGAGTCAAGCAGGCATCGGAGGAGGTCAAGGCGCTCACCGAACTGGTGAGGAAAGCCCAAGAGGGCGTGGCCCACTCGGAGCGCGTGGTTTCCGGGGCCCAGCAGACAGTGGCCGACCAGAGGCAGGCGGTGGCCGAGGCCAGGGAGCGTCTGGAGCTGCTCCTTCGCCGAGTGGAGGCGGCCCGTGCCGACTACCAGAGCACCAAGAGGGCAGCAGAGAATGCTGCCTGTGCCGCCCAGGAGGCCAGGCAGAGGGCAGCGCGGGAGCGCAGAATGTCTGAGATCTCTTCCCACAAGCCGACTTTCCGGCAGGCCTTCTACTTGGAGGAGTAGAGGAGCTCCGCATTGTTTTTTTTGGCAGAAAGCAATGTTTGTTATTTTTAATTTTTCTGTATTTGTTAATTGCTTTCCCTCTCAAGTTAGTTTATTTCCTTTGTTAATTGTTTAGTTAAAAAAAGCCTACAAAAATTATTAAACACCAACACTAATCACGAGGTATGTTCAATTTAGGGTCTGATTTTGCTTATATAATTTAGGTAATTAACTGAATTGTGATTACATTAATTATTTAAAATTAGATATGCTTGTTACATTAATTTTAATTTGAAGAGCTTAGCTTTGTTCGGACTTTACAATAAAAAAAAAATAATAAAGACAATAAAAATAGTAATAGTAAAAATTCTAATATTTATAATAATATTATATAAATAATATTTATCATAAATGAAAAAAAATATTACAAAAGGGCGTTTCCGCCCCTATCACTTTGTGCTTAAACCTAATTATTTACAATCAATCTTCCTAATTATATAAACCATACACCATGCCATCTTAACTGTCCGGGACTCGAACCCGGACCGGTGGAGCTACATATGTATAACTTTCGAAAGGAAGTTGACACTTCAACCCGTTGAGCTACCACCGGCGGCGAGGCGACAGCTTCTAAAGGGCTTTTGGAACCTAATCGATAAAAGGATTTATCGTTAGACAGGGTTGCTTAGAGCTTGGCAGTGCTGGAAAGTGTTTTAAGAAGGCGTTTTCAACTCTGCTTCAAGGAAAGCAAGTAAACTTAAAATAACAGAGATTGGTGAAAAAATGTTAGAAAGAAGATTAATGTTAATTTTGAATAAATTAGAATGATGAGAGTGAACTGTTTTTGTGGTTTTTTCTCATTCTGCACATTTATGGAGTATGTTTATAGAGCATACTTTCAGGATGTGATTCTCAATTCGTATTTATATATTTCATTAAAAAATATATATTTTTATATAAAAAATCAAAAAACATTTAGTTTTTTTTAGCTCATTATCTTCGATATATTTAAAAAAAAAAAGGTTTCGTTTTATGATTAGTTTCGTTTTGGAATCCCAGTCTCTCTAGTAGACGTATCCACCGTTGGAACCGTACACGGTGCCGGCGGAGGATCCGGAGTAGCTGCTGACCACAGCCGGTGCGGAGTAGCTGGACACAGCTGGGGCCGAGTAGGTCTTGGCCACCACGGGGGCAGTGTAGGTAGAAACAGCAGGAGCAGTGTAGTGGGACACAGCGGGAGCGGAGTAGCTCTTGACCACAGCAGGAGCGGAGTAGCTCTTGACCACAGCAGGAGCAGTGTAGGTCTTGGCCACCACGGGGGCAGTGTAGTGGGACACGGCAGGAGCGGAGTAGCTGGACACAGCTGGGGCAGAGTAGGTCTTAACCACAGCCGGGGCAGAGTAGGACACAGCTGGAGCCGAGTAGGTCTTGGTCACAGCCGGAGCAGTGTAGTGGGAGACAGCGGGAGCGGTGTAAGTCTTCACAACAGCGGGAGCCGAGTAGCTGGACACAGCCGGGGCGGAGTAGCTCTTGACCACAGCGGGCGCCGAGTAGGTCTTGGTCACAGCCGGGGCAGTGTAGGTAGAGACAGCCGGAGCCGAGTAGTGGGACACAGCTGGGGCAGAGTAGCTGGACACAGCTGGGGCAGAGTAGGTGGTCTTCACGACTGGAGCCACATAGGAAGCAGCAGGCTGGGCGTAGGTCTCCTCGGCAGCGGTCTCAGCATAAGAGGTGGTCTCAGCAGCAGCTGGAGCGGCATAGGATTCGCTGGTGTAGGAGGCAGCTGGAGCAGAGTAAGACTCAGACTCATAGGTGGAAGCGGCGGCGGGTGCCTCGTAGGTCTCGGCGGCAGGAGCAGCCTGGTAGGACTCGTAGCTGGTGGAGGCGGCACCCGAGCGAGGAGGCAGATAGGTGTTGGCCAAATGGCTAACATCGGCCGAGGCCACAGCCAAAAGGGCGAGCGAAAGGACAGCGAAGAATTTCTGTAAGGAAAGAGGAAAAGGGTGGTGTTTAGGGGAGGAAGAAACTCCTGTTCTTAGAAGACGTGGAAGGTTTCTTAGATATTTTTTCCTTGAGGTTTGAAGATCTTTCGGGGAGGAAGTTTACTTTCTGGAAGGAGGAACTATACTCTCAAGAAGCAGGAACTGTGCACTGGAGAAGCAGGAACCTCATCTCTAAAGGAGATGAACCTCCTATCCTTTTTCTCTCCTTTTTTCTCATCCTCAAAGAAGAAACTCTCCTCACAACTTTGAGCTTACCATGTTGCTGGGTTCGAGTTTAAGAGAACACTAGTACCTTGTGGACTTCGCTTCAACCTATTTATAGCTGCCGAAAAAAATGTCTGACCAACTTGATACACGAATGTCAAAAGGCGCTACAAAATGAAATTAAAAAAAAAATACAAATACAACAAAAAATAAGAAAAAACCAGAACAAGCTCACACTGAAAGCCACACGAACTATATTGCCATCGAGAATAAAAGCGACATAATAATAATAATGAAGCATTTCGTCCGCGGAGCTCATTAGTCGCTTATAATATTCCGACTTTTCTCCATTCTCCACCTTCCACTCCCCTGGATTCCCGATTCACGTTCCCTCGTATCTCTCGTTCCGTATCCAAATCCGATCTTGTCGATAGGTTAGAAATTCTATCTTTAAGAAACTCGTTTTGGAGGTTGATCCATTCATAAGTCGGTTCCCGACTCATCCATCAAAGCTTTTTGGAGACGAGACAAAGGTCTGCGTTGAAGCAGAGCCTTGGCTCTGGTCAAGTTCTCAGCGGTTACCTCATTAATCATTGAGATGGGGGGATTTACCCGGGAAAACAATGGCTTACAAGGCGGGAAAATCTGGGTAAGCGCGCGGATATCCGTTTATTGGGAATCGCCTGGAATCAATTTTGCCACAAAATCACTTTATAAATTGAAATTAATTAAATTTTAAAGATTATTTTAAGATATTTTCTGCGAAGACCAATAATACGAAAAATAAAAAAAAAATAAATTTACAAAAAATTAAATAAAATAAAAATGAAATTTAACAAAAAAATAAATTGAATACAAATTAAATTTAATACAAATTAAATTAGATAAAAATTAAATTAAATGAAAATTAAATTAATACAAAAATAAAATTAAAAAAAAAAATAAATAAATAATATAATATAATAATAATAATAAAATAAAATAAAAACAAGAAAGGAAGCTAACTTCGGCACGCCGAAGTTTGTATACCCTTGCAGATTGGTTTTAATATTTATGTCATAAATTATAATGCCGAAAACAGACACTAAACTGAGTTACATACCATTTTACCTATACTTATTATGTTTACAGTTTGACAGTTACAGTTATACATTCCCAGCATTACATTTTCTCTACATCTGCGGATCGCTTCTATGGCTGCTATATGATATAGTTGTCCGACTTTCATAAAATGTATACCAAAATTCTATAATAATAAGTAAAGCTCATATCTCAGAGTAGATGAAAATACGTTGAAAAACAACGAAGTTATAATTTTTTCTTTTACTTTCCCTATCGTTCCTATGGCAGCTATAAGATATAGTCGTCCGATTTTCATAAAATTTTTACCAAAATTTTGAAATAATACCAGAAGCTCATGTTTCAAATAAGATTAAAATACGTTGAAAAACAACGAAGTTATAATTTTTTTGATTAATACCCCGATCGTTCCTATGGCAGCTATAAGATATAGTGGTCCGATTTTCATAAAATTTTTACCAAAATTCTGGAATAATATAAAAAGGCTATATCTCAAAAATGATGGAATAATATTGAAAAACAGCCAAGTTAAAATTTTTGTTCTAAAAATTTATCGAACATTTGTATGGCAGCTATATGATACAGTCGTCCGATCCGGCCCGTTCCGACATATATAGCAGTGAGAGTATATAGAAGACTACATGCAAAGTTTCATTCAGATAGCTTTAAAACTGAGGGACTAGTTTGCGTAGAAACGGACAGACGGACGGACAGACGGACAGACGGACAGACGGACATGGCTAGATCGACTCGGCTGTTGATGCTGATCAAGAATATATATACTTTATAGGGTCGGAAACGTCTCCTTCACTGCGTTGCAAACTTCTGACTGAAATTATAATACCCTGCAAGGGTATAATAACATAAAAAAATAAATTAAATACGAATTAACTTAAATACAAATTAAATTTAATAAAAAAAATGTAATAAAAAAATTAAATTAAATTAAAAAACTATTTAACCCCTTGTCAAATTTTGAAAAAACCTTTAAAAGTTGGCTAGATGTGCCTGTTAATGCTGATCAAGAATATATATGATTTATGGGATTATTATAATACCCTGGCAGGGTATACAAAGCAGAAAAAAAACACCTAAAAACACAAAATCGATTTCTAAATGCCAAGGAGAGGGAGTGATAGCCTCTCTCTGCAGATCAATGACTCTTGATTTGTGTTCCAGCAAAAGATCTATAAATTTGCAGAGCCAAGAAATGCAATTGTAGCTTATTTACTATATAATTTATTAGGTATATATGTATATGTATATTATAGTAGTAAAACCACTTTCAAATAATTTGAGAATTAATTTATTATTGTTAAGCACGCTGAGACCGGAGATTGACGATGGATTCAGGAATTTAAGGAATGGTTTTATTATCAATTTATTGTATTTTATTTTAAGAAAATGAAATAAAATTGTTATTGTAACTTTATAACATCGATTTCAAGTTCCAAATAAATCGATTAATTCGATAAATTCGATAGATTTATTGCGCTTGCGAAGATGCGCTTCTCAAAAAGTCAACTTTCCTTCCTTGTTAATTAAATATTCAAATGAAGCCACGCTTGCTTTATATTTTTTTTCTATATATATTTTTTATGGGTTAACAAGAGCGTAACAAAAATTGTATAACAAAAAAAAGTAAATGGTGCTAAAAATTGGCTACGTAACATTAAATTCAGATGAACCCGGGAATTTTGGGTCCCCAACTCGATGCGAGTTCGGACCTCTGCCGGGGTCCGTTCACGGGCATCCTCCCGGTCCTAGTACAGGTATCCGCCGTTGGCGGCATAGCTGGTTCCCACCTCAACGGGAGCGGGAGCGGGAATGGAAACGGGAGCGGCAACGGGAGCGGGAGCAGCAACCACCTCAGTCTGGTGGACAATGGGAGCGGGCTGGGCGTAGGTCACCTGTTGCTGCACCGCTGGCTGAGAGTACTGGACAATGGGTTGGGGCTGGACCTGGTGGACCTGCTGCTGGGTCTGTTGCACCTGGTGGACTTCCTGGACTTGGACGGGAGCTGGTGGAGCGGGCACAAAGGACTGCTGCAGCTGAATAGGTGCCGGGGCGGGAATGGAAACGGGCACAGGGGCAGGAGCAGATGTGATAATGGGAGCCGGGGCAGGAACTGGTGCCTGAACTGGAGCTGGCTGAGGAGCTGGAACAGGAGCCGGAACCGGAGCCGGAGCTTGGTAGGCGTAGCCACTATACTGCGCCTGCTGGACAGTCTGCTGAACAGGCTCTGGGATCGAGATCGGCTGAGCCACTGGAGCTGGAGCGGAATAGGTCTGCTGAATCTGGACAGGAGCAGGGGCAGAATAGGTCTGTTGAACCACCGGGGCAGGAGCGGTGTAGGTCTGCTGGACAACTGGAGCTTGATGGATCACTTCCTGGGCCACAGGAGCTTGATGAACCACTTCCTGGACCACTGGGGCCTGCTGTTGAACGACTTCCTGCACCACTGGCGCCTGATGAACCACAGGAGCGGGTGCGGAGTAAGTCTGCTGGACTACGGGAGCTTGATGAACCACTTCCTGGACAACGGGTGCCTGCTGGACGACTTCCTGCACCACCGGAGCGGGTGCCGAATAAGTCTGCTGAACCACTGGTGCCTGCTGGATCACTTCCTGAACCACTGGAGCCGGAGCTTGCTGGACGACAGGAGCAGGAGCTGGGTAGGAGTACGTCTGTTGGATCTGGACAGGAGCAGGGGCAGAGTAGGTCTGTTGAACCACCGGGGCAGGAGCGGAGTAGGTCTGCTGTTCCTGGACCTGAACAGGTGCGGGAGCGGTGTAGGTTTGTTGGACTTGGACAGGAGCAGGAGCAGGAGCGGGAGCGGGAGCGGGAGCGGGAGCGGGAGCAGGAGCGGAGTATGTCTGCTGAACCTGGACAGGAGCAGGAGCAGTGTAAGTCTGCTGTTCCTGGACTTGGACAGGGGCAGGAGCAGGAGCATAAGTCTGCTGAATCTGGACAGGAGCTGGAGCGGAGTAAGTCTGCTGCACCACCTGATGCTGTTCATGGACCACGGGCACAGGGACTGCAACTGGAACAGGGGCGGGAATATGAACAGGAGCGGGAGCAGGAGCAGGAGCAGTGTAGGTGGTGGTCACAGTCTGTGTCTCCTGCTGCGGGGCAATAGTCTCCACCACAGGCTCAGGAGCAGGCACAAACTGTTGGACAGGAGTGGGTGGCAGATAGGCATTCCTCACAGCCGTCTGGGTGGCCACAATGGGCTTCGGTGGCTCATAGATCACCTGAGGAGCTGACTGAGGGATCTCCACGGGTGCGGGAACGGGAGCTGGGGCAGGAACGGGAACAGGAGCAGGAGCAGGAGCTGGGATAACCACAGGTGCTGGTGCCGGGGCTGAGATCACCACGGGTGCTGGGGCAGGGGCAGCTTGGTACTGCTGCTGCTGCTGCTGTTGTCCACCGGAATGTATAGTGAAGCTGGCCAGCGGAATCGAAGCCTGGATAGACTCCACCTGGGCCTGGATATGCGGCTGCAGCTGATGAAGCACCTGCGGCAACTGAGGCTGCAGCAACTGCTTGAAACTGGGTGCCTGCGATACCTCCTTCACCGGCAAAGGCGGCAAATACTGGCCACCGGGACGACCTTGGGCCAGGGCCAGGCACACAGCCAGAACAACAAAAGCAAAGGGTTTCTGGAAAGGCACAATCACTCGTTGTCTTAGTCACTCGAACAAAAAAAAAATAAATTAAAGTTGAGTTACCATCTTCACGGGGGTCACGAGCTAAACTGGAGGCAGAGCGGTGCACCGGGCGAACGTAAGCGATTAACTGATGACCAGCTTTGAAGATGTCTCTGCATTTATAGTTGGCCAAAGCCAGAGCCACCTTAATTGGTGCGATCCGCCGGCCAGGTGTCCACGGAATGCTAATGCAGAGGGCCAACAATGAAATCATGCAAAACACATCTCATTTCGCAGCGGATTTTTGGCTTTGGATACGGAATCGGATGCGGATTCGGATTCGGTCTTTTGGGTTTATTAACACATGGAAATAGTTTATGTGCATTTTAAATTTCTTTAGAGGATCCCCATACATATGCATTTCCCATGGAAATCCTATTAAATTTGTTTGAACTGTATTTTGAAATTTCTCTTGAGTTTTTCTGTCACTGAAAACTGTATTCCAGAGATTCTCTTAGTATTTTTGGGGTCTACAAAAAGCCTAGGACCATCACTAAATAAAGTAAAATTAATATGTTAATAATTAATGAAGCTTCACTTTTTCTTTTAGTGTCTCGGCTGCTCGTGGCCACACAAAAAATTCAAACAAAACTCTAGACAAATCACTGGGTGCTCGAAAAGTGAATAAATATTTATCAAACGACGGTTGCATGGACTTGTGTCCACCTGGCCAATTGACACCTTTGGCCGGTGGTCAGCGAAAATTCAAAATGTTAAAGAGCCTGAGAGGGCATTGATCCCATCGAGATCCTCTTAGGGCATTAGCTCAATCTGAACTATTTAATTAGAGGGAGTATTTAATTGTGGAGTAAATATTTGTATTGTTAAAAATATTTATATATTTTATATATTTATATTTAAATATTTTTTTCATTAAAAATAGTCTCTAAAAGAATTGAACGTATACTTAATAATTTGTAGCATTACGTATACGTACTTTTAATACATATATTATTAAAAAACTTTTTGTTCACATAAATATAAGACAGAAATATACAGAGTCCTACCATAGGCAGTTCTTATGTTCTTAAGCAGGTTTGTTTATTATAAAAAATATTTTTTAAATGCTTAAACGTATACTTAATATTTTGTGTTATCATTACGTATACGTAGAGGTGTACCAAATGTTCAGAACTTTTTTAAATAAATAAATATCAAAAGATAAATCAATAATATGAATATCTTCAAATAAATATATGTCATAAATATACACATAATAAAACATAATTTAAATCTGGTGTTTAGCCAAGAGCTTAAATATTGCAACTGACATGACTTTCGCCCATTGTTTTGTCGAAAAAAAGTCTGAAATTTACAGGCAGATGCTTATCGGTGCGACCAGGTCGATTTCCCAACGAGGAGGAGCTCTCTGGGAGATTATAGACGGTGGCAGGCATGTGTCCAACCTTCAGACAAACTCAATGGGCCATAAGTTATGGTTAATCAAGGGCCAACGATTGTTAGGTGGTAGATCGTGATCTCGGATATTCATATTTTTTATACAGCGAAAAAAAAATTAAATATACAAAAAAATTTGTAAACAAATTAATTTTTCTTACTTACAAAACTATTAAAAAACATATTTAGTTTATATTTTGTTATATTTTATATTTATATTTTTTTTACTTTCAAAACTATTTAAAAAAATGTTTTATTTACATTTTTTATATTAGTAATTGTATTTTTTATTTAAATTTATTTTACTTATACGACAATTTGGAAAAATATCGATTTTGTATTTTTTATATTAAATATCTTTTATATATTATATTTTTTATTTATATTTTCTTTTTTTCTTTCCAAACTATTAAAAGCAAATTATAATGTATTTATATTTATTTATTTGTTGTTACTTTTAAAACTTTTAAAAATCAAATTTAATTTATATTTTTTATATTAACATGTATATGTACGTTTTTTTTACTTGCAAAACCATTATTATTATATATTTTTTATATTTAAACTTACATTTTATATATACTTTTTTTTTCATTTTCAAAACTTAAAAAATATATATTTTTTTTATATTTTTTAGTTTATTTTATATTTATATTGTTTGTCTTAACTTTGAAAAAATAATTTTAAAAAATATTTAATGTATATATTTTATATTTATGTTTATTATTATACGTGTATACATTTTTTCTTCAAGTGTATATCACATTTCGTAGGCGTGTGTCGCTGGTCTTATGATAAGCGTGTTATAGGCTCAACATTGGAGATAATACCTGCCCATTATGCCAGATAATACGGATCTTCGGAGGTCGAATGCAAACTTCACTCTGCACCTGACACACGCGTCCCAAAACAAAGCAAAAAAAAAGATATGTATACATATATATATACAAGTGAAATAGTGTAAAAAGAGTGACAAATCGAGAAACGAGACTCACAAAAGAAAATGTCAAGTTGAGGGCCTCTGAGGACCGGCGGGCACAGTGTGGCTTAATTATGACTAATTGCTGTGCGAACACGGCTGTTGTCTGAATATTTAGCTAAAAAATCACTTAAAAAATCACTAAAAAACACTGCAACAAGCTGGTGAATCGAATGAACGGGAGGCAGCCTCGCTTGATTTGCATAAATGTGGCCAAAAAGCTGAAAAGCGGCCAAAACCAACCAACCAGCCAGAGGCACCAAAAAAGTTGGAAAGGTGTCAGCTAAACGAGATTTATAGCTAGATCATTTTAATTAAAGCAAAAAAACGTAGAGAAATATATGTATTTAATTTGACTAAGAAAGTCTGTGCCAGATTAAATAATATTCAAAAGAAAATATCTTCAAGTAAGCCCCAAAAGATATGCCCAAAAGTGAGTGGGTGTTGCAAGTTAAAGGTGGATCTCCCACCTTCGCCCTTCTTGGACAACAAAAGCATAAAGCTAGCTTTATTTTTTATGAATTTATTTTTTTTTGCAGACATAAAAGACTTGTCATAAAAGTTGGTAAATGCGTTAACTGATTTTAAGGCAACAAAACCAAAAGCAGACAATAAATAATTCAGTGAAGAGACATAAAAAAAGATGAATAGAAATCAATTCAAAATCCTGTATTAGCCCAAGACCAAAACATATTTAGTTTTTGTTACAATTTTTGTTTTTTTTTTTTTTTAATAAAACAAGAAACAAACGCCCAAAGATGGAACTTGAATAGGTCTGGAATTAATCGATGGAAAAATCCCCTCGTTAATACCAATTCCCATGCTTGAGAAAAGATATATACATGTATATAACTGCCATAATTAGCATAAAAGTTCTTTAAAGGAAACCCTCTTTGACGTCAGCAGCGGCTTTTGTGCAAAAAAAAAAAAGAGAAAAGAAACTTAACACTAAAAATAACCAAGATTATAACTTGGGCCTAAGAATTAATTAGAAATTGGGTGTTGTCAGACGTAAGCCAAGGGCTTTAAATAGAAATTTAAAACTTTAAAAAGGAATAAAATTAAATTAAAAAATAAATGGTATTACATATAGATTAAATTATATATTTAAATAAATATGTAAATTGCTTGATTTTGTAATAAGAATATTCTAATACGTTCCCCAATGTTCTGGTACATACATTTTATTTTTTGATATTTTTTAGAAGGCATATAATAATTTAAAAATTAATAAAAAGTTTAGAAGAAAAAATGAATTCCCTTACTTCTGTAAATATATTAATATAATTATAATAATAAAATATAATAAATAAATAATTACAATATTTATGTATTGTATTAATTTACTAAATAATTGCCGTCTTATATATTTTTATATATATATAAAAAAAAACACAATTCACTTAAAAAGTATTACTTTACTTTATAAATTAAAAATGCAAGAATATATATAAAGTTTCTGTACATAAAAAAAAAAATATTAAAGAGTACTTAGCTTACAACAATATTTATTTATTATATTTATTTACTAAACAAAAGTCATCTTATATTTTTTATATAAAAAAATTTTTTGAACTTAACTTAAAAAGTTGAATAAACTTTTAAGGATGCCATCTGTTATGATCTCATAAACAAACTCTACTTTTGGTCCCCCCGTCATCGACAGGCAGACATCATAATTTATGAAACCAATTGGATTTATACACATATATATACATATACATATATGGTATATGCATAAAACATATAGCCACCAAGATGTGTATCAATCTCTGCGATCGCTTCTCTCGTTTATGGTTATCAGTCAGCTTAAAGCGATTAACATAAAGACAATCGCGGTGTCTGTCATCGGTTTTATCACCGCGAACAAAGAAAAAAAAAAAAAACATAAATAAAATTCAAACATTAACAAAAAAAAAAAAAAAAAACACACACTTGGGGTAATATTTATAAACAAAAAAATGAATGATAATTTATAATGAACTTGTTGATCGCCAAATTGGGGCTATAAAACCATGGGCTTACTGGGCCCTCTGGTAGACATAGCCTCCATTCGATGCGTACAGGGTATCTGCTCCGCTCTTGGCATCCTCCGGCACTGCCTCGGGCGCTGAAGGTGCCTCCACCTTCTCCGGCTCCCGCTTCTGCTCCTCCTCCTCCGCCTGTCCAGGCTGCGGGTCTGGCTCATCGGAGTAGCCTGGCGGCGCCGGTCCTCCAAATCCAGGTCCAAACTGCTGGTAGGGATTCTGCCCGGGCAGGGGTCCACCAAAGCCCACGGGCACATTGAAACCACCTGGGCTGGGTCCCTGGAATGGCCCCTGGGCATTGGCCAAGGGTAGACCCTGGCTGGTCAGGAAGTCTGGGAACGGACCACCTGGGAATACATCACCAGGTCCTCCTTGTGGGGGGAAGGGCACTCCTTGAGGTGGAAATGGTCCATTTTGAGGTGGGAAGGCACCTTGTGGAGGGAAACCAGCTCCCTGGGGTGGGAATGCGGATCCTTGAGAGGGGAAACCAGCTCCCTGGGGTGGGAATCCTGCTCCTTGAGGTGGAAATCCTGCTCCTTGAGGGGGGAAACCAGCTCCCTGAGGGGGGAAACCAGCTCCCTGAGTTGGGAATCCAGCTCCCTGAGGCGGAAAGCCTGCTCCCTGAGGTGGGAATCCTGCTCCTTGAGATGGAAAACCCGCTCCCTGAGGTGGAAAGCCCCCTACCGCGCCTGCACCACCAAAAGGAGGCCCTGGAGGTTGCTGTATAGCAGCACTTGGCGGACCGGCACCCGGAAAGGGTCCACCACCGTTGGGATAGGCCGAGGGCACGGGACCAATGCCAGGTCCCTGCTCGCCAGGACCTCCGCCAAAGCCAAAGAAGGGCGGGTAGATGGGCAGCGGGAAATTGGGCGGCTGGACAGGTGGCGGCGGTACATTGCCACCGGTGGGAATGGCATAGCCCGGCGGCAGTGCCAGTCCAGGTCCCACGGAGGGATAAAAGCCCGACGAGGATGGATCCTTCTGGGTCTCCTTGGATTCAACGGTCTCGGCGGACTCGGTGTGATGAAGGTGACTGACATCTGCGCTGGCAAGCGGCAGAAGCAGGACTAGAACGGTCCACAATGGCTGCATTTTAATCCGGATTTTTCTGGGATCTCTGGGAGCCGCCACGGCGAGGGTAACTATGCGGAGACCGGCCTCGGAGACGGCACTTATAAGTCACCTAAAGACCACATATTACATAAAACGCGGCCGGCCTCTCATTTCACTTTCCCGCTTTCGGCGAACGGAAATTGCTTTGCATCACACCACAAAAGGTTCAATAAATAGTCGCCAAATCGAGTCTGAATCCGAATCCGCTATGAGCTGGGAGCTACCAGCTGGGAGCTGCGAGGGGAAGTGCCAAAAACTGAACTATAAAAATTAATTAGTCGGCCAGATTTTACATAAATAAACTCACGCCGAAATCGAATGCCCAATTTCGCAGAGAGAAAAATGAGGGGAAGAGGTATGAGGCTTCAAGACAGACGAGTTGAGACTTAAAAATACTCGGAAATAAATATATTTAAATATTCCAGAGGCTTTGTTTATTTTAATTTAATTACAAAAACTTTAGTGAGATGGTTACTATAAATTAAAGATGAGAGATCTTAAAATAAAATATTTAAATGAAGTCCAGTGCTGCCAAGTTTGCCTTCAATCAAAAGCAGTGTTGGTAAGTGTGAAAAAAATACAAACAAAAATAAACAGAAATTTCTATAATTAAGCCACAATCCAGCTTAGCTTAAAATATTATATATTTAAAATATATATTTTAAAATTTAAATATATTTTTATGCAAAAATCTTTTTATGCCAAGATTCAGCCCTTCAGCCAGTGTTGGTTAGTTGATATCCCAACAAAAGCCCTATAAAGGCCACGAAACGAAACATAAAGTTTATGTTATTTAAAAGCTTTTTGATAAAACCCTGAACTTTCACTGAATAAAAGCTTGGCGCAGCTTCCAAGCTTAATCAATCCGTCTCAAGATTTTAATAAAAAGCTTAAATGCTTAATAAAAGCCTTATGATAATCGTGCCAAGCTCAAATACTACAATTTACAATTTTAAAACATAAATAACATGAAAACAAGAAGGTAAGCTTGCTTTAGATAACTGAATTAGAGTATACACTATAAAAAAAAAAACATTTCTTAAAAAAAAGAGAAGCTAAACACATGTCTACCAGGAATAAATATACCTTATATGGTAGGTTCAAATATATTTCTTTTATTTTATTCCTAAAAAAATTATAATACTTTGTGGCAGGGTATACAATTCTTTTGAGATTATTAATGACCTTAATGACTTTAATGTGGCCTGAAAATTGATGTTCTTGTTTGTTTATTTTATTTTGTGGCAATAGTTTAAATAATGCCAGAATTAAGATATTCCAAGTCGTGATTTAAAGTCGGTTGAATTTATCAAAAACATAAATTCAATTTTAAATATAAATAAACAGCGAGTTCTAGGAACAGTTTACCATTAAATACATATAAAATTTAGCTTCGTTTTTACATTCCGCTAAAAGCATAAAATATACTTGGTAGAGATATTTTAGGGATTTGTAGGTATTAAAATATTCGATGCGAAATAAGGTTTTTATAGTTAATATAATAATACGATTTTTTTATTATAGCTTTTTCCTTAATTTATCTATAGCTTTTTAATATTTTTTATATATCATTTTAAAATATATTTTATTTATTAACTATAGATTTGTGTATTACATATTGTAAATATTTTAAGCTACTAACTAATAAATAAAATTATTAAACCTAAGACACGTATATTGATTAAATTAAGAAATTAGCATCAGTCAAAAATATTTCCCTTTGATATTTTTTCAGTATTATGTAAAATTAAGTGTTAATAGAGAAACAACCAGTTTAAAGTCAAATTAAATTAGAACAATTTACTATCCATTAACAATAACAATAAACATTGATTAGCATTTTAGCTTTTGTTTCGTTGTTGTTATAGGTTTTCGATTAAAAGGTTTTGCCCTTTGTCAATAATATTACCGGTTTTTCCATTAAAGCCAATAGGCTTCTGCTTAATGGTGGTGTTTTTATAATTTTTTTTTATGATAAATCAATCAAAGTCATATCCATGACTTTTTTTTTTAATAGAAAACTATATTAATAAATATATTATTCTCCCCAAAAATATATTTTAATATATTTATTAATATATTTACTAACATATATTTTTGGCGAGAATTTCAAGAGCCATAATTTAAAAAAATATATCTTATATAATAAATAAATAACATTCTTATACATATAAAAAAATGTTGTATGAATTAAATATTTTTCTTACTTAGGTAATAAATTGTTTTTTTTTTTTTTCAATTTAATCTATTGCCTTAGCCCTAGTTAATAATATTTTATATAAATATGTAAAAATAAATAAAAATACAATATAAAAGAAAAAACCTTTTTTTTACCTTTTAATCTCATTAAAAATCCCACTTCACATTAAAAATCCTTTTATATTCGGGTTATTGTTTTTTACTTTTCGTTGTTTACAAAGTTTACAATACAAAAAAAATATATTAAAACATTAAGGCAGTTTCCTTGTTATTTACACTGGATCAGTTGCTGATACCCCTTACTTCCTGTAGACATAGCCGCCGTTGGAGGCGTACTGGGTGCCCACATCCACGGAGGGGGCGGAGTAAGTCTGCTGGATGGGAGCAGAGTAGCTCACCGAGGGAGCAGCATAGGTTTGCTGGATGGGAGCCGAGTAGCTCTGGACGGGAGCGGAGTAGCTGACAGAGGGAGCCGAGTACGATTGCTGGACAGGAGCGGAGTAGCTGACCGAAGGAGCAGAGTAGCTCTGGACGGGAGCGGAGTAGCTAACCGATGGAGCCGAGTAAGTCCTCTGGGCCACAGGGGCGGAGTAGGTCTGCTGGACGGGTGGCAGGTACTCGTTGCTGGGAGCCACATAGCTCTGCTGGACAGCAGGGGCGGAGTACGTCTGCTGGACAGCAGGGGCGGAGTAGCTGACCGAGGGAGCAGAATAGCTCTGGACGGGGGCGGAGTAGCTCTGGACGGGGGCAGAGTAGCTCACCGAGGGAGCAGAGTAGGTATTCTGGACAGGAGGCAGATACTCATTGCTGGGGGGCAGGTACTTGGTCAGGTGGCTAACATCGGCGGCCGCGCAGGCGATCAGGGCGAACACAATGAGGAATTTCTGCAAGAAGGATACGAGAGCACACGGCACATTAAGAAACAAAAATCACTAGATAAAAAAAAATAAATAAAAATCAAAGTAAAAGTAAAATCACTTTTTTCACTTTGCACTTTTGTTTTTAGACACTCGTTGGTTATTTAAAATCTTATATCTATTTTTTATGGTATTTAGGTAATAAGAATCCTTCACTGACCATTTTAAATGGTTTCTTGGGGGTGGCGGCTTTGACTGAGCTGGATGAGCTTGGGGCTGCGACTGATGCCGGTCCCTTGAGCGGGCTCTCAATTTATAGCCGGCCGGCCGGCCTGGTATATCCGAAGATTCCGAAGATCCGAAGAAAAGCTCAACTGCAGCGGCTTCAAAGCCGGCAAGAAGAAGAGCCACCAAAAGCAAATCGGCCGTTGAAACATAATAAATGTGAGGCAAACGAGGGACTAGGGTTAGGATGGGATGGTAGTGGTGGGAAGTAAGGGGTTATAACATTAAAATTAAAAAATATTATTTCTATTTTTAAAATACAATTTATAATAATAAATAATATAGATATTATTAACAATAAATTAATACTAAAATACATATAAAAATAATAATATAAATAATACTTATAAAATGTATTTTATTATATTATAAATACAATTAAAATTCTAAAATATTATTTATGTATAATAAAACATCTTTGAATAGAATAATAAAAATAATTTAAGCTTGGATATAAGCAGAATATGCTGGAAAGCTTTTTTTTTTGCTATATAGTATATTTTATAATCGGTTATAATATTTAATATATTTTCTACTAAATAAAGCTACTTAAAATCATAAAAAATGTTTATTTCTAAATTCCCCTTTAGTATAACTTTTAATAGGCTTCCCAACCTCCATGATTTTATTTCGATTTTTTAGATCTTTGCCAGCAGCAATTAAAACGCTAAAAAGGCAACACTAACCTGGGCGGGGGGGCGATAAATAAATATATAGCGAAACTACCAAATGGAAAATCACATAATAATTAAATTTAACATAAACGGGTTTGTCTCATTTACAATATTTCTTCTTTTTCTTGTATTTATTTCTCTTAATTTTTATTTTGTGTTTTTTTTTCTGTGAACGCAACGGGTTTTGGATTCAGTTTCAGTTTCGGTTTCGAACTACTTTGGGACACCTTTACCTTTGGTGGGGTCGTCAATCAAACTGCGAGCGGGGTTCCACTAATTAACATTCAATTTTTAACACAAGCCATGCGGCCTTTTCTCGTTTTAGCCACACTTCGTTGGTTAAATCTTTCCGACCCGGCTTAAGATCCATTTCAAAAAACTGGCCTCGTCCCCCATAGAATGTCGGATATATACAGATGCACCTTCGCACTTTCTAAAAAGCCATAAACCCATCAGACATGGCCTTGGGTATACCATGGCCCCAGAGTTACGACTTCCACAGCGGGCTTTACATAATAAGTAACAGCATGATGGGTGTGCAGGTCCGGGCCAGATCAACTTTTACCCAGTGAAGCCGCATCTTGTCCGTGAACTTGAAATGCAGCGGACATTTCAAGGGGTGCACTGAGATAAATTTCTCTTATAAACTATATAAATAAGTAGGTTTTCTAAAGAGAAATGAGATTAGCTTGGTGTTTTCTTTGTTTTCGACTTATTTATTATTATATTTATTTTTATAAAACCCTCTTAAAAATGAATAGAATATTAAAGAAATTTTAAGAGAAGTTTCGGGATGCACTGAGAGGAATTTTCTTATATATATATGAGCAAGTTTCTCAAAAAAATTAACCAAGTTTGCTGCTCAACTTTCTTTAAATTTATTTTATTATTTCAATCATTATGAAATTTTCTTTAAAAATATAAAATATTGAAGATTTTTTCGAGAATTTTTGAGGTGCACTGAGAGAATTTTTTCTTATATAAATAAACATGTTTCTCAGAAAGTATGAGCTAAAAGTAATTATAAAATCTGAGATACTATGAGAGAAGGTTTCAAATAAATATCCCCCTTAAAACCTTTTCCATTTTCTCCCAGTGTAGAAAGCGAACAAGTTGCTGTAACTAGTGCAGGCTTCCTGGGTTCAGGGACTACTGGAGTTGGGGGCCAGATCTCAGCATTCTGGGAATCATAATTGGGCAACAGTGAACGGGAAATGCTTAAGCCCAAAACGGGTATCTCAAACACAGTTTTCAGGAAATAAAATAAAAATTAATTATATAAAAATAAAAAATAAAATAAAATAAATAAATATCTAAAATATACAATTAAAATAAACAAAGAAATACATAATATTTATATAGAAAAAAATGTATTTATATTCATTAGACTCTTGAAGCTCTTAAAGACTAAGCTTAGTAAACATAACCGCCATTGGTGGCATACTGTGTTCCTTGACCACCGACCCTCAAGTGGGCGGGCGTAATGGTGTCCGCTCCAATAACCACTGGGACATGGGTCTCCGGATTGAACTCCTCAATGCCATTCGAGGCAGGCTCCTCGTACACACGACTGGCTTCACCGGCAATGGGAGCCTGCAGCTGGTTGCTGATAGCCGCTTGTCCCTGGACATAGGAGGGAATCAGATTGGCTGCGGGAAGAATGGCTTTTGCCTGGCTCTGGGCATAGGTGGTCTGCCCCACAGTGGAGGCCTTCAGGTTCTGGGGTGTGTATTCAGCGGGCTGATATGAACTGGCATCTCCACCTGGAACAACTGCCGAGACCACAGACACCACGGACGACTTGGTCAGGTGACTAGGAGTGTATTCAGCGGGCTGATAGGAGCTGGAGTCGCCTCCAACAGCTTGCTGTTGCTGAATAAACCTGTAGTGGGCTTCGCGATCGGCTTGGGGAATGAACTGCTCCGGTGTGTAAGTGTCGGCACCAATAGCTGCGGGAACGGTAACCTTTAGGTGAGCTGGGGTATATTCAGCGGGTTGGAAAGAGCTCGAGTCTCCACCAGGCACAACGGTCTGCTGCTGCTGCTGCTCCTGTTCTTGGATATATTTGTAGTGGGCCTCTCGGTCAGCCTGGGGAATGAACTTCTCCGGGGTGTAGGTATCAGCTCCGATAGCAGCAGGAACAGAAGTCTTCAGGTGTGCAGGAGTATATTCAGCGGGCTGATAAGAGCTGGAATCACCACCAGGAACCACCTCAGCAGTCTTCAAGTGTGCAGGAGTATATTCAGCGGGCTGGTAAGAACTGGAATCACCACCAGGAACCACCTCAGCAGTCTTCAAGTGTGCGGGAGTGTATTCAGCGGGCTGGTAAGAACTGGAATCACCACCAGGAACCACCTCAGAGGTCCTTAGGTGTGCGGGAGTGTATTCAGCGGGCTGGTAGGAACTAGAATCTCCTCCAGGAACCACCTCAGCAGTCTTCAGGTGCTCGGGAGTGTATTCAGCGGGCTGGTAAGAGCTGGAATCGCCACCAGGAACCACCTCAGCAGTCCTTAGGTGTGCGGGAGTGTATTCAGCGGGCTGGTAAGAGCTAGAATCACCACCAGGAACCACCTCAGCAGTCCTTAGGTGTGCGGGAGTGTATTCAGCGGGCTGGTAGGAACTAGAATCTCCTCCAGGAACCACCTCAGCAGTCTTCAGGTGTGCGGGAGTGTATTCAGCGGGCTGGTAGGAACTAGAATCTCCTCCAGGAACCACCTCAGCAGTCTTTAAGTGCTCGGGAGTGTATTCAGCGGGCTGGTAAGAGCTGGAATCGCCACCAGGAACCACCTCAACAGTCTTTAGGTGTGCGGGAGTATATTCAGCGGGCTGGTAAGAGCTGGAATCACCACCAGGAACCACCTCAGCAGTCCTTAGGTGTGCGGGAGTATATTCAGCGGGCTGGTAGGAACTAGAATCTCCTCCAGGAACCACCTCAGCAGTCTTCAGGTGCTCGGGAGTATATTCAGCGGGCTGGTAAGAGCTGGAATCGCCACCAGGAACCACCTCAGCAGTCTTCAGATGTGCGGGAGTGTATTCAGCGGGCTGGTAGGAACTAGAATCTCCTCCAGGAACCACCTCAGCAGTCTTTAAGTGTTCGGGCGTGTATTCAGCGGGCTGGTAGGAATCAGAATCACCACCAGGAACCAACTCCGAGGAAGATGAGGATGAGGAGAAGGAGGAGGATGCTGAGAAGCCATAGCCCCCATCGGCGGACTGGCCCAATTTGAGGTGACTGACATCGGCGGCAACAAGGCCGACAAGGGCCAGAGCAATGACGTAGAATTTCTGGAAGCGGAGCAACGAATTAGATGGGCGACTAGAATGGGAATGGGGCCGAAGAAAGGTCCGCGGTGGTTCCCCCTAGAACCGAAACTCACCATGTTTGGGCCGAATCTGTTGATGTGAGGAGGGGCCTTTCAGGTTTTTATACCCCCAAAATATTATGGGCCTATGCTAATTGGAGTTTTGTTTTGATTTTCGATCGAGTCGGTTCCTACATTTCTGTCTGGGTATATATATTCATATTATTAGTTTTTTTTTTGCTGAATTTGCATAGACAACATAACAAAAGCCCAAGATCTTATCGAGTTGATTAGAACCTCTTCGGGTTTTGACCGCTTTAGACTTTTCGTCAATTAAACTGTCATTTGGGAATTTCACAGTGAGAAATACAAAAATATATATAAATAAATAATTATAAATAATTATTAATAATTATAAATTAATGTAATAATAAAAAATAATAATTAATAATAAATAAATAAATAATAAGAATAAATAAATTAGTATTTAAATTTTTATAAATTTATAAGAGATTTGTTGTACATAAAATGACAGAAATATAACAGTTTGTAGATTAAGAAGTTTTAACAAAGATTTAAAAAATTTATAAATACTTATAATTAAATAATTTCATATTTTGTTTAGTTACTTGTATGATTTTCTCTCTATGCATGTTGCCATCCTTCCGTTGGGTCACTAAATGAAGTCGCTGATTAGCGCCTGGCAAGTTCAGCCGGGTGTCATAATCGGCTTGCTCCGACAACCAGTTCCCTGTCACTTTGGCCAAGAGTCTTAGATCTGCCAAAGCGGCCGCTGATTGGGCTCAAAGAAATCAATGTTCAAAACTCTCATCTTAACTGCTTATTACCTACATTTTTATATGTAGAAATATATTATATACTTAAATTTCTATATCTGGACAGAATGGACTTGCTTAATACCCTGTTCGAGTAATAATTATAATAATTTAATATTATACCATTTAAGCTCAAGTGGATTCAGTGTGCCAACATGGCCTGCATCCATTATAAGACCAAGCTTTATATAAAGAAACAAATTTATACGCTTAACAAATAGTTCAAGCCATTTTTATGAAATTAGCTTAAATTAATAAATTCACAGATTTTCATAATGAACTTTGAAGGCGGACAGCATAGGGCAATATATAGTGTATATATATATATATTTAATGACTGCTGATTTATAATCAATCTTTCTGCTAGAATAACGATCATTGAACTGGGCGCTAGAATGCTAAAAAAAAAACTAGTTATGTCAAATTGGGAAATTTTCTTGATTGATTTGTTAAAGCTTAATTGTTTTGAGAAATGAAAAATGAGTAAATAAATGCAAGTATTTGTATGATTATTAATGAGGATTTTTTATAGCTGCCATAGATGATAATTTGCTAAATTAAATATTTTTTTCTATAAATTAAGAAATATATATGCATTTATTTGTTATAATTTTATTAATTTTAATGAATTAATTTTTTGTAAGTTTATGAATTTATATGAATTAATTAAATGTAATTCCTATTATATTCATATTTTTTTAATATTAAATATTTGTTTAAAACAAAATACCCTTGAATTATGTTAATTAAACCCAATTCTTTTTTATATTTTTCCCTATGCAAATTTATTCCATTTTCTACAAGTTTATTTTTATTTTTTTCTATTATTTATTTATACTATTCCCAGTGACGTCAAACCCAAATAAATTTTTAGAAAATTCTCACATCTTGAATCTGGCCCAAAAATCATTGTCTGGGTCTGCTCTTCTGGCTGAATCACTCTGAGCCACAAACTTAAACTGGTTTTTGGCCCATAAACTCTAGGCCTGCAAAACTGGCTGTCTGGTTTTTTGTTTTGCTGATTTAATTATGAAAATTTATGCTTCGAGTTCTGTAATTAAAAAAAATATATATATAAAAAAAAACAGAACACAATGAAAGACAAGCTAAATATTGGTCATAAAAATATTTATGGACTGGACTTTATGTAAAACAAATGGCCAAAATAAAATCTGGTTGGGCCACAAAGGCTTCTATAATATTTTTTGGTTAGAAGTGTTCCTATAGATATTTTGTTTTTTTTCTCTTTTGTGGTCAAACAATAGATCAAGTGTCTATAAAGTATATAGATTTGTTGATATTGATTGTGCGTTTTGTGAGGCAAACTTGTTGGTGACTTAACAGAGGTGTGGACTGGAGACCACAGATGCCATTTAAGCCCTCGATTTATTTTAGTTTCACGGAGAGAAAAAAAATTGGTAATAAATCTTAGATTAAACTATTATTTTTAAGTATATTTTTAAGCGAATTCTAAGCTGGTATGTTGCTTATAAAAAATAGCAGAAAAATGCTGTTTATAACTATTTAATTTTAAAGATTTATTTCTAAAAGTTTTCAGAGTTTTCATATGTTTATCTTTAGTTAATATATACATAAATACATTTAATATATATAAAAAATATATTAAAAATACACATAAATGCCTTTAACCTTTTTAAGAATACTTATTACTGTTTTCTCAAATTTCTTAACAATTTCCCTAATATTTTTCCCACTCTGATATAGATGATACTTCTGGTAGCGGCAGTGGCTCTTTCAATATTTAAACCCCGCCAAGCCGAGCTTGTGTTTGCGTTTGGCAAATGTTTGTTTGGGGGTTTTGGCCCTCGGCAGCAGCATTTGGCCATAAAACAATTGCGGAACAAACGCCACAAACGCGACAAATTGTTTGGCCCAACAGCACACAAGCATGGCTCCGAAGGCTTGCCCCCTTTGAGCCCCCCTTTTATTATTTTTTTTTTTTTTGGCACGCCTTTGGCGGTAAGCAGCGACGCATGCATGTTGGACACACTTTTTAGCCAAATGTACGTGTATCTTGGCCACGTTTTGAGGAATACAACGTTTAAATAAGACAAGCACGGCGACGGTGGTGGTGGTGAGCTCTTAAATAACGTTTGCCAAATTGCATTTCTGTTTAACATTTTTGCAAAAAGCCCACAAAACGATATTTGCAAGTTGCAGATGCTGCTCGTTGCTCTTGGGCAACTCTTTCAAGCTGGCGATCTTGAGATTTTGAGATCTTCGCTTTTGTGAGAGTTTGAGAAAGGAAAAGTCTAATGGGATCTATCGAGAAAAAAATATAATATCTAAAATTTAGTAAGCTTTGATTTTTCGATTAAAAAATCGAAACTAATCGCTTTTTTTTATTAAAATATTGATATAATTAATTAAATCGGAAAAGTCTACGAAAATGATATATATCTAAAATATAGTAATTATATACTATCTTAAATATAGTTTATAATTAACTATTGATATTTAAAAAATCGAAACTAATCGCTTTGAATATTAAAATATTTATATAATTGGTAATATCCGAAAAATCTAGGAAAATGTTATATATGTTATGTTATGATTATATTTTTAAAATTAAATAATAAAATTATTAAAAAATAATAATAATAATATCAATTTGTAATTAGTTTTAATCTTAGTTTAGGTTATTTTTTGGCACAGTTTTTATATAATAAACTATATACTGATTCATCGCAAGGCTAAAAAATATCGTTCCAGTATTGATATATCGTTACTTTCTGCCATCTCTAGTGTCAGCCCGCATTTAAGTCAAGAATCCCTCAGCTGCGGTCTACGAATCATAAATTTTATTATTTGGAAAATCCTAAAATTGATATCATAACTCGTAAGGTTACTCGTTGTATCAACTTATATTTAACCACAAAAAAAGATGATAATTAAATTATGAAAACTGTTTTTTTTTTAAGATTAATTAGCTGCTGCTAATATAGAGGTCTCAAGACCTCGTTGCAGTTTTTTACGACTTCTTTGATATTTTTTCTGGGTCTTAAATCAATTGCCGAGTCTGCAAACTCATAAAATCGATTTCTTCAAGGTTAATAAGCCTTGAATAGATTAAAAATGAAACTAGAAAAGAAGCTTTACCTAGTATTTTACTAGATTCTGGCCGCAAATATATGCTCAGATCTCAATGCTAAATCGGCATGAATGCGAAATGCATTGACTCGGCCGCATATTTGTTCCGTAAATTCCCCAGAGATGCGTTGTATGTTATATGCCGAAAGGCAAACATTTTCACGGCTTAATTGGCAAGTTAAACTTGGAAATTGTGTAACTATGAGAACTTGAAACTGAAAAACTAAAACTGGAAAAATGGGACAAATATTGGTAAGAGGGGGTCCCCTTAAAAAATCCAAATAAAATACAGAGGGGACTTTTCCCCTGCTAATTTGTAAAAAACGAAGCCAATAAATCGATGAAGGCTGAGCTATAACTGGCACTTCGTGTTGGATTACTTGTTTTGGCCGAAATAAGTGAGCTAAATTCGTAGCCACGGCCTTGACCTTCTCAAAAACAAAAACCAAGTGCGAAAGACGAAATGTTATTAAATTTAATCATTGTTTTACGGCTTTAAGATGCCAAAAAAGTGAAGGGCAATCGAAGCTGAAGATGTGGTAGCTTAATGGCTTCATTAAAAAATGTTATTATTTTGCGAAATTAATTTGCTTTCAAACCCAAGAATAGACAGTAAAGGCATCCACCTGCTGTGACATCTGCCATAAATCTCATTAAAAAAAAAACTAGTTTCGCTCTCTCGTTTATTACAAAATCAAGTTTAAAGTGCAATCGATATCGATTTACACATACATATATATAGCGATCGAGTGAGTTGTCTCTGATCCACACTCAATCCCCTCTGATTGGCATAATTAGCGACATTTCAGCTGTCATCGACAATTGTGCCGCAAAATGTCATCCAATTTGTCAAATGATTTTACGATCTGCCACGCGAAGATCTGCGCAATTGGGTGAGGCAAATCGGGAAGTGACTGGCGACTATATACTTTATATACATACATATATACACATATATATATTTATCTATCTATATATATATAGGTGTGGGAAACCATGGCAAATTGCCTCTGGTGGCAGTTTTTTTTTTTTTTTTTTATGATTTCAGTTTCATTTTCAATAAACTATGTAAATGCCAGGGCTTATTAGGGGCTTATTATAGCTTTTCCAATTCGGTTTTTGAGGGGGACTTTTCTAGGTTTTTGTTTATTTTTTATGTTTTTTAAAAAGCCACCAAAGGCTTAGGAAGGCTTAAGACTCGTGTTGGTAGTTTGAACACAAAGCAATGTCATGAAGTACATTTCAAAGAAGTCTCTAAAAATAGTAATTCTTTTTTATTTAGTTTAAAGTTTTATTCATTTTTTTTATGTTATAAAATTTTAAAAAAATTGTCCAAAATGTTAATTTTTTATAATGTTAAATTTACTATGCAGGTGGCTTATCTTAGTAAAAAGTTAATTATGATGCATTTCCAATTCAATCTTAAAAACCTAATGCAAATGCAAGGGTATACCAAAGTTGGCTTAATTTTTAGTTAACAATTTTTTATCTCTGTATGGTTGGTCACTTTTGTGTTCACACTCTTGAGTTTTTTTTTTTAATAATTATAATGATTTATGAATGTGGCTGGTTATGAGTTGGTCATTGTTGGCTCTAGTATCGGGGAATCCCATTGACGTAACCTACAGGCCCGTGTTCTTGTCCCATCCGAAATTAGCATAGTTTGGCCATAATTATATAGTTTTTTGGTTACGCCTTAATATGGGTTTGTGTAAGTTTTTGTTCAAAATTAATTAAAATAGTTCTTGGAACGCGATTTTAATAAATGAACTGATGTTTGAATGAGATTGATGGATGTGTAAGTAGAGTAGAGCAGAGTAGAGTTTCAGCAACATTGGGTTTATTTTCTTATAATTTAAAATCTGGGGTAATTAATTGATGCGCCAATTTTAATATTACTTATTTATTTATTTATATTAATAATTATATTAATTTGATATATTTTAATAAAGTTAAAGGCTAATTTGGACATTTATTTAATTTAGAATATAAATGATTTATAATTTTTAATTGTTATTATTTTTTGGCTTATCAAGATTTTTTAATTTAATGCTCCTCATTTTTACACAATTTTAAAATATTTAAATTTATACTTAGAATTATAGCCTAATATGTAAATATATGTACATAATTCCGTAATTAAAAGATTTTTAAAAATATATACCAAAAATATAAAATAAAAAATAATAAAAATAAATATTATATAAATATAATCTAATTACTACTACTAATAAAAAAAAAAATAAAAAAGGAACCTAATAAATTGTAGGCCTACAAGTAGGCTTCATTTTAACCCTTTTCATATTTTTTAGAGCCGCCTAAAAGCAGGCATCAACCGCTGTAAACCTTAAGCCCCTCATCTTGACTTGGGTTTTCCTCATAAATTAGCAAACTACAAAAAGAAAATTGCTTACTACTGGCAGTGCCTTGGGAGACGCCTTTCAATTACGCCAAGTGCCTGGCCTGAGGTTGTACAGGTTGTAAAAAGTATGGCTGCCCATTAAAAATGAAGTAGAGATCGGGGGAAGGATGCCTTAACTGATAGAGCGCATAAGTAAAAGGACACTAAAATATTACATGCACATGTGGCAGCTCTGGAGACAAGGGAGGCCCTAAGATGACGATGACGATGACGATGGGCACAAATAAAAAATCAACTTGGCAAAAGCCTCGAGCCCAAAGCAATCAAGCAAAATGAGGTGCACTTGCCACGCCCCCCCCCTTCTACTGGCTGTTTGGTTTTGGGCGGCCAAAAATAATCACAAGGCGACAGAATGTTGCATATAATGCGGCTGCTTAGGAAGGACCATAAATAAATGCCCCAAGGCGCAGGGAACAGGATGCAAGAAAGGACCATGAGGCAGAGATGTCATACAAATAAAATAAATCTTAAGATAAAAATTAATATATTAATCATTTTAGAATAAGCCTTTAAAATATTATAATTCTTATATATTATTATTAGGTAATATTCAGTTATTTTTTTTTAGGTATATTTACAATTTTTTTTGTTAAAAATTAAAAAAGTATAAAAATAAAATCAAAAAGAAATTCATAAATAATAAAAGAAATTTTTAAACTAAAAGTCTTACTTAGCCAAGTCTTAAAAATATGTTTAATATTTATTCCATTCCAAATATATTTTAAAAATTATTCTAAACATAAAATAAGCCTTTAAAAATAGTATATTTCTTAATTAAATACTAAATAGCATAAAAATACTTAATTTATTTTGTTATTATTATTTACTTAATATTTATTTCTGCTTAAAAATATTTAAAAATATTAATTTAGCTAAAGAAAATAAGAAAAATCGCCAAATGAGGCAACACTGAGCCCCACTAATTCCTGACCGAGGCCAGGATCTGGAGGCAGACTGACAGACTGCTAAACTGATGGATGGATGGATGGTTGGTTCGTGTTAATTATTTTGCTAAAATAATGCAACAACAACGGCACAAAATTTGACAAAATTTGATGCGCTGCAATCCCCTCTCCTTTGGCGTTGCTGCTGCTTTTCCCCGAAAATAAAAAGCAACAAAAAAATAAAAAAAAAAGGAGAAAAACACCGAAATGAAAAATCGCAATTTCCTGGGCCCCAGATAACCGCCGGCTACAAACATTTTCTATATAGAAATATATAAACAACAATAAAGAGCGGACGACAGCGACGGCTTAATGAGTGACGGGCGGTCATATTAGATGCGATGCGATGTGTGTGTGTTGGTGTCTGTGTGTGTGTGTGTGTGTGTGTGTGTGTGCTTCTGCATTAGAGTTATGGCGCATTAAGCCCAGCTGTGACTACACTAAGAAAAATAGTTTAAATTCTATTAAAAATAAATAACGAATGATATCAGAAAAGTAAGAAATAATAAATAACAAAAAAATAATAAATTGTAAAAATAATAAAAAATAATAATAAATACAAATAAATTATAACAAATAAAAATAGATAATAATAAAAAAAATAATAAATAATTATAAATAACAGTAAAAACAGTAATAAGTATACAAAAAATAATAAAAAATAATTATAAATAATAGTGAATAATAATAAAAATATATAATATTAACCAATTAAATCTTAAATAATAAAGTTTAAGGTAACAGAACAATTACCAGGAATTCAAACAAACTAAAATTTAATTAAAATATAAATTTAATAATATGAATAAAAAATAAGAAAAATGTAATTTTAATTTTAATATGTATTTTAATGTTATATTTTAGTTAATTAATTAAAAATATAAATGAGTATGAGTTGCTTTTCTGTGCTAATATCGAGCACACAACGAGCACCGATTTTAATTTTCAGTGCATGTGTGCGAAAAGTACGTATACATCTTCCCATTTTTTGGCTGGTTCTCTGCCCTCTTCTAGCCTTCTCTGGGCATTTGCATTATTCATGTGCGAGAGAGATGGCTAAAAGAAGTGGGGGAGTGAGAGGGAGAGGCTGGAGGAGAAAGTCGCGGTAGTTTTATTTTAAAGCCCAAACGTTCATAAAAACCAAGCCCCAGACAAGTGCAGTTCGCTGTCGCGGGAGGCTTTTGTGGGGGAGATATATACCTATATACATATATATATATATATAGATATAGGGGAAGGTATAGGGGCAAAGTTGGTCCCCAAAATACACTATAAATCAAGCTAGAATCGGCCTATATTGCCAAGCTAAGTCAAGTGAGAATATTTAAATAATTTTAAAATGGAACAAATTTATATTCAAACCACCAGAATTTGCATTTAATTTATTCCTTTTAAATGTATATATTTATATGTTTTTAATATATAAACTAAATCTTCTTTAGGGCATTCTTTTAGCCTTCATTTAACCGGAAGTAAAAGCCTCTTTCTCCATAGAAAACATCACCCCATGAACCATTCTTGTTGCATTTTATGTTCCCTGGCTGAACGCTTTTGATGGCTTTTTCGGGGTCCATCCATGGGTCCTCCTCCTCGTCCATGTCCACATCCACGTCCAATCGTGTGTTGATGCTGATGACAGCAGCTGAGGAGAGTCGAGAGTCGAGAGCCGCTGGAGCTGAGCTGTAGAGACCACGTCGTCGTCGTCTTCGTTGTCGTCATCATGATGAAGTTGTCGTTCGTCGGGGGGCTGCTCGTTAACTTGCCTTCAAGTCAAGTTGTTTGACAATCTTCGCGGCAAGAGAAGAGCCCAGCCCGGGGAAAAAAAGTGTTATAAATTGCATTTAGTGTCGGGGCCACGTCACTGCTGATTTGTTACGGCTGCCATAGGGCCAACGGGATGGATGGAATCGACGCAAATCGAGGGGCCAAAAGGTCAGGCCGTAGGCCACAACAATGGCTTCTGTGTGTGTGGATTTGATCCGCTCCGAACCGAACCGTACCGAACCGAGTCGAGATCCGATCCCCTTCTTCCATATGCAAATGGCATTGATGCGTTCTGGAATTCCGAATTGTTTACAAATTTCCAACAAAATGCTAGCGGGAGGAGCTCCTAGATATGCTAAAATAAAACTTCAAGTCATAAACTAAAGACTTTGTTTACAAATTAAATGCAGCATGCAACAAGCGACATCTTCATCTTGGGGTCCACAAGGAGCCAAAGACACCAAAAAGTACAGAGGAGCCGTGGAGCCGAGAAAACCAAACCCAAAACTCATGGCTAAATCCCGGCCAGATATGCGACTTCAGATACAAGCGGAGGCCGAGGCTTTTTGCTTATGAATTCGTCTGGGAGAGGGAGGACTTGGGTCTCCTCCATCTACCCCTCCCTCTTGATCCCTCCTGGCGCTTGGGTGTGATGTGTCCATGGGCCTGTCCGCATGGCCCTCTGTCCATGCAGAGAGAGGAATCTTTTAGGGAGTTCTCAGGGGTTTATTTACGAATTTATTTTATATATTAATATTTATCGATAAAAATCGATATCGATACCTAACTGTAAAAGCGATATAAAGAATTTATATAATTTAATTAATTTTTTGTGAATAATATAAATATCTATAATACTTATATGATATTGAATTTCGATATAATGCAAAATCAATATAAACCAAAAACGCTTTTCAATTGTTTTTATTCTTAAAAATTTAAGACTAGCAGCATAAATTCGATATAAAATTAAAGTTCAATATAATTATCGATACATAATAGCTATTTTCCTATTGATATATTTTAATATAATGCTACAAGTACTCTTGGATTTATGTCTAATATTTAATGACAAAGAACTCAACTTCTTTTTCGCTCAGTGCACGATGCCTGCTTGGCCCGTTTTGTCCGCTGGCTCTTACTTTATGCCCACCGTATGCAAAGCAGTCCGCAGACCAGCTACATGTGTTTTACATGAATTTTAAATGATATGTTAAATAAAAATGCGCAGCTAAACAGCCCTAGGCACCGCACTGCACTGCACACAGCTAGCAACAAAAAATAAAATAAAAACAAAACGAAGAAATAAAAAAAAAAAAACGTCAAGTTAGAGAACAAAAACAGGAACAACACACAGTGACTTCCAAGAGTGCGTGGACCGAGCAGCGCACGCAGTCACATAAACAGTGGTCGCAAATGGGAATAAAATGTTTAATTTGCTTTCTTGAACAATAAATTAAGTAATATAAAATTGTGATGATTCTGCCAATTAAATAATACAAAAAATATGGCAAAGAGAAAGGCGATGGGAAATATTTTAATTGGGGGTTTCTCATATTAAAATGGATTACAAGTAAAAACTTCTCACGAAAATGTCTTCTTCGTATTCAGTAATAAAAAACTATGTACATAGCATAACGGTGATTTTATTTGAACTTATTTTAATTAGGTAACTATAAAAAGTTACCTCACAATAGATTTTGATGTGAATTACAAAATAAATAATTTGTTTCCAAGTAAATATTTATTTTTTTTTTTTCTAAATGAACTATAAAGGTTAATTGAAAAAGTTTTATTTAATTTAGGCACATCAAGGTGTGTATATGCTATTATTATAAGGTGTGAATAAGCTATTATTAAAAAAAAAAAAAAACGAATGGCAATAAAATAATTTAAGAATTATTCCTATAGAAATAATATAATATATGTATATATTTTGTTTTTATAATTTAAAAAAAAATAAAAAATAATATAAAAAATAATACTATTTATAAATTATTTGAATCGCGTTTTTTGTAACATACTTAGCTACATAAAAAACTAAAGCTTAAGAAATAAATACTGTTTATACCTTTTTTAATAAAAATATACAAAATAAATCTCATTAAATCCCATATACTTAACCCACTGTGCAGAACAGAACGCGTGGTGGGCTGGGAGGCAAAAACTATGCAAAGTTTATGCGAATCTAAAATATTTGCACTCGGCAAGCGCATGCGCAGCAAGCTCAATTGTTCAAATACATTTTTATATATATCTTAAATGCAGGCAAAAAGGCGCAAGAAGGCCTGGGATGCTGCCCGATGCTATCAATTCAAAGTCAAATGGGGGGACAACAAAACAAATCGGCGCTGCATCTATAATGAGCTCGGGCATCCACCAGACCGGGCTCTGACTCCCCGACCATGGCTAAGAAAAAAAAAAATAAATAAAAACAGGCCCCGCAGTCGGAATTGATGAGAGCGGGCTAAGAGCAACCAGGCCCAGTCGCTGGCCTGATGTTTTGACTTGCATTTGCCTCATTGAGTTGTACTGAGCGCGGAGGGGATCCCCTTCCGCACCCAAACCAATCCCCTCGGAGGGGCACGATCGGCCCAAGGGACACCCACCCAACGCACAGGCAGGCAGACACAGATGGGGTCAAGAAAATATTTTCTAAATGTTTATGGTTTTTTTTTGTAATATCATTTAATATCTTTATTATAAATTTAAATGTTAAAATATATATTGTTATACATTTAAAATTTAATGTAAAGATATTTTTTATATTTTTTGTTTAGCCAAAAATGTTTCTTAAATTAAAAAGAATTAATTTATCGAGCTTAATTTACCGAGCTTAATTTATCGAGGTTAAAATATCGATACTTCCTCTTATACCTAATAATGAATTAAATTTATTTTTAACTTATTATGGTAAAATTAGTATAAAACGAAATACAGAATTGATTTATCGCGCTTTTATCGATACGTTAAAAGATTTATATTTTCTTGCATCCCTAAGAAGCATGGTTTAATTTGTATTTTTTTGATATAAAAATTATTTTTTAACTAAACACAGAATTAATGTTGCTACCTTAAAAATAGCAAGCAAAAATTGCTAATGTTATTATCGATAAAATATTATTTAATCCAACAGAAAAAATAATATATTCCACATCAACCATTCCTATTATCCAAAATAATCACAATTAATTTTATTTAAGATTAACCAAATTTATCCTTTAATTTAATTTAATATTTTTAAATTAATTAATTATTTATTATTATTCTTTTTTTATTTCCCTTCTCCCTTTTTGTACCTATTCAACCAAACTCAGGTGTATTTGATGCCTTAGGGCCATCGCATTATTCCCGTTTCGTAGTCGGAATCGCATTGATTGCAAAAATCGTTGAAGGCCGCACAATTGAATCCAGTCGCGGGTCCATAAATGTCTTTATTATGATCTTGAGTAGTTTGGCCAATTTGCTGAGGGATATTCAAGAGATTTCAGAGAGATTTTTTGTGTTATTCTTAAAGGAATAAAGAACAACTAAAAAAGGAAAGCAAACAATCAAGAATATTCTTGATTATGTCTCTTATATATATCGATATCTAACGATAAAGCGTTTTTTAAAACTAACCCCTAAGTAAAAAAGACTTTTTAGATTTATAAAAGAAATCATTTTAAATCCTAAAAGCCCAGGTCAGTTCCCTTATTTATTTCTCAATCGGGGAAAACACCTACGTGAGGTGAAGGGGAAAACGTAACGAAAAAAAACCTAAAAAAGGCAAGAAAACTCCAACAGGCAAATCAGGCATTAAATTGCTCATGAGGCCGACAATTTCTTTAAACATAGACCTGGCTGAGAGTTGGTAATAGAAAAGGATTTGACTCGATTGAACACCCGAATTTGCAATTTTCGAGTTAGGCTTCGAGTTGCGCCCCCAAAAAACGCCTAGGATAATACCGAAAAAAATGGGGGAAAAATAATTCAAATGGTGGGCGGTGAGTTGAAATTATAGCCCAGAACCAGGACCAGGCTCAGACCCAGGCAAGTGGAAGAAACCGATGCAGACGGGCAGCCTTTGTTTTTGTTTTTCCTTTGCAATTGCAGTCTGCTTTTTTTTTTTGGGGCCATCTCTTCTGGCCAAAGCACTTAACACGTCAACACGGTCGCCGGCACTGTTTTCCCAAGCAGTTGAAGATTATGTAGGCTCAAAGTTGAGTCTAAGCAGGGGAAATACCCTTTAAAGGGAAGGTTAAGCTTTGCATTTAGATATTTTTTAAGGGGTTAAGTGGTTTAATTTTTAAGGAAATAATGGAAAATTAGTTTAAATATTTAAGTTTATTTAATTTTGATTTTAATCATTATTATTAATCATTAAACAAATGTATTTTTATTTTTATAAAAATAAAATTAAAATTATTATATTAAAGGTAATAATTTTTTTTAATATAAATTCAATATATTTTATTTAAAGTCGAATTTAAAAAAAACCATTACATATTTTTTTAAATATATTTTTTATTATTTATGATTTCCTTCGACTTGATCTCTGGCTCTTTATGGCGCATCTTTTTCATTACCTTGACTTGTTTTTTTTTTTCAAATATATTTATTTATTATTTTATTTTTATTATATTATTTTATTTCTATTTTTTTTACCTTATTTATCTTGATTTCGCTTGACTTTTTCTACTCTGCCTCTTTAAGGCTAACCATTTTCTTTACCTTGACTACCCTATACCTCTTTTTTATCTTTAGTTTTTCGCCAAAGTCTGGGCCATATCGATGAAAACAATGTTGCCTGTATATTCAGGCCTTTTGCTGACATGATTACCCTGCTAACCAGCTGCCGAGCTGAAGCTAAAAACCAAAGACGATAGGATAATGGTAGGTGTCAGTTAAGGTGCACTGAACGAAAAAGTTTTGGGAGACATTAGATAGTCACCTTTTCTTGTTACTGTTTCAAGAGTTAAGAATATATAGATACAGAGATACATAGATAGAAGAAGATGGTAGAACTAGGTGGGAATTATTAATATGGCAACAGGGATAACGAGGGAAATGGCCTAAATAAAACAAAATAAACAAGTTGCAAAGACAAAAGACTCTAGGCTTATAACCTGTACCCTAAGAAACCAAACTCCATATAGAAAAGAACCCTTGGTAGTAGTCACTCTAGCCTAGACTTTCCTGTATCTAAACCTATCTCCTCCATTAACCCTTGTGGAATCCCAGTAAGCCATAACTTGCTTGTCTGTTTGTTTTGAGCACTTTTCGATTTCGTTAATGCCCGACACACAAAACCATCCGGCAGCTAAAATAAAATTCATAAATTATCAACAACAATAACTAACTAGCAGCGAGACGGATCAGAGATGGTGGACACCACGTCGTCATCATCACCGGCGGTGGCTCCCGAGGATCGCCTCAGTGAGAATCTTAATCGCTGCCTGTCCAATGCCCTGGTCAAGGGTGTCGGTGGCCTGGTTATTGGCTCTGTGGTGACCCTGCTCTTCTTCCGGCGTCGCATTTGGCCGGTCTGGCTGGGCACGGGCTTTGGCGTGGGCATGGCCTATCGAGGCTGCGAGAAGGAGCTCAACGAAATCAAGTTCGATAACCAGAAGTAGGACAGGACAGGACTGGGACTGGATTGGATAGGACTGCACCTTGGCATACTTTACTTAAAGCATTTGCATGATTTATTTTTTCTTTTGGAATTTGAAACGATTTAACAATGTGAACAATAATGAACCTTAATGGTTCCTATATAAACCCAAAGTAATATCTTTAATTAGAGATATGTGTGACCCTTGGGCCGGGGCTTTTATAATTTCTTCTGGATCTGGATTAGCACCAGTGCTAATGCGACAAGTCCACTGGTATTCCCTCTTTCGTTTTTTCCTTCTGTTTAAGTTTGATAGAAAAAAAAGAAGATTGCGAGATTAGCCATCTATTGGCCATGATATAAAGCTCGCTTCTGGGGAGTAACTGATGAGGAGTCCAAATCCCAGGAGGAGATTGTGTAGCACGGTCGGCAATTATAATATATACAGAGTCCATTGTGGGTTCACAGGTCAAATGTAGAAATTGAGATAGATCCGAGGCCCCTCGGCTGTGGATGTGGTTCATTGGCAGCTTTGCACGTTGCCTACTGCCCCTGCTCCTTGGTCCCTGCTCCATGTCTACTCTCCACATCGTCATCGTCGATCAATTCTCAATCCCGGCCAAGTTGAGCCTGTAGCGCCGCATCGCATCGCATATCCCAGGCCCATCAAGATAGCCGCAGAGACCCATTGCTCCACTGCTCGATCCTCCTCGATCCTAGTAATCGTGATCGAGAGGCAGTCTGGTGGCTCTGCTGGATGCTAAGTGCTAGCTGCTGGCCAGAATTCGGCAGCCCGAATTTCTCCCTTGGCCTGGCCATATATATATGTCTGTATATATGTATATATACACGATATCCGATGCGGCGACAGATTCGTTTTGGCGGCTCTACGCAGTGTTCAAAAGTGATGGCCAAGGCCAAACTAGTGGTTCCATAAAATGTACAAGACTTGTGATATAATTTAAAATCTATAAATAATTAAGGCTTTATTTTAAGGGATTTAAGGTTAAATTAATATATAAATATAAATTTTAAAAATATTATTTCATATTTTTTTAAGATGGTTAAGAAGCCTTGGGATATTTAAGTTCATGAACTTATTTCTTATATATTTATTATATTTTTTATATATTAGAAAACAAAGCTTTAACTTCTTTAAAATATAAAATATTAAATATATCTTTATTATATAAATTTTTGAAGAACTTATTTACATTTTTTTCATAGCCTTAGAACTAGTTCTCACTTATCTTTTTGTCTACTCGAGCAAACTGCTCCAGCACCGAAATGCGAAAGCCTAGAAAAAAATTAAAAATAATATATATATACATATATGTGTGTATATATATATAGAAAAAAGCCATGACCATGGCCAATACCTTGGCTCTGCACTCTCCACGTTTAATAAGCAATTTTGATTTGGAGCAGATTATGTGACGACCGAACGAGCTGCAAGTTTTGGTTGCATGGCATACTGCGGCGGCAACGACTACTGATGCACTGGGAAAAACAGGGTTTATTATTTATTTATTTGTTATTTTGTTATTTAAATGTTCTACAAATTTATAAATTTATTAAAAAAAATGTAATAAATTTAAGTTTGATTAAAAAAAATTTAATAAATTTAAAAACAAATTTATTATTGAAAAATATCATATTTTATTTATTTCTTGTTCCTTTTTTAGTGATTTAATATTTTAAATATAATATTATATCAAGAATATTAATAATATAATTATATTTTTTAAGCTTTTCTACACCCGTGTAAATTACAATATTTCGCTGAGTGTAAAAGAGCCGAAGGAACCGCCTTGCCTAAAGCTTTTGCCAGCGACTTGCACTTGACTTTGTCGCTGACCCGGCAAAGATTTTTAACTCGGACTTGTTGCCAGTTTGAGCTTGGTGGCTCCGGTGGTTTCGGTGGCTCCGGCTCCCTGATGCCGATACTGTTTACATGGAACTTGTACTGATTGCTTCTAGTCATGCCCCCGATTTGGAGGTAGATTCGCAATTCTGTGATAAGCTCTCTCTCTCTCTTGCCAAGCTCATTTTCATTGGAATTGTCTGAATTTTTATTGAATTTTAATTGGTTAAATGCCAAGGAGATGTATGTGACTTCCTCAAAAAGAAATATATATATATATATGTATGTATACATATATATTTCTATCCTCTGACGATAGGCGAAAAGGCAAGGCCCTTTCTTGGAGTGAAGCAAAGGTTCCCAAGAAAATTTAGATCAATTTACCTAATTTACTCTTGGCCGCGGCGATTGCGTGTCGTGGCGTGAAAAACGGCACTTGAGGAAAATCCACACAGAACCCTGGAAACCATGGAAAAAGTCAAGTCAAGGAGGAGGCAGTCCAGGCACTGGCATTCCACCAGAGGAGGAGAATAAATCACGACTCGGGTTTCGAAAGCGCGAAACTGTTACCAAAGCACTTAAACTTAAATTGGCCAAAGCGACGAGCTGCGAGCTCCAAGCTGCGAGCTGCGAGCTCTCCCAGCTCCAAGCTAATCCAGTTGAGATCCCACAAAAGCCAGAGAGACATGGTTAGGAGCAGGTAGGGAGGGGAAGGGTTAGTCCCAAATTAGAAATAGTGTAGATAGATACGCCAATAGAATTTATAGCGAGCCTCGGACTGCGTTTTCCTTTTCCTTTTTCCAACTGCTGCTGCTGCTGCTGCTGTTGCTCCTCATGATCATGCCCTGGTCAGGTTAATTTTGGGCACGACCGAGCGGCCATGTGGATGACGACGACGACGACGACGACGACGACGATGACGATGATGATGGCAACGCACGAAGGAAGCCGCAGTCCTTACACAGCAAGAAAATAAAGAGAGAGAAGAAGTAGCCAAGTTTGACTAAGAAAAGATTTCTTAACTAACTAACATTATTTGAGGCTTGAAAAATAACTTTCAAAATGTAGAAAAAATAAAATATATTTTATATTATATATGTATATTTAAAAAAAAAGATATATCTAGTATTTCTCTCAGTGCTTTGATGATCATGGAACTGGTGAAGAAACGTGCTCAGGGATCGCAGCTTAAGTTTAATGGAACCAATTGAAGATATTTTGTGGGCAAGTGATAAAGTTGTATGCCCAGTTGGTGGGTGCCTTCCTCCAGCCTCCAGCCTCCTTCTCCTCCATTCGCCATTCTCCTCCATGGCTTTTCCATCAACAAGTCGGGAGGGAGCTGCCAGCCTGCCAGAGTTAGCTCCACGAACCCATTAAATGATGCGTAAGCCCCCGACGTGATCATGCGTCGAGTACGGAACGAGGGGTTCAGAGGCAGATCACACGATCCTGATACGCAGAAATCGAGGAGGAGCAAGGAAAAGTCGAGGTGAAATCAGCGTGAAAATTGCCAACTCCCCCTTTTCTTTTCTTTTTTGCAGAGCAAGCGAGAAGAGAGTTATGCGAAAATTGCGGAAGAATTTCGTGAGGCGGCTTGTTAGTAGAAATGGAAGCGAGGCAATTCTGCAAATGCTAAGCAAACCGAACTGGAAACCGAAAAGAAAACTAAACTAAAGTAAACCAACAGGGCCAGGACCAGGTCCAAAGGCAATTGCCCAGCAATCTCTGAGGGAGAGTGTATGTGTGTGGGGGGGGGTTTGGAAAAGCTGGGAAGTAGGTTAAGGTAATTCCCTTGAAACAAACACCAGTTTCAGTATGTGATTTGTACAGAGGTATTTGGAATAAATCTGTTTAAATGGTAATCGATAAGAAAAATATTTAATTTATCGATACTTTTGGAAAAAACACATGCCAGTAATTTTATGTCTTAAATTGTAAGGTTTATTACTTTATAAATACATTAAATGCATTATCAAAAAAGTTATCGATAACTTAAAAAAAAAGAAAGAAATATATTAAGCTATAACTTATACCTTAAAGTAGTATTTTTCTATAACTTATATTTGCATAATCGATATCTTTAAAGAAAAATAATAATCGATTATACCTAAAACTGTAGGATTTCTTTTTAACTTTTAAATACATTAAAGTGATTCTTAAAATAACTATTTTAGCCTTATTTTTGTGTCTTAACTGTTACCATATGACCTCAGGATTCCGCTGACCAACAATCAATCAAAGGAGGTCCCATCCCCCGTTCCCCACCCTCTTACCCACCCCTTCTCTTACTCTCTTTTGCTGTTCATCACTTCTCAAAGAAACCCTTCTTTTTCAAAACCTTCTTCTTCAGAACCTTCTTCTTCCGACCACATTTTGGCGGCTTTCTTATTTATTTTGGCTGATTTTTACGCTTTATGCACATTTCTTTCTCCCCTCCTGCCATCCTTGCCTGCTTCTCCCTTCTCACCTTTTACTCTTACTCTTCTCTTTGCTCTTTATTCGCCTGCCTGCCTGCCTCCCACCCCCCTATAAGCCGCTTCCTTTGTTGCGCTCTGTTGGCCATTAAATTTGATACCCACTTATTTGGCCAATAAAATTAACCTACCTCAACTTGTTTGGCCTTCATCATATAAAAGGTGGAGGAGAAGTCACAGACAGAGGGCGGGGGGTAGGCGGGATGAAAGACGACTTTGTTCCAGCATGGCTCTTGGCCTTAATGTCCAGACATGCGAGTGGTTAATGTGAGCTATATGCCAAAAGGAGAAATGGTGGCACTTTTTAATATTTCTGTATGATTTTTAACGGGGTTAATTTTTATTAATATATATATTTTATTTATTTATTTATTAAAATATATTTATTAATTTATATATCTATATTAATACATACAATTTTAATGTTTTGTAGAGTTTTAGCCACTATTTATATTAAAATAATATATGTATATTAAAAAATAAATAAATATATAAAAATACGTCATTTATACTTTAAAAGATATATTTATCAATTTATTTTTAAATAAAAATAAATTATATTTGTTTTATATAAATTTGTGTACGTAAAATGTATGGAAAACTCTTTGAAAAAACTTTCTATCTTTCTCTCCTTTCGGCAAACCCTTCACTTTTCACCCAGTAGCGCACGATCCCATATCGGCCAATCCACCCGAGCTGCCATTAAATCGATCCACCTATCTGCAGATCCTCCAAACCGGCGACCCTCCTGTGGTGAACGCATTGGCGGTGCAAATAAATTAGCGGTCGCCAAGTGTTGACATTTATTGTCAGGCCAAACCCCAAAATAAGCAAA